AATTGCACCTGAGAAAGCCTAAATTCAAAGATTCAGAAGCCTGAGGGAGCCCAAAAGTATGACCCTATCAACCCTAATCATGGAGGACATCCGATAACCGACAGCACTCTCGGCGTATACCCAAAGTTCATGGATCTCGGAATAGAGTTTCGAGAGCTAAAACAGATGGCACAGAGCCGTCGCATCTCTATCGTTCCAAACTATCTGATTTCAGAGCACCGCTTCTAAACCGGTTGTTTCCATATGAGTTTAGTCTTCGCGCGAAACCCAACAACGTTGTGACGCCGGGTGAGGGACGTGTTCCAGGGTCGAAATCTGATTCCTCTCAGTGGCCAAGAGAACTGCAGACCATGCCTTGATCTCTGATCATCGAAAGGATGACCGTTTTAGGTTTCGTCCGATTTTAGGGGTAGAAGGGGTGTCACAGTTCACAATGATGCTTGCCATGTTGTCTGCGGCCGTGGAATCAACATGTCGTCGGTTGGCTCACCTCCAGAATGACAGGCCTTACTCACTCGTCATTGAAGTTTCCCTTCCTTCCAAGCACGCAACGCAGTGCGTTGTGATAGCTTGCTTCATCGAGACTGCGTCAAGTCTTCCTAGCTGTCAGAAACATGTAAGACCAGGAATCTTCATCAGAACCTGAATCTTGGAGACCCTTTTCCTTTTGATGGGAACCAGCGGGCTTTGGACTGTCTTGGAGAATAGACAGGGGCCACCAAGACTTTGCAGAGCCATCCCCAGGGTTTGAGGTACCGGAATCTTCAGGGTCGGACTTTTCTTTGTTGTTTGTCGGCGAGCCACGCCGCCACCACTTTCTCGGCTCAGGAGTCTTCGGCTGAAGGTCGCTTGTAGTGAATTTCCTCGCTCGCTTCTCCCATTTGCGGACATAGTGTTCCGCTACAGCGATTGTTTTCTTGTCTTCTGTGGCCTTCGCTTCCCTGAGCACGGATTGCGCGTACGATGAATCTGAGGGGTTCTCTCCCCTAGTATAGTGTGCATTCAGGAGCACCTGAAGTGCATCGGCGCGCTTTCGCTGGGTTGCTGCCTGAATGGGAAGCCATAGATAGGATGTCATCGGAACTAGTCTTTCAATGATTTCGACGGGTTGCTCGTTTTGAACGGCGGGCAATAGCTCTTCTCCAAGGTGATACGTTAGACTCCCGAAGCCGCCGGTTGTTGCGCCGTGATCCAAAAGAAAATTTATCAGCGGTACACATTGTGGACCGCCTTCGCAAGCCTTACTCAAAACCGTGGTTTGGTGGTCATCGAACATAAAGTCCACAACCTTGGGGGCGTAGGAGCAGATCAGTCTGAACATCTCGATGTCCAATTTTTCGGTGAGCGCCTCGACGATGTAGCCATTGTGGAAGTCGAATTTGGGATAAACCGAGTGCAGGTACTGAACGATGGACTGCTGACCATGCGAGATGGCCACAACAAGCAGCTCCGTTGTCTTCGGCGCGCCTTGTTGTGTGACATTCTTGAATGTTATAGGGTCGTCGCCGCTCTTGATATCATACTCGTCGAAGAGTTTCTGCAAGTCGGCGAGTCGGCCAGCCTTGCATGCCTCTACCATGGCTTCCTGGTGAGGAGGGATTTCGTTGTCTGGCAGTCGCTCTGGCTGAGGGGACAGAGGAGATTGTGACATTCTGGGCAATGGTGACTCGGAGGGAGTTTGCAGATTCCCCGGTGGAGAGGGAAATCTCTAGTGACCGTTATGTGAGCCGGGATTCTCAGGAACATGATTTCGTGATTTCGTTTCCCAACCACGAAATTGGTCTTACAACGATCGGCCAGGCCGCGGGCTGGCCACAATGTTAAACAGGGCTGATACGCCTCGGCGGCTGGAAGTTTGTCTCGTTATACGCCGGCCAAGATGTTACTTGTTATACTTCCAAGCGCTTGATGCAAATAAAGTTCTCCACCGGAGTCTAGGTCTAAATCTAGGTGCAGTAAAGGTATGGGTCAGAATGGGGACATCCTGGTGGTTAATAGGCTATCTCGGCCGAGGATTTATAGTACGGTAGAGTTAGGGGACAACATCCTATCCAATGAGCATGATCGAACTGCAACGTTTGCCTCAAACTCAAAGTCCCAGAGGACGTGACGAGATTTAAGCTATCAGGACTGAATGAGACCGCACTGTTCTGGCCCTCGAGCGTCTGGAGGCACGTCCCCGTCGTCGCGTCCCAGAGCCGGTAATGGTCGGCAGTGCAGGTGGCGTACCCTGACAGACGTATCGCCCGCTGTCCTGATTAGAGCTTTGGCCCCCAACTTCCAAGACATGCGTCACCAAGCTTCCTTCGGATTTCCTGATACTGCACTCACTATCAGCTATCCTCTTCTTGCTTCTGGGGAGAACGGATGGCGAATCCGTTATTGGAGTGCATGCTCAACCAGTTCCGAGTCTTTTACAAGCCCCGTGAAGGTCCGAGCCGGATTTTCGATCCATCAACATCTTGTGCCCCCTCGTGAATTAGCGTCTCGACGAAAAAAGTGCTTACCAGGGACCAGTCTCTGGTCTCCCTTGTTATCAACCTCTGCAGAAGTGCTGATTGGACACGATATAGTAATACGAAATATAATGCTGTTGGGCTCTCCCCCCCGTCGAGGGGAGGGGGCCCCGAAATGGGTCCTCAGCCGGAACATGTCTCCCTCCAATGCTTGTACCGGGAAATAGCATTGCACGAAGCGTGCGGTAATTCGGTGCCGGCGACACTGTTCGATATGACAGTTTTATAAACAGACAAGGACTAATTGCTGACCTGGTCGGGCGGCATCGTTCGACAGACAGCGAAGCGGTTCCGTCCTCCATGGGAGCAGATAGTACTTGTATGATCAGGCAGGAGCGTTTGAACACCTCGAGTACTGCCTGATGAAAGGCCTGTCCGTTGCAATTGCTTCTCAATGTCGTGCATATGCCATCCTCTGGCAGCCTGGCCTGAACTGTAGGGGGCCCCGCACTATTCCAGACTCTGGCACATTTCCGCAACGAGACAAGCTCTGTGATTTTGAAAACACCGAAATGTACTATATGACTTCGGTCAACTTAGATTACTATTCGTTGGGGCGTCCGTGTCTCGCGGTCTCACAGGGGTTTGAGGTGCGTATGATTACCCCGTCTGAGCCCTTGGCGACTCGGCAGAATCTCGAATGCCGAGGATGTTTGGAAGCGAAGGGTTAGCATGACGGGAGTCACCGAGCTTGATTGGACGCTTCATCAGTCAGGCATCCTTTGTAGGTGCTCATAGTCCCGCCGCACGAGCAGACAGCACTACACTGACCAGATGAGCGAGTAAAGGTTACGGTCGAGGCCTATAAAGACAGCCTTCCCGTCTGTTGAAAGATGTCGGTCATGATGTTGAGGGTACATGTTCTCATTCTTCCATCGATTTTCCGACTCCCATGGCATTCATCAAGATATCTCCTGAGAGAATCGCTCTGGTCGACTCTACGATCCGGAAACTCGTAGATAGCTTCTTGAAACCGATCACTTCGATCGCCGACTTCACGTCGATCTTCCATCCCGATATCGACTGGTACGATCATGCATTCCTAATGCATCGGGCTGGTCACGACGCCGTCGTCGGCTTGCAAAAAGGCTTCACTCACTGCAATCAGCCCTTCAATGTCGACATCAAGGTGAGTGTGTCTATTTCGGTGGTCCAAGCTACCCGCCGCGTCCAGTCGGGAAGAGATGTATTGACGATGGGGGCATTTTGTAGGCCATCATTCCAACACCGACAGGTGCGGTCCTGGAACAAGTCTGGGTAGGTCGACAAGCGAACGACATCATCCGACCCAACGGAGATGTTGTCGTCAAAGCGAGTGGGAAGGATTTTGAATGTCACGTCTGCATGCTCATTGAGGTCGATGATGGCGGTCTTATTACCAGAATTGATGAGTATTACAATAGGAACTGGGACAATGGGATCCGCGAACAGCAATATGCGCTTCTCAAGGGCGCTAGTTTGAGATCAAAGGCTTGACGAAGCAGATTGAGAGAGCGAGAGCAGCAAGGGCGAGGTAGATGGTGTGACGAGATTCTCTGGAACCCTCTCGGATCCAGCCATGTCCTCCAAAAGAGTCACATCGAGAGAGGCCAGAGTGCGCAGAAACTAAGCAAACGGTTGGCATAGCTAGGAATTAAACTGGAGTGGGCAAATATGAGCCGGTGGACAAGCGTGATCGATTCGCCGTAAAATCTAGGATCCGATTATCCTCTCCGATGACTGGGTCTCCTCGGTCTCTGCCACCACCGCGAGATTCCTGTTCAGTATATCCTTGAGGCGGGGGCCTGGTCGTAGCCCTCTTGAGCGCGAACTACTTACCCTAGAACCACACGATCTCGAACCTACTCGACTATCGACCAGTAGTGTGGGAATCGATTAGCTTACTTTGCGTTGTTTCCGCCGATTACGAGGAATACGTACGCTTCGGTTTCTCTTCCCCCGCAGTGCATGAAGAATTCGCAATCGATCCTCTAAGACGAGGAGCGACAGCTCGGCTACCGGCAAGCGCCAACACCCTTAGCTGGCTCAATAGACTGGAAATTTACGAATAAGGATTACGCCTTTCGGCGGGTATTGGTGGGTTTTACTATTTGTGCATAAGGTTCTATAACTTGTGGACCCGGCGGATGACTTACGAAGAGGACACAATGGAGTGGTGGCTGATTTTGCCTCCCATCCTGGCTGAGAATGGATGGACGAAAGGTGCTCTACCTCGGACGGAAAAGGTCGTGGCACTGCAGGAGAGCAAGCTCTGGGTGGATCAACTGGGTATGTTAGGGTTGAAGATCCACGGGCATGCTCGTGTTGAGAGCTGAGGACCTGTTTCGTAGTCGCCGGCGGTTTTCCAGCAGACTAACACTTCGACACCCAAAGAGCCGGCATTGAGGAAGCATGGGTCATATACATATGCCCATAGCTTCCTGTTGCCTGGCTATTTCATTTGACTGGAAATGATCTTCGACTCGAGATCTATCTTCAATCCATTTACCACTTCCTGGTTCGGCCTCGTTGTTCGGGTGGCTGCGATAGTTGTGGGGTTACATTCAAATTGCTGTAACTCGTGGTGGCCACACCGCTCGTGGGACCTAGTTCAGACCGAGCTCGTTCGTACCACTCGTTCACTTCTGCAGGCGACCGCGCGGTGAGATCGCTGAGGATTCGCTTGTACGTCGCCTGATCCCCAAGACTCAGGTATAGTCGCGCTTGATGGTACATGCAGCGATACAACTCGCGCGTCCTGCTCGGCTCCGAAAGTGACATACTCGCGTCAATGGCTTGGCTGAAGTTGATCTTCGCTACTTCGTGGTCGCCCATTTGCTGGCAGATAAGAGCCAAGTCGCATTGCGCTTTGACCTTCTGTGCTGATTTCGTCGCGCGTTGGAAGACTTGTAGCATGTTACGTCTTGCCATACGAAGCTCACCGGTAATCGACTGGAGCAGTGCAATGTTCGCTTTGGTTCGAAGTGCATCCTCAGACCCGGCGCCGTACCTTTCACTGTAGAAACTAAGGTTGTCTAGCCAGAGTCGTTCTGCTTCTTTAAATGCTTCGCGTGCACTATTGTCAGACGATTGGGAATCTGTCATCATTTGGCCATGTCCCATGCTTGCTCGGGCTAACTCGTCTGCCACGGTGACCACCACGTCATGATCCGACCCCAACTGCTCGGCGTATTTTTCCAACAAGTCCTTGAAGATTTGACATGAATCAGAATAGCTTTCCAGGTCGGTGTAAGCACGTCCAAGGTTGAGCTCAGTGGAGAGGATGATGCTGTGGGCGTCCTCCAAGTGCTTCTTTTGAAGTGAAAGCGCCTCCCGGAATTTTTTCATGGCTTCTTGCGTTTCATTGCGCTCAAGACACAGCTCCCCCAGGGCATTGAGCACCCGCGCGACAATTATCTCGGCCCACGGGGCTAAATGGATGCCATGCTGCCGACTCTTGTGATGAAAATAGTCATACACGCGATTGAAAGCAACCTCTGCGGTTTGGAGATCTTGCGTCATGCGACAAGCATTGCCGTAGTTGAAGAAAATACACATCAATGTGTCGGTACTCGGGCCATCAAGAGGCCCGGGAAGTTGAGAATAGGAAGATATGCTGTCCCGAAAGGTTTTGACGGCCATGTCGAACTTGCGTTGACCATAGTAGACAAGTCCAAGATCGTTAAGGACCTGTGCGATCGTTTCCAAGAATGCCTCTCGTTGAGGCGACATACATTGAAGAACGACAATGTAGAGCTGAGAAGCTTCATCATACCTGCCCAAAAACCGGAACAAGGCACCGATTCGTTCAAGGAATTGCGGCTGGAACGACCCTGCTCTGATGTAAGCCATACAATGATCCGCATGAGAGGCCAGTGCTCGCGCTTTTCTCCAATAGTCATTCTCCAGAGAGCGAGGTACGTTATCAGTGACGAGCGACACTGCCCAAGATACATACTCATCTTTATTGGTTGCTGCTCGATTGCGTGCAAATGCGTGGACTGCCGGATGGATCGAGTATGATATAGCCTGAGCGTCATCAATATTGGGTTGGATGAATGACAGATCAACCAAAATTTCGATCACCTCGTCGAACAACCGCCTGTCTTCACCCACTGCAAGGAGCCAGCTGGGAAGATCAGGAGATTCTGCCTTTGAGCAAAGGTCAAACGACAAGTTCTTGTGATCTAGAAATCCGAACAAAGTTAATAATTTGCTAGCAGTTGCATTGCGGGACTCGAGCTCTTCGAAGCATAGTGTCATCGTGTGCACCAAAGCTGGATCGACAACGGATAGCGAGTCGTCGAGCTTGCGTTCTCTCCACATGTTGATGTAGTCGACAACCCTAACTCCACGTCGGCGTATGTAGGTAATTGCAAGTCTTAGCGAGAGTGGTAGCCCATGGAGCATTCGACAGAGTTCCTGCAGTTCTGTATAACTCAATATGGATACAAGAACTATGTTGAAAACTCACCTTCATGTTTGACAAAGTGGCCACGGAGCTTTGATGTCAGAAGCTCCGTAGCCGCTCTGGCTTCAAGGCCACCAATTTGCAGAACAATCTCATGATCCACCAGCCAATTCTGGCGATTCGTAGTCACCAGGATGGATCCTTGGTGAATTCTGTCAAGGTAGATATTGATGTCTAGAGAATCTTGAGAAGAAACATGGCGTGAACTCCAGAGTGTTACGTCGTCAACAACCATGAGCCATCCGGTGTTTCCAGGGCGGTTCAGTTCTTCAAGGAAAGAGTCAACGAGTTCCGAAGCCTGCTTGTCAGTATCTTCTGCGAGTTGAGTATCCGTGGAAATCCGGATAATCTGTTCTGGCTGATAAAGTTGCGCAACGTCTGTCTTGAAGGCGTGCCGGTCTCGACCATTTACCCAGATTATATCTCGCGCTGAGTTTAGGGAAAGTTGGTTTTTGACATAGGCAGCTGCCAATTGAGACTTCCCAGCGCCACTAAGACCAGAAAGGACCAGAACAGATTTTTCAAAGGGCTTCTGGTTGCCAGGATCTAGGTGCATGCCAATGAGTTTGAGCTGATCTTCTCGACCGCAAAAGTCCCATGATTTTGGCAGTTGCCCCCTGATGCGAGCAACATTTTTAGTTTCCTGGATCTTGTCTGATAAATGGTCAGCTCTTGAGTATATATCCCGAAGAAACAAAGTTTCAGTATTGTCTTCAGCCATTCAAGCGTCGGGGTAAGTAAATGCATGGATGATCCTTGAGATGACGTGAAAGGTACGGTGTCTTGTCGATCTATTCGACGGGAAGCACTTACTAAAAGATGCTTTTGGTGACAACTGCAGCAGCATTTCTTTTGCATAGGCGGCTGCAACAGCTGCCGCCCTTGCATGCCAATCGTCATTCTTCAAGGGGTCAGCAGAGTCGCTAATTCCTCGAATGACAGCAACCGGTAGGGTAGTCATAACCCCAGCAGCTTCCATTTCGATCGCGACGGCGTCTCCGTATTTCTCCTTAAGCCGATCCCTGAACTCGGAAGCGCGAATCACTTTGTTGCCTGATAGGATAGTCCCATAATGGACACTTGGGCCATCGGTCTGCCGCCTGACGTTCCGAAAGGCACTGTGGAGAGGAACTGGATCGTATGGTTGTTGAAATTTCTTCCCCGTTGGGCAGTCAAAAGCCTTCAGATGTTCATGAAATGCATGGCCGCTGAGAGTAGAACGAGCCTGGATCTTGGAAATCACACTCCTCCACAGCGGGTGAGTAGCTTCCATCCATTGCTTTTGGAGTTCACCGCCAGGGAATACCTTCAACATGTCGTAGTCAACTACGCCCGGATAGTTTCCTGCAGGGTCCGCGACTGCAACATCTCCATGTCGTATATCGTGTTTCTCAGAGGGAATGGCAGCAGCGATGCCAACAAGGAGGCCGAGTTCCAAGTTCTTAAAGTCTCTCACAGCAGCTTCCGCCATTGCAGCCGCTTTGCCGATGCCGACTTCCCCACTGGGAAAGCCAGCAATCGCAACATTGTGCTGGCCTATTCTGCCGAAGTGATATTCCACTGTCTGGCCTTGTTGACGATTCACTGCTCCGTGGTGATGCTCATCGAGCATAAATAAAGCCGCAGCGGTCTCTATGGGCAGTGGACTGAGCCAAACAATCGAGTAGTCGTCAGGATTGATCATGGTTGCAAGCATGCATCAAATGTGATGTCAAGACAATGATGACGCTCTCTTATGTCTCGAAACGACTTCTTTCCAATGCCTTCCAATGGTCTAGAGTACATGTCTCACATTCCATCGCTCACTGGAAACTGAACTTCTACACAACTGAGTATCGCGCAAAATTGTTCGACAGACGATGACAACTCTGTTTCTGAGAAGAGTGCGAACTCAACAACCAAGAGTGAACGTTTGCGATGTGTGGACTTTGCCGAAGAGGCTGGACGGCAGGGAGAGCCCTGAAGAGCAGGGAGAGATGGTTTCTGTCCTACCGTGGGTCGAAATCCGTAAAGATTAGAGTACTGGTGGTATCGCAGAATAACGAACAACGAACACGTTCAAGGTTGGCTTTAAGGCTCGGTCGATCCTACTCGTTTGTCGAGGAGAATCACGTGGCGGGGCATTTTAGTGTCTCCTCGTCCCAACTGAGGCTGCGCCTCGAAATTGTCGAGGGCACTTTATAAGGCTGATCCAAAGGATGAAACACCCTCAGAATCCAACCTTCCCGCTCACTTGATGGAGTTGGACACTGGTTCCACTACATCCTGGGCGTATCATCTCGTCGCAAATGCCTCTATATGGGAATCCTAAGGAATCCAAATGGGCTTCGTCTGCACCAACCCTAATTGTCGACATCGGCCAGAAGACGCAGACTGCTATGGGTGTGACTTGACAGGCTGGCGATGCGTATGTATCTCAAGCTGTGTCTCTCACGATTCTGACGACGATGTAGTGCAAATGCCATCACATTTTACGAACCGAGTTCCAACCACGTGCGGCCTCCCCGCGCGCCTCGTCACCTGCCTCCTCAATTGGAAGCGTCGATTCTGGCACTTCTGTACCTCCAGGATCGAAGAAACGTTGGCCGAAGAATGTGTTTGCGAGCTGGAAACAGCAAGCTAACGGCAAAATATCAACGGAAATACAGTCCGTGCAAGCCCAGGAAGAGATTGCGGCAGGTGGGGCAGAGAAATCACCTGTGTATGTGAATGCGAAGCAATTCCATCGTATTCTCAAGCGACGTGTTGCCCGGCGGAAGCTGGAGGAGCAGCTTAGACTTTCCTCCAAAGGGCGGAATGGTCTGCACGAGTTCGGGCGCAATCACCCCATGCGCAGACCTCGCGGGCCTGGTGGTCGATTCCTGACGGCCGACGAGTTGGCCGCCCTGGGAATCGACTTCGTCGCTGGGGGGGCTGTCCAATGAGCGAACTGATCCGGAGGCCTGCCGGGGCGTACACAGACCGACAGGCTCGAGTTGGTGTCTTCAACACCAAGAGCGATCGAGCTGCGCACGAAGGGTCGCACCGAGACAGTTTCTGGTGCGAAATCTGTGGGCATTTTTTCTTCCAATCCGGGTATCTGATGCGACATATGCAGATTACCCATGCGTTCTTCTAGACAGATGCACATTACCGCACTCTTTGGCAAGAACAGTATACCTTTTTAGGTGACTATCTTCCTCATTGTGCCAATCTTGAACGGCCTCCTCGCACCCCATACCCCAACAGGAGCTACGTCGGGCTCTCCCTGCCGAAGGAATCCCCGTCGAAGCCAGTACTCAGCAACGCCGACGCCTTCGACAACAGATACCCACAAAGATGTGGATTCTGCCATATAATCTTGGATAGGGACGCTCCCATGAGCCCGATCTTGAGCTGTGTGCGTTTGCTCCCACGAAGTCCGCAAATGCTACACCAAGGCGTCGAGGCACTTGATCACCAGACCCTTTCCACGATAGCGGGACTCATTCCTCGCCGCGCACAGAGTGACTTCCCAATCTGCAGGGTTATTCTGGGATGATTTTGAAACCAAGGACTCCATGGCACCTTTGCGAGTGAAATTGAAGGTTTGCCACGCCCACGTCTCAACCGCTCTGCCTTCCCGTGGCTTTATACATGCGACTGCAACAGGCTAATCTGCTGACTCGTGGTTGTCTCTCTGTGCTGTTACTGCTCCGGCCCAGATACGTATGACAATCTTATTGTTGGAAGCTCTCAGCGTCGCAAAAGATGGAAGAGAAGTCTTGCGGGGTAGACAGGGTCAATTGAAGCCACGACCTTAGAGGAAATACATAAACGTTCATGTTAAAGGAAACAAGAATATCCAGAGACGATGTCAAATCTAGAAGTAAGCGACCAGCTGAGGCCCACTATCTCCCTCAACGGCTTCCTGGTCGGGCCGGGCCTGAGAGAAGCCGATTTAGGCTTCGATCACAGTGCGACCGAAGGACGATGCCTAGTGCTGTGGGGGCGAAAAGGCCAGCCTTACGTATCCAGCAGGGTCAACTGAACGTCACGTCTGCAAATTATGGCCATGCCACCCCTTCAATCTCCTATCATGCTCGCCACTACAATGCTCACCCCGCACCTTTTTGAGGCTATGCCCTTTGAATCCTTTCCAGGTTCAGAAGATTTCGATCCTATAGTCGAGGGCATTTGCACAAATCCAAAATGCCAACACCAGAGGAACAGCATCGATTGCTATGGCTGCGATCCTGTAGCTCGGACATGCGTACGTCCCATACAAAGTCGCTCTGATCACAGCATCTTTCAGGCTGTCGTTTGTACTAACCATATTTCCAGTGCAAATGCCATAGTCCTTTGTCCTCCGGCACGAGCGCCCGCACCTTTCGACCCTCCTCGCGCGCGTCCTCGATAGGCAGTGTCGCTACTGGCCCCTCTGTCCCTCCAGGCTCAAAGAAGAACTGGCCTGATAACCTTCTGGCTGATTGGCCAGACACAGAGAAGAATGATTACGTGAGGACCTGGGCTTTGAACGGGAGCGATTCGATCGCGAGTCCTGACCGAGGTGGTGCGATCAGTCCATTGATGGGCTCCCCGGTTGAATCTCGACGCCGTCTGTCTCTCTCCGGCTTGCTTACGCTCCCCGTGGAGACAGACGGGACTCCAGACCACATTGCGAATTTAATGGAAGGACCAGACCCGATGGACGGCAAGTGGACTTGTAAGTACAACGACTGCTACAAGAGATTCGGCCGCAAGGAGAATCTAAAATCACACATTCAAACGCATCTCGGCAATCGAGCATACCGTTGCAGTAGGTGTTCGAAGTGTTTTGTTCGACTCCACGATTTAAAACGTCATGAGAAAATTCACGCCATTCATGCTAAGCCATATCCTTGTATTTGTGGAGCCTCTTTTGCTCGACGTGATGTTTTGATGAGACACCGACAGGGAGGGATGTGCATCGGCACCTCTAACGAGGCGAGGAGGCCTGTCAAACGAGGGAGACCTAAGGATAAGGGTACGATGGCCATGCTCCCTGAGCATGCGAAGCGAGTGAGGGAACAAGAACCGGATGATCATCAACGGCCTGCTAAACTAGATCATACTCCCGCGACCGATCAGATTTATCACTCGCCTTGGTCGTTCACACCATTGCAAAGCCCGACTTTCTCGACCGGCAACACGCCATCTCTGACTTTGTCTCCGCGGCTCAGCGAACCCGGCATGTTAGATTGGGGACGTGATTCCAAATCGCCGTGCGAAATCCCCAGCACGCCAAAAGCTTTCGACGATCCGATTTTGTCGAAACCAAACCTCGACGACTGAGTTGAGAGTGGCGAATCTTCTGACTGCTCGAGGACACAATGCAAGGTTGGAGACGAACATTCCTGACACAGGCAACTCTCCTACACGCAGCACAACCTCAGAGACCTGCGTGGACCTAGCACGCGAGGAGGCAAAGTGCAGAAACGCGAAGGACGCAAACACTGAGGTGCTGATCGGCTACGGACCCGACAGGAGAACCACTCTCCGGCAATAAATTTGAGTCTTATGCCTCCGCAAGCCACGCTACAACTCAAGAGTCGTCGGGCTTTTTTGAATTTGAATATCTACAGCCCACTTTCACGGGAACATCCAGTGTGGTGGCTGGTTTAGCAGGTAACGTGTTTGGTCACCTTTTCACCACTTGGCTTGGGTCAAATTACTGACAGGCTTCAGCATCTAGATCCAGCGGCTGCCACAACACTTCGTATCCCGCCCTTTCTCTGTCTATTGTTGTTGTTGAAGACCTCCATTGTCTGCCGAGATGTAGGTTGAGCGTCGAGAAGTCCCTTGTTTTGAATGAAGTCTACGGTAAGTGGTTCATAGCCTGGAGTGCAATTCGTAATGCATTGAAGACTCCATTCGACATTGACTAGTTGGTGGTTCATTTAGTCTCGAAAACGTCTCATGTATCGGGAATATTGGTCTTGTTATTCTCTTGCGATCGCGGGAGGCATTGATCGCTTATTGTGGAGGTCTGAGCGAGAATCCTAATTTGTGGTTCTTTCACCTGAGTGTACTCCTTACTAGGAAAAGTCCGCATTCAGGATGCATGCCACTGAAATCGAGACACGTGGCAGCCTGAGGCTGCTATCTTACACGAATCACTTCTTTGCACGGCTTGCCAAATTTTAAACATGCTTTTATCACAGCACTCAGAGATTGAGTAGAAGCCATATTTAAGAGGACCGAATCCATCATGGCAGAGGCATTTGGAATAGCGACTGCTGCGATCGGCCTTGTCCCACTCTGTAGAGGCGAGTCTCTGCGCAGCCTGAGATTGATCCCAGGTTTCTAATGAGCCTCAGATGGCTTCCTGATGGTGAAAAGCGTCTTCGAAGCCTCCGAGACGGCAAGCGACTCTGCCTTAAGAATTCAGTCCCAGGTCAACGTTCGTAAACCTCTCTTTTATTGGCCGATGGCGAAACTTACATGAATTGGATAGGTTTATGAAGCGTGGAGACGTACATGGGATACAGAGCAAGAAGAGTTCGGCAGATTTAGAGACTACGCAACTAGGCGTCCTCAAGATGCCGAGAGCATCCGCCACGAGCTTGCGGTGTTGTCATACACCCTGTGTAACGTGCAAAAGATATTGAGTCGCTATGGCCTTGAAGCCCGATCGGGGAGGGATCAAGAAGTGAGTACCGAGCCGCTCGATATCCCTCCGTGAGAGAGGAAATCTGAAGCCTTCCCAGAAACTATTGAAGCCAGTACCGAATCCTACCGCCACGGAGCTAGTCGCGTCCGAGTCGTCCTTCAAAGATTACTTGAGAATGTGTCGGTCGAACCTGAATTTCTTCAAGAAGTGCAGGTTCATCATTACGGGCAGCGACCGGCGTGCCGAAACATTCATCGACCGCTTAAGAGAACGTAATGAGGTTCTCAGAGGCTTCGTTTACGCCCCAAAGGATCAACAAATACTTTTGAACCAACTTTTTGAGATGATGGCACGCGCTCAAAACCCAGAATTTTTGGAAACACTTTATCGGGAAGAGACTCGCGCAGCGAAGCACGGTCAAAAGTCTCTACCATATCGAGAACTTGCGTTGACAGGTTTCTTCTCGAACGCGGTCCAGAGCCGAGACCCTCATCGTCGCGCCCGGAGGCTCGCCCTATCGGACATAGGTCCTGGAATTGTGGTAGCAGCATCTCAACCGGCCGAAATGGCAATTTTCGAGCATTGTCCGCCTTCACAACGAAGGCGACTTATCTATATAGAGTGGACGTTTGATGAGTATTACATTGACATGACTGAGGCACGAGAAAAGGCGGAGAAGATGGCTAATATGCTCGGCGCTTCGAAGCCCGGCCAGCTACTGTTGCCATACTGCTATGGCTACGTCGAGGACAAAAAGAATCAGCGTTTTGGCCTCGTCCTCGCCCCTCCGGAGCATATACGAAGTGGGATCCCTTCGATGCGAACACAAGGGTTCGTGTCGCAGAAGAGAATGCCTGTCTCGCTAGGGGCGATCTTGGAAGCCGCTCAAGGGAGACTGGAGGACCTTAGTATTCGGTTCAATCTGGCCAAGAGGCTCGTCAACGCAGTCCACAAAATGCATTGCGTCAACTGGGTTCATAAGTAAGTGCTGTCTTACAATGCGGTTCTGGCTGACTCCCTTTCCAAAGGAACATTCGTCCAGGCTCAATCATGTTCTTTCCCACCGAGGACACTCTTTCTTATGGCAAGGAGAGGCGACAGGTTATGGACTTCAGCCAACCTCTGTTCGTAGGCTTCGGCCGTGCTCGAGTCGATTCCTCCGACACTGGCTCAAGGAGAGCAAGGAGTCGGGCGCCGGGTCAGATCACACTCGACGAGTATCAACACCCTTTGAAACTCCAGAACCCAGACATGCTCTACTCTCGCTTTTTTGACATTTACAGTGTCGGATGTGTTCTGCTCGAAATCGGGTACTGGCGGCCATTGCGAAAATTGGTCGATCTGCCTGCCGTGATAGAACGAAAGGACACAGATGAAATCAATTCCATCAGGGAGAGCATGAGACAAAGGGCGGAGTCATTGAGTGGGTGAGTAGTACCAGCGTCCTCTCGTGTCTTTCTTTTGTCCTTTACCGTTTCTGGTTAACGTGTTCATAGATTGACGGGATCAATGTACGCTGGCGTGGTCGCGAAATGTCTCGGGGCCATACCATCTGGCGGGACAGTTGAAGTGGACAAAGCTGCCTGCTCCAAATTCCTGGCGGAGATCATGTACAGCCTTGGGAAGTGCGAAGCATAGAGGGTCCCTGGACGAGATGCCGCGGAAGAGCGTGCAACTGCCTTCCAGCCTCGTTGCGGCCTACAGAATCTGCTGCAAATGATGGATGGAGTTTGGGCAGGCCTAGAACCTATCCCGCGCGATAGCTGGGCTTATGATGAAGCCTGCCCCAGAGCCATTCACCTCATAAGTTTACGATCACTGGAGTTTGAGAGGACTTCGAATGTATCACACAACCATAGATTGAGGCCGAGGCCCACTAAAGGCTCACTTAGTGTTCCTCATCCACTCAAACGCGACTTAACGGATTAAAAAGACTTTAATTGTCCCACCACTACTCTCCTCAATCCCACCTTTAGCTCCATGCTTGCTTTACCCACCAGCCACTATGTAATGCGACATCAAAAGCCGCTACCTGTGTGCTCCTTTGTATCTGACTCCGTTCTTCATTTCCACAGTGATTCCAAAATCAGAGTCCGCTCGTCCGGACCGCCACTCTCGCAGCACAGAGCGCTGTGAGAGAACTATTTCTGTCGCGAAGCCCTCACGCCACGACGCCACTATTTCAGCTTTGCGCCGTATATTACTCGAAGGGGAACCTCATGTGATGGCCGACTTTCGGCACCCTATTGCGGAGGGTATCGAACTCGTATTCATGGTTATGGGGTGATAAAATATCCCGGTCATGCCAGCATCACCCTGTTGCTACTCGCATAGAGAAGGCTGGTGGTTTGGTTACGTTAGACTTCAGGGCCAGGCATCGGTACGTGGCTGCGCCCTGGCCGCCGGTGATGAGTATCGCTCCATCCCTGTGAAGGCTTCTCCCTTAGTAGTTATTCGAGCCTCTCGCCTTCGTTGCTTGCTCCACCAAAGGCTTCCTACCTGGGACCTTCCTCACAGTTCAGCTTTCCGTGAAAAGCTCACTCGCGCAGGGTTTCTCGGCCCAGATGGCGAGCTTAACTGAACTCGAAGCTTCGATATATACAGGGCCGTGGGTTGATTGGTCCTACTCCCCTGTTTATGGGGCAACAATAACGCTGACGAATCGTGGATCTGCCTTCCTGCTGGCATTTTTAGCTCTATATGTCGGCATGGCGGGCGGACAGTTCTGGTCTATCGCAAGCTTTATTCTTCATCAAACCCGGGCGGCAAGGCGAACGTACGCTGATCACGCAATGTTACACCAACAACAAGTCATTCTTCGAAACGACTCGTCGCCAACCAGTGTCGCGCAGACGCTCCTCAAATTAGCTCTCGCTTGGCGAAAAGCCAGGGTTCGACCTTTCCGGTCCATTTTGGCTCCCTTGGCCTCCGCCCTCCTCATCTCGGGAGGCTTTTTCGTCGCCGGTCTTTTCTCATCCGAGGTCACGTCGGCGGCGAGCAAGGACATGCTTCTCCGAAGCTCTCTTTGCGGATTATGGACGTACGGCCAAGTCGCTCCGGGGGCGGAATTTTATGGCGCAGAAAAGACTCTGAACGAATCCCTGGCAGCGGCGGAATACGTCAAAAATTGTTACGGCGGCAGCCCGACTCCATTCAAGTGCAACCTCTACGTGACTCAGCAGATCTCATGGAAAGTCAACCAGAGCGCCCTCTGCCCGTTTGCTTCCGGAACTTGTGTCTACGGCAACAACGCAGCCTTGGAGCTGGACACTGGACCGTTGGATTCCAACGACGTTTTTGGGTTGAACGCGCCCCAGTCTCATCGTATCACATACCGCAAGGTCACGACCTGTGCCCCCATTTTGCTCACCCCAAGCCGCGGCGAGTGGGAGAACACCACCCTCCACCTACCTTGGGTCAACCAGGTCGTTGAAGTCCCCGTCGCCAGATATTATTATGGAAAGCAGGATAGTACGAGTTGGACCTACGAGTATTATCCGACCGAACGAATCAACGGGTTAGGTTATCTGCTATAGTAGGTTTTGCCTTCATCCCCATTCGTACCATGACATCTAATGCAACTGTCCGTAGTTCATGGCTGGACGGAACTGGCTGGGAAGCCGCTGCTCCGTTTTCTCGAGCGGACGGGAATGTAACGCTCTTCTTTTTGGCTCAAAACGTGGTCGATTACAAGAGCAAAGTCGACGATCCTTGGTTCGGAGCTCATCAGGAATTGAATCTGAGTTTCGGGGGAGTTTATTCCACGGTGTATCAAGAAGATTTCCCTGTAACTATTTTAGGATGCCTGGATCAGCACCAGTTCTGCAATCCTCGTTACCCCGGTTTTAATGGCGAATCTACCGGCTGCACCGCTCTGACCTCTGCCACCAAAGTATACGACGATCTTGCCGGGTTGAAGCTGAATGACTACCAGAGCACTACCATCTGGAATCTGAACGAGTCCCTTGTGTACGCCAACACATGGAATGCGGTTAACGGTCGTGGAGCCTCAGCCCTGCAGGCCAGCAATAAAATGGCCGGGCTTCTGGGGACTGGGCTTCCTCCCACACAGTGGATGACGGAAGTTTCGGGGGTGGTTTGCGTTTATCTTAGCTCGACTGCAGGCCAACTTTGTGGGCTACGCGTTGGGCCCGGGACCTCTTGCACCCGGCCTAATGCTGGTAGCTCCCAACACGAGCGTGGGCCACGATATATGCCGGTCACAGAAGGTCTCGGCGAGGGACGGCTATCAGAACTTCAGCGTGCTCGGCATTTCGATCATCATAGGCGTGGGAACATTGATCATCATCATCGGTCTCACGATCGACACCATTGTGGGCTGGATGCAGACCAAGTTCAAAAGAGGAGAGTACCGTCTCTTGTCTTGGGAACTGGATGACAAGCTACAGCTGCAAAGGATGGCATACGAGGGCGCCGGTTGGGGTCCCTGGAAAGACCATTCTGGATTTCCGATCAAAGAAGGTGTCGCCGAGGTTGGACGATATGAACGTGAAAAGGCCCACGCGTCGATATCTTTACGTACAGGCAGCAATGGAGAGCTGGGCCATGAGGTCACCATCGACAGCAGCAACTAAGGAAGCACAGTCCCCGGTAAATAACAACCAGCCTCAAGCGCCCTCCGCCCGACCAATTTTTCATCTCAGTTAGACAGTCTAAAACTGGAGTCGGAAACAATTGGCCGAAGAAACCTGCAATAGTGCGCCATGGATTAAGCTTGCAGACGATTGCGACGTACCGAGTACAGCGGTTTGTTTCTGGAAATGTCATGGAACCAATTACGTGTTACGCCGGCACGGGCCGAGTGCCAAGCCTGCACCAAAAATAGGCAAAACTTACCCTTCCTCTAGACTTCGATTCCAGACAGACCGATGCTCAGAGAATACCTCTGAATCCCTATTATATCGCTTACTCTGCCTATTCACTAAGCTAGTCTACATACTACGCCCGGGTTCAGTTATTGCCGCGCGTTCATCGTCGCCTATCAAGTGCCTGAAGTTGTCCCTTGCCACGACCATACCACGATTTCACCATTGGGTGGTGTGACAGAAGATTTATCAGAAGTGAGCACGACCATGGCATATTCTGATCTCTTACTGTATGGGCTCGGTCAAGCACTGGCTGCCACACCCGTGGTCATCTGTGGAGCCGTAAGCGTCTCTCGTGCAGGGGACGATCGATTTGTTAACGCCAATCTAGGTATTCCTGTATCTTCTCTATCTTCTCTCACTCGGCATCTACAACATATACTTCCACCCTCTTAGCAAGTTTCCGGGGCCTAAGCTAGCTTGCGCTACCGAGCTTTTCGCGGTTTTCCACTTCGTGCGGGGCCAGCGGGTAAAGTTTAGCAAGAAGCTTCATGCACAATACGGTGAGGTGGTCCGCACGAGGCCCAACGAGCTGTCCTTCCTCAACGAGCGTGCCTGGAAGGATATATACATGCATCGCCAAGGCCACAAGCAGATGCAAAAAGCTGGTATACCTGCCCGCCAAAATAGAGCACATGCCATAATCATCGCCCCCGATGATGTGCACGCACGCCAAAGGCGCCTCCTATCGCATGCCTTCTCAGAGCGGGCGGTAAGAAGAATGAGTACACACATTTCCAGTCACTCAGCTCACACCCATTGTAGCTTCGAGACCAAGAGCCGTTGATTCAGGAGTATGTTAGCCTCCTCATCAGCAATATGCGAGATGACGCGAAAGAAGGCCGTGAAACCGACATGGTTCAGAACTTCAACCTCACCACATTCGACATCATCAGCGATCTCTCTTTTGGAGAATCCTTTGGCGGCCTGAGGATGAGGACGCCACATCCGTGGGTACAGGCATTCTTCGATATGGCTACGATAGGAACTATTATGACCCAGTTGGTACTACTGAAAATCCCGATAATCTCGATATTGGTGGGACTGCTGGTCCTACCTATATTGAGGAAGCGGCTCGGGATTATGGCCTATACGAAGGACAAAATTGAGAAGCGCATCGACCAGGGAACCGAGAGACCTGACTTCATGTCATATGTATTGAGACACAATGATGAGAATGGCATGTCGCGGGAGGAGATCCAAGCGACATTCAACGTGCTCATGATCGCCGGCTCCGAAACCACTGCTACGTCACTGGCTGGATGCATCTATCTACTTCAGAAGCACCCCGAGGTCCGACAGAAGCTCCACGCTGAAATTCGGAATACGTTTCGGGATGATAAGGAGATCACCATGCTCAGCGTCGGCCATCTAATGTATCTGGATGCTGTCGTCGAGGAGTCACTTCGACTCTATCCCCCGGTCCCAATCGCCTTGAATCGTACAACGCCCCCGGAAGGCGCAGCCATCTGCGGCCATTGGGTCCCAGGCAATGTGTGTCTACTTCAGAGGCGTTTATCATCCTCTGCTGACCAGCATCCAGGTAGCCGTTGGCATTCCACAATTCGCGGCGTATACCTCCCCCCTCAACTTCGTCGAACCAGACTCGTTCGCGCCGGAGCGTATGCTCCGTGACCATGACGTGAAATTCGATAAGGACCATAAGGCTGTCCTCCAACCCTTCTCCACCGGACCCAGGAACTGCATTGGCAGGAAGTGAGTTTTGACTCAATACACTATAGAGCACCGAGCTTAGGGATACTAACGGGCGAATAGTCTAGCTATTGCCGAGATCAAACTAATTCTTGCTCGAATCATCTTCAACTTTGATCTTGAACTGGTCGATGAAAGATCGAACTGGCTAGATCAAGAGGTTTCTAGTTTGTGGAAGAAGCATCCGCTGATGGTTCGAGTCAAGGATGTCAGAGTATAGGAGCCAGCTAAAGTCGTATTGTGCTGGAGTTCAGGATAGGAGTACTCTCGATACTTTTTGATACTGTATTGAAAACCACCCTAGTGAAGACTAAAACTTGGACTCCAGTTAGCATCTTGGCTTGATCAACTAGCTAATCATTTTTAGGTTCCAAAGCCTATCTCATATCACTGTACATGTACTAACTATTGGACCTTTCAGGTCACATGACTGGACATGGTGAGCTGAGGGCATCCTGCTGACTGATGGCTTTCCTTCGAGTTACATAGGCATCACACACAGAACAGAAAATCAACAAACAATCAACGAGGTGTACAGGCACCGAGAATGCCCAGACCAGCACTCGCATATGGCGAAGTGTTTCGGCTCCTCAATGGGCTTAATGAATGAAGGGATCTCTATCAGTGGCATAGGTAGTTTGTTCCTCGTTGTGGCAACAGTGGCCACCGAAGGCCAACCCCAAGTGGGAACAAAGAAGGTGTCTCCCTTCCAGGAACGCGAATTTGGTATGTGAACGGGTCATTACCGACGGCTCATGATCTGTGGCTGCGGCCTTGTCTTTTGTGGAGACGTGCCGGCATGTAGCTCCAGCAGCACACGAACAAAGCGTGATCAAGAGCATAAGGTACGAAGTACCATTGGTGCCAACGCGGTAGATGAAGCGACACCTCACCGAGCTTCTCCTCGAAGAAATCGAATTCTGCCTTCACATCAGCCGCGGGCGAAAGACTGGCGGATCGGCACCCTTAAGCCCCTTCACTGATAGAGGCTATCATAGAAACAGCGAGGCCTGAGGTAACTACAAAGACACGGCGAGAATGAGTAATGCCGGCGGGTTTTCCTTCAGTCCTGAGTTCTGGCCGCGAAAGAGCCGAAGGGGAGACGATTCTGGAACCTAATTACCGGACTCAAGATACCGGACTCGATATATCCACCGGTGCATGGTACCGGTCGTCCCCGCAAACTTCTCCGTAATCCTGGTACTTTGCGGAGTCCCCCATACTATTCTTCACTTGGGAGCCACCCGAAAAGACAGGCCAAGCAAAAGGGCATGGTCCGGACTTGGTACGGCGACGTCACTGAAATAGAGCGGAGTATGTCAGGGTCGTCTCAAAAGCTGCGTAGCCTTGTCCAACCGTGATCAGCCTCGACAAGAGAAGAAGACCTGCGATCAGCAAATAGGGGGTTCTTTTCAAGTTCGGATTATCTTTGTTGATCCAAAGCACGAAATAGTCAATTACACCAAGTGCTGGTTCCCCCTCACACCTCTAGTTTCTGTGTCCCGGAACTCCCTTGCCGAATTGCCGGTCGTACATTGCGTGGCTCAAGCACCGCAAGGCTATAAGAACCCCATACCGATTTCATGCTGGAAATTCCTCCGCCCTTTCGATATCTACTCTCATACTCACATACGGATTGATTCGTTTGAAGCTGCCGGGAAGAAATGGATCCAAATTACTCACATGTTCAACACTCGACCCAGAGGCACCAGTTCAAATTCTACAATGTCCTGATGCTGGTTGCCATGGGGTTCGGGTCGATGAGCTTTGGCTACAGCAGTGCAGTCATAGCCATCACCCTCGGTATGGAGAGATATGGTCCAGTTATGGTGGCTCGACACAGTGTTTCACTGACGTCTCGTTTCAGGGCAACCGACCTTTCTCAAGTATTTCGGCCTCGACACAAATCCTAACGCGAATGCTCTGATAGCGACGACGAACGTCAGTTGACAGAAAAATACCAAGATTTCATACGTCGAAATTTAACTTGATCAGGGTCTCTACCAAACCGGCGGTTTCCTTGCTACCTTTTCCGTGAGTGTTCTGGCCGACAGATGGGGAAGAAAATGGGCAATCGCCGTGGTAAGTGATTGGGCCTCGTTCTAGCATTTTTGTTGCGATGCTGACCATCGATTCAGGCGGCAATTCTGATCTTGGTCTCCGGGGCGCTCCTAGCCGGATCCGTGCATATTGCCATGTTCATCGTCTTTAGGTTCTTCAGCGGTGCAGGGTGAGCAAGGGTATTGATTCATATCGATCAACTGAAGATAACATTCGCTAGGGGGTTTATGATACTTGCGGCGGTGCCTCTCTTGATGAACGAGGTCGTCCCGGCAAAGAACAGAGGGATGCTTGTGGATATTCACGGCGCATGCTTCCTCTTTGGCTACATGATCGCAAACTGGATCGGCTATGGATTTTATTTCCTCAGCCTAACAAGCAATAGTGCGTGGAGAGCGCCATTAGGTTCGTGGAAGTTGTTGTTCTTTTAATCTGTCGACGAGTCTTTTCAGAAGCTGACCTGACTGACGTGAAGCCTTCCAATGTTTGCCACCGCTGACTGTACTTTGCTTCCTCCCTTTCCTCCCAGAAAGCCCGAGATGGCTTCTGATGAACGACCGCTACGAGGATGCCGGAAAAGTTTTGCTCAAATTGCACACGGCGGAGGAAGCTGCTGTCGAGTTGGTCGAAATCCGCAATCAAATGCAGATTGACAAGACGCTCGACAGCAGTTATTGGAATATATTGCGGAAACCCAGTTACCGCAAACGTGCCATTTTGTCGGTGGCCACGACCTGCTCGGTCAACTTCTCGGGCATCCTTGTCATTAACAGTGAGCACCTCGTCCCTTGACTTGATAATCAAGGCCAAAACTGATTAATGTATAGACTACGGTCCCAGTATCTACAAGAGCCTCGGCTACGGTACGGAAAAGCAGCTGCTTCTGACATGCGGTTGGAACACTCTTTGCTTCGGCGCCGGGGTCATGGCCATCTTCTTCATCGACTACTTCTCACGGCCCAAACTCCTTGTCACTGGCATGCTCAGCTGCATGTCCTGTCTCATTGTTTTGGCTGCGCTAATTGCCACGTTTGGAGGTTCAGAAAACACGGCGGCTTTGAAGGCGGCCGTGGCTATGATCTTCATATACGCCGTAACCTACGAATCACTCCTGGATGGGACACAGTTCGTTTACATAGGCGAACTGTTCCCCTCTCATCTCCGATCGAAAGGTGTATCCTTGGGTGTGGCAGGAATTGCCCTCATCAACATTGTATTCCTGCAAGCTGCCCCCACCGCATTCGCGTAAGTATATGTTGCAATGCCCCCCCACTGCGAGCTCTGGTCCGCGTGCGAGAAAAACGATACTAATCTATTATTTTCTTCAAATACAGCAATATCGGATGGAGGTACTACTTGGTTTTCATAATACCTAGTGGGATCTTAGCTGTTGTGATCTTCTTCGTCTTCCCGGACACGAAGGATGTTCCGCTTGAGGAAATCTCGGCAATGTTCGGGGTGAGTTTCCGTTCCACCCAAGGTCCAGCAGGCTTTTCAACAGGCTAACCACAAATCCGACGACCAGGATGATGATGAACTGTATCATCCCAGTCTTGAAGATGGACTCGCAAAGGAAAAGGTCGATCAACACGTGGAGATCAGTACGAAGTCTGCCGAAAACTGATCAAGCTGAGACTGGGGGAGGCTATTGATCCGTCGGTTTCGCTGGGGAAGGTGGGAATTGTGCGCTGAACGACTGGCCGGCCGGCAAGGACCCCTTTGCACCAGGGCCATTTCTCAGAGTGAATTCCCAGGATCTATCAATTCTGATCAGCAATCATAGTTGTATCAATCAATTCACAGGCATCAGGGGCACGTAGGTACTTGGGAAATGCCTGAAAATTGAATCCATCATATCATTCAACGCTTCCTGTAGTTGCGTCTCAATTTTTGCCAATATCCATACCAACAGGAGCCTCGCAAGGCTGGCGAGGCGGTAGGGAATGCTGTTCTAGTGAACAATCTAGAAAAACCGTTTACCGAACCGAAGATTGCTAGGCGATCTCTGGGATTTCCCGGTACTATGGGGGCCAATGTCTGCCAGCTTGAGATTAGAGCGCTGAGATCCCTTACTCCGCCCTCCGCCTCCATTGACTTCATTATCGGTGAGTTTGGGACACGACCTTTCCCTGCCGCCGGATCTCGCATTATTTCCCGGAAAATCAGGCTGGCGAATAGATAGCCAGCCGGCGTCAGAAAATCCAAAGATGGCCTTCCGCATTTCCAGCCCCCTTGAATGGCTTCGGCGCGGCTGATCTGCCCACTCCGGCAATATAAAAGGCTCAACGCGACATTAACGGTGGTCGAGACTATGCTCCTAGAAGCCACGAACTATTCTCCCAAGACCCAGCTCCTGTTTGCACCAAGTCCGACATGGATGTCGATCGCACCGCCATCGTTCCCAGCGCTCAAGGACCCAGGATCTTGCCGAATTTCCTCCTTTTTAATAGGCTGGTGTTCTTCGCCCATCGCAAGAACAAGGTTGTCATCAACGATGTCACGGCCGGGGTCGCTGCAACACATGTCCAATTACTCACCGACGTCTTGAATTTCCGCAACCACATCCGGAGTCGACTATCACCACAGACGATCCGGAAACTCCAGACTGGTGAGGAGGTCTTCATCTGTATCCTTGCCCCGGGGGGTTATGAGTACGCGGTGGCCTTCCTTGCCGTTCTTGCTCTGGGGGCGGTCATCGTACCTTTATGTGAGTTCTCGAAAAGGCATGTCGAGTAAAATCGGGCGAACTGACTTTTATTCGCGCTTGAGCCTCCATCGTCCCGGTTCAAGAAGCATGTTATTATGTCAACAAATGTCGCGCCGTGGCTATCCTTGCATCGTCCAGCCAGGTGGTCATGGGCAAGGCAGTAGAAGTGCAGGCCAGAGGTACAGTCGGCCCGGAATTCCAGTGCCTGGAAATATTGCCTCACATCCACAAGACACCATTCCTGCCCACTGATATCACCGTATCCTCGGATCTCTATATGGACTTGAACGCGGCGGGTCTAATCATCTTCACCTCCGGCACGACCGGACCACCAAAAGGAGCTGTCCTGCGTCGCGGTTTCTTCGTCACCGCGGGATTGGAAATGGCCGACGAGTTCGGGATCAGCGTCGACGATGTTGTGCTTCACACATTACCGGTTCACCACGCCACCGGGATTCAGATCAACTTTCTTCCTTTCTTGATCAACGGTGCTTGCATCGAATTTCAATCCGGCGGCTTCGATCCAGCTTGGACTTGGAACCGTTGGCGCCAGGGTGGACTGACCTTCTTCTCTGGCGTGCCCACGACCTACATGAGACTGATGCAGCACTACGAAAAGCATCTCAGCCAGCTTCCGCCCGACGAGCTGAAGAGCTACGTTTCCAGCGTGAGACAGTTCAAAGCTCTTGTCTGTGGCACCTCGGCCCTTCCATACCCACTCCACCAAAAGTGGAAGGCTCTGACCGGCGGCAAGAATATCACGACGAGATATGGCGCGACAGAGTTCGGTCCGGTCTTTCGACTTCCCATCGGCGCCACGGATCTCCCAGAGGTAAGCGGAAACATCTTGCTCTATTGGAGACTGTCCTTCTAAGTGTGTCTCCAAGGGTTCGGTGGGAATCATTGCACCTGCTGCGGATGTCAAGCTGTCGACTGGCTCGTTTGGGGAGGTCCTGGTCAGGACTTCGTCCATGTTCTCCAAGTGAGTTCTTCCCATCTGGATTCCCGGAAAACCTTCGCCTAATATTGAGGTAGGTATATTTTGGACCCCGAAGCCACGGCGCGAGCACACGATGCCCAAGGGTATTTCAAAACCGGCGACATTGCGCGCAAAGAAGGTCCCTACTACTTCATTCTCGGCCGTGAGTCCGTGGATAGTAAGTTGTAGCAACGTGACCAAATAAATTCCCCGTGTTCCTGACTTGTGCAGTTATCAAGTCGGGAGGATACAAAATATCGGCATTGGACATTGAAAGAGAACTATTGGGTCTCGACTACGTCGCCGAAGCGGCCGTCATCGGGGCCGAAGACGAAGAATTTGGCCAGAGGACCGCGGCCATTGTGGTGTTGAACAAGGTAACGTTTCATCTGTTCACGAACGTAAAGACACCCGGACTCATGAAGAGCGACAGGAAAAGATCACGGGCCCGCTCACCTTGCATCGACTCCGTCGAGACCTGCGTGCGCGCCTATCTTCCTACAAACTACCCACACTGCTCCGGGTCGTGGATGAGATCCCCAAAAATGCTTCTGGGAAGGTCCCCAAGAAGGTGTTGGGGCCCCAGCTTTTCCCGAAAGAGGGGCACCGGGACGTGCAGATCTGGAGAGGCAAAGCGACGGTGGAATCGAGACTCTAGACACGGTTTTTTATAGATTCTGCGATGCGAGGGCCTTTCTGAAACGCGATAGAAAGTGTGAGTAGTGGCGCAACACTAGCGATAGAAAGGGGGCATCGACATCACTGTTTTGTACCAAATCACTGCGGTCCGTGGTCACCACGGCACCCCTCGTGCCCCTTCATAGACGAGAGCCACGCTCTCTAGATGGTTGCAACGACATGCTTTGGAGACACCCAAGCCTTGCGCTCCCACAATCAGGATCGGGGGCCGACTGGCTTTCTGTCCCTCTCTTCCAAGAACATCATATCTGCAGCAACCAACCACCACAACCCCTTGAACCCGTTTCTTTGAGATGTGGTGATTCGCTACGTGGACATTGTGCCACCTCTTGCTTTCCGAATCCGAATAATGCTTTGTTTGCGGCACCATGAGGGGCCGGGAGTCCGGCATTAGGCTCCACTGGCTCGCCCGGCACTTTACGGCTGTTCGGCACTTTTCTGCCGGGCAAACTGCCATGCCATTGCCATGCCGGCCACGGCTTTTGGAGATTCTTCGTGACAACAATGATGCCCGGGGAGGAAGAGAGAGAGGCTCTACAGGAGTCACTCGGATCGCAAACCTAGGACTCGACTCTAGAGCGGATGGGAAGTCCATAAACTTCGTGTCCCGAGTTCCTTTTTGTACTATGCTTCTGCCCTTCATTTCGAGAGGAATCAGCCCCCTTTCACGCCTTGGACATCCCCGCGAACTCGAAGGCACCAAGAAATAATGGCTAATAGCCCCGGGGTAGGGCATGAGTTCCCGCCGTTCGAAGTTTCCTGGCTGAAGCGCGATCTCTTGATCTTCGCCAACAGCATTGGATGTACTTCGGACGAGCTGCATTACCTTTATGTACGGCCACACTTCCTGCTCTTGCCCGTCGATGCAACAACAAGATGTGTGTGGGTGGGTGGGTGGGTGCTGAGCATCGTCCATAGGAGCGCCACCCCGATTTCCAGCCGTTCCCTACCTATCCCATGATGCTCTGTAAGTATTCGACGAATGGCTTGTGTGCCGTGACGCCGCCCTGATCACCGTGAAAAGTATTGAAAAGGACCGACGTCGAGGTCATCGACTTTACCATCCGCAACAGCCTCCCGCCGATCCCTGGAGTGCCGCAGTTCTCCATCCACCGGCTCGACGGCAGCCGCAGTATCACGCTCCTCAAACCGCTGCCACCAACCTCGGAAGGGCAGCAGTTCGTGATCAATTCCCGAGTCTCGGGTGTCTGGGACAAGCAGAGTGCAGGGAGCTTGGTGGAGGTTGAGTACGAGCTCCTAAACGTGGACACAGGAACCCTGCATGCAAAGGCCAAAGGGAGCATCTTTTACATGGGCCAGGGCGGCTGGGGTGGCCCAAAGGGTAGGGGCTTGCTGTTATCCCCTACGTCAGTCTCAAAAGGAGCTCTCTGTGTCTAATCAAATGTAGGGACTTCCATCCAATATCCCCCGCCACAAGGAAGAAAGCCAGACCTGATCTCTCGGTATCAGACGACTCCCGAGACTCCATTGCTTTTCCGGTAGGCCCCCCGCCCGCCAAATCTTTTCTGTCCCGGGCTCATTCTCAAAAAACAAAACCAACCGTGATAGACTGAACGGTGACTATAATCCTCTGCACGCCTACCCTCCACGTGGGAAGGAGATGGGCTTCGGCGGCGTGGTCATCCACGGCCTCTTCACCTGGAACGTCGCGGCGCACGCGCTCCTCAAAGAGCTCGGCGGCAACGACCCGGCGAATCTGCGCCATTTCGAGGCTCGCTTTGCTTCGCCGGTCCGACCGGGCGATTTGCTGGTGACCCAAGCGTGGCAGATCGGGGTCGGAGAAGACGGAATCGAGGAAATCAGGTTCATCACCACAATACACGGGGGGAAGGTGTGTTTGAGCAATGGAAGAGCTTTGATGAGGGTGGTGGGAAAGGAGAGCAGGCTCTGAGTGCATTGCGCATGTAGACTAAGAACACTTCTGAGAATGTGGACTTGACGGGCTTCTTTGGCCACCCTGTCTCTTCTCCTGCCTGGAATCTCGCTCTTTGGAGGGAACAGTACTCGCAAGTTCAAATGACTAGTTGTAAGCAGCAAGGCGAGGTGGATGTCGGTGTCGCTAAGCGGACACTCCACCTACTTCGTGGTTGCTAATTCGCATCCGGGATCGTGTCCGGAGAGTTCTTCGCCCGCCCAAGTTTTGTACTGGAGATCTAGAACCTCGTACACAAGTACCTCCGTACTCCGTATGTACCCCGAGTTTCGCATAAATAACCCCTCACCCGTGCATGGTTGGTTGCTCCGACCGTTTCCCTGGCTCGATCTGGCGTCGGTGGTATCACTCTTGGCTAAAGCTCCGGGCAACCACACGGAGGCAGATATGTTACCAGCAATCGCAAGACCCAAGCCACGGGCTTCGAGAGCTTGTACAACCTGCCATGCGAAAAAGGTCGGTGTCCTTTGGCCCGTCAACGGTTGACTAAATTCCTGACCTTTTGCTTTACCGCAGACCCGGTGCGACATCGGCAGTTCTCAGCCTTGCACGAATTGTCGCACCTCGGGTTACGAATGCCGGTAGGATTCCTTATGTGACTGGACCTTCGAACTTGTACGGCTGGAGATCTTAACGTCGTCGTCTTGAGCAGACCCAGAGAGCGCAAGTCAAGGAGATTCATCGTGAGCGAATCGCCACAGCCAGGAGGCGCCTCCACCGCGAAACCCCAGGATAGCATCCTGCACAGCGACTCGGAGCCTCCCCAGCAATGGCCACTTCTTCCCGCGGAGTGGGAGATGAACAGAAGCCCCGTCCCGCCATCTGTCATGGAAGTCCATCAATCAGAGCCTCCCCAGGCCCTCTCGATGGGAAAATCGGGGTCTCCACCAAGCACCGGATGCGAAGAGTGCACCACTTACCTGGGACGCTCCGAGTATCTAGGGGGGAACATCCGCATCGACGAGGACCTCGCCAAAAATTACGAGGACCAACGAGGCGCCGCCACCGCGACCCAAGATCTGAGGATCCTCGAGCTGTACAAGGCATTCGACATGCCGCCCCGGCTCCTCCGGAACAGCCTCATCGACAACCTGATGAAGAACTGTATCCCGTGGATGCCCATCGTCGACCGGGCCGACTTTGAAGGCGAACCCTCTCCATTACTGCTGCAGGCGGCTTTCCTGGCCGGGAGCAGACTCGGCTCCGCACCGCTGGCGTACGCTTCGTGCGAGGAGCTGTACCAGCGCGCCAAAGCCCTTGCGTTGTCAGGGTATGAGAAAGACACCCTGACCGTCATCCGGGCGATTTGTCTCATGCAGTGGTTCAACCCCACGGGCCCCGAGCACATCTCCCTCGACAAGAGTAGTTTCTGGCTCCGCATCGGGGTGGGCCTCGCCTATGAAATCGGCCTGCATCGTGAACCCAGCCCGGGCAAGGACGCGTCGCTCAGACGGAGACTGTGGTGGTCACTTTTTGTAAGAAAAAGCCCGAGACAGACCCCCAAATCCCCTCCCCTCCCCTCCCCCCCAAAAAACCAGCCCCATGAAGCTACCGCTGATATTCGCGCTTGCAGACGAGAGATTGTGTGATTTCGGCCGGCCAAGGCAGACCGCGCACCATCAACATGCAAGACTGCTGCGTCCGGCCGATCTCGCTGGACGATTTCCCCGTCAAGGACAAGAACGCCCACCTGTTTATCGCCTACGTGCAGATCTACGCCATCCTGGCCGACCTGACGGAGTGTTGCGTGCGCAAGAGCCTGTCGCCGGCCAAGAAGGTCGGGATCGAAGCCGAACTCAAGCGCTGGGTCAAGGAACTCCCGCCCTGCCTCCAGATGTATCGGCAGCACCCCCTCAGGTGTCCTGCCCCCTACGACCTGGAAGTCCGACAGCTCCATATCCCCTATTTGACCATCTTGACCATCCTCAACCGGCCGACCACCCCCGCCAGTGTCCCCCTGCAGGTGGCCTTGCTCTCGTCGTCGCTGGTCGCGGGCATCTTCGAGGACTTCCTGGCCAGGGACGACATCCGCTACCTGGGGCCCACCTTCACCTTCCACATTTTCGTGGCCAGCTTCCCGCAATTGCTGTGTCACAAGTACCCGGTCCTGTGGCAATCCGCCGAGCAGGAGCTGAAGATCATGCAACTGGCCTTGCACGAGTTGCGCAAGACGTGGCCCTCGGCCATCGGGCCCCAGAAGATCATCCAGAGCTTCATCGACGCCGTGGTCCACGAGCCTTCGTCCGCCGCGTATCCCCATCCCCCCATGACCGCCGATCAGACTGCCTTTTTCGAGGCGTTCGGCCCCGAGTTCTGCCGTAAGTGGGATCTGGTCTCCAAGGCCTCACCTCCGCCTGCACTTGATCCGGCGATGGAGCCGATGGCGGAGCGGTCGGTGGAGATGACGGTCGAGTCCATGTCTCCGGTGCCATGCCTCCCGGATCAGGGCGGCCGGATGGTTGCAGACTCGGAAGCTTTCGACGTTGATCCAGCCGGGAACTGGCTATATCAAGATTGGTTGGAGCTTGAAGCTCCGTGATGACAGCTGCCTGTATAATATAGAGAGAGAGAGAGAGAGAGAACATATCGCGCCCTCTGACTTGTTCAGTGTCTTCGAACTAATCTGAGTGACTCGAACGCAACAACAAGACAAGACATGGTCGGGCCATACCTGTTGGGTGTTGTACATCTCTTTCTCAACACTTTTGCTCTCCTGTTCTTCCATTGCCTCAATTCGGTTATCCATGGCCCTTCCCTGCCACTAAGTTGGCACCCGCGTTTGTTTGCCTCGCAGACAACGCCAATTGACATACCAACACCACCGAGACTGGCTGAAATCCGCCGCTTACAAAGGCCAAACAAAAAAAAACATGTTACCTGTACATCGTGAGGCTATTATCATCTTCGGGGGATAGATGACCATACATGTAGAAGAAACCAAAAACATACATAGGCTATCCCGGGATATCTGGTCGCATCATCAATCTCTGTTCAAAAAGCGTCTGGCCAATTTCGCCACAGCTGCCAATTGATCCTCGCGCCCTCCGTCCGTGATCCTCTCGCAGACCTGAGGCGTAAAAGTCTCCCAGACCCAGATGTAGCTGGAACGAGATCGGCTCATGCCCTCGAACGCGGCTTTGATCGCCTTTGAATCCATCATCAAGTAGTCCTGGTCCGTGATCCACTGGTGATGGTCGAGCTTGGACGTCCAGAAGTGACCGACTCGGACGCATTCCAAGACCAGGGCAGCCAATCCAGCAGCGATGGCCGTGGCCACTGAAGACCCTTTGTGGACATCGCCGAGCTCCTTGTCCGGTGTGCTTTCCTTGAGGAGGATCTCGTGGCCAGGAAAGAGGAAGTCAATCTGGTGCTTGTCGACGTATTCGGCATTGCTCCCCATGGCCGTGGCGGCGCCAATGCGAATGATGTTGGCCCGATCTGCTTCGTGCGGGTAGGTTTGGTCATTGCCTGTCTTGCCCTGATCGCTCGATGCGCATAACAAGACGGTCTTGCGGTTGACGGCCCTTTGGACTGCCTCTTTGAACTTTTTTTGCAATGCGCCGTCGGTTGGGGGTCTGACGGACCAGGACATGGAGATAACCCTGGCCCCGCAGTCGACAGCGTGGTTGATAGCCTGAAAGAAAGTGCCATGTTAGCATGGGGGAAACCGGCTGTTCAGACGCAGATGGAAGGAACTACTAGTACTAACATCAACGGCGCTGGATACGACGATAGTCAGGCTTTTCGTGTCTTGTGTCCCCTGCCTAGTCGCTACCTTGATGATGTACATATCAGCTGTCGGGCAGAGTTTACGGATGAACCTAGCCATGATCGTTCCATGGCCGCTATCAGACATCCAGTATGGGTAGTTCTTTTCCCCCTTTGGTCAAAGGCGAAACTTCTCCCACGGTCTGTCCTTCCCTGAAGTGATCTGTTGGTAGTGTCGACGCCGTCATCAATCAAGGCAACCCGAATCGGCTCGAGGCTCTTCGTCGCAGGAATGTCTTTAGCTGAGAGCTGTCTGACTCGTAGGAAGGCAGTCGTGAAGTTCTCCATGCATTGCATCCAGCGATGTTGGTCCAGCTCGACCGCCTGCCCGCTGTTGTCGCCCAGCTTAGCTTTCAGAGAGGTCTTCGCCGAAGTGTGGATTATTTCTGGAGTAGTGGTTCGGTTGTTTGCGGCTATTTCATGCTTCGCCGACACCTGAGAGGTCGCTGGATTTGTCTGGGGTGCTTGCACAGAATCCCGATGCAGTGACTGCGATGCCAAAGTCGCCTCGTCGTCCTGCGTGGCCTCGCCATCTCGTCGTAATAACCTTCCTATTGCGCTCTCTTCTTGTGGCTTTGACGTGCTTTTCTCTGCCGCAAGCGACCAGTTGCGCTTCAGACGGTCGTCAAACCTTTTCAGTTGCTTCGACATGTCCGCAGACAGATCTGGACTGTCCTGTTACAGCGACAAAGGAACTCAGCAATGAGAAGTTATGCAGGGTCGTGGATAGGTAAAAGGGACAATACCTCTGGCGAGAATATGATGATACGTTCCAGTTTACCATACTGAGCAAGCATGGGCAGTCCTTCAACCTCGCTCCAAGCACGCAGGATAGCGTTGTTACCCCCCCCCCCCCCCCAAATATAGATACAGTCTTTTCAAATTCTTGCCGACATTGAAGATGGTAGAGGGACACAAGTCCGGCCGATGCCAGTCCAAGATTTCCACCTTGGCCTTTTCGAGGGCCCGCTCTATGGAGTCGTTGCTGTGATAGTTCGGTTCCATGTCATCAACGATGACATGCAGGATTCGCTTCACATCTTTACTTTGTAACCAGCGCAGAATACGCGTTGCGTCGTCACGGCTCTTTCGTACAACTTGGTCGACATCTTTGTCCAACTTGAACTTGACGTTGGCAATGGAGACGTATTTTACGGTCGTCTCAAAGTCAAGCATGTCCCAGTGATGTGTGAACTCGGCGAACGTCATGCCGGTCAATGGGGCAGGCATGTAATCAAACCACAACTCTTTGTCTGGAGTTCAACATTAATTCTTAGTCTCGGCAGCAAGCAAAGTCTCAACGTCACAGATTCGCAGTCGGGAAGGGATGTTTCCATACTATTTTCATTTGGGACATACAAGCAGCGATACGCAGCGTCGCATGACATCTGCCTCAGACTCTCAAGCATCATCTCGTCCTTGATGATTTTTGCCGTTTCGTCGGTGACGTTCAGAGTTCCCGGCGTCACGTTGGAGCCCGAGGGCCCCGCTGATGATGGTCGTTCGCCAGCCCGGACAGACGGGCTACGGCTCCTGTCCGGGACTTTCGAGTCACGATGGCTTCCTAGTTTTGATAGAACGTGATATTGGTATACTGAGTGGTTCTTGATGTCTCTCAGTTGGAGAACAGAAGGGTCGCGAGAAATAAGCTCCCGAACGATCTTGAGACGTCCGGCCGTGCACTTTGAATACTCGACAGCCAGGTGAAGAGGCGTCCGTCCTCCAATATCTGTCGTACGTAGCATGGCATCCGGTGCTAGGGTGATGATAGCTAGGAGTAAATCGTCGTCACGGAGGAGGCTCCTGCTGTCGAGGGCGTCATGCAAGAACGTGGATCGTGTCCGGTTCTCGGCCCAGGTGTCTTTGCCTTCTTTAATAGTTTGCCGAACCTTCTCGACGGTTTCAGGCAAACTTGGGATTCCTGAAACGGCAAAAAGAAAGTCGCGATTGCTTCTTTGAATGGCTGTGTGTAGGGGCGTGTTCCCGAGGTCATCCGGTTTCAGCAACAGGTCCATGCCGCCAGGGTGCAAGAGCATTCTTGCTACCAGCGTTTGAACAGCCACACTCACTGAGGACGATGTGCTATTCGCATGAGTCGAAGCTAGAAAGTGGAAAAAGTTTTCATCCCGCAACGTGCTGGTGGCCTTCACAAGGCTGTCACCGCGCTCTGCGACGAGTTGCTTGAGCTGTTCACGCCGACTATGTTTCTTCGTTCCATCCTTGGCGATCTCTGGCTTTTCTGCGATCACTCTTGCGCGCTCTAAAACTTTCTCAAACTGCGATAGAGGTTCGTCGGAGGCACGGGACCTGGCGACCGGCTCTATAATGGCCGCTATTGACGTAGGAGGTTCGCGACGGAGTGGAGAGTCCATTTTGAAAGGAATGACCAAACTTTTCGTTCCCTGCTGGCCGAAAACGTTCACCGGCCTGGATGGTTTCTGCTGGAGAAATCTCGCAATCTGATATTCTCCCTATCTCTCTGTTATGCCACGCGATCAGTCGCAGGCCATGAGGTGATCATGCCAACTCTTGAATCCAGGGAAGTGAGAATGGAAATACAGCCACATTCTTCGGTGCAAAGGATGGATTTCGTTGATGGGAATCCACAAGCGGCGGTGGCTTGCCCGTCTTCCACTACCTCCCAGCCACAGGTGAATAATCGACGTCCTGATGATCTATCGTCCATTGGCTAGGTATATGCCGGATACGAGGTCTCCATTGTCATTGGCACAATGATGCGTCTTGGTGCCCAAACACCGACTCCAAGCGCCCGGTTGACAAAAGGAGTGGAAGCGGCTCTGTCTCTCCCCATCTCCATAATATCCCCTCGTCATGGAGTACGACGACGGCGACAACGACGACAACGACAACGACAACGCGCTAGGCCTGGCTGCGGATAACGACGACGATGCCCCCATGTTATTCGAGGCTCCGCTATTCATCAGCGGCGATGATGAAGATACATTCCATGCCAAGAACCTGTCCATGACAGATTGGCATCGGCGCATCGTCGTGGAGCGCCTCACAAAGGCCACAACGATTCAATGCTTCCTCCTCGATGTTCTCCACGGCAAAATCAACAAGACTGCCGAATCACCGTCGGCTACCTTGATGGTGTTCAAGTTCTGGCTGACGCCAGTCAAGCATGGCCGGCGACTGGTCCGTGTCCGTATAGATATCGAGTTCTTTTCCGAGGATCGCGAGGACGCTGCGCCGACAGTCCTGGCTATTGGACTAGACGACCGCTGGACCATTAGCCCGACGGTAGACCATGAGGATGTTGCAAAGGGAGGAAAGTTGAGTCTCGGCCTCGCGGGAATACCCTTTGTCAACGTCGGTGGGGAGGCATCGTTCGAGAAAACCGGCGGCCGGGATATTCATGATGCCACAACCGTCACCGGAGGGACGCACTTTGGCGAGGGCATTGACGCTGGTGACCACACGGCCTGCGGGTGGACGTTGCTGGAAAACCAGAACCGAGAGACGGGGGTCCCTTATTCATTGACCGTGCCCGTCCTCATCGAACGGCACAACGACAACCAGTTCACCGCGCGGGTGAATTTGACGGCCAAGGGCAACACCCGAACGACTATAGACTGGATGTTCAACAAGGTCCCTGTGGATGATCCGGTGCTCTTCAATCCCGCCGTCGATCGGCTGAGGAAGATACGCCAGACAGAAGACAAGAACACTACCCCCCCAGATGGTGGAAAGAAGACTGCGAAGTCACCAGCAGAGAAATATGCAAAGGACGAGCTCAGAGAATGGGAGACACGAATGGACGAACTCACCCACGTGATCTGGCGCACGGTGTATCGGGGGGCTGAGAGGGAGATCTAATACAGAGTCCAGTCGTCGGTTTCGTGCCGGAGATGCTGTTCTCGAATGTGTTTGCGTAATGCTGGATAGTAGCTGCGCTTGTCAAAGGGACTCAAGTCCATTTCATTCTCCGTCGTCGAACTAGTCGAGTGCGAATGTCCACGGGAAATAACGCAGCATCAATGGCCCTCAGACACAGTAGATCTGGCAGACAAACAAAATGTCGAAAACCCATCCAATGCCATCCATGAATGAGTAAGACGCGTCACTGCGCAGACGCACAGGATCGAAAGCTTCGTTCGAGGCAGCGAGCCGTGGCTAAAACGAACAAGATGGGAACAGCTGGGTGATCGTAGATTGGCCTCAGGGCGGCGCTCCCTGTGGCTCGCCCGGTGCTCCTTCAGCGCTTCTCCTGTGCTCTTCCGGGTGGGCCCCCGATCCTCTATCACGCGCTAGGTTAAAGCGGCCATACTCCCTTTCGTGAGCAGAAAATAGTAAGGGATATTAAAGCACCGTTCGGGGTGTATGTAATGGATATACATATATATCTTATTAAGTCCCCGGGCGATGTGAGATCGGCTCTCCCTCTCTCTCTCTCTCTGTGTGTGTGTCCAAGTGATACCGGGTCTCCTGAGGTTCGACATCCCAGAGGGTCTATGTATCTACTGTCGGGACGGAGCATATCCCGCCTCGGGTTCAGTGGTCTTGCTCATGTCAATCTCGCCATGGCCTGCATAACAGGCGCCCAAAGGCAGTGCTTCATCTCCGAGACGGTATGAGAGGAGAAAGCAAAGAAAAAGAAAGGACACTGTCAAGATCTCGCTGGTGGAAAGAGGTATCAGCCGTTGCCGTGTACATTGCTTCATGCCGACCCTCGCATCGAATTCGTGTTAAACAATATCAGTATTGGCCCCGGGTCGAAAAGGGCTCGCTCGGTGACCTGACCTGACCTTCGCTGGCATCTCGTCTACTTCCCATTATGTCCATTGCCACCATTCTTGCCCTTCCCGCCAGCCCTCTCACTCCTTGCCAGCACCTCTTTACACTCGTCACAGTACCACTTGGCGCTCTTGGGCACGCTTTTCAGCCCAATGCACTCCAGGTGGAACCATTGCCGGGGACAATCGTCCCTGTCGCACGCCACCATCTCCCCGTAACTCACGCCTTGACAGTAACAATATCGCTCTTCGTCCTCTTCCACCCCGTCGTTTTCTTCGTCCTCGTCCTCCACCTCTCCCGCGTCGACATTGTTCGCCGTGCCACCGGTCGCCAGGTCGCGCTCGGACGGCGTGGACGACTTCGTGGGAGGGTCCGTCTCGTCTTTCACGCGCTGATTGCCGGTAGCCGCTGCGGCAGAAGGAAACGACAGGCTCGCGCTCTTTTTGTGAGGTCGCTTCATTGGCAATCCTTTGGGCGACAGCGAATCGTGGAGACCGTGGTCCTTCACTCTCGGTCTGGCGGGTCGTTTGGCCTTGCTGGCACCACCACCATTTCCACCGGTTGACGAAGTCTCTGCAGCTTCGGCCTCGGAGAACGTGCCAACCACAGGCGTGGACGTCTTTGACGCTCGGCCTCTACCCAAGCGCTCATTCTTCAGTTCACTCGTTTGCAGGACTAGTGGCAGTCGAGGAGATGCAGCCTCCCTCGCCGACACTTCGTCTTGAAGGTCGCCCTTGGTGGTGTCGAGTCTGCTGGAGGGCTTGTCCGACGATGCTCCTCCTTTCGCCGGTTGTTCGCCATCCACCTCGTTCAGGCTCGCAGGCTCGTCTTCGACCAGCCGCTCCCCCTTGTCGGCCTTTGTCTCCTTCGTGTTATTCTTGACTTCTGTCGTGCTCTTTCCACCGACGGCAGCAGAGCTGCTCAGCTCCGACGTACCAGCGGTCACATTATTGCTGTTCCTATTTCTGCTCGATGTCAGGGAAGAAGGTCTCCCTCTCGCGCTTTCGACGGTATGTGCAGAATTCTGGCGTCCTCGTCCAGTGGCAGGACGGACTGCAGAGAGCGCAGGGCTGCGCTTGTAAACTTCTTTCCCTATTGTTCCAGCAAGCGGGGACGAGGCAAGCTTGGGCGAGTCTTGGGTTGCGGCATTGATTCTGAAGTGCAAAATATTAGCTGGATTCTTCGGTCTCGCATCTAGCACATACCGTTTCCGTGCCACAGAGGTGGCACTTGCTGACGCCTTTCTCTTCTTGGAATTCTCCTGCTGTGAATTCTCTCTAGACATTGGGCGACCTCCAAGCGCACTACTGATCGAGCGTTCCATAGCCACACCCGCGGGAGCAGGCTTCTCTGGTCTCTTTCTCTTTCCCGTGCCTGCGCCAGTGATGCCCAACCCAGTGGGATCCGGTGCAGCATCGGCCGCCCGCTTCTTGCCGCTGGTGGTCGTTTTCCGCGCCGGTGCTCTCGCGTCGTCGAAGTCAGAATCTGCATGATGGGCCGTTCCCCGCTGTCGCCTGGCAAGGACGGCCTCTCTCCTAGCTTCACTCCTATGCGCGATCTCGCTCTCGTGTAGAGTGGCAAGACCCGCAGCCGCGGCTTCTCTGCGCGTCGTGGGCGCAGTCGGCTTCTTTACGGGATTCGTCTCTGTATAGGCCCAATGCTTCAAGCTTCCCAGCCTGGCTTCTTCCGAGATCTCGTCGTCGATGTGTGGCCAGATGCGGTCCAGCCTGCGAATGTGTCTGCCCACCTCTTCATTGGCATTGTTGATGACGTGGTTTTTCTCATCCATAGTGACCATGATCGTCATGAGGTTTTGTCTCAATGCGTGGTATTGTTGCCTGCGCTGCATGATGATAGGATCGGCGGACCGGACAGAGGCGAGGGAGGCGTTGTCGAAGGACGCACCGGCGACGCTGTTCGCTTCGCTGAGATTGAGAGCATCATCTGCCGCTATGGAGCCGGTCAGGCTCTGGGAGGCGGCAGCTAGATCTCTCGTTGTCGTAGCACTGTCGGCCAGACACTGCTCCAAGATGTCTCGTAGATTTTCCTCCGGACCCCACGCTTTTGCGTCGACCTCCTTCAGCAAAGAAGTGTGCCGCCGATATTCTCGAGGCAGAGCGGCGATCGCATCGGCGAAATGAGTAATGGCAGGATACATGCCTGGTGGGTCATTGTTGGTCTGACTTTGCGAAGCGACGGCGGCGGAGGAGGAGGCCAGAACAAGGCCGCTGCTGGATACAAGTGAGTTCTGGCGCAGGAGGGTCGATCCGAGGCCTTTCGAGGCTCTGGCAGGGTTGGTTCGAGTCAAGCGAGAAGGGCCGCCTCGCACGTTGGAGGTGCCCAGGGCGGTAGTCATTGTCGTCGTGGACATAAGGATATCCGATGGTGGGAAGGTTGGAGTGAAAAGGACCAGAGCTGCGAGTGTGTGATCTGCGAGATGGCCTGAGCGGGAGTTCTGGCGAATTACCACGGCATCGGGCGAATAGAATGAGAAGTGATTAATACGGTCAAAAAGGGGAGCTCCAACAAGTCGGCAGCATCGTGAAAGAGAGAATAGTCAGTGCTAGCCCACGAGGATGAGGCGTGGTGGAAAAGGTGAATCAAGAACGAACCATGGGGAGCGCAGCAGCCAGCGTTGCGCGCATCTCCCTCCCTCTTCTCTCTGCTCCCTGTGCCTCTTCCACTTGCTGGATTCTCCAATCGGCGGTTGGTGACATCAATCCACCGATCAGAGTTTCTCCTCTTTTTTTCCGCCGTCACGTGCTCGAAGCCTCTGCTGCAGCACCTCAGCCTCACCCCAAGCCACAGCCTCGTGACACATATCAGCCTCGCAGCCTCGCAGCCTCGCCAGGCCAAAGCTACCCCTCGGTCTTTTTCCTCTCCACAACACCATAGGGTTCTCGGACTGGGAAACCTCGCTTGCATTCAGGACCAAGCCCATTACGCCAATGGCTAATAATCATTCATAACTTCGCTTACAAACAATGACGGATCCTTGCACGGAACAGTAAAGTCGTCAGGTCATGACCTCTTCCCTTTCCAACAACCCATCCAAACAACTCATTGTCAACAAAGTCTGCTTGTCTCCGTGCCCCCACACGGCGTCAGAGCTTCAAATCCATCCCTCATCAACTTTTGACGCCTGTCCCTGGCCAACGCCTACATCCAATGCCAGTTGCGGGGGTTCGTCACTCCTCTTCTTGACCGGACTCTTCCTTGGGCTGGCTGTCTCTCTCGGTGGTCCTGCTCTGACGTCTTCCACCGCCCACTCGTCAGCCTTGGCCGCCGCAACCCAACACTTCAGGCCTTCATGGACTCCAGAATAGAACTTCTCTTTGCATGTTCGAAGGCTACCCCCCATCACTTTCTCGAATCCGGATTGTTTGAGCTCCTCCCGCAGTGCATTACGGTCGGTCGCGGTCGGGAGACAGGCTATCAACCCGTTCAACAGGTCCAGGTGGGTCGCGAGGTACTGCGTCGCTTCCCATTCAACTCCTCCAACGTACGGAGCGGCCGGGTGGGGTGGTCGAGGAGGGGGAAAGTGTGCTCGACAATACCCCATTGATTCATCAACCTCGACGATGGGGATAACATTGAGGTGATGCAGAAATATCCAAAACACTTCCTTCGTGACATTAACAACTTCTTTGCACCAGACTCGGTAAGGCCGAGGAGTATGCATTTGCGACACAAAGTCAAGCGGCTGCTTGCCATCCTCCGGTGCAGGATCCCTGAGGAACCCAAGGATCTTCCGTGCTCGTCCATGAACAGCCTCCTGAACAGAGCCGACTTCGGCTGATAAGTGAGCGAAAAGGAGCGAGATTATGACGCCTCTGGTGTTGAACTCTGACGGACCCTTCCGCTCTGGATCGAATAGCATGTGCAAGAGTGCCGGGAAGAATTCATTTTCCACTTGCTGCAGACGTTGTAAGGCAAGGGAGGTGGTGCATAATCCTTTCAAGCACAGCAGCGCCTCGTGAAGGAGGTTGTCTTCATGTTCTTCGCGCCACTCGATCTTAGAGATCCGGTAGTAGAGTTGAACGAGTTCGTCCATGCCGCCCTTGCTCACGAAATGATCCGTCCAAGAGATTGACTCATTCCTCAAGAGAATCCTCAGTTTGTGCAGCTTGCTTACTTCGACCAGCGCGGGCTTCTGTACCTCCCGAAGGTAATGGATGAAATCTCCAGGAGTGGTGGCGCTGTCTGCCGGATTGAGGGATGCCAACGACACGGTCGAGGCCATGGCTTTCACCGACGTTGGCCTGGAGCTGGTCAGGTCGGTGGATTTGTTTCTGGATTTGCTGCGTGATCTCAAGGACGAACTTGGCCTGTCTGCCTTTGTGGGGGAGTCTTCCTCGCGCCGGGTCAGAGTCAAGATTCGACTTCGAGGACGAGATCGAGACCGGGTTCGTCTGCCTTCCTTGCTCTCCTCACCCTCACTCTTCGGTCTTTCATTCTCCTTTCGGTGAGAGTTCCGAGCGGATGAGCTAACCTCTGAGCTATCAGTCAAAGCTGACGCCGTGGATGAACCACTGCCAATCCGATCACCTTTCATCAAGCCTGCCTTCACATCTGGCTTGAGATTTCGCATGTTATCCCGCATATTCAGTGGAATGTTCAGAGAATCCAACACCTTCTCGAAAGCCGAGTCCAGTTCTTGAGGGCTAAGAGGAGAGGTTGCGGTGTTCGGCGTCTCCGGGGTCGAGCGAGCGTCCTTGCGGGCTCTCATATTGAAGGTTTGGATTGCTTCGAAGACTCTCGAGCCTAATTTGGCTTTCGAATCTGCTTGAGCTGGTGTTGAAGATTGGACTTGAGCATTGGAATGGCCTTCAGCTTTGGAGGAGGCTGGGCGACTGATGGGCTGGTCCCTACTCTTTGGCGGTTTAACGTCTCCCTCAGCACCATCATCATCATTAATGTTTTCTGTAAAGATGGAGCTTCTGCTAGATTTGTGCTCCAAGAATGGTCGTTGCGGCGGCTGATAGTCCAACGATGATGGGGTCGCGGGCCCGTAGCCATAGAAATTCCTCTGTTCCGAAGGACGAAACTCGGAATAGTCTTTGGGGGTGTACAGCTTTATCTCCTCTTCAACAGTCCTTCTGTTCGACACTGGATACATCATCGTGCCATCCGCAACCTCCAAGGGTTGAGTAGCAAACTGTGCCCAGATGGGAGTGGGACTCTCGACGGGTGTGGTCTTCGATGGCGGGCAATTTTCTTGGTTGCTATTGCTGCCGTTGTTTTCTTCTCTAAGATCTCTCTTGGATCTCCGTTTCAATAACCCGCTCAGGTTACTGGCTGATTTAACCTTCTTAAGCTTGTTGTCGGCCGTGTGACCATCAATGGGTGAAACGCTCCCAGTGCCTGCACTCTTCTCTTTACCCAAGATGATTCCTTTCAACGACACAGAACTCCCCGTCTTTTTGTGCGTACGGTTCAGGGCAGGGCGGGTAGGTTCATCGCCTGATTTGGTTGCAATTCGTTTCGGTTGTGGTGGGCTGTTGATGTGTCGTTCTCCAAGCGGGCTGGCAGAATTGGCAACTTCTCGACTGGAAGGTTTCTGGGACTTTGTAGGACTACAGTTGTCCTTTCGACGGCCTCTCAGGACGTCTCCCACTGAAGGAGTCCGGGTGTGGTTTGCTCTTCGGCCTCTCTGTTGAGGCTCCGGATCCTCGAAGATTTGGGCGACTTGTTGAACGGACGGCGCCATGGTGGAGGGAGTGAACAAGATATATTTGGGCACGGTGCCTATTCAGATACAGCTCCTCATTCCTACAGAAACATGAATGATGCTTGAGCACAGGCGGTATGATGATCCATGGTCAAGGCACGGACGTGGAGCTGGCCTGGCCTCACACAGCCCGCGTTGAAATCGCACCTGCTTTGTTGATCGCGATGCCGCTGCCACAGCAACAGCCTTGGCTGATCCTTGTCACGTGCAAGGCTCCACAAACGACGAAGGCGCGTATTCAGCCTTGGGATCATCAACACAATCTTCATGCCATTCCTTTGTGGCCACGTGGAAATTACCCGTGCAGACATCTTGTCCATACAGCATACCTCTACCCTAAGCATTAATAACGGCCCCCTCCTGTCCGTCCAACCGTGATACCGATACTCCTTAGCACCGGTCTGGTCGTGTCTTGCTCATGCTAATCGTACATTGTCTTCATTATTCCATCCAAGTGATTAGAAGCTCCAGTGAGAGTGGTTGGTCCCCTGCTTCCAATTCTTCCTTGGACGATACCCAATAACGGAGGACCATAGAGATACATGACAAAACCAATGCGCCAGACTAATGCAATCATTGTACAATACTCTGCCGCCAGCGATCGATCTGCGCCCGCTGTTTGGGATCCAAAGGTGGGCCCATCATTGGGTCTGGTATGTATGGCTGGTTGCCATATGCGTAAGGATATGTCTGCTGCATGTAGGTGGGCAACGGGGCGCCAAATCCTCTGTTCATGTACCCAACGTTGTTCGGATATCCATAAGACCCATTAAAGGCGATGTTTTGCTGAGGATAACCCCAACTTGGGTTTTGCATCGAGGTGTATACCTGGTTCGAATTGGTCATAGGCTGAGCTGGTTTCGACTGGGCACCCACTGGATGAGCTTGGAGCAAATCGGCGAGACTATGCATGGGTTTGACTTGTTGATGGGCCTGCGGATTGGCGGATGCTTCCTCCTTCAACCTCTTTCGCCTCTGTGCTAATGTTTCCTCCACATCTGGAGTCTTTGACGGCAGGGGTGCGTTGTTGGTACTGTTGAGACCTAATTGAGAGGTCAACTCTTCCGTAAATTGGCCTCCAGTGCCCTTCTCTTTCTCCAGCTTCATCCTTGCTGCCCTCTGAGCTAGAGTCTCATCTTCGTCTTCGGGCAGAGGTTCTTGAGTAAGACCCGGTACATCTTCAATGAAAGGAGGCCGGCTTTCCTCCTCGATCTGGCTCTTTACCTCGGATTTTGCAGTCTGAAGCGGCCCGCCTCGCAACCTCGCTCGTCGTTGACTCAAAGGCTCGTTGTCCTCCAGCTCCCGCTTCTCTAGGAGCCCGATTGGTCGATTGGTATTCGCATGTTCTGCTCTCTCCTTTTCTGGGAAGAGGACACCGAGGGGTACATCCTCATCATCGAAGTTTTGTTTATTCGCTTCATCGTGATCCTCCCAAGCCAAAGTGACATGCTTAGTCTTTCGGGCTCTCTGCTGAAGCTGAGTAACAGCGTCCAGCTCAAGCAAAGTCGAGTGCATGCCATTCGGGAAAGCGTCTGCGGCAGTACGATTGCGTAATTTCTGTTGTTCCTTACGCATCTGTAACTCGGCAAGGAGAGTCGTCGGCGCCGTCGAAAATCCTGGCGGGGGGACATTCTTGTCCTCCTCTTCATCAGATATCTCGTCAGCGTCCGGTGATATCGACTCCGCTGCCGCTCGGTCAAGTTCGTCCCCGCTCGCTTGGTCCTCAACGTCCAGATTTTGAGAGCCTCTTGATTTTGAACGCAGCAGCCCCGAGCTGGAAAGGGCAGTGCTTGATCGTCTCGTCTTAAGCATTGTACTAATAGAACTTCGACGTTTCTTCGCTTTCCCTTCGGCTAATTGCACACTCTTCCGAGGAGAGTCATCTGGACCATACACTTCCTTTCCGAGATGCCCGGCAATTGGATGATCAGTGAATGCAGAGACAGGAGCGTGTGCAGCGGCATCTAAGATACTGTCCAATGTCTGCACAGCTGAGCCATTTTTGAGCTGTAAGTCTTGAGTGACACTGGGCTGCTCGAAGAAGGCGCTAGCCCGCAGCTGGGGGGGTAATTTGAATCCGTTGCTTTGACCTTGCAATTTGGCATTGTCTTCCTCTCGAAGCCAGACAGCCGACTTCCGCACATCATCTGGGATGCCACTGAGCGCCTGGAGCCGACGTTTGTCTCGTTCACTAATGTTGAACTTTGAAAGTCTCTGTGGTAGGTTCAACATGACTGGAACTGGCGCCGGATAGTAGATCATTCTTTCTCCCGGTTGAGGTTCTTTATAAGCCTTCGAGTCCCGTGCAAGCGGAGGGTGATTGAGAGAGATACGTCGTGATATGGCGGCAGCTGATTCGTGGGACGTCGGATCGCCGTAATGCACTCCGTCAAAGTCATTGAACGCGGCTTGTGCTTGTCGATATGTGTCGTTGGAAGCAGAGGTGGTCGGTCTTTCCTCCTGGACCGACCCATCGGACGCTCGACGCAGGGGATTGGGGCCTACTTCGTCTTCGGGATATATGGAGATAGAGGCACGACGATCCGGGCTCAAGTCCAGCGGCCGGCCTTCCAACGGGGGCAGAGCATGGCTGCGGCGACTCCCTTTTGAAGAGTGACGCTCAATGTGTTGCTGATGCGGATAGGGTCCGGAGCGAATTGAACCAGTTGGAGATGTAATCTGGTAGCCTGAGGGAGAATATCCTCCCAACCTGGCCATCTGATTGACGCCGATGATTGAATTCGACCATGATCCCGTCGAGTATTGTCTCTGGACCGCCGGGCGAAGGGCGTTGTCTAGATTCGCCGGAGCAGACGACTGCCGCTCCAGGCGCTTTTGATCCTGCTTCATCTTGTTCAGCCCATCCTCTAGGCTCGAGGTCATGCTCAGACGCTCCGCGCTTTCTTCCAGACGTTCCACATTTTTTACCAACGCCCCTTGCAGCGACTGCAAATCCGGGGTCGGGTGGTTCAAGGGCAGGTGACGGCTGATTGAGGCTGTTCTGATTGGAGTATCTTCTTTCTGGAATGTGGGTGTGTCCTGTGCGGAAGGCAGACCGTCCATTTTCGATCGCAGTGCTAGAGGTTCTGGGTATCTGGGCATCGGCTCCTCGTAGTCATCCTCTTCTACCATTTGGTACGACTGCGAGGAAGACAGCGACTTAAGAAGAGACCCCACGCCTACGGAACTTGGTCCCGCTTGAGAGACAACCGAAAGATCGCCATCTCGCGAGAAGTGATCGAACAGTGGGAGGGACAGCGGTGGACTCGAGATTTCGGGAAGGATTGGAGAGCGGGCAGGTGAGTAGGAACGCGGATGATGGTGGACGGAGTCAGCAGCTTCGGACTCGCGATATACGGCCTCATGCTCAGCCTGGGCGACCGAGGCATACGCCATTTGAGGGAGCTGACGAGCGTTGCAGGACGCAGGAGCTGGAACTGGAGCCAGATCACGGGTGAGGGAAGAGGCAGTGGTGGTGTCTCGTCTCGTATATTGTCGGGGGCGCGGACCCTTACACGTGTGAGGGCAAATAGACCCTGCAGGTCAACTTCAGAACCATGATTCGAGATAGATGGATCTAGTCTGACGGGTCGATGGCTCAGATGTGCTTGAGCCGCCTGAGGCAAAGACGAAGGCACGGTAGACCAAGACAGAGACAGCAATCGAACGGGAAAGGCGCGCATTAACCTGATAACTGTGTGCAGAGAATGTCTGTACGGAGCCCTTATACATAGGAGGGCACAGTTGAGCCTTGGGCCGGATAAGCATAGAACTAGCTGCACTGGGGGGGCCGACAAAAGTGGGCATTCGGGGCATGGCTGGCTACAGCTGGCTAAGATTAGGGCAAGCCCGGGACCCATTCGGGGGGCCTGCTCTTTAACTAACACTTGACGCCTAGTGGCCGATTGAGAGCGCCGCACCACGTCTCGCAGGGTTGCTCAAGCCAAGGATTCCTCGACATCGACCAAGGTTTCCTCACGGGCGCAGCCACGGCGTCTCATCGTCCTTCTCGTTGCCATATCAGTCTTTCACGAAGCTTTCTGCTCTCCGTTCAATAGTCTTTTGCCCCTTTGCACGTAGAAAAGGAGCATGAACCTTTCGAGCCGATCAAACAACATAATTCTCCTGTCTTGTGCCGGGTTGCCGCATTTCCCCCAGGGCACACAAGTGTCTGCCAGGTACACCAATCATCGCCAATCTGCCCTCTCTGTCAACCCTTGTCCAGCCCTGGTTCCCGAAGTATCCACTCCGTCCTCCATGCCTCTCCCAGAGATTTGAACTAGGCTGTATGCCCTCCTGTTATCTTGAAAAGCCACAGATCACCTTCCAGTGACGATCAAACCATCCTCAAAGGATCTCGTATCTCGCGTCTAACGCCTACAAGCAGTTCAACAAGATTCGAAAGATCACACCCACAGATCCAACGAACCCTTGGGATTCTAGGGGTTGAAAGAGACAGCGAGAGGTCCGGGTTTGCACACATGACGACGGTCGAGTATACCGGGTGCTGCTATACAAGGCACTCACAAGGATGAAGCTATCTTGAGCTCCCGTTGGCCCTACTGCATCCCGGCAGATGATGTCCAGCGGGAGGATTGTCGAAACCCACTGCTTACTTGTTTAGGTATCCAGCCACCTTTTCAAACCAGGCTAAAGATAAACAATCCTGTTGCTGAAACCAGAGGAAGAGAAGATCTCATTGCCGCAGACAATCTAGTTGCGATAGCTATCGGCAGACAGATGGACGCCCGTTGTCGATGCTGATAAGACAAGTAAGCCTCGCCAGGTCATTCATCTCGCTTCTTATCAGTCACCGGAGTGCCAGGCGGTCAATGTTCATGTCTAAATGAGCCTCGAAGCTTGGCTGTCAACCGCGTCCGCAGAACATCCCACGGTGTTCTTATCCGCTTTATTTTCCTTTCGACGTTAGATATGCACAGGAACCCTGCGGAAAAGAGACTCAGGCACATCATTTGATAGGAGATATTCAGATAGCGACAGTGGACCCCGGACCTGGCTTTGCGCACAGACCCGGTAAAGAGCTCCGATATCAAACTTAGAGCAGAAAAGAACACAGATATCAAGAAGATGCAGGCAATCCTTCTGGTGATGTGGCACTTGCCCCAAGGCTTCCATTGGTCTCACGGCCAGCTCGAACGCGTCGCTGAATTCAGATGTGAGCGGTGTGATATTACTATTCCGACAGCTGAGGAACAAATACGACGGCAGGCCAGCTACTCTTGCTTGGCTGTTCAGCCTCTTTCTTCAATCCTCCGAGATGATGGAATGCGACCAGCCTAGAACTCGGAACTACGAGGAAAGCCCGCCAGGAATCGGACTCAAAAGGCTCAATTGTCAGGATCGAGCATCAACGGAGGACTTGGGTCTGCTCCAAACAGTTATACTTCATTAGCTACATGCACGATGGAGATAGGTTTGGGCCCCCCACGCCCAGACATGAGACGACTAACTAATTCTGTACCTGAGAACAGGAACATACCTAGCGGCCTTCCCAATCGATTTGCTATTTTTAATAGTTTGGGACACTTGTCCCGTTCTTCCCCGCCGTGAATAACGCCATCAGCCAGCCTCGTTACTCTGCTTGACGGAGAAACAAGCCGTTGCTTCTGGGTTTCTCCCAGGCGACGAGACTCCAACACATCAGCCAGAGTCTGTGCCATTAGGATCGGTGGGCCGAAATCCACAGCCATTTTACTAAACATGCTTGACAAGAACGAGCCAACGAGCACCAGGGCAGTAACATCAAGGTTATATGCTCGTTCAAAGGTTTGAATGAGTGTTACAACCTGAAGACTGGCACCACGAGTTGCTATGCAAATCGGATCGCTGGAAAAGTTGTCTAGGACGTACTGCGAAGATTTCGTCCTCGGCAGTTTCTCCCATTCCGAGTCTAAATGGGCTATCGAACCTTGCTCGGAAATTCCAACTTGGGGTGCTATTGTCTCTTGCAAGCCATTTGCCAGAGTTGTCAGAGGAACTATTTGGTTCAAGACTTTGTTTCGGGTGGTCTGTCCGCAAGCCCAGGAACTGGACAGCAGGTTGCAAGAAGTTGGTCGGCTATCTAGATCATCACCGTCGCAGCAAAACACACGGGGCATCAAGCCGCTTGGTTGACAGTCTATTTGGAGCTGTCGTCGAAGCTGATGACGAGTTCCGAACCTAGGACATGATACATTTTCGATCCAAGGTCTCCGCAATCAATCCCAGTCTTCCAGTAATGTGGTGAGACATTCTTCCACCATCCAGCCTCGTTCTTTTATTTACAAGTACACTGGGATTCTCCTCATTCTAAAGTTCCATGGCATCCCAGAAGAATCCAGGTCTGCAGTGACAGGTCTACTGTAGTTTACGCGCATGTGCAAATTCCCACGAAGAAGACATCTGGCAAGGAAGGCTCCATTGAGGCCCTCGAATAGTAAGAGTACACAAAGATCCTCGGTGCCTCTGTCCCAGGCAATCACCAATCAACCGCTCGGATAAACCCAGACGCCACAAGATGCCACAAGATTGGGCTGCTCATGCAAATACCGAGTACGCTGGAACCCATCAACGCAGAAGCCAGAAGCCCGAAGCCAGCAGGATGCGGGCGACGCGGCTTTTGATCCGTCCAAGCTCCTTCTATCAAAATGCCCTGCATCCCCTCGAGGACGGAACTTGAATACCGAGTACCCGTAACCGGCCAGCCCTCCCTCGTCCTTCCCTGGACCTTCTGAATCCTCCAAAGTCCGACGGGACGCCATTGATGCTGACAAGCGACAAAGGCTTCGGCCTCCGAGCATACCCCATCTAGGTGTCTGTTAAAAGGCCGACTCGTTGGCACAGGCAACGACCTTGCTTGCCATGGACTAAATACTGCTTGTAGGAGCCATGCGGTTCCTGATCCCGCATGCGTGCCGGCCGGAGACCTGGTCTCGAAATGCTTATCTGTCTGTACCGAGTACCTACCTACATATGCATCGTCCTCACAGAACGGATATAGTACAAGCACATGCGTCCAGACCCGTACCTCGTATACAAGCATCCCTGGCCCGGATTATGTACTAATAGGCGGGTACAGTTACTCGACATAGGTACGGAACTGCACTGGCGCCGTCCGTCAAGATGGTACTGTAGCTGCCCGCGAACACGAGCGTCTACAGCATCTGTACCGAGCACAGATCGATTCCTGGTGGTCCGTTACTGACCCGCCAGGGTGAGTTGGCTCCGCGCTCCTGGGTGTCCCTTGCAGGTGCAGGTCTTGCCTCGTGTATTCGGTACGCGGAGACGGATGCATTGAGACACATAATTACCAACCGTCTACTCCTATATCTGCGGGCCTGTTACCCGTCGCCGTTCTTGGGGCTATGTGGTCCGGTCTGCTAGAGCACGAGACTGGGTTTGATATGTCCTGCCAGCTGACAGAGAAGCTGGTTAGCTGCCCTCTCCCCACACACAAGGACGACGTTGGAGTGATTTATAGTGTAAGGAAGTAGAGAAAACGGAAAAAATGGGTTCGTAATGTAGAATTCCATTCTGGTCCAGACATTTCAATATGGCTGGTTTCCTGCATCGTCCCCGATCTCGTTGCAAACGAGGCAATAAAATCGTGGTCGTCCGTGCACCTGACCTGATCAAGCCGCCTATCGCGCACCCGCACAGTCTTGCTGCCGAGAGAATGCCCTGTCGTCGTCCCCGTCCCGAACTCAAACCTTTTCGCTAGCAACCGCCTTCTCGTCCTCGCTAGAATCGCCATGGCCGACCGGGACAGGCTGGTGCCGCAAATCCGTATGCGTAACCTCGGCCATATCCTCGTCGTGCTCCACGTGCAGACTCCTCCCTCTCCTCTCGGGTCCAATCAAGGTCAGCAAAATGACATATGCATACACCGCGCCCATAAAGATACAAATGACCTTGCCGTAGTTGTATCTTTTGACGGCCTTCCCTTCCTTGTTGATGAGAGGCGCAAGAGGATACCGTTCACCAATGGTGGATTCGATCGTGGAAGAGGCCGACGAAGCCAGGTTGCCCAGTTGGTAGGAAGTACCCACCACAAAAGTCCGCAAGGAACCTGGAGAGAGCTCCATCAGGTGGATAGGAATGACACCCCATGCGCCTTGGACACAGAACTGCTCAAAGAACGCCGCTGCAATGACAGCCTTGGTAGTGACGAAGGTGTAGGGGTACAGCAGTGCTCCGCCGATGATAGAAATGAAGATAATGCTGAATCGACGACCGAAGATCTGCGAGCAGTATCCGATAACGGTGCCGCCGGTCATGGCGCCCAAATTGGCGACAACCTGGGTAACCGTGACGGCGTCGGCGGAGAATTTGAATTGGTTCGTCAACATTGTTGGGTACAAGTCCTGGGCTGATTTTCTCGTCAGCACCTCAAGTCTTTCTGCGCAAAAGCAGTGACCAAAACACTCGAGAGTGGAAGGACTGGTAGAGAGTTTCCGGGACAAAACTTACAACCGTGGCTCATAAAGTTAAAACCCGCCATCAAAAGAACCATGTAGATGAGCAGGAGCCAGTGTCTCTTCAGCGCCACTCTTCCCTCGGAAATGAAGGTGCCCGCCAAACTGCCCTGCTGCGCACGAAGAGCCTGGCGAGCGCGGAAAGTATGGGTCTCGGGGAGACAAAGACGGAACAAAATGATCAGTACTGGAGGGCATGCGCCGAACCAGAACAGCGGTCTCCAACCATGAGAGGTCGTGTTCACCAGGGCGCGCGCAAAGGCCGTGGCAAGCAGATATCCAAATGCGTAGCCTTGCTGCAGCATCCCGGAAATGAGACCGCGGGCTTCTTCGGGGCAATCTTCAAGCGCGGTGGCGGCCGCATTGCCGTACAGACCACCCATGGCAATGCCAAAGAGGGCGCGCACTGCGAGGAATTGGCCGTAGGTCTGAGTGAAGCCGGTGCCCAGTTCGAGGGCAATGAAGAGGATATTGTTGATAATGAAGGGCCTTGTGTGTTCATGTTAGCCTGGAGGTTCAATGTACACATCGCTCCCACTGGACGTACCACTTCCGCCCATATCGATCAGCAGCGATACCGAAGATGGTTGATCCCACCGAACGGAACATGAGCACCAAAGTGATGCCCCAGGTGATATCAGTGTTGGACTTGTTGAATGTCTCGGCCAGGTCAGACACGGTGAGCGAAACGGTGAAGAAGTCAAAGGCATCCCACGACCAGCCGAAGAAGGCGACGAGGAAGAAGAGCCATTGTTGGGTGTTTAGCATGGCCAGAAGCTTGAAAGGGTTGGGCGCCTTTGCCATAGGAGGCTTGAGGGTGCTGATTCTTGTCGCGGCATATCTGGCTGGAGACATGCGCGGGCTGTCGAGCTCGTCTTCATCGCCGTACTGACGGGCGGCGGGCACAGTCTCCTTGGTAGGAGAGTCGACGTGAGCCATGTTGATTGGTCTGGCCCTTGCCCGGAGCTAGAGTAACACTTCTACAGAGTCTTGTGTAGCCTTACGGACCACAGTGAGGCAGGTCAGGCTTGGGGAGAGAAACACGGCGCATTGACAGCGGGCGCGATCAACCCTTTTATCTTCTTCTTTCAAGGGCAAATGAGCGGGTGGTCATGAGGCCCTGCAAGGAATGCTGGTCGACTTGGTCCCATTTTTTCACCTCGCAGCTCGTGGTCGCACGCGAGCAGGGAAACGGTAACTGATCGGCACAGACCCGACCTTTGGAAAGATAAGTGGTGTGGTTACACGGCAAATGGATTGCAGGTGTTGCAATTGTGTGGTTGGTGGAGGATTGGTGCATTCCTTCGTGGGGAAGGGAGCCAGGATCAACGCTTGTCTGAATGGATGCGTTGGCTGTCCGAATTGCGGGGGATCTGGAGGGCACAACGAATGAGACGAGGCTGTGTGAGAGGCTGCTTGCGCTAGAGCGTCAATCACAGATGCCAGAGCGTGACATCGCTCGGTCTTTGACCGGCGCAGGTCGGGCATGATGGACAGGGGAGTCGAGAGGGCGGCACACAGGATAGGCGGGAGCACGGCGTAGGTAATCATGACGCTGCCGACACCAGTGTCACCTCTGTTCTCGATTTTGGCTTTTCGATGGCCACGACGAGGATGGATCGGAGAGCAGACGCGAGGATGAGGCGGGAGGAGATGGAAGAGTTCGGATGGTGTTCTCTGGACGTTCCATGAGATTACTCTTTTGGGTATCTGTGAAGGCTCCGAATCACACTCTGTGGCTTTTCTGACTGCAGCGTCTTTTCGTATCGTGAACCCTGTGAATGGCGATGGGTTTTCGTGGCATGTCGGAAGGAATTCATCTCATCGACACGAAGAGGCGGGCAGGTGGGCTGACTTCTGGGCGCACCTTGGCGTTACGTTGGTGGCGGTCTCAACGGGCGACACACAGTCATGGCCAAGCCTACCGCAGGCCCTCACTAGCCCCAGGAAGGGCGCCCGTTGTTGGGGGCGTTTTGCTTGGGGGTGCTTGGGGGTGCTTAGAGTTGCTTGAGCAGTTAGTGAAGCCTGGGCATTATTGGCCGCCGGGAAACATGTGCCGGAGAAAAGCTTAAGACACCTCTTCCAGTCCCTAACTACCGCCTATAAGCCTGCCCTATCGACCACGCCAAGATGCCAGAAATGCCCCGAATGGCCTCCGCATCAAATCAATCAAACGTCCATGGCGCCTTGACTTTTAGCCGACCAGCTCAACTCCATCCGACCGCTGCCAACTTGGTCTCAACATCTCATTCATAGTCCAAACACCGACAACGCCCTCCATTGTGCGCCATCCCGTTTCCCGTAAACAGGTGCTCCCTCTCATGATGCTCCTGCACCCGCCTCACGCTGTTGCCACCTTCTGCCCTCCTTCCTCTGCCGTGAAGGCGTCTCCCGTGCAGCAGACAAACCCACTTTCTCCAGCTGATCTGGACCTCGACTGTCGCGGCAACGTCAGGATAAACTTCATTCCGGACCTTCTCTCTCACGCTCGTGAGGATCGCCATGCTCTTGTGGATCTCCTCGGCCAGCATCCTCGCTAGGAAATGGAGTTCGCTCGGCGTTGAGCCTCGATAGGTGCGCACTGCTGGATGTGCCTTCAGAAACAGCGCCCTTGTTCGCGCCATCAACCGCTCAAAAGTAAGGACTGCGGCTCCGATATACTCCCTCTCCCCGACATGGTAGGTGCGGACCGCCAGGATGGTCACCAAGAGCTCAGTGTCAGCCTTGAACAAAGCTCCCTGGAGTTGGCCATCTTGTTCCACCGTCCGGCAGATGTCGACGATTTCCTGCTTGGTCATCTGGAGAGAGGTCCGGATCTTGTGAAGCCTGCGAACGGCCTCGTCTGAGTTGAGCTTGGTGCGGATTCGAAATGATGGTGTTGCTATTTTTGGCGTCGAGGGCCAGAACCACCCTCTGAGGAATCGCTCGTACATGGTCCTTTGCACGAGCAACAGGCTTTTGACTTTGAGACTATCTCGCAGAAAAAGCGTTCTTGCCTTTGCTGCGTCCGGCAACCCTCAAGATCTGACAGACAAGCTTCCACTCTTCTTCGGTCCGGGTGGAGTATTGAGGCTCTTTGGCGTGGGCGTGACAGAAAGGAGAGGTGCTGTAATACGGGCTCGACGCAGCAGACTTCGTGAGTATCGTTCTGTCTGAAGATGTGCCTGGTCATGCTCTGCTGCCACTGGGGTTTAAGTATTTTGCTCAGGTCCTCCTCTCAAGACTTTCAGATCGCCTTGATGGAGGACCTCGATTTGGATCCAGATTCTGTCACCTCACAGTCCTCCCACTAGCAACCCTCCGGGTCGACGTACAAGGCGCTCGATTGCTGTTCCATGGGATAACCTACGTTTATTCCTGGATCAAGCAATATGTCTGGCTCATCAACAGAACATCAGACTTGGCCTACGGACGGGAGTGGACTGGGTGTTGTTGGGCCATCCTGGCTGTAGGAGAAACCTCGTGGGTGGACAGTCCTCAAGCAACAGCGGAGGACCTCAAGCGAAGGACATTCTATATAGTTGTCCCAGCGTTTCTTCTGCCCTCCTCATATTTCCTCACCACTGTCCATTTACCACATCATCAATGCTTTCTTGACCGCAACATCGAGTCTCATCGTGAACAACAGCAACTGTGCTCGACAACAACCGAACCGTGACCACCACAATTCATCCCTACCCAACCATGTTGTCTTCCACGTTTTCTCCTATCCCACAGATCTGGCGAAACATCTCTTTGTCAGGAAACCTCGAGCGCAAACAAGGCAACGGCTCTGGCGCCAGCACACCGTCATATGCCGCTAGAGAGGCCTCATCCTCCAGCCAAAATGAGCTCCTAGTCCCGATCCCGGTGGCCGCCTTGCGTAGCTCCCCCTTCAATGGACAAGGGTCTCGATTCGTTGAGGACCTTGAAGCTCTCGTCGCGGGCGAGGAAGCCGCCGGCCCCAGCAGGAGACCCGGCATCACCATCATCGAAAACTCCACCCAAAGGCCAGCGGAACGACAACCACCGTCGCGGCCACCAAGTCCATACGTGGTCAAGCCACCAACTCCCGTGGGCAGCTCCCACTGGATCGACCCAGAAGGGTGGGCGTTACAGGATGAGGAGCAGTGGGACGCCGCCCGCGCGTGCCAGGGCTGGGTCAAGGCGTTTGGCGACGTCCGGCGCCGGTACGAGGGCGCCGTCGCGGGCCTGTTCGGCAAGCTGGAGCGGCTCTGGTTCTTCAGCTTCAACCCCAAGTACCGGCGCTTCCTGAACACCATCGAGGCCGTCGAGGCTTCTCTCGACGCCCTCCCGATCCTCATTCTGGACTCCGACTGGAATGTGTACGGCGAGCTGAGCAACCTCATCGACTTCTTTGCCGCGTGGATCATCGAGGCCCACAACTGCTGCAACACCATGACCCTGGACGGGGTGCCTGTGAACCTAGACAACCCCGAGCAGCGCGCCGGGAGGAAGAGCCAGATGGTGGAGATGGGGCCCGAACTCGCCCGTCTGACGGAGCGGCTCAGCGACGGCGCCCAGAAGCCTCTCCGGAAGTTACGCGCGCTACTCAAGGAATTCGCCTAGATGGTTGTGCCGGGGGCTACTCTGAGAGGCCTGTGGTCTGAGGTCATGGGCCTGAATGTGTTATGATGTGAACGGGTGAGCGGGTGAGCGAGCGAGTAACCTGAGCGAGCGGAGCAGTAGTATAGCGACGGTCTTTTTGTTTCTGTAAATACCTATACATCCATTCCCTGTGAGCCTTTGTCCAGTGCTCATCCTGTATCTATCTGCCATAGTCGTACAAATCTCTTCAGCCTCGGGCGCCAGCGGGTCCCTCTATTTATCCCCCAAGGCCAAGCGTCTATCGAGATCCTTCATCTCGCCCTTCCTCCTTTGTGAACCTCTGTCCATGCTTGTTTTGCATCACTCTACACATCCCAAAGAACTTCTCTCTTTCTCTCTTCCCTTTCGTAAGCAGCTCCCTCACTCTTGAACATGCACCTTCCACTGCAGAGGCCCATCGTTGCACTTTCGGCCACAGGATGGTTCGGACGTCAAGGGAGAACAATCTGCAACGCCAAAGACGTTCTGCAGAGGTACGTGCATATGTCAAGGGAAGTGATCGTGGTTCAGTCCAGTCCGCAGAGGCAGAGTGAGACGAGAGAGCTATCAGTGGAAGAGTTAGGGTCGCTGAGGTCTGTCTTCTTACTGTTGCTTCGAGTCTCCTCTCACTTTTGCTGGCCGGGAGTCAAGTGGAAGTGACCTAAGAGTAGGCCAGAGTTGACCTAGGTCGGCCAGCGTCCGGTGAAATTTGCCCTGGCCTGGAGGTTGGACTTGCCCTCTGCTGCATGTCGCCTTTCTGTTACATTAGGTAATTTCGTCTCTCGTTCTTTGCTTTCCCATGACATCCACAGCCTCGTTCGATGTCATTCTTCGTCCAAGGATTGTGCGCTGTTTGCTTGATTGTTCCCACTTGCTTCGCGTATCTGCGAGAGAAGCGGTCGGAGCCGAAGTGGCGCGTTTCTCTGCAGTACAATTGCGACGAAAGGGGCTCGACAAGTACACACCCGGCATGTGCCTCTTCATCCTTGCCAGGTTCGAGCCCCCACCAAACCTGACTGCAGAGTGGAACGAATAGAAAAGCGCTCTGCCGAGCGATCAGATCGACAGCTGAATTCATTCCCTAGCGACGGTGGGCGCGAGCCGGGTCTTTTCCAACGCAGGCTGAATCAAAGCTGCAACCCACTCATACGTGGTGAAGAGGATGCCTCCGGCCAACACTGTCCTACCCAGCCGCATCGTGCTGCCCCTCCAGAGTCCGCGGAAGCCGTAGTCGGCAATCACGCCGTTCCACGCCTCCAGCACGCCCTCGCCTCGGACGGACTGTGCGCGAGTTTTCAGGGTATCGAATGGCTGGGTGACGAAAACAACGATGGTACCGGCGACGGCACCGTTCGCAAACGTGGTCAGAGTGGTCTGCGGGATGTTGCGCAGCCTCTCAAAGTCCTTGAGGATGTTGTACGTGCCCAGCCTCACGGCCGTGGTGCTGGCCTGTTTCAGCGTGGTGGTGACATAACCTCGGTACAGGGCTCTGAGGACGCCGTGTTCCTTGATGAGGGTCGCCGTTGCGTGGATGGGACCGCGAAACTTGCGTTCCGAGCGCGCATCGTCGATCAGCGCCGTTTTGATTCTCTCCGTCGGCGTCACTGCAAAGGTGCTAGCAACAACCCCGGCGGTAATCCCAGCCATCAGGTTCCTCAGGGGCGACAGCGTGCCGGTTTCGGGATCCTTGAATTGCGCCTTGATGGTGTCGAAAGAGATGAAGCGGATCGCGTCCTTGGCCACCGTCCCGGCCACGAGAGTCGAGCACCCCTTGTACAGCGAGCGCGGGCCTTCCTGCTCAATGACATGTTTGATGACGACGAATGGATTTCGAGTGGGCGTCTGTTCGTGCAGTTGCACGCGTGTCTTTGCGAATTCGAATGCTGCAAGTTTTGTCCCCAACGTGTCAGATCACCGTCTGTTCCCATGGTCGAACGTTCGTCGAGCGTTTCCACATCATCGTGGAAGGAGGTTTCTCCCTCGCGCCAGCAAAAAAACAACGGGAAAGGAGAACTTACGATATGTGATTGTCGCTTCAACTCCACCCGCCGTGCCTCCTGCAATCAACGAAACGAGCGGTGATTTGTTTGACGCCTGCACAGAACGTTAGTCACAATGATTAGATGGTGCCATTCAGGGTCACACAGGGGGAGTCGAGGAACACGAACATCACCGGCCACCATTTTCCCCGTGAACTTTGCTCGACCAACTCGGGAAAAAAGGGGGTGTAAAGGATGGGATTTTCTGCAGAAAAAGGAGAAGCAGAAGCAGACCAAAAGACTCTATGATCGCAAGACACCAGACTGTCTATATGCCGTGGAAAAAGAGCGTGCGCGTCAAAGAAAAAGGATGTGAAATATAACAATTACGAGGGTGTGAGGAGAAAGATTCAGCGGTCTATCGATCCCTTTTTGCGTCAGAGGAACAAACCGATGGAAGAGGGATACAAGATCCGGTGTCGGTTGGATCGCCGTGCGTCGCTTGCCCGCCACCAGAGCCGTGCCAGCCTCGGGTCTTTTCGGCTGAAGTTCGCTCGATGCGAGAGGCGGCGCGAGGTCGCGTTTTCGCAGCCTTGCGGGCCGCAATGAGATATTTCAGCCTCGTCGGCCATGCCTGGGGAGCTGCTGGTGTTGGGATACAAAAATACATAATCGATTGTCTTGCAAAAAGCCCGAGAGCTTTTGACTATCGCACATCTTGGTGATAACACATTCGACGAATGCCGGCCCTCTTGACGCTCTGTCTTTTCCTTTCTTTTTCCTTGAAAGGGGGCTGGTCCTCCCGAGTGACTTATGTAGTACATACACCACAGTGAGAACGAGAAACGCCATGCCCGATACACCCCCTTGGTCCCTCACAGCTGTCACAGCTGTCAAGACAAACCCCAATGCATTCCCCGCTCTAAGGCTCCATAAGTTCCCTCCGCCACGGGCATCCGCAGTCATGGCATAAGCTGCGTTTGCCCGATCCCTGACTTCTGATCGCAAAACCTAAATCATTGGCCCGTATTTGTGCAGAACATATCACTCGCATCATGTGCAAACCTGGCTGCACACTCGCTCCTGGGATCCCTCCCTCTAGAGCTCCATGGTCCTCGCCTCACCCGATTGAGCAGTTACGTTGACGACAACGCCCTCGCCTCGGTCGCTGTCAGACTGGAAACCGAACTTCTGGCCCGAGTTCGTGCCGACTGCTTCTTGCATCATGCGCATTCCTTCTTGGGGGTCCTTTAGGCTGGCTTGACGGAATGTGTTCTCCATCTCTTTCATTCTTTTCTTGAACGACAGCCGGTCCAAAAACAGTTGTTGTCTGCCCTTTTCGAGGTCCCGGCGCTCGGCTTGAACGATTTCTTCCATCTCGGCGAATTGCGCCATCTTCAGCTCGAATTTCTGGAGGGTAAGGTTGACGGCTGCCGACACCATTCTCGTAATCTCCCTCTCCTCGTGGGAAGCAAGACCGCTAGCGCGAGCGGCGGTCGCTGCCAATGCTGTCGTGGCGATGTCGTTGATGACTTTGGAAGATCCGTTGGCTTCAGCTGTGGGTTGCTCAGCCGAAGGAGCTGACTCGTCGACTTCCATCTGATCTTCTGATTTTACTTCTCCTTTTTCCGTCTCTCCCGTCGTACTTTGCTCGGTTCCTCCCATACCCTTTTCAAGTGCTGCGCGCAGCTGCTTCTGCATGACCGCAATAGAGCGGTTCGATGCAGCGGCAACAACGTCAGGGTCCGCCATCTGCGCAAGGAAGCTGACTACCGACATCACCGGATTGTCCAGTTGGCTGACGGCGCTCCTTCCTGTCAACGCCTTCAGTGCGGAAGAACCATTCAATGGCCCATCTTCAAGGTACTGATCCTGAATGTCGAGCTGCAAGAATTTGAGCACACATTCCTCCCTGGTTCGTGTACCAACATGTTTGGCAATCTCATTCCAGTCATTGTCAAAATTCTCCAGACCTTCCAAGAGCAAGAGGGTCTCTGAATCAGTCCAAGCGGCACTCTTGTCGGGAATATGTGAATACGCTGGCTCCTCCATCTTGACAAAGTCGGACGAGCGATGATTGGACGGCATTCGAGACTGGAAATAACAGTTCGGGCACAGGTCGTACTTAAGCTCGTTGGGGTTTGCGGTGCCTGAGACGGGGTCCGATTTGGCGTAGTGGAAGCGACATCTCGTACAATCGATCCCGCATGAGAAGCAGTTGAAAGTTTTGATGGGTTCTCTTGCGGCAGCGTCCATGGCCTTGGTTGCAGCGGCGTCGGAACTGGTGCCATTAGCAGTCGCCCCTTCGCCGTTTGTTTGTTTTTCCGGGTCCTCGGTCTTTTTGACTTCTTTGCCTTTGTCATCGTAGACGTTCCGTCTGAGTTCAAGGTTCAAATCTGCCTTGGTAGCAGGAGTTGCCGAAACAGCTCGATCAGTGGCGGGATGCGGTTTTCCAGGGGTGGTGAAAGTGTTTTGGGCTGGTTGGAATGGTTGCAAACCTCGAGGTGTGTCCGCAGTAACCCTAAAATGGCCTGTGAATGGCGGGCCTATGTTCGCTGGGCGAGTCTGTGGATCAACCTGTTGCGGTCAGCATTGAGTCGTTCGAAATATCAAGGGAGGCTTTACCTGATAGTTGATGAGACCCCATTGTTCTAAAAAGGCATGCACTCGCATTATCGCGCAGACATCGCCGGCCAGATTTCTTCGACATGCGGTTACTGTGAGGTACTCGACAGGGTTCAAGCGGTAGGAGTTGACCATAAAATCGCGGTAATCCTTGTACACGGCTGGTGTTTTGCTGCGGTTTCGACTGTTGAAGAACTCGGGAAGTGATTTCTTTTCCAAAGCGTGGACCGTCTGCATGTCAAACCACGTGCTATAACTGGGGAGGATGATCTGATGTGTCTGCGCGACGAGGTGTGAATTGGCTGCGGCTTCGAGGTTGGACTTTGCCTGTGATGCCTGACCATCTGTGGCCTGTGTCGCGGCTGGGGTTTCTTGAGATTCCTCCGGGCCGTCTTTTTCTGCCTCACCATCTTCGACCTTCGCATCTTCGTCCACTCCACCCATCTCAGCATCCTCTTGCTCGCCATCAGGATCATCTTGAGCCCGCGGCGTCTTGGTGGTATCTAAAGGATTAGCTGGCGTTCCATTTGAGTTGGCTGGTGGTTCAGCATCTGCAGCGTTTCGTCAGATATGTTTTCCAGCCAAAAGGTACTGGCAAATGAGCAAGGGAAAGCGACAGCGTGACGCGCGTACCTGTTGATTCCGTCTCTGGTGCATCGGCGGCAGCAACATCGACATCGTTTGCGCCAAGGTCGACAGCATCAGAAGACTCATGCTTCAACTCGGCGGGCTGTTGTGATGAATCGGCCATTGTATATCATGTAACTGGATGAATGATTTGAGTCCACCACTTAAGCCCAGGCAATCTTTCAGGGCCTTGCGCCAACCTCCAGTACGGGCCAAAAAGTGCGCGGAGTCTGTCTCGAGCAATTCAAGCGCCTAGAACTCCAATGCGGGCTGAACACATCACTTGGGCGGGTGCGTTTTGGTGACTTTGGCTGGAAATTGAAACCCTGTCGCGAACTGCGCCGCGAGCAACACGACCATCCAAGTTTGCGGCGAACGAACTGCGCTCCACTGCCAAGCTACAAATTCACGTGATTGTTTCGGTGGAAGGTTAATCCGGGGCGACTGGTCTTAGGTCAAAATGGCCTTGGTCAACCCTCCCTGGGTGAACTCTCCTAAGCCAGCTCGCCTGCTGCATTACTCTTTCATCTTCACATCAGAATGAAGCACTTTCCAGGAGAACACAGAAGAGTAAAGGTGCATCATCTACACCTGATTGATTATCCAGCCGATCAGATAGTTAATATCATGAAGTGAATCCCACAAATGCCAAAAATCCGTTGGAAAACGTCTGTACCACTCGAGTCAAAACCCGGCAGCAAGAGCAAGCAATCGTTTCTATCATTCCCGATTTCCCCATAACTTCACAGAGATACCGAGACCGAGGCTAAATAATTCGAATGCCAATCGATCAGCGATTTCCCAGCCAGCGCGACAGCATGTCTTTCATGTCCGCTCTGAAGATGTTGAGCGATAGATCCTCCCGATGATGTCTGGTACAAGAAAGAGCTCAGGACCGCAAAAGGTGACAGACGGCTATTTCGATCGAGGTACTTTCCGCTTGTCTTCGCGTGGTCACGAATCTCTCTTCAAAATTTCCGGCTCTATAGTGATCCGTCGAAGCGTTGTACGACCACAAATGCCGTTGCTCTGAAACTTTGCGCATGTGCTCCTCGTGCAGAAGACACAGGGATCTGGTTGTTCCGATGGGCACATCACTGGAATTGGGTTAAGAGGAGCTTCCCTGTCTCACCTCCAGGTATCGTGACCCAGTTTCCCAGGATCATGCTCTCCATCATGACATGTCTTTAAATTTGACCGTCTTGTGGCAGCTCTCGCCGTCCTCATGCTCATGATACCGACACCCGTTACCCTCTGTGGGATCGTCAAACAATGACCCACCGCTTCCCTCCTTGATCGCGTTGATCACATCGACCGCAAAGTCCGGGCTGATGGCGAAGCACTCTCTGTAGCTAGTTGCATCTTTCTCCGAGCTGGGATCCATGATCTGTCGCGCAGCAATCTTACTCACGAGTTTGCGGAACGGAGAACTCGGAGCAGTTTTCTCATAGATGGGCTTCATCTCTTCGGGACCGGGCACGAGACCTGCTTCATGACATCCCCGCCGGAATTGGTCGATGGCTTGGTTCTTGAGTTCTTGCAGCCCGATGCTGTCGCAAAGGAGGTAGAGCTTTTGACATGTAAATGCATATTCCCATTTGACGTCCTTGGGCATCCACGAGACATCGTCAATCTTGCCTTGATACAGCCACTTCACCAGCAGCTCGAATGCGCCCGGGTCCTCATCCCGGAGTTCGAGCTTGCCATCCTTGATGTGTTTGTGCTCCCCGTTGACTGTGTAGGACACGTCGAAGAAGCGCGCATGATGGACCAGGAGGTTTTGATGTAAGGACCAGCGGCGGCCTTCGGGCCCGACAAAGATGTCCAGCAATGGGCCGGATAGCAACCTTTTTCTCGCACGCATGGGTCAGCGGAATCTTCTCACTCGAGTTAGATCAGTTGTCTGATAGCATATGGACAGACTGATTCGAGTCGACATTGGGTCTCCACTTACTCCGCAAACTTTTTCGCGGAGATGTCTCCTATGCCTTCCCTGGGCATCTCAGCCTGAGGCGATCGGTAGCGGTACGTCGAATAGATACGATCAAGTGTATTCGGCGGATTGGGAGTCGCATTGGTGCGCAAGGCGGGTTTTATGGGTGTCTCGGAGACAAATGGATCGACGCGACCGGACACATGCCCCATGCGACATTGTTTTAGTTATTAATACTCGGTGGAATGTAGTAAAGGGTGTTGTAGATATGAAGACTGCGGATGCGCTGCTGAAGGAGATTTGAGAGGCGAAAAGGCCGTCTCGTCTGACTAGAGGAGTTTCCCCGCCTTGCCCTAGTGTTCTTCCTCCAAATACGCGCGAAGATTGCCTCTTCTTCAGCAGGGTGCCTCAGTCAGACAAAATCCCAACGGCTAGTGCATCGTATGACGAAAGGCTGACGGCCTCGGAGTTTGAATTCTGGGCTGCAGGGTCCCGCTGGCCCCGCTACGCGTTGCGCCTGGAGAAGCGCGTCGCGCGTGTGTGCAGACAACTCGAATCGAGCATTGAATTCTGCAACCAAGATCAATCACAAAGAGAAATGCCACTACTGCTTGACGATAGCAAAATCGACAATCTTAGTTACAAGAACAGCACTTCTACACACCACAACAAGCCTTGATATCATCCCGTCGCCTCCCAACCTCTCCGACCTCGAAAGCCGTTACCGTCGCGAACGTGACGGGGAGGCCGACTTCAATACTTTTACAAATGCGACCTTGAAGAACTCTGATGCATTGCTGTGTTTTTCAGGCTCCGAAATTGACCTCACATCGGACACCATGGTTTTCTCATCGTCCCCAATATACTATGCGCCCAGCTCCTCCCCACCGCCTTTGCCTGCGAACAAAAAGAAGCGTCGACTGTTCCAACCGTTCCCCGTTGAGCAGCAACCGAAGAGGACTAAGATGGTGGGCGGCTTTGTAGTGGAAGACGACGAGAATGAGGACGAGCACAATGCAGAAAGCAGGCCTAATAACGTTGACCAACCAGTCTCGAGGGCAAACAAGAATTCGGCTGTTCCACCACCCTTGGAAGAGCTCGCAGACCTGGCACGCACGAGTGGTATATCCGAAACTGCGACAAGCCGACATACTCCATCTAGCCCACGTCTACCTCCTCTTCCTCGCCCATTGCTCAGAAAGCGGCAACACGGTAGGGTAACCCTACAGACATCTTCTGGGACAGCGGTGAACATTCCCACCAGAAAAAAGGTTGAAGCTTTGTCATATGAGCAGACCATTGCGCAGCGTTCGGTGACCGTTGAAGGTCGTGCGAAGAAGGCGTATTATGGCATTGAAATCCACAAGCTTATGGACGATGCAAAGACGCTGCAACAACTTGACGAGTTCGAGAAACAGAGAAAGGATCAACTGCAGGCCTCGGACTCCCCTACGAACTCGAAATCAGCAGGCTCAAATCCCGCTGCCCATCAGATGTGGACCGAGAAGTACCGCGCGAAGAAATTCACAGAACTTGTGGGAGACGAAAGAACCCATCGACAAGTCCTTCGATGGCTCAAAGCGTGGGATGAAGTCGTCTTTCCTGGAAGTGCAAAACTGAAATCCATGAGAGCCTTCGACGACAAGGATCCGAGCCAGCAACACCGAAAAATTCTACTTCTGACTGGACCACCTGGTCTTGGAAAGACCACTCTAGCCCATGTTTGCGCCAGGCAAGCAGGATATGAGGTGCTCGAAATCAACGCCAGTGACGACAGAAGCCGGGACGTGGTCAAAGGACGGATCAAAGATGCCCTCGGCACGGAGACGGTGCGTGGGATTAAAGAACAGGGCAAAGCCAGAAAAGCTGGACGCCCTGTCTGCGTCGTCGTCGATGAAGTCGACGGGGTCACCACGGGCTCTAGTGCCAGTGGTGGTGAAGGTGGATTTGTCAAGGCTCTGATCGACCTTGTGCAGCTCGACCAGAGAAACTCAACGGGAAGTGGAAACCCAGACGCTGCGAAAGGTAGAAAGAAGGGTGACAAATTCAGGATGCTCCGACCATTGATCCTGGTATGCAACGACGTTTACGCTCCTTCACTTCGACCATTACGGACGAGCTCCGTCGCCGAGATTGTCCATGTTCGGAAAGCGCCGCTAGACAAGGTCATCGCCCGAGTCAGGTCTGTTTTCGAGAAAGAATGCATTGCTTGTGACAATGATGCTGTCCGCCGGCTTTGCGAAAACGCTTGGGGTCTGGCAATGCGAAAACAGAGAGGGCCAGGCTCTCGGGGATCTGGAGAGGGCGACATCAGAAGTGTGCTCGTACAAGCTGAATGGATAGCACATAAACTGCGTGCCAATGAGACCAAACCCCGGCTTACGCGGCAATGGCTCGAGCCCCAACTTGAAGAAGCTCGAACCGAACAGAAAGGGCCCGGACGAGGCGGTGTTCGAGAAGTCGTTGAGCGCATATTCTTGGAGGGGGCTGGTTTGCCTAACCTTCCAGCTGCTCTGAGCGCAGACGATGCGAGACTGGTCGCTGATTCCAGAAGCAATCCGGTTGGAGTCGCGAATCTTCGCAAGCGGGCAGCAATCACCGCCCTCCGAGAGATGGTTGATACCTGTGGAGAGCACGATCGAGTCGTCACTGAGTGCTTTGCAACATATCCAACACAAGTGTTCCAAGATGACGTACAATTGTCGAAACCTAATGCAAGCTACGAATGGCTTCACTTTCACGATTGCTTGTCACGTCGAGTGTTCTCAGGGCAAGAGTGGGAATTGACGCCCTACCTTAATACCAGCGCCTGTGGGTTTCACCATCTTTTTGCCGCTGTCGACAAAGGTACTGTGGCCTGGAATGAAGAAGTGCCGGAGGAGGATGTCAAGGATGTCCACCCGTTCAGTGGCCTGAAAGCAGACTTCGCCGCTTATGAGGCGGAGAAGCAGAACCGAACCTTGCTCACTGAGCTGCAGTCGAACTTCTCAGGGTCTTTGCTGAGAATTTTTAGCTCTGTAGACGACATTGCGACAGAGTTGATACCAAATGTCGGTAAGATGCTGGCTCCAGATGTGAAGCCGGTCGTGATCGGAGGATCCGGGAGCTCTGCCAGTGTCGCTAGCGTCCGGAAAGAGACTGAGAAGACGTGTATCCGCAACGCAGTTCGCACAATGTTGGCTCTGGATATTTCATTCGAGAAAGTCCGCGTGGAGATTGAGGGTGGTGGTGCTCACTCGAACGGTGGCTATGCCTATCGAATGGAACCGTAAGTCGGCAGTCCATCGAGTCAAGCGCTCCTCTCACTAACGATAATGACAGACCCCTTGATATGCTGCTGAGTTACCACATGGATAAACCAGGTTCGGGTACCGCACCAGTCCGTTACGCAGTTCGACAGGTGCTCGAGCAAGAGCTGAGGAAGGAGAGGCTTCTGCAGAACTCGGTCGCCCGACACGCTCGCTCTGCCGCGTCGGGCCTTACCAGAGAGGTTGATGGAGAAGACAACAAGGAGAATGAAACCCCAGCGGAGAAGGCGAGGGTAGCATCTTCCAAGACTGCTGGAACCAAGCGCGACTTCTTCGGTCGGATCATCAATGAGAGCCGACCTACATCGGCCGGTAAAGAGGCGAAGGATCGGGCGGAAAACCCAGGGACTAAAGCTGAGGGTCGAGTATGGGTTTCATTCCATGAGGGGTTCTCAAATGCCGTTCGGAAACCGATCACTCTGAGGGACTTGCTGGACGGATTTTGAGGCTGAAGGTGGACTTGACGGGGAGGATAATGATCCTTTGGAATGGAGATACATGGTGGCTGTGTTTGGACATGCCATGAGATATGAGCAATGAGTCGAATGCATGGAGCTTTAGTCGTGTAGGAGCAAGTCAAAGCAGTGAATCTAATACATGAACCGTGTCTGCTGCATACACCATGAAATGCAATACGTCATGTTTCAAAGGAGGTCGGAGAGCAGCACATGCACACATCGACCGAGGCTTTTGGCTCCCCTCGAATGAACGAAACGAACAGCAAACACCGGACGCTTCCCGCCTCGCCGCGTTCTGAACTTATTACATGGAGCATGTGAACAAAAACTAGACCGGAATGTCAACTCCAGACATCGCAATCGTGGTCATGATGATGTTGTGATAGAGCCCCTTTGGTCCTTCTTACCACTCTCATTCCATCTCACCCTCGCCAAACTCGCCCACCGCTGGCACAATGGCGGTCCAGTCCAAGCTGCTCCCCCCAGGCCGGAGCGTCAAGCAGATCATCTCGCAGTTGACCTCTCTTTACCTCAAAAACCGCACGAACATCTCTCGCACCATCTACATTACCTTGGTCGTTGCACTGATCCATCGAATCCACAATGCCATCTCAGAGCAAAAGGCCGCAGCGAGGAGGCAAGCCGAGATTCAGCGAGAGCGCGCTCGGCACTCGCAGCAGGCAACGGAGGATGCAGACGCGAAGGACGAGAAACAACAGGAGGAACACAGAAAGAAAAGAGTCGAGATCAACAGAGAGTTCTTTCGCAATCTCCTGCGGCTCCTCAAAATTGTGATCCCGGGTTGGAGAAGCAAAGAGCTGCGACTCATCGTCTCCCACAGCGTCTTTCTCGTCATCCGCACCCTCCTCTCTCTCTACGTTGCCGAGCTCGATGGCAAAGTCGTGTCGGCACTCGTCCGGGGCAAAGGACGAGAGTTCGTCTTGGGTCTCGTGTGGTGGATGCTGGTGGCCGTGCCCGCAACCTTTACGAATTCGATGCTGCAGTACCATCAGACGCGCCTTGCTCTGGCCTACCGGACGAGGTTAACACAATACATCCACGAAAAGTATCTCAATAACATGACCTTTTACACACTCTCAGCGCTAGACGATCGAATAAAGAACGCCGACCAACTCATCACCGTTGATGTCTCTCGCTTCTCCAACTCGCTCGCCGAACTCTACTCGAACCTTGCAAAACCCATCCTCGACATGGTGATATACAATTACTCTCTCTCAAAGTCCGTTGGTGGCGAGGGTCTCTTCGCTATGGCTCTGCTTGTACAGATATCCGCCAATGTTATGCGCGCTTTGACACCTCCGTTCGGAAAATACGTCGCCGACGAAGCCCGACTAGAGGGGGAATTCCGTTTCCAGCATACGAGGTTGATAGATTACAGTGAAGAGATCGCATTATACGCCGGCCACGAGGCTGAAAAGGACGGTCTGGACAAGGGCTATTTCACATTGATCAAACATGTCAATCGCATATTGAGGCGGCGGTTCTATCACGGCTTCATGGAAGACTTTGTGATCAAATACTTCTGGGGAGCCCTTGGCCTCCTTCTGTGCTCGCTGCCTGTCTTCTTCAAAATCCCTGGACAAAATCTCACTCCGGGAGAATCCCGAGGCGACCACACCGAATCCTTTGTCACAAATCGGCGCATGCTCCTGAGCAGTTCGGACGCCTTCGGCCGCATCATGTTCTCCTACAAGGAAATCACCGAACTCGCAGGCTACACATCTCGCGTTGCCGGCTTGCTAGACGTCATGGACGAAGTCTCGGCTGGACGATTCGAGAAGAAACTGGTCAGCTCAGCGTCGACGGAAGAGAACGCCGCGGTACTGAGAGGGCGCGGGACAATTGAAGAAAGCGAAAACATCGAATTTACGGACGTGCCCATCGTGAGCCCCAACGGCGATGTTCTAGTGAAGAAGTTGACCTTTGCAATCAAACCTGGCGATCACCTATTGATTGTTGGGCCGAATGGATGCGGGAAATCGTCGCTTTTTAGGATCCTCGGTGGTCTTTGGCCCGTCTATGGCGGGTCTGTAAAGAAACCCAGGTTCGAAGATATATTCTACATTCCTCAACGACCGTACCTAAGTCGAGGCACTCTGAGAGACCAAATCATCTATCCGGACACCCTGCGAGAATTCCGGGCCAAGAATGGCTCCGAGGAGCAACTCAAGCAGATCCTCTCAATTTTGGAGATTGAAGCCATTATCAATAGACCCAACGGGTGGGACGCCGTGGAAGAATGGCGCGACGTCTTCTCCGGGGGGCTGCAACAGCGGATCGCCATGGCTCGCCTCTTCTACCACAAGCCCAAATACGCCATCCTGGACGAATGTACCAGCTCCGTGACTCTGGAAATGGAGAGGAAGATGTACGAGACGGCCAAAGGCCTCGGCACGACATTGATGACCGTGAGTCATCGGCGGAGTTTGTGGAAGTACCACAGCATGATCCTGCAATTTGACGGGCAGGGCGGATACGTGTTTTGTCCGTTGGACGCGGAGAGGCGGATCAAGCTGGAAGACGAGAAGGAGGAGCTGGAGACGTTGTTGCGAGGGGTCGACGCGTGGGAAGCGCGGCTCAAGGAGTTGGAGGTTTGAGAGGGGCCAGCGTCGTTGGTCCCGGTATCAAATCCAACCTGCTCGCCAGCCAGCCAGCCAGTGCAATTGGGATTCCGAGCCCACTCTCCCGCATACTTGTGTCATCAGGTCAGCCAGTTGGGAAGCACCACTGGGCCTTTTCACCTTTTCACCTTTTCAACCTCAATTCAAGGCCCTGGCATTGTTTGTATGCATGCCACGTGGAAAGCGAACCAGGTCCCCCAAGCTGGCCGCTGCTGAAACCCCTTGCTCTCGACCTGGCCGCCGACCTCACTCAGACAGACGGTAGTTTCACAGCAAAGCGATCCAAGAACTAGAGGAGGCCGAACGGAAGACTTTCGCGCACGTTACACATCCAAGACAAGAGCACGCGCTGGAGTCGACCGGGCAGGCCCGTTCAAGCAAGGTCGGTCTGGTGAACAATTGGCCTGGGATTGTATTACAAGTGTGGAAATCTAGTCCCTTGGGCAGTCACATTCAGGCTTGAGCGTGCCTTACGGGCGGGAATGGACATACACACCGCAACAGAGCGAGAGTGTGTAAGTGAGAGACTCGAATGAAACGCACAAGGGCTTGGGGTGAAATGGACGGAGGACTGGAGGAGGTTGTCCTAGAAGGTGTATGTATTGGAAATCCCTCTCCCGGTCTACAAACATACTCGGCACGGGCTACTCTGGAGTAGATTCAGATGGCTCGAGGTGGCTCCTGAGCCAGCCTGGGTAGGTAGTGAGCCCTTGAGGTTGCCAGTACTACAGATTCTTCTCCCGCTGCTCTTGAATGCACCGTGCTCAAATCGAGACGGAGGCATTCACCAGGACCTGGAAAAGGATGGGTTATACCTCTCGCCCTGCGCCCCTCGACAGGAGATACATACCCCGTCGCAGGGCGTTCACCGCGTGTCGTGTGTAAGGACAAGTAATCCAAGAATACATAATATACTGTTTTCGCTTCGCTCGACAGGATCATCAGCAGCAGCAACAGCACGCGGTAAGCGGATACGACGCCGTGTCCACGGACCACCCATCAATTTCCTCGATGCGCGAGTGGTTGGTCAGTTGGTCAATTCGTCAATTGGTCAGGTTTGCTGATGTGTGTAATTGCCTCGTAGTCGACGGATTGATTACCCTCGTATACACGAGCGATTTGGAATCAATGCACAAACACACGCACACATTGTGAGAGTGAGAGAGTGACAACTTGCTAGCTGGGCGGCCTGCTCGCCTGACAGGATCCTTCCCGGTTACACGTAAATAAGAAACGACTCCTCTTGTACGAGGAACTGGCGACAGGGCCGGCGCGCGGTCTTCACGAGGTAGAGAGGGAGCGTTTTGCTGGCGTATCGAGCGCCCTCAGGAGCGTAGAACCTTGCTGGAGCAAACGACGCATCAGGCATCCTGAGCAGGGTCGGCCGACAAACAAGGATTCCAGCAGGGCACCATATGTACTTGAGCTCGACTGGTCCTTGTAGATGGTACCCAAGTTCTGATGCGAACTCGACTTTCCACGGTGCCAGGACGGGTTCGCCTCCGCCACGCCGAAGAGCACCCTTTCCTTGTCGTTGGCCTGTCGTTATATTTCGGCGAGCATCATCCTCATCATAGGAGAGAATAAGGATGAGCTGGCAGCCATGTTGCTTTACTCACCCTTAGCAGCCCGATCCTGCCTTTCCGCCTCACGCATGGCTTTCCGCAACATTTCAGTCCTCCGCTGCTTTCCGCTTCTTCTTCGCCTTCACCTTAGAACAGCCATATAGTATGTGCGCCTCCGCTCATCCAGATGATTCCGCGCGCTCTGTTTCACAGTCAGCCGATGGCGACAAGACCGTCAGAGTCGCTGGTCGCTCCTTGCGTCGAGGAAGCTGGGCGTTGTATTCGATAAGCCCTAGTTGGTCATCCTGCTTGTTCCTTTCCGCTCTGCCAAGATCGTTACACGACGAGTAATCTTACTCCTCTGCATACCTGGTCCTCAGCGTCTCACCGACCATCTCGTATTTGGGCTGCCTCGTCCGCTGTCCCTTGGAGATGAGGCTGTGGCTGATCCTGCTGGTCGACCGATGGCCAACGTTCGTCCCACTCTGACCCCACTGAGTTCGAGGAAGTCCATTCCAAACCTGAAATTGATGCTGTGATCCAGGCGGGTGCAGAGGATTGTGGAGGGTTTTTCCCGTGCCATCACGATGTTGCAATGTCAGCCCATTGACGTTACTTAGGACAACGTTCTGCCTTTGCTCTCCCGCAGCAACAGGCGTTGGTAATGCCTCATCGACAGGGTATCCATCTTGTAATTGAATTTGCTGTGCTTGCAGGCCGTCCTGGTTGATCAAGCCCATTGATCCTCGACAACAAGTGTATGAGGTTCACAAGCCTTCCCAGAAATACTCTGAAGAGCATCAAGATGGTGTCATGGTTTCAACTCCCCCCAGAGATCCGTAACAGGGTTTACGAGTACGCCTTTGGAACCCTCGTCTTCAAGCCTGTGCAACCGCCCATCTTGTCAACCGAGACGGACGAGCCCAGCCAAAGCCCTTCTCCCTCATTTGCGTGCCTAGCAGTATGCAGACGGTGGAATGGAGAGGTCACGCCATATCTTCTGCCAATGGGCACTTTCGACTTCACAGGGCTTCCAGGAGACCCTCCACAGTTGGTGTCTCCAAAGGCCTACGAGACGATGCGTCATGTGGTGATTCTGGAGACCCATTGCTTCAGCACGGATTGGCTGCATCAGGTCTTTGATAAGATGGGAGAGGTGCAGACAGTGACGATTCGAAAGCTGAGGAAAACCGGTCCCGCGGACAACAGCGTCTTTGATGGGCCCAAATTGACGCAGAAGTTCATCGAGAAGGTCAAGGTTGATCCAATCAAGACATTGTTGATGGGATATCGTTTCGACCACGTATATATAAAGGAGATGTTGCAGTGTAGAGGTCGGGAGAGAAGGGTCATGCTGGAGGGGAGGTTGTGGCTCGCCGACAACGCTGAGACTATTCACTCGGTAAGAGAGATCCTTCTTTTTCGTTTCCAGATGCCAAATCCACCAGTACTGACTCTTGCGCCATAGATATTCGTGGTTGACCTGGACTCATGGAGAGTGCGGATCGAGGGAGTGCTTGAAGGGGGCACTGTGCTCGAAATCCAAGCAGACGAACCTGCTCCGGTCAAACCTGCTCGCTTCGAGGACGAGGAAGGAATGTTCGAGTATCTGATCAGTCAACATTGGGGGACCTTGCGGCACAACCAAGGCATATACTAGTCGTATGCGAACCTTGTGCTGGACGATGCAGAGCCGACAGAATGATATTGCCTCTTTCTTCCGTGCCACAGAGCTCGAGAGAGAGAAGGGAATGTCCACGTCGCTGTGTGGAAGGAGCCTCGAGAGGAGTCCTCAGCAAGCCACGGCTCGACGTGAGAGAAGATGTGGCGGTAATAGAAGAACAGTGAAGATGCGAGAATGATTGTGTGGATGGAGCAGCCAACATCACACTTCACTGCAACACCTCGTCTACTGAACTCGCGCAGTCACTCGAGCAAAAGGTCCACACCAGTCTAACGATTATCCCCCGAACAATGAACACAAGGATGGCACAGCGGACAAGACAGCGCACGTGTTGCGGGTTGTCACTTGGCCTCCTTCGACTGCTTTGTGCGTGGACGAAACGCAGCATAGCATTGCCTTCACTTTAGCATCCGCCGTCACATTTCATTACTTGCCTGGTGGCCGTTGCCCTTGAACGCGACTGGACTTCGGGGCCCTGCCTACAAAAGCTCCTCGTGGAGCCGGTCATCTCACGAATCTTTCAGCCCGTGCTCATTTGCCAACCCCTTCTCCATCGCTGTCAGCTGCGCTCTCGACAAATCCAAGTACCATTGCTTCACCAACAATGATGTCCTCCAGTGCTACATCCTCCACTGAGGTCCCTGGAACCGCCACCGACCGTCCTCGGAAATGCCTTTCGATCTGCCGCCCGAAATTCGCCTGTACGTCTGTCAAGCATTGTTCCATGGGCAAGCTGTCGTGCTCAGAAGCAAAGAAGACGAGACACTGAGCCCACACATTATGACGCCTGGTTTGGAAGGGGGGAACTCTTGTGATGCAAAGCAGAACCGGCAAGGCAGTGGAAAATCCCGTCTTACGAGACCGTGCTCTCGGTCTCAATATCCTCTTCGCCTCGAAAGCCTGTCTTGCTGAAGCAGGCCGATCCTACTGGCAGTGGCTACATTTGACACATTTGACGTTGGCTTTCTCTCCTTGGCCAAGCTCCATTGGCAACGGTGCCTTTGCCATATAATCCCCAAGGACCAGATACTTATCAACGAATGGGAATGTTGTCGGGGCAGACTTCAGGTAAAGACCATGGGCAAGGCTTTTAATAAGCGATCTCCGACATTTGAATGCACACGACAAGTATCAAGCCCCGGAAGGGGTAGTGTGGCCGGATGCTATGATCAGAGTTGAGATGCTGGAAAGCGTGGCTCCTCCAGGCTTCGCGGTCGACCATGGGTAGGGAAAGAGAAACCACAGCTGGCATTTGTGGACATGAGATTACCCTAGACACAGCAGAGGGGCCGAAGAGGGAAGCTGAAGGCTGCGACAACAACGACTTTGTGGTCGAGGATGCTGAGTTCAAAGCAAGCTTTTAACGAGCAGTGGGAAGATTGGATAGCAGCAGGGCTCTGCTTCCAGCTGCCGCACCATCTTCCTTTGATACACCGAGTCCAACCAAACGGGTACGATATTTGGGAATACAAGAAGGGCAAGAAGCTACTATCAATGAACTTAACCGGGTCGGAAGGATGGAATAACACTTACTCAGTAGCCTTTTGCGTACCCTGACTTCAATCTCCAGGCTCGTCATTTCACTCATCCATTCGCGCTCCGTTGTTGAGCAACTTCCGTCCAGTCTTTGATATCCCTGCCCTAGTGTAGTGCTTTTATCATCAAGACATGGACTGTCTGCTCAACCCAGAAGCCTCCTCTGTCCATCGATCTTCAAGTCCAGGCCTGCCAGGAGTCCTATGCGAATCTCAATCTTTTCAACGCCACCGCATCCGTCTCCCCATCGTGCTGTGCACCTGACTCTATTCGACCGCCGTGTAGGGTAGAGGCCATGGCAACCTCGTGTCCCAGCAAAGACACCATGTCTCGTAGCAGCACGGGCACATGTTTCCTTACTTCGGGTCTAAAACTCTCAGCTAGATCTACTTGTGGCGGTTTGGAGGAGCCAAAGTAAGGATCAGAAGATAGGACATGGAGACTATGCATCGGCGAGCGGTGAAGAGGAAGCGATGGACAGACGAGCGCGAAAATCGAGGGGCGGGTCAAGTATCTCACCTTTCGAAAAGGCGCCGTGGGCTTGAACATTCTCGTCCGCCGACACGAACTCCTTCGTCTCCCCAAGAGAACTAAGAAAGCCCATAGGTATTTTTAGCGATGCATCAGCTTTGCAGCCTAGCATCCGGCAATATCATGCTCGATCAAAATGCTGAGTAGCAGAAGCGCTCTGTTTTGACGGCGCACATGGTCACGCAGCCCTTGGAAGGGAGATTCCCTTATTAACGAAATGGCAACTCGTGTCCCTGGTCAAGGTTCTGTCTAGGCAGAGATTCCGGCAGAGAAGAAACGGCTGGATAACCTATCTGCATTGTCCATGCAGCGGTCTAGCTTGAGACCAAAGATCACCTGAGAAGTAAACATCTGGTGTGAAATGCACCAGGAACGCCGATGGTTTGGGTGCCAAAATACTTCAATTTTCGATACCGTTGCAATGATTGGGGAACCACGGAGGACACGCGTGAGACGATCTTGTTTTGGAACCTCCTTGTTCGTAAACTTCTCGAAGCAAGCTCACGGGGATCTCGTGGGAGATGTGGACAGCAAAGGAACAACTGTGAAGCTGTAGTCTGGGCCCAAACGACTAACCCTGAGCCCCTGCCCCGTTAGAGCTCCCGCACAACGCAGAGAGAATCGTAATGTGCCTGGCCCGTCAATAATAGGGACCCGAGAACGTGCTGGGACTTCCGAGCGTCAAGTCTCGGTACTCCCTTTTTGTAAGATGACTGGACAGTCAAGCTCTGGACTCTCTGCTCAACGGGAACGCCTGCACATGGGACGGCAATGCGAGGGAGGATATCAGGAGAGGTGGATCAGGGAAAACACGCGTTCTACCTGCTCATGCAGGAGGCTGCTCAAAGAGGTGAAGATTTGTCGAACTTAACTCTCAGGGTGAGCATCGAATCGCCTGGCCTGTCCCGGCAACAGCGCGTGTTCTCCATGTGGCCCGTTAGAGAACGTCTGCTTGAAGAAATCTTTTGGTTCATGGAGGGGTGGACCTCATCACATTAAGGGTGGCATTTCCAGATGTCGACATGCTGCAAGAAAGAGTAGCGCAACTTTCAGAAAAGTCAGATAAGTAGGCTGCCTATCAAGAGAGACGGATAATGCTGCTTGGTGAGCAGCGGAAGAGTCTGCTTTTGTCGGCGAGGATAGGCTGATCAGACAATGTTGGCTCGATTGCCTCTTAGACATTGATCCTACCTCGAATAGGGCTGCAGAATCCAAGTAGTAATTATCTGAGCAGTCACCAGCTCTCCAATCTGCTGAACTTGCTCGGTTCGGCTGGCGATGCTAAAATTGGGCACGTGAAGGATGCGAGACTGGCTTGCCTTCCCAACTTATCAGGGGTATCGGGGGCAAAACTGGAATACGAGAATGTCAGGCAATGCCTGCCTGATCGAGATGATTCTCTCGCAAAACATCCAATCGAGTTGTGCATGGCCTGGGCAGTGTTAGTAACCACGCGACTTGCGAAGGAGGGTGACAACCTTGGAAGAGAATATGAAGATCACGAAGATCAATGGGTCAGTGTTATTGGAATTTGAGACAGATGTCCTTGGCCGCGGCCACACATTGCTGTTGAGTTCTGTATATGCTTTCCGGGTAACCATGAAGCGTCGAGATCGGCTGCATTGGGACTTAGGATTTGGTATACTTTGTTCTAGAACTGCTTCTCCTCCCTTTTCAGCATTGAAGCGGCAATGCGAGAAACTCACAGCCGGATACGGTTGTGTGGCTCGTTTCGACCCAGATTGGGTGCGCCAGCATGGTCGTGGAGCCCCTGCGTGGAAGCGTCTTTCCATTGATCTAGAATTAGTTGTTCTCGGCGTCAGGCGATGTCATTGTTGCTTCAGGAGACGGCTCGATGGTACAGGATGGGTCAGCTGAGGGCAGAGGTGACGGAAAGTCCCAAGGCTGTTTTTGCGGGGGCTCAGAAGAAACAGCTATTGATGAAAGCCCACTTCCGCGGGGAAGGGCAAAGCAGCACCTGGTACTGACGCAGGACGGAGCAGTACTAGTGGCCAGAATGTGTTCAGACGGCTTGGAAGTTCGTTCAACCCTCAAGCTCGTCAGGATACCATCGCTTCCCCTGGTAGGGGCGGCTAGTCCCAGCGGGGAGCCCAACCCCTTAGGATACGCATCGGTAGAAGATGAAGGTCGATGGCTCGCTCGGCGTAGGCAGGGCTCTCCAGTCGGCACAGAACACGGTACGGTTATCTTTGATTGATGACGGAGACGATGGATTTGATCTGAGTGAGATGGCCATGCTGACAGATAATGGATGATACTAATGACGATGACAATCGACGCTGATCTCGAAGAACGGTCCCTGCCGTTGCCGTCGGGAAGGAATGAGCTCGCTGGTCGATCAAAGTGCTTGCAGGCGGTGGATGAGTGGCGGGCACCCGCTTGGGCGGTCAGTCTGAGACTGCGATAGTCACCAACAAGCCCTAAGCCCGGGCGGTCACCAGCCCACCAGCCCTAAGCTCCAGTGCAGCGGGTGCCTGATCCCACCCCCGGAATTTGCCTTTGGTGCCTTCCCTGTTCCTCGAACAAAACCAGCCTGAAGGCATCGGGCTCTGCAAGGTACGCGACCGCATGGTCCACTTTGAGCGATCAAACTCATTTACAGTTGGAACCAAGGTAGTCATTTCGTCAGCTTACCAAACATAGTGCCAAACGTCGTTCTTTGTGTTTCACCCTTTAACCATCAGACATGCCTACGTACGAATCGAGCCTCCGTACATCCAAAGAGATACGAACCTCCCAAAGACCTCGCGGCTAGAAGCGACATGTGGCAGACTTGGACCAGACAAGAGAGTGGAAATCTAGATCCAGCCGCAGGTGCGAGTTCGTTGATTCAGGAGCACAATTGTGTAACCCAAACTCAGCCAGCCATCCGATAAGTCATCCGACTTGAAGCCACCAGGCTTGTGGCCGCTCAGCAGTGTCCACCTCAACACACACCCCCGCCCAGCAAGGTTTGCCAGGGCATATTCGGCCTGGCCGGAAGGGAGGAGAACTGCTCGTCACTTTCTCCAGCCTGGAGGAATTGCGGCGTCCTCCCCCAAAGCAAGAGAAGAGACGTGGTTCACTCATGCAGAATCTTTGCCATGCGCAGCCAGAATGTCACCCCCGGTGGTCGATACAACCCCGTTCTGCATCTCGGATGGCCCGATCATACACCGAACACTGCGAAGAACAATGACCAAGACCTCCGTTCGCCAAATTTTGTACGCACCTTACCTACTTGGGTAGAATTAGTCGAGGTGTGCCTGATCAGCCTGCCTTTCCCCTCCATTGGAGTCTCATGATCACGCCAAATTGCCAATGTGGCTTCAAATTTGGACGATCTAAACGCGCAGCCGAAGACTAATCGCCGACCGCCCTGTTGGGATGCCCGCGGCGAGCCAGGTACGTAGGTGATTGCCAGACAAGGCATGAGCCCTTGACGTACAACTTCGGGGAACTACTTGACAAACAATCAATTTCGACTGGAGCACCCCTGTGATCTCTCTGATTGCAAGACTCAGCACTGCAATTGAAAAAAGGGACGCCCGGCAACGCACGTGGTGCCCTGGACCGACTAGCGACGCGGCCTGGACGTTCTTGGGTCTCCTTCTCGTGTCGAAACCCGTATTCGAAAGTTGCCCTTGCAACCGTACCTGGCGCCAAACCCAATGCGAGATGCAAGGGGTACTGAACTTTCAATCACGACATCAGCTGGCCCAGTCAGCCAACAAACTTCCCGGCCACGTCGCTGCAAGGCTTGTCCTTTTGCAACCATCCATTACGGCAAGGAGAAATGGGCCTTGAACCTTCTCAACCTGGCTGGAGTGGTTCCACCATGACCAGACACAGCCTGCCTGGCGTTTTCTGGCCCTTCCTCGCATGCTCTGCTGGCGTGGTTCGAGATCCCTTGGTCGCTTACATTGGTTCTTACCGCGATGTAGCCGTGCTAACTTTCCAGAACGAGTAGTCTCCAAGATCCTAGTCTCCGGTTGCTGCATGGACATGGGGTTCAGACTGCACATACGCAGAAGAGTCATGGACATGGATTCCGGACGGGTGCGGGATACATAAAGAGATGGATTCCCTAGCCTGATCATACGACTTCCCACAATTTAACTAACTGTCCTCTGATATCAATACCAAAGGTTCTGCAAGCCTGGACAAAATATCTGCAGAGAACTTTGGCACCAAGACAGCTAACATTCCAATACGACACTATGCAGACTGTTCCCATCATAAGGGAGCCTACTCCCCGAACCGCCTCTTCGCCGACTCGGTCCCGGTCAAAGTCGCCTACTCAGAAAAGATATTCTCATCTTCTCTATCTATCAGAGGCTGAGCGACAACTTTATGTCTCCAAGATGGAAAAGTCGTCGGCTTCATCTCTTCGCTCTTCCAACTCCGTCCGATCAAATCGCACAGCCTCGTCTTCCGCGGGGTCACAAACCTCAACGTCGACCAGTGTTTTGTCGAAGCTCGGCATGCAAGTGCCTCGTTACGTTGACGACCATTATCCTTTGATCGCCACCATCCACCTGGAGAACATTCCTGCTTCCGTGCCAAAGGATCACCCAGCCTTCTGGTGTGCCCGTCAAATGGCCCAGATCCACAACACCATCATCCGTGCCCTGAATGCTTCATGGAACCAGGCAGTGCTGGTCCAGCCTGACACACAGGAAGCCGCTGACTTCCTTCTCTTCAACCAAATGCTCTTCAACACCTTGAACCACCATCATCATGTCGAGGACGATTATATGTTCCCGGCTATTGAAAAGTTGCTGGGACAACCCGGTGCAATGGAAGAGAACACCAAAGGCCACGACTCATTTGCCGAGGGACTCACCATCTTTCAAAAATATGTCTTCATCACCAAGCCAGCCGAGTACAATGGAGCCACACTTCGTCACATCATCGAGTCCTTTGCGCCCAATCTTATCCAGCATCTGCACGATGAGATCCCTACCCTCGCAAATCTTCATACTTTGGATGGCAAGGAGTTGATAAAGATCTGGAAGCACGCGGAGCATATGGCCACCAAGGACAACAGCCTGTACACCGACGCCCCCTGGACACTAGGGTGCCAGGATAAATCCTTCACTATCGACGGAGAGAAGTGTGGCTTCCCCAACGTACCTTGGGTCATCGAGGCTGTGATCAGGAATTGGCATGCGAAGAAGTATGCTGGTGCTTGGAAATTCTGTCCCAGTGATCTGTCCGGAAGACGGCGATTGCTGCCCGTTGCATGAGTAGCAAAAGCTTTTGTCTTTTCTTTTGTTTGACATCATGATTTGACGACCATCATGGCTTTTTGGAGGAAATTCCCCTCATATCTGTCTAGCGTTCAAGCACCTTCCTGTTTTTAGCATGAGCCTCCCGAGAAAAACCTTGAGAAGGGAGAATAACATTTCGTATTTTAAAAGTGTACCATATTCTAGTACCCAATCTCCTCATACCGAACCATTACTCGCTTTCAGAAGTTCAGGAAATAGATCCAGAAGTTGTGAAAGATCGCTGATTTGATGTTTGCTCGCCTTTTCCGGTGGGTCGGGCACGCCCGGCTCGACAAGATGAACTGTATTTGTCCATCCACGTGTGTATGCTGCTCGGCAGTTTAGATAAGAGTCGTCCACGTAGTAGATGGGCGTCTCCGAGGACGCGCCAGCTTCCCGCTCTGCCTTGGTGAACATCTCCGGGAGTGGCTTTGGAACGAGTGGCGTCTGAGAATAATCGCAGTATGTGATTCCTTCGAAGAGATCGTCGATGCCCAATAGCTTGACGACACGCATGCCGTGGGTAATGTGCGCATTCGTAAACAGCCATAATTTGACTTTTGATTTGTCGAATGACTCCAGCATCGCTCTCGTTTCGGGATGCGGTGACAGAAGCTCGTCCAGGGGTAGTGCATCATCGACTTCTCGATTGAAATCTAGCGGATCGATTTTATGGAAGCGCGACAGACCCTCGATAGCTAAGCCGTAGTCCTTATAGTACTTGTGGTGTAAGTATGTCGCCTCCTCGGCCGACATGTCGAGATGGGTCACAAAGTATTTGTTGATTAGGAGTGCCATGTGGTCGTGGACTTTCCTGGACTTCGCATACAGGCAGTTGTCGATATCGAAGAAGAAAATAGCCCGCTTGTCGGCGGTTTCGGGTTGGACTGAGCCCATGGCAGTAGGTGCAAGGAGATCTATGGTGCCAATAGAGCGCTATGGTGAGAATTCAAGACAAAGGGGATTCTATGAAACCAAGAATGAGTGCGTTGCTCCAAAAAGGACGAGTAACAGTCGGCCACCGAAGTCGTGATATATACGTGGATGCAATCTATGACTCCTCAACATGGTCGATTCCAGGAGCGGCTGGTGGCGGTAAATTGATGGAAAATAGAATCGCGGTCATGTGATATTGCACGTGATGTAATGCTTGGCGATGGCTGGGTGATTTCGAAAACTGGACAGAGACGTGCCAAAACATCTCCTTTTCTTCCGCAATCTCATCACCCTCTTGAGAGGTGGTCCTGCTTCCTCGCCGAGGGTTCTTTTATCCTTGTTGACCTGTTCGCCAGCATCCTCTCCTCTCCCTCAGTTTCGCTCCTTGATCCTCGCTATGTGTCTGTCCCGGTAGAATCCATCTTTCAGCTACGCGCAGCTCAGAAGCGCACCCTTTAGGCATGTCCGCCTCTACTGGCCTTCTACTGAATGGCGTTCTGCCAACCTCTCTGCAACCCGTCAATGAGGCCTTGGAATATGAGAAGATACTGAGGATTCGCGACGAGGTATTTTCTGGAAGTCATCCTAGATTGACAGTGCCAGCGCATGCCCTCCGAGTACCTGCTTCTCAGACCCCATCGACCCTTTCTCAGACTCAGTTGAATGTACCTCCTTCATTCCCTCCAAGTGCGTCTCCAAATCATCTGGGAACTACTGCTCAGGCCAAGCGTGAAGATGAGATCACCCAAGCTCAAACAAAACCAAACGGTGTTCCCGCCGCGACTGCCAATCAACCTACCAGTAATGTTTCTGAATTTGACCCTGTCCTTTTGACAAAGTCGGATGATCTAGTTCGGGCCGAAACACAGCTGAAGCGACAACGACTTGAGCGAGCATTGAGAGAACAATTTGAACATAGAAAAGCAGATGCTCGCAAGAAACCTGCGCCCGCCGAGGCGAAACCAGACTTTGACCTACCAACCATTTTTGCCAGAGTGACGGGTGCCGTCAAATCCCCGTCTTCCAAGGAAGATGCCGATGCCACCGACTCGTTCGACGAAGATGCCTACTATTCTAGCAAAGCCCCCGATTCGACACCGGAGAGACCTCCTAGCGACTCTGCCGAGGACGCTGATGAAGAGCAGGCAGACGAGCATTCGGGCCCACGTGTTGTCAGCGCCGTCATGGGTGCTCCGTTGTACGCTGATGCTGCTGATGGTATCTCTGCTGAAGCTGCGCCCTCGGCGCCCATTGCCGTCCCACCTTCAAAGCCTGCAGGGACCATCGATACCGCTGCCATGGACCTTGAAGACGAAGAAGAGGAAGGAGAGTATTCGCCCCCAGAAGCTATGGTGCAATATCCCACACCAAAGGTCACTCAAGCACAGGAAATGCAGGACAGTAGAGATCCACGCGGTCGTCCCCTGCGCAGGTACTCTGAACTGGAAGACGGTGGGGGGAGGCCCGGTTCGCCCTCGGAAGCCAACATGCGGATAGTAAGAAACCATATCACCTCTCCCATTTGCCCTCAACCGTCCCATGTCTCGCCTCTGGCTATAACTAAGGATTCTCCCCTATCACAGAATGCACGTCCCCGCCGGAAACAATGGATTGGCAGACCAGGATCTCCCCCAAGTCCTGATGACAACCAAGCATTGCCGCCCAAGAAAAGGAGGAAGCTTGAGGCTCGCGAGGCTCGCAACGCCCGAAAAGCCCGAAGAAACGGTGGGACGTCTCCAGACACCCTTATCAAGGAAGAAGACGTTTCTCCGCCGCCTTTCCACGATGTCCAACCCCTCGGTTCTGGCAGATTCCGATCCAGTAAAGCGGATCGGCCCATTGTCATTGATGAGGAACCGGTCCAAGAAGGACGTTACATGCCCGCTCCTGAACGGTATGTGGAATCTCCCTCGCGACCACTTCCGCGCCGGGTTGAACAGTTGATGCCATTGAGTGAGCCTCGCCCGTTGTCCAGGTCGAGCGTGAGACCAGCCAGAGACGACCAGGACTTGCGCCGCGTGGCAAGTATGCACAGTCTGCGAGCAGAGCAGCCGCGTGAATACATCGACCAATACTATGAATCTCCTACTCGCGCACGTGCCATGTCTTACGCCCGAGTGGAAAGTCCTGCCTTGGTGGAAGCTGGTCGTCCCTTTCGTGAGGTTGCAGTGGAGTATGACCAGCCTCCTCCGGAGGTGAGGGTGGTGCGCACACCTGCTCCCGTTTATCGCGAAGTCTACGACGATCGCGATGGTACTTATCATCGTTACGCCGTCGAGCCTATGCCGCCACCGCCCCCTCCCGTCGAACGAATTGTCATCGACCAGTACGGCAGGAGATTCCTCGAGACTATCCGGGAGCGCCCATCAGCTGTACCTCGAGCAATGTCCGTTCGAGGGCCTGAAGTGGATCCCCGTTACGAAGAATACCCCCGACAAGCCCGTGCAGGCTCAGTCTTTGTCGAGGCAGCGCCGGACAGAGCTTATTCATCCGAAATGCCTCCGCCGCCGGCCTCATACCATCGTGTCGCAGAGCCACCTAGAAGTTCAGCTGTGCCCGGGTCCATCCCTCGAGAATACCTCGAGCCAGCTCCACAAATACGAAGCTCTAGTGTGCAGGTGATGGATCGCCCGGTACGACAAGCCGTGTACGCTGATGAGCGGACCGAGTTCCGCGAGCCCACTCGAATGGGAAGCGTGCGGCCACCACCAGCATTACGATACGAAGAACCTCTACCGATGGAACTCACGACACGAGGTCAGAGTATGCGCCCTGTCGGTCGCGAAGGTAGCATCTTTGTGGACGACAGGCGAACTGTTCTACCGGAATATGTTCCTGTAGAACAACCCAGATACCGCCCGATGGAGCCAGAGAGGAGGTACGTCGATGCCGAAGACAGAGAGAGACTCACCATGGACGGATCAATGGATGGTAGACAGCGAGTAGTGGAGAGGTACTGAGATTGGAATGGAGATGAGATTTCGGGGTTCATTTGTTTTTGCGCGTGGAGCCTTGCAGTGTTAGTTTTCCAGATTGCTGGCGGAGAGTGAGCCACGTATGTGTGTATGTGTACAAGTATGGCTTGTCTGTATAAATTGCACCGACGGACGCCCAAAAGGCGCGCGTGGCTGTTGACGGAGCAGCCGATAATACAAAGCATGGCGCACATTCACCTCTTTCTGAAACCAAGCCACATCAGCCTCCAGACTGTTGTCTCTGTTCTACGGTGGCATGGTGCGATTGTTTCATCCTGTGTCTTGTTCTGCCGAGTTCGAGTCCTTTTGCCTGGAAAGCTGGCTGCGCGTTGCGATTGGCTGTATATCAACCAACTAACCGCCCGCCTCATCTTCCTTCACACCTCGACTTCTGCGAATAGCAACTCGCATACACCTTGATCACCACTCGCTGCGCTATGCCATGGCTTGGGCGCTTGGTGAACTCTGGAGCCTCTCGGATAATTGCTGACCTGACTTGACCCTCTCTGCTGGCATCCTCTCATCCAACCAAGTCGGTTCCAATGCCACGACACCAAGCTTCATCTCGCCGCAAGGCCCCCTTTTCACCTCCCCTCTACGAGGACCAGTGGACAAGCGCCCACGAAGGAATGTGATTGAAGGGCCCTCTACGGCTCCGCTGCAACATGCGAGGAGGTGAGCAAAAAGCAAGAGAAGGAGAGAAAATGAGCTGGTGTTAGCGGGAACTGCGGTTCCCCCACAGCATGCCATGATTGAAAGCTTCGTTTCATGTCCTTCAAAGATCCCTCTTCCGCTGGCCAGGCCTCTCGACCTCTTTCTCTCCAAGGAAGAGTGATAGTTTGTCGGGCTGCAGCTGCAGCTTTGGAAGCATCACGCCTTCCTTGTTTTCCCCCCTTCTCTGTCTCCGACCTTGGTTCCTGGTTTCTGTTCGTGATTGATGCTGGCATCGTCAACATCCCCGTTAATTGTCAAGGCCTAATCGTGCAAACGACCCCTCGCAACACCGTGTGTTGAGACGTCGTCTTGATCATCGCCAACATGAGGTCGAAGGTCGCGCCGGAGGACTCGCTGGAGCCAACATGCCATCTCGAGTTCTTCGATTGTTTCTTTGCGAGGAACGACGAGAAAGAGTTGGAGAAACAGCCACTTCCATCTGGTTCGTGGTGCTCTCGGTGCGATGAAGAGAAGGGGTTTATTGACGGGTCTATAGGTGTCGAGCGAGAAATGCGCATCATGTATCAACAACCTCACCTGGTCCCGCCCATGAAGCTCACCTTATTCGATGGGCTCCCTCCGACTCCTACACCACCGCTCCCTTCACAGCTATCACAATGGGTTTCTCAAGGCAAAGCCTCCCTCAGATCGAGCTTGTCAATACGGAGACACGCCTCAAAACCCATCATCTCTGGTCCTCAGCCACCATTACCTTTGGCGCAACAGCTTCCTCTCCGACGAGCAGCACAGGAGTTTCGGCCGCTTGAGCTCAGCATCTACATGCCTAACAATCGACTATCAGACTTGCCAGCTTTTGATAGACTGAGTTTCACTGACGGTGGCAATATCAAGCTTCCGCCTCGAGCAGTGGTGCGAACAAAGTCAGAGGAATTCCTTCCGCACAAGGTTTCTCTATTGCCTGCTCCTGTAAAGCCCGCCTCGATGATTGAGCAGCGCCGCATGTCCCATGTACGGCCCGACACCTCGTCGACTGTCATATCGATGTCTCGACCGCCTTCGGAGTACGATGCTCTCCATTCCCACCCTGTGTCGTGGTCGTCTTTCCCCGGCCTACCTCCACAAATACATTTTCCTGGTGTTCGCTCTGAAGCATCTGTGGCCGTCCTGACCCCGATGCAAGAGGAGTTTAGCCCTCCTACGACCTCTGTCACCATCGGGGATACTGTGCTCAACTTCCCCCGGGTCGTCGAGAATCCAGCAGAGCAACATGACCGTGTGCCCCCCGAAGCTCCAGCTCCGCCTCCGATAGTGCCTTCAGCACCTGCCAGGAACTTCTCCAAACCAGCCGATATGAACTCGCCTACGGGCTACTTCCATCCCAACTATCAGACGCAGAAGCGAATTTCTCAATGGCTCGCGCACCGCAGTCATTCTTCGTCAATCAGCACCACCAAATCATCGTCGACATCGTCCTCGTTCGCAGAACACCGCCGTAAGAGAACTCAATTCTACCAACTCTCCGCTCCAGCAGTAGCCCCACCCAAACCGTTGAATCTCTGGCCACGCCAACATCACCGGACAATGACAGAGTCCACCGTCGCCAGCACCATTGACACTGACATTCTCTCCTATGGCACCCAAAGTCAGACTGACGCGACAAGTGTCATCACTACGACAGCCGGGGAATGGCAAGGTCGAAGTGGCACCGTGAAGAGTGTCTCCAAGGGAGGCGGGACATTGAGACCCATTGTCAGCGGTGTTCCAGATGTCCCGCCGTGCTACGCGGAGATCATCAAGGATGCCGACGAGATCATGATCAAAGAAATAGGTGGACCCTTGAGAAGTCCAGGTGTGGGGGTGGCTTTCTGAGGTTGGAAAGAAAGCATGCCTGCAGTTGCAGCAATTTTCCTTTGTCTTACCGATATCTTCCATCAGAAGGTTATCTTTCACTTCTCCTGCGCTCCTACCTCCGTCGCCTTTGGAGCAGCCAGGATTGAGGAGCTTTTTGATGCCAAAAGTTGGAGGATCCGTTCGTTTTCTTCTTGGCTCAGGCATTTGGACCTTCGAGACACTCATTGACTTATTTTGAGATACCCCCGGTGAATTTGGTTCGTTTCGACATTGGGATGGAAATTCGGAGGAAAATAGACATGGAAGAAGAGGAGCTAGCCTTCAAAGAGAAGGACGACCATCCTCCGAACCGAGGACATTACCTACTAATATGTCGCCTTGGTCAGGCTGGACGTGAGCTTGGGGATTATAGGCTCTTAAAGAGATGAGAATTGGCAGGCTGCGGGTGGCAGGTGTGAACCTTGTATATACATTCTAGAACAAAAACTCCATACCATTAATTGACAATTTGCGGTACAGAACCGATCCAGTGTGCCTCGATTTGAAAGAAGTTTGCTCTGGCCTTGCCTGCTTGCTCGGTCTCATGATTGATACAATCCATTCATAAGAAATACAAAGAGAAAGATATCGAAAGGGAAACCGCCCGCTGATTCCAACACCAGTGACTGCCGTGATGGGGCAGTCAGGATTCTTGAGGCATCGAGATAGATGGATAGATGGATGGATAGGTGCGGTCAGAGTGCAAAGATCCTTCCTTCCTCTTCTTCTTCTTCTTCCTATAATATATAATATGTAGCATTAATGACCCGCGGTAAGATAGTCCCCTTTCCTTCACACCTTAACCTCCATTTTCCACCACCAGGCTTTCTCTTCCCTCATATACCCTCAACCATCTGCCTCCAATACCATGCTGTACCACGCCATGCCATGCCTCTTGAAACCCAGACAGATTTTGTGAGTAAATATCGTCATCATCTCATCCCAAGATACAACAACCAGGTACATACAAAAGACCCATTGTAACCCCGGGGTTTCCTTTCCTTTTGCTTTCTTCTCTCCGGGCGGGCTCGCGTTTGTGGTGGCCATAGAACCAAAAAAGGGGTTTATGGTCGCCCCGCACAAATCCAAAGTCCCAAAACCATAAGGCTATACTGAAGTCCGCTCATTTTACATATTGGCCAGTTCTCCGTCAATGGCCTTGTCCAGGAACGTCCGTCTCTCTCCGGCAGGGACCTCACATTGGAGTCTCTGCTCCACCAAGGCCCGGACTTGCTTCTTGGTGACTTTGTCGAGGTCCACCTCGGCCAACACGGCACGAATCGCCTCGACGATGTCGTGATCACTTGGCCCCGCCGAAGGGACAGTGCGGAAGTCCATCACCGTGGATGCTGGCCGACTGCCCGTCATGCCCACACCCAACAGACTGGGTTTGCTGACTGAGTGCTGCATGCCGAGCTGCTGGTACGGGCTGCGGCTCCGTGGGTTGTCCTGGTATGGCACAGGGGAAGGCGATTTCAATCGCATTTGGCTGCCCAAGCTCATCATACTCATGTTCCGTCCATGCAAGCTGACGGGTTGATCCTTGAAATTTGTGAGGCCAGTCATGGTGCTGGCGCGGTTATTGTGCATCGCGGTGAATGGCGTCGTCGATCGAGGTGGTGCCATATATGGCCCTGATTGATGGGGGAAGCCCGCCAGGATCGTGCTGGCTGGTTTGACGGAGGAGTAGCTTGACTGCATGTCGTCCATCTCCATCATCGCAGCATCATCGGTGTAGCCATACTCAAAACCCTTCTCTGGGTAGGTGCCAGAATTTCCACGACGACCTGGCAGATTATTGGCTGCGGCGTAGTCGTCCCACCTCTGAAGAGGGATGGAACGGGGATCGAAGCCTTCATCCTGAATGGCAACGACCTTTTTATCGCCTTTCTCTCCAATGACAATTCTCGTGTTACCCCATGAAAAGTTGTCTTGATTCCAGAACGAGTAGATTGGTAAGATGAAGCTGTAAATCGGATAGGCGCAGATGTAAATGAGCATCCATCCCACGTGTTGCCATTGTCGTTTGATGATGAAGATCACCGCTTGTAAGCCGTAGACTGCAGCAATCATGACAATTGAGATCAGAGGAAACTGGCCGCTATGCGACGCCACTCTGTAAATCAAGTAGCCGAGATAGGCGCACGTTGCAGGAAGGATCAGGGTACCGAACAGATCAATGAAAACGACAAATCTCATCGAAAAGCAGCAGAAGCCACAAAGATCTTTCAAGAAGACGAGCTCGGCAAGGTTGTGAATGGTCGAGTTGATCCATCGTCTTCTCTGGGAAAGCAAGACGGACCAGGACTCTGGTGCTGCGGTGAGAGCATAAGCGTCGGGGACGAATTTGTAGGACATTGAAGGGAAGTGCTTGGTCATCAGCGTCGTCAAATATCGATCTTCACCCAAAGATAACAAGTTCTTTTTGTGGAGAGTGTCGACGTCGCAGTCCGAGTACTCCTGGATGACCTTGTCCGAAATGATCAGAGGCCGTCCCTTGTCAGCAGTTCGAAGGCGATACATGCAGAAACTGTAACGGGGGTTAGCGGTAGTGAGCAAAAAGGGAAAGGCCACATCAACATACCATCCAGGCAAACAGGTGACGCTGCCGAACAAGGACTCGAAAGCTTTGGCAAGATGATGCGAGATATAGTACTCATAGACTTGGATCATCGTCCACAAGCTACGTTCTTCGTTCTCTAAGCTTGTCTCGCCGCAGATGCCTGCAATCTTAGCATCGTTGGCACAAGCGGCGACCAGGCGATTGAGCGAATCTTCTTTGACCATGGTATCTGCGTCAACCATAAGAAGATACTCATACAGTTCAGGGTCGACACCGATGACGTTGTTGATTTGATGGAAGATTTCCAATTCGAGAGGGGACATGGCCGATCTATGGTGGACGCGGTTCAAAAACTGCATCAACAAAATTTGTGAGTCTCGTTTCCCGCGGTTCCCAGGCTTGGACTTTGTTTGCTCCGACTCTTTGCCAACCTTGACGATGACAATATAGGGGACAACGTTGCCCTCATATTCGTAAAGTCCAGAGTACACCTTGCCGTAATTGAGTTGCTCATTGCCATTGCCGACAGAGCGGAAGGGCAGGGCAGGCGGATCGATCTTTGGATCAACACCAAGGACATCCAGGACAATCTTGGGCGTGGGCCTGTCGTTGCCACCACCCACGATCATTCCGTCGCAAATGACACAAATCAGCTTTCTCTTATTGTCATACTGGAGGGCCGTAAGAGAATCGAGAGATTTTCTCAGGTGGTCTTCACCCTCAGTATAGGCTGGGACCTGGCATATGACGAACTTATCCTGTGCAGCAGGTCTGCGCTTCGACCCAAGTTGCAGTGCCGCCAGGAACTTGACTAAAATGACCGCGCACAAAACCAAGGCAAAAGCCAGAAGAAGGTAGTTGTTGACTTGACACCGTGGAGTGTCCCGGAAGTCGACCTTGCCCACGTAAAAGGCATTGTTCATACAGTTCAGGCTGTTTGCAAAAGCGGCGTCCGTTCCCCACTGGCTTGTGATATCCGAGCCTGGGTTGCTGCTGATCAAGTCCGTCACCTCCTCAGGGAAGAACTTGTAGGTGACAAAGTTGTTCATGAGGTTCAAAGTATAGAAATAGTCGGTAAGGTCGTATATTTTCTGGTGGATGATCACCCACTGTCTCTGGTCGTTCTCAGCTTGACTCTTGATGCTGCCCTTTGACACGACGAGATCTCCTTTGAAATATTCGTTGATTTTGGGCAGGAAGGTGTCGCTGTACCAATCCCATTTATACAACGCCGACTGTTGATCTGGCTGATAACGATGACCGGAGGTGTGGACAGCGTTCGGATATTGAATGGCACTGGTGTCATTGTGTTGCAATTGCACACTCTCGTCGACATTCAGCCCCGGACAGGCTCGACTCAACGGTGGTGGGAAATATGCGTCGAGGTTTAGTCCCGCGAGTGGAAGCATATTCTCCGCGTTCGTTTGGATCGCTGTGTCGCTGTGTTGTATACGGTAAAACTTCGTGATATCGTAGACTTTGCCACGAACGCTGACATAAAAGTCATTTGTGCCTGTGTGGAAACCGACTTCTTTTGCGTTCCAGGCCTTGTCAAAGTTGGGGCAAAGAAGCCTTCCGAACTCGACGATGTAGAAGACGATGACGGCGTTCAGGACGAAAATCAGGAAGACCAGTACCACCTTCTCTCGCCAGGCCATACGCACATCGGGACGCTTCATGCGACCAATATAGCGCAAGAAGATAGATGGTATCCACCAGGTTAGCGCCCAGACAAGAGACACCCAAGCCTGTCGACCAGCGGACGTCTTTTTGGACTCCACATTTCGAGGATCGGCAAGCTCTGGATCCATACCACCGACATATTGCCCAAGGTCTGGATCATAGACTGCGTCCTTGTGGTCGTCGCCTTTTGGTCCAAGGCCGTAGTCACCGCCAACCGTGTGCATCGTACGTGCCATTGTTGGGGCAATTGATTTGGCCCGTTCTGCGCCAGCTTGAGCAAGCAGATTCTCCCGACTATCCTGGACGCTCATATTGTCGCCCATTGGCGGGAAGAAGCCACTGCCATTATGGGGAGCATTAGCAGAGTAGCTGGATGCAAAGGGGTTGAGTGGCTGGCCGAAGGTCGGGTCGTCGGAATAGCCACCTTCGACGGGTTTCATGTCCAGCATCGACTCAGCCTCCCACCAGGCACTTTCACGCATCCAGACTCGTTCTCGCCCAATGATGACTTCTCCATTTGTCCATCCTCTTTCGAGCAAAAAGCTTTCTATCCCGTCTTTGCCATCTTTGCAGCCGAGTCTGGAGTACCTTGTCACGAACTCTTCGACATCGAAATCAGCCGTAAAGTCGAGCCGTCGGTTGCGGTGGTTGGCCCACTCAGGAAGTCTCCATGCTCGCAACTGTCTTGATACCGCTCCTGCAGACCACGCGGAAGTCGTCGAAGTCAGCGCAGCCAAGGAACTTGGCGTGTCATCCGTGGGGTGGATAGAGAGCTGATACCACGCTCTACTACTAGCAAGCGTAGCCCCCAGATCAAAACGTCCCCTCCGGCCAAAATTTAGGCCCTCACCATCGACTGGGTAGAGTAAAGTGCGAAGAAAGCCTCCGGACTCCGCCTCGGTGCCGATCCTTTCCAGGATGCCTTCTCGTCGATCCCGGTCGTGCTCTCTTTCCCGACTGAGTGGTCCTCCTTTGATACCCAGATCAGCCTCTACCTCCGCAATGGCAGAGTTCATCTCTTTGAGAACGGAGTGGCCAGCAGACACAACCTCAACACCATCGTCCTTCATTTCAGCGTTGATACCTTGAGTGTCGTCGAAAACATTTCGCAAAGCCACAGCCTTCCCGAGCGCCTCCCCAGGGATTTCAATGACTGTGAGGCTGACTTCGTCACCTGTCTGGGTGCTGGAGTCAGGTGTCAGGGCACCCGAGCGCAACTCGGCGGCGATAGCATCGTTGGCCTTTGCGATGACCCAATCCACCAGAGCTTCGTACATGCCGGCAATCAGTACTTCACGATCGTCTGTGGAGCACTTTTTGACGAGTACTTCAGGCTCCAACCCAATCAGGCCGCCTATATCCTCACATATGTCTTCGAGGACATCGGAGTCAACCAGGAACCCGGTCGTCTCGCCCAACTTCAGCAATCCAGCGAGGCACGACAGCAGCCCACGGAAAGCCGAGCCTTTAATGCCAATCGACTTCAAAGCTGAGCGGAAGTCTTCAGCCGCTGCTGCGTCATCGGCTGTTGGTAGGTATGTGGGCGGATCGTAGCATCCAGATCTATTCAACAAGGTGTATTTGGATGGATGTTGCAAACCCAGGAACTCGCGCTCAGCCGGAGTCGATGCTGATGTCAGGAGATAGTAGAAGACATCAAAAGCACGATGACCAGGTTCGGATGGGATTTTTAGCAGGCCCCTTTCCACGTCTATCCCTGAGCCAGACAGGGCGAGCGTAAATCCGGTCACTGTCCCTGTCAAAGTGACGGTATATTTGGCAGCAAGAGAGGATTGTCTGTATGTTGTCGAGTTGAGGGGCGTGACACAGGAGAGGAAGGGGCGCAAAGCCGATAGAGCAGTGTATGCGATCTCTGGAGTGGGCAGGGGCATGACCTGCAGAAATGCTTGGAAGAGCGAGGGTGTCGAGGGGTGCAAGGACCCCAGAATGATACATCCATCCTCAGCTCTTCGTCTGGCATGTTCCCAAGCTCTTGCAGCAATATCCGCGTCCACAGTGCCTCCCAACCGTCCCTGGGCATCAGGATTGATTGCACTCAACCAAGTATTGACCACAACGCTCGTGCTCGAGTCGAGTTGGTATGTTTGCCCGGAGGCATATATTGTGTGCAGGGAGTTGAGAAGAGTAGTCGTCGAGACTTGGGTAGGCTGTTGGGCCGCTGTTCGTGCAGCACCAACTTGCGAAGAGTTGTTCGAGTATGTCGAGTAGCGGTTGGCCATGTTGAGGCGAAATTGGGCCCCTGTCGACCCCTTTGCTCGACAGGGCCTCCGTCAACCGTTCGAAGTATTGATTAATATGCAGAACAACGCCGCCCGTAGGTGGAAGCCTCCTCTTGCAGATTTATACCGTCAGTCTCAGCGTTTGAACAAGGCCGAGATCGTGGATGGTTCAACGAAGGGATGGAACAGCAGAGCGAGTCGTGTCAAATCGTCAATGCAACATTTCAGAATGCAAAAAGTGAATGGGAGAGAACTCCAAAGTAATGGACTGGCAGATGCTGCTTGGATCTGCTGCAAATAGATTGAACAATGTAAGCGAGAGTAATGTTGGTATGTCAACGAAGGTGCAGAGGGTGAGCGAAGGGAGCAGGAGGAGGTTGTCGCAGCAAGCGAGCAAGGCCACGATATGGGCCCCGAACATGGCGGAGTGCATCCAAACGGTTGTTTTTCCAGGTTAGGGAGTGTGTATCGAGCATTACCATTACTGCAGCCTGACAACCGAATATTGACCCCTGCCCAGCTTCTCCTCGATCCGCAGCCACGGTCACGCTGGGTCAAGAATAGCACCCAATCTGCTACGCCACCTTGGTCTGGGCACCCTTTTCCGGGCACTTGAGCCCCGGACCTGTTATGGGCGTTATACTGCTCTAGGCCTAAGCCATTCGGGTTGCTGCAGGGGAGCCCGGGAGGCTAAACAGCCCGTCAATCTTGCCCAGGCCAATCACACCAACGGTCAATGAGCTCCGGGGCAACGGACAGGGAAAGAGTCAACAAAGCCGCATGTCAAGCTCGCGTCAAGAGTCTGATGGCTTCAAGACACTTTACGTACGACGCAGTGACAAGTGCCCGACACCTCCCTCATGATCGTCGTCTCCGGTGTCATATTTGGAGATGAGACAGGGAAATGGACTCGGAGCAACGCACATGGTGAGATGTTTGGTGGAAGAGCAGAAAAAACGATTCTCGCGTCCTAGTTTCAGTTTGTTCCCACTCATTGCCCATGGTGTGGTGTCCGGGTTGCGCAGGGTATTTTTCGCCTCAAACCAGCGCAGGCCCAAGCCCCGGCGCAGTCACGTGACGGCCTCTCGGTCAGCATGTGGCACGCTTCTGCACCGTCTCGCTCACCTGCAGAATGCATGCTGCATGTCCACTCGCATTTGTCTCAGTTGGTCTTATCGGCGACCGGGCTGCATGTGTGCGCCCGTGGTCAGCCACCAGCTATTGCGATTCCGAAGATGTGGTCACTCGCTTATCACCAGAGGAAAAAAAAGGATGAGTTGTAGGGAAATCCTCGTCGTTTGTAGTGTGCCTCAACCGGGGAAATTCGTGTGGAGAGAGAGGCAGAGAAAAGGAGCACCGCCCGTAACAAAAGAACCGCTATGAAATTTTTAATGCTGGAGCTCCCCTTTCTTGCCCTGGTGCTTCTGGCCTCGGACTGGGGCGTTTTCACATAGACGAGGTACGTAAGGACGTCGTTATGTTGCGTTACGTCGGAGATGCCAAAACGCAGGACCGAACCCAAAAGGCATGTAGTGACCGTTCTGTTGGCTGCAAACCGAGTGTGTGTATGGAGTATGCCTCCCATCTCCGTTATTATTGGATGGCGGCGTGTGCATTTACTGAGCGATGGGCATCATCCCCAACCTCCCGGTATACCTAGTAGCACAGTCCAATGCTCTTTCGAATGGCCGCGCAACAACTCCGAGTGATGACCAGTCCGACCTCGACAGACTCCGTAGAGGAAGGCTCGAAGGTGGCCGTAAAGGTAACCAGGTAGCTCGGTAGGGTGTGCATGACAATAAGCCAGTTTGCAAGTGAGGTGACCAACTGACAAGACGGTCATCATCAATCCTATACTTGGGACTCGGTACACTATACTAGGTTTCTTATATGTCAGCATCAAAGGACGGTACGGCCAGATTCGACATCCACGGCGACATTCTCGGTGCTGGAGAAGGAAATGTGAGGGCCGGCTGCGGTGCGGCGCAGTGTGTGCTCAGTGCTCACTGGCACTGCCAAGTTGGTGAGATCTCAGACAATGAAAAAACCTAAACTGGTAGCATGCTGGGGTCTCAAAATGACCCGTTGGGTGATCCTGTTGTAATGACGATTACGAACTCCGCCCCGGTCTCTCTATCCACCAAATGCCACAGTACTGTACTTGCAGGCCGATCGAACCCCCCTGCGCGAGCCCGACTTTGTTGCTCTCGCTGTTCGATCATCTTCACTTACTTCACGTTGATTTTATGTATTTTGGTTCTTTCAACTACTCTCTTTGCTACGATTTGACGATCTCTCGCTATATTTCTCTCGCTCTGCATATTTGCTTATACCGGCACACATTGACGCTCGTTGCCTCCAACGTTTGCTGTTGCAAAATCGAAAGCCTCCTGTCCCAAGTCAACAATAGCCCGACCGCGCAACTTCGTTCCATGAATTGAGGTGTTTGACTACCGGCACGGCGTGTGAGCCGAATAGTGGCTCGTCTGTGGACAGAGTTTGACGCGTCCGATACCTCTCAGTCAGAATGGCTGCTCGTGGCAATGTTCCTGCTCATCTACAGGCTTCCTTGCCTACACTTCCTCCTCATTTGCAATCGGATACCCATTTGACAGCCCACCTTGCAAGCCGATTCCATGTCTCTCTTCCTACGGCAAGGTTATCATCACAGGCATTGATATGCCTCAATACGTATACCTCGTCAACCAGGGGTCCAAATGGTGAAAAGGAGGGGAGTGCCATGGGCGAGGCCGAGGATCTCGCCCGTAGGGCATGGGCACGACTGGGAAATAGAGCAGAAGATCAGGCTATTGTCTTTTTGTATGTCTGCCCAGCGGCAACGTGGCATTGAAATCCTGCTAATTGTGCGACAGTGGAGAGTCTGGTTCAGGCAAAACGACTGTCAGATCGCACTTGCTTTCCTCCTTCCTTTCGTTCTCCTCCACACCACTATCCTCCAAACTGTCCCTTGCCGCCTTCGTCTTCGATACCTTGACCACGACCAAAACCACCACCACTCAAACAGCATCAAAAGCTGGATTGTATTATGAGCTACAATATGATGCCTCGTCATCGATTCCCACCCTCATTGGAGGCAAACTGTTAGACCATCGCTTGGAAAGGAGTCGAATTTCACATGTGCCGACCGGCGAAAGGAGCTTTCATGTGCTGTACTATCTTCTGGCCGGAACAAGTGCGGCAGAGAAGTCTCATCTTGGTCTCAACGGACACACAAACATCACGACGTCCGGCACTGGCCTGACAAGGTCTGCGTCTGTCGCACAGAAACGATGGAGATATCTTGGGCATCCAACGCAAATGAAGGTGGGCATCAATGATGCCGAAGGCTTCCAGCACTTCAAGACGGCTTTGCGAAAGCTGGAATTCCCCAGAGCTGAAATCGCCGAAATATGTCAAGTTCTTGCTGCTATTTTGCACATCGGCCAGCTCGAATTTGGCACCGGTCAGGCCACGTTAACTGCGGCCGAAGAAAGTGGTGGATACTCTCACGAAGGTGGCGAGACAGTCACGGTCGTCAAGAACACGGACACTTTGGCTCTGGTCGCGGCGTTTCTGGGACTGAGCGTCCAGGATCTGGAAGAAAGCATGAGGCACAAGACAAAAACACTCCACCGAGAACGTGTCACTGTCATGTTGGATCCTAAGGGCGCTCGAGAAAACGCCGATGAACTTGCAACCACCTTGTACTCGCTCCTGGTTGCATATATTATTGAAAGCATCAACCAAAGGATCTGTGCTGCAGAAGACGCTGTTGCCAACACCGTCTCCATTGTCGACTTCCCGGGTTTTGCGGACCACTCTTCCACCGGATCTGTTCTAGATCAGTTGTTGAACAATGCTGCAAATGAGTCGCTCTACAATACTTGCCTCCACGGCTTCTTCGAAAAGACAGCCGAGATGCTCGAAAGCGAAGAAGTCAGTGTGCCTGCAACCAGTTATTTCGATAATTCGGACGCTGTCCGTGGTCTCCTCAAGCATGGCAACGGATTGCTTGCCATACTTGATGATCAAACACGTCGTGGTCGTACTGACACCCAATTTTTAGACAGCATTCGAAAGCGTTTCGAGAACAAGAATAAGGCGATTACGGTGAGCAGCGCCACTACCACCCTGCCAGGAAGCAATTTCGCTACGACAAATCTCGCAGCATCCTTCACCGTGCGTCACTATGCCGGTGAGGTGGATTATCCTGTCAATCGCTTGGTCGAAGAAAACGGCGATGTGGTCTCGGGAGACTTGATGAACATGGTCAGGGCTACTAAGAGTGACTTTGTGGCTAGCCTGTTCGGTCAAGAAGCCTTGAACACCATTAGCCATCCCTCAGAGAAGACAGCTATCGTGCAGGCACAGGTCAGCTCGAAGCCGTTACGCATGCCCAGTCTTTCCCGAAAGAAGCATGACCAACTGCGCCGGATGGGCAGTCGAAGAGCAGACCGCTCGCCTGCTTTACAGGAAGATACAGAATCGACACATGCTCTAGAGGAGGCCAGAACCAGAAAAACAAAGGCTTCAGCAACAGGCCTGACTCAGGGTGCAGCTGCACAGTTCCTGTCGTCTTTGGACAACATCACCAAATCACTGACTGCACCAAATGTCAACAACTACTTCGTGTTTTGTTTGAAACCAAATGATAGGCGGATCGCCAATCAATTCGATAGCAAGTGTGTTCGTCAGCAGGTTCAGATGTTTGGAATACCCGAAATCAGTCAACGACTTCGGACGGCTGATTTCAGTGTCTTCCTTCCATTCGGTGAATTTCTGGGGCTGACTGACGCCGACCCTGGCGTCGTTGGAAGCGATCGCGAGAAGGCACAGGTTGTCCTGGATACCAAACAGTGGCCCGGGAATGAGGCGCGAATTGGTAACACTGGTGTTTTCCTCAGCGAACGCTGCTGGGCGAGCATTGCCCTCACTGGATCTCAGAGCACCGCCTACTTTGGCGGCGAAGTTCCCGCAATTTCCAGGCCTGATACTCCGAGCCTCAACCCCTTTAATGATTCCAAGGCTCGATTAGTTGCCTCACACGAAGGAACTCCCGGCTCCTTCTATGGCGATGAAACAAAAGGAGGCTACTTCGGCAGTCGAGAACTTGACGCCAAATCTGATGCTGGCGCCTCAGCCTTCAACTCTGGGGATATGTTCCGCAACCTCGAAACCAAAGAAGAACTGGCCGAAAAAGGCAACAGAAAGAAGATGGAAGAAGTCGATGTTGTACCCGTTTCGTCTTCACGCAAGAGGTGGCTGGCGATTGTGTACTTCCTTACTTGGTACCTCCCAGATTTTGCTATCAAGTGGGGTGGTGGGATGAAACGCAAAGATGTGAGAATCGCATGGAGGGAGAAGTTCGCGATCAACATCCTCATCTGGATCAGCTGCCTCTTCGTGGCGTTCTTCATCGTCGTTTTCCCCCAGCTCATCTGTCCGAAGCAAAACGTGTACTCCGCGGCAGAACTGTCATCGCACGATGGCAAGAATGGTCACAGCGCTTATACGGCTATACGAGGTGTGGTGCTCGATCTAGGTGCTTTCGCACCTTCCCACTATCCGAGTATCATCCCGCAAACGTCACTGGAGAAATACGCTGGTCTCGACTCAACTGGCATGTTCCCCGTTCAGGTCTCGGCCCTTTGTCAAGGAAAAGACGGCCGAGTGGATCCTACGGTTCAGTTGGACTATACGACAACGAACATCACAGGTTCTGCTACAGTCATCAGCAGCACTGACCCGAATCGCCGGTACCACGACTTCCGCTATTTCACCAATGATTCCCGCCCAGATTGGTTTTTTGAGCAGATGATCATGTTGAAATCCAACTACAAGAAAGGAAGTATCGGATATACTCCACAATATGTGCACACCCTTGCCAAAAAATCACACTCGATAGCGATATTGAACGGCAGAGTGTACGACTTCACCACCTACAACCAAGGTGGCCGCAGCACCAGGGCTCCTCCAGGTCAGACAGTTCCATCCGGGGTTGACACGGACTTTATGGATGACCTTGTGGTTGAACTGTTCACGCAACGAGCCGGACAAGACGTCACTAAATACTGGAATGCTCTTTCTTTGGACTCTGGGTTGAGGAGTCGAATGCAGCTTTGTCTTGACAATTTGTTCTTTGTTGGAGTCACGGATACCAGAAACTCGGCACAATGTCTCTTCGCCCGGTATATCCTCCTGGCTATCTCCATCCTGCTTTGTACTGTGATTGGCTTCAAGTTTTTGGCTGCGCTTCAGTTCGGAGGCAAGAACATACCTGAAAATCTCGACAAGTTCGTCATCTGCCAGGTTCCCGCCTACACGGAAGACGAAGAATCTCTTCGGCGAGCTATCGACTCAGCAGCGCGGATGCGATATGACGACAAACGCAAATTGCTCATCGTGGTCTGCGACGGTATGATTATCGGTCAAGGAAACGACCGACCGACACCTCGCATTGTCCTCGATATCTTGGGAGTGTCGGAAACAGTCGATCCAGAACCACTGAGCTTCGAATCTCTGGGTGAAGGTATGAAGCAACACAACATGGGCAAGGTATACTCTGGCCTGTACGAAGTGCAAGGACACATTGTTCCGTTCTTGGTGGTTGTCAAGGTCGGGAAACCCTCCGAAGTGTCCAAGCCTGGGAACAGAGGCAAGCGTGACTCCCAGATGGTCATCATGCGCTTCCTCAACCGAGTTCATTACAATATGCCCATGAGCCCGCTAGAACTGGAGATGCATCACCAGATCAGAAACATCATCGGAGTCAATCCAACGTTCTACGAATTCATGCTGCAGATCGATGCCGATACGGTTGTGGCTCCCGACTCGGCTACTCGCATGGTTTCATCATTCCTACGCGACACGAGGCTGATAGCTGTTTGCGGCGAGACTTCGCTGTCCAACGCGAAAGCATCCTTCATCACGATGATGCAGGTTTACGAGTACTACATTTCGCACAATCTCACCAAGGCATTCGAGTCCCTATTCGGTTCCGTCACTTGTCTACCGGGTTGTTTCACCATGTATCGAATCCGGGCCGCAGAGACGGGAAAGCCACTCTTTGTGAGCAAGGAAATCATCGAAGACTACTCTGAAATCCGAGTCGACACGTTGCACATGAAGAATCTGTTGCATCTGGGCGAAGATCGATACCTGACTACGCTTCTCTTGAAACATCATTCCAAATACAAGACCAAATACATCTTCCACGCCCACGCCTGGACCATTGCTCCTGACAGTTGGAAAGTGTTCATGTCTCAGCGACGTCGATGGATCAACAGTACTGTTCACAACCTGGTTGAATTGCTACCGTTGCAGCAATTGTGCGGCTTCTGCTGTTTCAGTATGCGGTTTGTCGTCTTCCTGGATTTGTTGTCGACAGTAATCGCGCCGGTCACGGTAGCTTATATTGTCTATCTGATCGTGCTTCTCTCCACGTCTTCCGACGTTATCCCACTGACCGCATTCATCTTATTGGGAGCAATCTATGGGTTGCAAGCCATTATCTTCATCCTCCGCCGCAAGTGGGAAATGATCGGGTGGATGATTGTGTACATCCTAGCCATGCCCGTCTTCTCTCTGGGCCTGCCTCTGTACTCATTCTGGCACATGGACGACTTCAGCTGGGGTAATACGCGTCTGGTGACTGGTGAAAAGGGTAAACAGATTTTGATCTCCGACGAGGGCAAATTCGACCCCGGCTCGATCCCGAAGAAGAAATGGGAAGAGTACCAAGCAGAACTATGGGATGCTCAAACCCAGCGGGACGACGAAAGATCCGAGATCTCGGGTTACAGCTACGGGACCAAGTCGTACCACCCTGCCGGGTCCGTCTACGGCGGTGGCCCTGGGGTCTATGAAAGCACCGCACACCTCATGGCTCCTTCAAGATCTGTGTCACAGCTCGACATACATCCGCCGATGTATGAGAGGGGGTACAGCCATTCCAGGATGTCTCTCGCTCCTTCGGACATGTTGGGTGGTGGCATGATGGCAGGAGGTCAATCTGTTGCCGACATGGACATGGCCGATTTGACCGGATTGCCCACTGATGATATGATCCTGAACGAAATCCGGGACATACTCAAGACGGCGGACCTCATGACCGTGACGAAGAAGGGTATCAAGCAAGAATTGGAGCGGCGATTCAACGTGAATCTGGATGTTAAGCGAGCCTATATTGGAAGTGGTAAGTCGTGCCTATGACTCGAACTTTACAGAGAAACTAACTTCTGGTGCAGCAACGGAAGCCATTCTCTCCGGTCAGCTGTGATTTATCCCGCATAGTCTAGCGTATGTCCTGATCTAGCGACATGTTTCAACAATGGCAGATTGCAGGAGTTCAGGATGACCAAAAGAAATGGGCGGCATTGGTATGCATTATTAGGTACAGGAGAAGGGACTCCATGGCTAGCTATAATCTCTTGGAGAGCGATGGATTGCATTTGTAATTGACAGGGAGAAGGACATCAACATAGCATAGATGTAGCAGGATCTCCAGGAATCTGACGTGTGTACCAAGTTTTGTGCCCTTTTTGGTTGCCTTCTGAGCTGCTGGGGGAGTCTGCGATACGTACGGCTCTCCTGCCAACTTCTGTAGCCGTACACTGGTGCTATGCGGAAATCCTAGCCTACAAATCACTCGAGGATCAAACCAAGACTTTGGTTAGCGAAGTGGGAGGGCCATCAATGACGCCGAAGGCGGGTGTCGATAGGCAGGCAACTGGGCGAGCTGGACAAAGAACCTGAACAAGCTCACCAAGCTTTCAGTTGAAGCTTTTAATGGGGGCTCCAGAGGTCCCGCTCTAGGCGTCCCCAGCTGGGCCCAGGTGGCCCCGGGTGCCCCTAGCGCCCTTAAGCTCTCCGCTTTTGCAGGATGCTGTCATCATCATACACCCGCATATGCCAATGACGCCCAATCGACGCCTAGACCAACCAGCCTGCTGGGCATCCCTCACGCGATAAAGGATCGTTTTCACACTCCTAGGCCAATGACTGAGGGTGCTTGTTTGCGTCTTTGCAAGATTCAGGTCAGGCTTGCGCGGCCCTCATTTTCCTGGCCCCGTTCCTTCGCTCCCTTTGCGAACCCTTTGAAACCGCTTTGGAGAAACCTCGAACAAGAAATCCATCATTGCCCGAATTGCGATTCTGCCCAGCCTTTGCCACGACGCCCAGAATTGAAAAGCTGTCCCAGCGCCCTGGGGCCTTCAGACGGCGAACGCATTCTCTCCCCGAGTGATGCCACCGTAGAAACTCGCGTGACCACCACCACCACCACCACCACCACAACTTGCTGCCGCCATGATACCCAAGAAGATCTATGAGCTCTGCCAGAACGGCGAGTCGATCACTTCCGAACTCGCCAAAGATCCGTCCCTGTCCCCTCACGCGGCAGCCAAGAAGCTCTTTGGCATCGACTTCGACGATGAGGTCGTCACCAAGAAACTGGACCTGGGTAAGGAAGAACCGAGTGATCTGGAAGAGGCACGGAAGTGTGGGAAATGGGGCAATTCCAACCCCAGCGATCTGTTTCTGAGGGTGAGAAACCCAGCTGACTGCAATGATGCGGCAAGAACCGATGCTGACCCAGTTGCTAGATCTATCACGATGTCCTGTGCACACTGGAAAAGAATCCTCTGGTGGGCGTGTGCTCGCCGTCGCTGCTCGGAAGCAATGGAGTCTGCCCGCTCACAATCATGGCGACAGTTCCCGACATCTGCCGGCACATGTCCAACGTGATAGCGAGAGCCGAACAGGAGGTCTTCCTCGCGACCAACTTCTGGATGTACTCAGAACCCACCAGGCTGATTACCAATGCATTGAGAGAGCTTTCGAAAAAGGCCGTCCAGACGAACCGTCGGGTTGTCGTCAAGATCATCTACGACCGGGGAAGTGCGAAACAGGTGAGCTTCGGGTCCTGTGCGCACTCGTAAGTCGGTCTACTGACAGTACGAGTTTGTGAAAAACCACCTCATAGTGCCCCCGAGCGAATTTGCCGACCCCAATGGCAAAATTCGAATCCCTCATCCTGATGATCTGCCAAACATCGATATCGAAGTCATGAATTTCCACCGACCAATGTTCGGGACGTTCCACGCCAAATACATGGTCGTGGATCGCCGCATCGCCGTTTTACAAAGCAACAACATCCAAGATATCGACAACATGGAGATGATGACGCAGTTGGAAGGGCCAATCGTCGATTCATTCTATGATCTTGCCTTCATTTCGTGGCACAATGCGCTTAAACCACCTCTGCCGCTGTTGAGCCGGCCTGCTGCAGACTGCCCCATCCCCACGTTCTCGACTGACAGCTATGCGACCATGTTTAACGAGAATGGAAAGTTGGTCCCCGTTTACCAAGCGTAAGTTGGCTGCTCCGAGATATATGCTTGCACTACTGTCCTGACCCTGTCAAAGGCCCACGCCGATTCCTGACGGGCACGAGAGCCTGAGAGAGATTGCCGAGCATGGATCGCAGATGGACTTGCCCCAGCACACATCACAAGACCCCCATTATGATCCTGACATTAAGTCGGAGGTGCTGCGTGCCGTGGCTTTTTTGAAGCCACGCGAAGGAGAGGCAAGGATCAATGCAATCACCCGTCTCCTCAACACGACAATCCAACCTAACACGAAAGGGAGTGCACCGGATATTGAACCAGCCGACGCGATGACCCCTCTTATCCCGATACCGCGACATGACCCCTTCCCGATTGCTATGGTATGCCGACAGCCATGGGGAGCGCCCAACAAGCATTGCTTGCACACTCCGCAAAATGAGGCCTTCACGTCTGCCCTTCGCCATGCGACAAAGTCGGTTTTCATTCAGACACCTGACCTGAACGCCGAAGCCCTCCTGCCCGAAATTGTCGCGGCTTGCCGGCGAGGGGTCAAGGTCACCTACTACTATTGTCTGGGATATAACGACGCGGGAGAACTGCTGCCTATGCAGGGCGGGCACAACGAAATGATCGCGAACGGATTATACCGCGATGTGGGACCCGAACATCGCGACAACCTTGACATCTATGCCTACGTAGCCAAAGATCAAATCCACCCTATCCACAACAAATTCAAACAGCGGTCATGTCACATAAAATTGATGGTTGTGGACGACCACATTGGAATACAAGGCAACGGTAACCAAGACACGCAGAGCTGGTATCACAGCCAAGAAGTGAACGTCATGATCGATAGCCCGTTGGTGGTAGGAAAGTGGATGGAAGGAATCCGACAGAATCAAAACACGCACGTCTATGGGAAAGTCGAGAACGAGGGGCCTGATGCTGGATGTTGGAAGGACCCGAAGACTGGGCAGCAGGCTGAGGGCGCGATTGGTGTCGATCCAGGCAAGTTTGCGTGGGCCAAGGGCTTTGTCGGTGCGGTGCAACGGGTACGAGGGATGGGTGGATTTTGAGCTTTGTCGAGAGGAGGAGGCGCATTGACGGGGGATCAGATCTTGGTTCAAATATGCGAGGGTCATTCGGGAATCATAACGATGTTGTTGGCGTTGGAGAATATACGAGGGATGATCTCTGAACACAGGTATCTGTCTATCTCAATCTTGAATATCGAGCCTCGAGACTGTCGGAGAAATGATTTTCCGGATGCCGCCGGGCCTTCGGTTGCGACGCTTCATCAGCCATCACCATCCATATCCATCTCTGCGCCAGATTCAGCACTGACTCCTCTCCGTTGCACCATGCAGCGGAGCCCATGTTACTTGGCCCCTTCGGACAATCAGCCGCACTCAGCTGTAGATCCCTAGTGCTCAGCGTGCATCAAGTGCTCAGCAAGCAGTACTCGGTACAGGTGATATTGCAAGGGCCAGTTGATAGGCATGTTCCATTTCGGAGGCTCAACCCATTGCTTGGTTTTCAGGCCACAGACGGGTTTGTCCAACCACAACTTTGTCAATCGGCCGCCATGGAATCCGGATGCCTCAATCAACCTACCGGTTTGTGGTGCTCTGGCTATGGTTACACCGCCTCCAGCTAGCCGTTGAAGAGACGATGGGCAACATCGAAGGACGATGGGACCAGTGCTCACCAGTCAATGAGCGCAAGTATGCAAAAGAGAAAAATAGTCATATCTGGTGAGACACAGGCCCAAGTTTCGCAGCAGATATAGAGAGTATTTGATAGCAGACAATGTTGACGGCATCCCGCCAACTCGAACTTGCGGCTTCAATTCCGCACTGCATGAACATTGCCCCGAACTCTCGCAGGTCGACATGGGCATAACACAAGCCAAACTTTGTTCCACCTTGTTTGACGACAGCACGGCAGATGCATCGGCTCTCCAAAATCGCGACGCGACCTTGCCCTGAACTCGGTGTCGGGTTCTTTCCGGTGGATGTTGCAAGAGGAGGGTCTTGGGAGACACACAAGCACGCACATACATACGCGCAAGAGAGGGAACAGAAGACAGGCTTCACAGGAGAACCGCATCTCCCCCATCACTGCCTCGCTCCGCGTCAAACCGACACCGACATCGGCAATCGTTGAGCCCAAAAAATTCAACCCCACAAAGTCAGAGAACGCGTAGCAAGAGGAGGGACAACACCCCGCCCTTGTTCTTTTCTCATATGGTTATTAGTTCGAGCCTCGATGACTGGCTAGACAAGAGCCGAATCGATGCGCCATAACAATCCCCTGCCTGGCCTGGGACATTTACCCCATGGTCCAGTTGGTCCCTTTGCCGTCATGCTCGGCCAGCATCGGGACACTGCCGCCTCTCTCTCACGCTCACTCACTCACCTTTCTCTGATTGTGTTGTTGCCCATTGAACATTCCGGGGGAGAGTATTAAAATACCTGACTGACGAACTCGTCTCTGCTTTCTTTCGAGTTTCAGTTCTCACCCGTTGAGCATCACGTTTCTAGAGTTTCTAGAGTTTCCATTGTCACTTGAACGAGACCGTCCTCTGTATTTGACCGACAAGCCTACCTTCAAGACTGCCGACCACGTAGAGTAGAGGCCGACCTCAATTGAACAGAGACAACCAGTCGCAGACCCAGTTCCACCATGGGTTCCGTCGCGAAATCGTACGTCTGCTCCTGTCCGCGCTGATCGGGAGTGATGTCAAGACCGAACTGACCATGTCTCGACAACAGCGACTACACCACCTCCTACGCCTTCTTCGAGGCCATCTGGGAGGTAAGCCTGGCAGCCCTCGCTCGCCCTCTGGGGTGTTGATCACATCGCTGACCTGTTGAAACCCCTGTGCAGGCTGGCATCACCCATGTCTTTGTCAATCTGGGCTCGGACCACCCGTCCATCATCGAGGCCATCACCAAAGGCCAGAAGGAGAAGCAGGCAGACTTCCCCCGAATCATCACCTGCCCCAATGAGGTACGCAAGAGAGAGACGGAAAAACGGCAACTAAATGTGGTTGCAAGCCCCGAGGAAATGGGCTTGATTGCTAAGAAGCGAAAATTTGTATAGATGGTTGCGCTGTCCATGGCCGACGGCATGGCGAGGTTGACCAACAAACCCCAATGCGTCATTGTCCACGTCGACGTCGGGACCCAAGGCCTGGCCGCCGCCGTCCACAACGCCTCCTGCGGCCGTGCCCCGGTCCTCATCTTCGCCGGCCTCTCCCCCTACACGATCGAAGGCGAGTACCGCGGTTCGAGGACGGAGTACATACACTGGATACAAGATGTGCCGGACCAGAAACAGATCGTGGCGCAATACTGCAGATACACCGCCGAGATTAAAGGCGGCAGGAACGTCAAGCAAATCGTCAATCGAGCGCTACAGTTCGCGACCAGCGACCCCCAGGGTCCTGTCTATCTCTATGGAGCTCGCGAGCCGATGGAAGAGGACATCGAGCCGTACCATCTCGACCAGCAGGTCTGGAAACCCGTGGGACCTGCGGCCCTGCCACAAGAGGCCGTCGCGCTCGTCGCGCAGGAACTGGTCAAGGCCCGCGAACCTCTGCTGGTGGTGGGCTACACCGGCCGCAATCCAGCCTCGGTGGCAGCCGCCGTGTCTTTGGCGGACAAGATCCCCGGTCTTCGCGTCCTGGACACGGGAGGCTCCGACATGTGTTTCCCAACGGACCACCCGGCGGCGCTGGGCTTACGGTATGGAGCGGACCCGGCCATCACGACGGCGGATTTCATCCTGGTGGTGGACTGCGACGTGCCGTGGATTCCGACGCAGTGCAGGCCGAGGCCGGACGCCAGGATCGTCCACATTGACGTCGACGTGCTGAAGCGGCAAATGCCCGTCTTCTACATCCCGGCCTACGCGCGCTTCAGCGCCGATTCCGCGACCTCCTTCACCCAGCTGAACGACTACCTGGCTTCCAACTCGGAACTTTCCGCGGCCTTGTCGGACGAGGCTCACACCGCCGCGGCACGGAAGAGACAAGAAGCACACACGGCGCGCTGGAGCCAGTTCAGGGAGCTGGCCAAGGTCCCCGCCGACCCGGCGAGCACGGCCATCAATCCGCACGTGCTGGGCGGGCAGATCAGGGCGGCGGTGCCCCAGGACACCATCTTCGCCGTCGAAGCCGTCACGCTGAGCACCTTCATCGCCGACCAGATCGCGCCGGTGCAGCCCAAGACGTGGATCAACTGCGGCGGCGGCGGGCTGGGGTGGTCGGGCGGCGGGGCGCTGGGGATCAAGCTGGCGTCGGACTTTGCGCACCGCGAGGGCGACCGCTTCGGGGCCAACCGGGGCAAGTTCGTGTGCCAGATCGTCGGGGACGGCACGTTCATGTTCTCGGTGCCCGGGTCCGTGTACTGGATCGCCCAGCGCTACGGCATCCCCATCCTGACGGTCGTGCTGAACAACAAGGGCTGGAACGCCCCCCGTCGCTCCATGCTCCTGGTCCACCCGCACGGCGAGGGCAGCAAGGTCGACAACAAGACCCTCAACATCAGCTTCGAGCCCACCCCGGACTACGCGGGCATCGCCAAGGCGGCCACGGGCGGCCACGCCTGGGCCGGCACCGTCAGCACCGTGGCCGAGCTGCTGGACGCGCTGCCCCAGGCCGTCGCGGCCGTCAAGGGAGGCAGGTGTGCCATCCTCGAGGTCAAGCTTGGGGCCGAGCTGCCCGTGGCGGCGAAGCAGGGCGATGTCAAGATGGAGGAAGTCGCCGCGAGCAGTGGGTAGGTACTGGCGGAGGGAAGGACAAATAAGCGGACACAAGGAGCTCTCTGGGTGTGTGTCAGGTGGGTATATCTAGTAGGCAACGAATGTATAAATGTCTGGTGATCCCGCATGAGCAAGACATGTCTGCCGCTCAGGGTGTAGAGGAGCACTGGCATTGAGAAGAGCCGCCCATCGCGGCACGCAGAACATGGCTATATGCTGACGTAGTCTATTAGTACCCGGTAGTGTTTGAACGAACCTAACGCTGTATGCACTAAAGGGGGTATTTGCTGCTTGGTTTTTGAATTCCCAGCCTTCTTTCAGAAGGGAACGCATCAACGAAACGCTAATAGAGGAGGAGGCAGGACTACAGCCCTTCCAGGGAAGCAAGCGAGCAAAAGCACTTGGTTCTGGTCCGTGGTTGGCAACCAAAATTAGGAGGAAAGCGGGAAAATGGCACATGCTAAAAACGCGAACAATCAAGCACTTCTCGGCCTTGTCAGGCATATGCATTTTCATTCGACCAACACAGACAAAACGGGGGGAGGCAAGCCCTCAGTACCTGGACGAATGAACTGGAGAGTCGAGACAAGGTGTGATCAAACCCTCCGCCTGGTAGACGGGGAGATGGTTGACGGTTGATGGCAGACGGTGGACGGTCGATGCGGGATAGTCGAGTCAATACAGTACGAGGTCCCGTATCGGCAACAACTGTCAGGATCCAGGAGCTCCATTCACCTAAATAGGCGACGGAAGATTTCATTCAATCGAGCGCATATCCCTGATTGGTAAGATGCGTGCATCGGGAGAAAGCCAGGCCCCCTCGCGCATGTGTTGGGCGGGGGTTCTAGAAGCACGGACGATGGTGAGGGCGAGGGCGAGGGCGAGGGTGAGGTGGATGGTCGGCGCTAGAAAACCCGTCATGGGACGACCATGGAAGGAGGCGGAGGAGGCTGAGGAGGCGTTGTCGTCCAAGGGTACGAGGGTGTTGAATGCGGTGGTAGAGAGCGACGGATACGCACACACACAACTCGCTCACTCACTTCACTCGCTCTATCAGTGGCTGGCTGAGTGATTTGACTTCCCTGCATTCCGCCGGGCTCATTCTCCCCTTTGCGTATCGAGTGGAGAGCTTGGAGGGGCGCAGAAGGAGGGGGGGGAGGGGGGAAGAGAGAAATGACGAAAGCAGTAATTGGTAGGGCCATCGTGCATGGAAGCTGTGGAGACTCTATGGCGGGAAATGCATGTGCGAGTCAGATGGGAAGTATGAAGAGAAGACAGAGAGGGTAAGGAGGAGGGTGTACTATTCCCTGCGAGAAAGATGCCCTTGCGAGAGAGGGAGGGGAGTCAGCGAGAGTGACACAGACAAAGACACCGACCTCGTGCATGGCGGAAGGACGTCTCCAGCTCGTGCCTTAACCTGCGAGAGCGAGCCCATCCCTCTGTGCATCTTGCCATGCTCTTGTCCCCTTCCACCACTTCTTATCGAACGAGTCCTCGTATTCTAGGGCTTCAAAGGCCCCATCTCCTAGCGGCATGCACGGAAACCCTCTGGAAGCTTTCTCATCCTGGAGTCCGCGCCCCCATCTTGTTTTGTTTTTTTTCGCCATCGGAGCCAAGGATTCTGGAAGAACGCGGCGCCGTCCCTAGATAGGTCTAAGGAGATAATAAGACACAGGTGGGGTGGATGGACTAAGATGGGATGGGAACGGGAGCAAATCGCAGAGGAAGGGTTGGGATTGGCACTATCGGCGAGGAAAGGAGAACGGAATGGATGGATGGATGTGAGAGTGAGTGAGTGAGTGAGTGAGTAAATGGGGAACGGAGTGTGTGTGTACCACCCAAAACACTCGTACAGACCTACCTCGTTCTTCTCTAGTTCCTGACCGTTGCAGTTACAGTATGTACTCGGTACCTCCCAACACCAAGCGCCAAGGTCCAGGTTGGCATTGGCTGCGGACTGGAAGAAGGAGTTGTAAGTGAAGCTTGTGGCTGCAGGCTACAGGCCGCCGTTGGATTTGCGGTGTGAAGTGACAGTCTGGGTACCCCAACTGGTCCTCGACTCAGGTATTGTCTCTAGGTACCTAGGGAGTGACTACCTGTAGCTAAATGCCGGGTAGGGACACGGTAACAAATCTTAAATCCCACAGTTACATAAATTAGCACCCAAGTAGCGTGTGGCTGTTGAGGTGGCTAGGAACACAGATAGGTCGAGGCTAAGTAGGTAGGCTTCGACGTTAGGAAATCAAGCAGATTGGGCATTGGCGCTCAGCGCGGAGTTCTGGGGCATCGATGGTTCAACCGAGGACGAACAGATCGGGATGGAATGAAATACAGTAGTGCAATCATCGTATAGCTGACGATGGTACGACTAACAACTAGACAGCCAGCACATCATGGATACGACTTGAATGGGAGACCTCTGCAGACAGCGAGGGAAAGGGCGATAGACATGGGTGCCTGTTCAGGTCTTGAGGCGGCACACTGAGTGCTCAGCAAATGGCAAAAAATGTAATAACATTCTTTGTTATGGATGGTGAGATGATGTGATGGTCATTCCCCTCCTACTACCGCTTACTGCCTGTCAGGCCACCCTCAGGTCTGTCGGTCCTGTCTTGCTATTGAACAAAAAGTGTCAATTCCAACAGGTTTCTCCTCACCCTGCTAAGCATCAAACTCGCATCTCGAGAACAAAATCGCAGGATCAAAACAACCAGCATGAGGCCGGTCAGAAAAGACCGCAGCAAAGATCTGGCTCCCGAGCTGCCGCAGATGCCGCCCGATCCGTCCGTCTAGAAGACGGAGCCCTTCCTCTCAACATCCGCAACGATCTCCTTGTTGAGAACACCGCCCTCGTTGCCCATCGTCTCAGCGAAAGTCTTGGTAGGCTTCCACTTGGCCGAGGTGCGAGGGGTTGTCTCTTCCATCATCTTGTCAACTTGTTCCAATGTCAAACCCTTGGTCTCGGGCACGAGGAGGTACGAGTAGACGAAAGCGCAGGTGCACAGACCGCCCCAAATGAAGAAGACGGAGGATCGCAGGTTGCCCTTGTCCGGGTTGACCATGTAGGGGGTAATGACGGCAATGATCTGAGGAGAAGTCAGTTTACGGTCGCAAACAACCACGCATGGCGGCGCGGAAGGCTACTTACAGTGTTCCAGAGCCAGTTAGAGGCGGTCGAAAGACCCACACCGCGGGAACGGATCGGGAGAGGGAAGATCTCTCCGATCAAAATCCAAGCGCCAGGACCCCAAGTCGAGGCAAAGAAGAAGATGAAGATGGCAATAAAGGCAATCTGGGCATTGACGGCCGAGATGTTGTTGGCAATGCTGTCGCCGTTGGCGTTGGTGTGGGTGTGATTGAAGCCGACCGTCACACCGATGATGGCCACGAGGAATTGGCAAACAAGCATGCCGAGAGCGCCATAGACGAGCAGAGGGCGGCGGCCGAATTTCTCCACGGTGTAGAAAGAGATCGGGGTGGAGCAGACGTTGACCAGCGTGAAGATCAGGGAAATCAAGAAGGTGTTGGAAATGGCTCCGGTGGATTGGAGGAAAGGCGTCGAGTAGTAGAAGATGAAGTTGACACCAGTCCTGTAGTGATCAGGAACGTTAGCTAACTGCAATACCGAGGGGAGAACAGCTCAAAATTCGCTCGCCGGGGAACACTCACCATTGCTGCATCATCTGCAACGAAGTACCGAGAATGGTACGACGGAGATTGGACTTTTGGTTGCGGAGACCGCCCTTGAAGCAGTTGTGCCAGCTAGAGAACCAGCCGGTGGATGGAATCATCTCCCGCTCGTATTCGTCGTTGGCGATGATCTCGGCAATCTCGACTTGGATATACTCGGAATCGGTGGGCTGACCACGGAGGCGAGAGAGTGATTGCATAGCCTTCTCGATACGGCCTCTCTTGACAAAGTATCGAGGAGAGTCAGGAAGGAACATCAGACCACCGCCGAGAATCAGACCCCAGGCAAATTGGATACCAATGGGGATTCGGTAGGAACCAGTGTCTCCTCGGTGCTCGGTGGCATAATCAACACAGGAGGCCAAAAGCAGACCAATTGTGATGCAGAATTGATATCCAGCCACGAGGGCACCGCGAACCTTTCTGGGGCACTGCAGACACGCGACGGTTAGCTGGGGAGAGACATATAGAGCGTGCTGTCACCACTTACGATTTCGCTCATGTACAAGATCACAGTGGCGCTCTCGAAACCGACACCGAAACCGGCAATCAGACGACCCGCGACAATGACACCGAGACCGTGGCCAGGGCCTGTGATCATTTGAATAACGACACCAATAATATAGATGAGGCAGCCCAGGATGACAGTCCATTTTCGGCCAATGATATCAGCGACATCACCGGCGATGATGGCGCCAAAGAAGGTACCGCACGAGAGGATGGAGACGATCAGAGACTGGTGGGGGGACGAGAGAGCCGTGGCATCAGGGCCTTCGACGATATGGATGAACTCCTTGACGCCATTGACGCCGTTGATGTATCCGGAGTCATAACCAAAAAAGATACCGCCAAAGGACGCGAAGGCACAGATGAGGTAGGCTTTCCAGGTCACTGGAGCCTCGACGCGATTGACGTCGTTGGTGGTAGAGAGGGCACGAATCTCGCCCGGCATGTTGGACTCTTTGGAGGGGGCTGAAACAAGAGAAAGAGCAAAGAAGTGCTTGACAAGAAGTCAAGAAGGAGACAAGAGGGACAAGCTTCTCAGACGAGGAGGCAGCGTCTCTTTAAAGAAAGCTTTGGGCAGAGGCAAAAAACCCAGGGAAGTCACAAATGCAATGGAACTCTGGAGCTTTCACTAACTTTGTGGCTTGTTACTGGTCACACGCCCAGGAGGGGGATCAGGGTGTGGAGAGGGGCCATCTGCTGCAGGTGATTGATATGAGGAATTCCTAATCTGAATGGAGGGCCATGACCCATGGGGAGGGCGGTCGAGACTGGCAGAGGAGAGGGCGTGTTGTTCACACGGTGGCAGCCCCTCCATCGACATGGAGATTTTCTGGGAAAGAATCTCCAGATGGAATTTGAGTGGCCGGGCAATCGAGGCAACCCACAGTGACCATGACAAGGGGAAATGTGGGTTAGTAGCGTGCCAGCGTGCCATCGCCAGAATTTTAGTTGCCCCCGTGATATAGGTGTTTTGGTGAAGAGGCCGCATTCCATTGGAAGGACCGGGTCACCCTGCAAAACGCGGAGTTACGGAGTTGGTCCAGTTTTGTTTGCCCGCCTCGCCGTCAGCCCCGCGCACAAGCCAACGAGGCTCTCCAAGCCGAGCGCTTTACTGTTGATCCACGGGCTTGCCGCTGGCCTCCACCGCATCCCAGTTGCAACCTGTGGGTGATGTTCGGCGACCTGCCCCAAACAGGACTAAAGGCCTCCAGGGTGGCTGAACGACAGCCTTCTTTGAGACACCATCAGACGTCAGTGGCACCGGCTTTATTGGTCCCCGGGTGCTCGCCAGAAACTTTCAATATTGGCATCTTGACGTCCTTGTTTCCCTGCTCTGACTGGGCCGTGGTGATCCTTGTGAGTCCGTCTCTTTCTTGCTCAGTGGTTGGCTCCCAATTGAAGGAAACGGAATCCCAAGCCCAGCTCTTTTGACAGGGAACCCCCTCAATCCCCGTGGGGCAACATTGCTGCAACCAGCAATGGCTGATCGTTTAGCGCGCTGTAACGTTGGCCAGGGGAGGTCAAGGTCCGGGGAACGAAAAAAGCTTAGGCTGCTCGCAAAAAAAATCTCGTGAACTAACCTCGACCAAGGGCGGTGGTTCCGAGATTAGATTTGCGGCACTCGCTAAGCGGGGACAGGTGTGATCGTTGTTCTCATGGGTTTCGAGCGTAGAGCAAGTATTATTACATTGGGCATGACGATGAAGAGATTTTTGCAAGGCTGCTCTTGTAAAATTGACGTTGGGAACCGTGCGATCGTGCCCCGGAAGAGGGGAGGAATTGCAGCCAAAGACTAAAGCCAGTCGATGAGAAGAAGCCAATGCAGCCATCGGTCGATGCGAGGATGATAGACGATGATGGGTGATGGAAGTGATGTGAGTGATGACGACAATGTGAGAGGAACGAAGGAGGGGGCAAGAGCTAGAGCTGCTGCGTCAAAACACAGAGAGCCAGTGACGGGCAACGCACAGGACAATTTCCTCGGGTATTGGATGCTGGTGGTGGTAGCTTTGAGCCGGAACCTCATCCAGCTTGTGTGGTGCGGCTTGTAATAGCCACTACCAAATTGGTGACCATTGACCTTTGGCAGCAGTTGATCGCGAGCACAGTGGCGATCTCCAATCCTGCCTCGTTAGGCGTGTACAGGCAGAACCAGCTGTGACAAGCACGGACGTAGTACAAAGGCGCCCTTGGACATGCGCGTATAACCACCCATTATGGTATATGGGGGCCCGGAGCACTGGGGGCACCGGGGGCCCCTCCCTTACCTGCCTGAGTACCAGGTACAGGCACCAGCACATACCTAGGTTCGGATCTATTAGGTGCGCCATACACAGTTAGGCACTGACGTGCAGGCGCCCTCGGTGCCTCCCACCTTGCTGAGGTTGTTTCAGCGCGGTGAAATTATTCGGCTCACACTGCAAAAACCTTTTCCACCATCCCGTCATCATTACCTCGTATCCTCAAACTCCGTCTGGTGTGGCATTCTCGATGGCCAGATGCCACAAAAATGAGACAATGCAATTTTTCTCTGGTGGTTCAGCTCCACTTCAATCGGTGGTATGATTGATTACCTCCCTCCTGAATCCTTCTAGAATCATGCTCCTCTGGCATCTCATTGTCCTGTATCGAGTAGATGCCCATCTTGACTCCACTCCTACCACGCAACACAGGTTAGCACGGCCCGCCTCTGGATCTCACTAACGCACCCTGTATAGCGAAGATTTTCCGATGCTACCTCGCCATGACCGTTGTCGCCTCTTCCTGCTACTCCAGCACATGGACTCCGCGTGGTCATGCCCACACCTCGGCGCCCAACAGAATGTCCATATCGTAGCAGTGGTGGACTGTAACCCTCTCGCCTGCCAAACTGCCAACTGAGGTGCCTCCCATTTGCTCCTCAAGCAGAGCCTTGCCCCCATGGGGTTGCTGGCTCGCTGACGCCGCACTGTGTGTGGCAGCAGGATCGTGTTTGGGGATCTCAACGCTTCCACGCGCAGGATCTCGACCCGACGTGGATGTTCGCATCATCCAAACGCGTCGTGCTAGCCTGGATCCAAACGAGGTGTTGCATGATCGGGCTTCGCTGCTTACAAACTCCCAATGAAGATGACAGGCCGTGCAGGGACCGGAGCCTTGTGATGCCGAAGTTGATGCGAATGTGGCGTCAGTCTTTGCAGCGAAGTTCCGGACATGAGAGTCAAATTCCTGATAAGGAGCACCTTGGACACAGTTTGGCCTGCGCTTGTCCACCTTCGCGGCGGACTGGTCATGTACGCAAGGCAATTATGCTCCCCACAGAAGGGGGCGGACGCCGGGTGCATGAAAAAGCCAACATCTCATTTGCGACGATTGCGACTATTCCAGTACGAGCCTAAAATATGCTTCCACCCTGGCAACGGAGTGATGCTCCAGATAGGCAAGGCTGTCACGTCTAGATCCATGCAACGTGTGTCTAGACGCCGACCCGCCCGAGAACAGTCAAATGAGGCCATGTTGCTAAACGGAAAGCATCGCTCCCCTGTCAGGGAGTCTCAGAACGCCGTAGAGACTCTTCCCTACTTTAGATGAGTAGTTCAAATCAATTGGAGAGAGCATGATGCTTCGAGGCTCCTGGCCTGTGGCGGTGCGACAGCGCTGTAGGGAAGTTGTTGACTGCTTTGGGATTTCTGTACCTAGGTACCCTTCATAAACGTTTCCGGTTGTCTATGAAGATCACTAGGCGGTTTTTCTAAACCCAAAAGGCCTCCAAAGTAAACATCCTCGAGAAATGGACTCTCTGTCCTTCGTGTGAGTAGTCGGCATTTCCAGCACGGAGGATCACCTTCGAGGCATATCTCCATTGAGTGACTGCGGTAGGTGCCAAATACTCTGCTGTAGAGCGCATGGCGCCTCATATGCTCACCCGAATCACTTTACGCGCTCCGCGCGCGACGCGTCTCCTTGAAACGCGATTCCCCTTCCTCTAAATCCATGGCCCGCCCATCGATTCTCCTCTGCGCAGAACCTCCCTCAACTCTCGCTCACAGATAGGTCGTGCACAATGGCGCTCAGTACTACTCAGCTTCGCGATGAAGCGGTCCGCGACAGAATCAGACTCGCAACTGAGTTCCTCGACCCCACCGACGATGAAGCCCGATCCTATCGCGCCGACATCGTTCTGATGCTGAACCGTGGTCTGAGACGACTTGTGGTCAGCATTGACGACATTCGAGCCCATTCTCGAGAACTCGCCGACGGCATCCTGCACAAACCATTTGACTACTCCCTTGCCTTTGATGCGGCGTTGAAAAATGTCATTGGCACCATACCAAACCGTGCCCCTTTCGAGCAAGATGAAGACCGATTATATTACGTCGCATATTCGGGATCATTTGGAGAGAACACCTGCAATCCCAGGACACTGGGCAGTTCACTACTCAACAGAATGGTTTGTCTTGAAGGCATCGTCACAAAGTGCAGTCTCGTCAGACCAAAGGTTGTCAAAAGTGTGCACTGGAATGAGAAAAAGGGCACATTTATGTTTAGAGAATACCGGGATCAGACTATGAGTGCCAATGCACCCGCAAGTCTCAGTGTGTATCCACAGGAAGATGGAGAGGGAAATCCTGTATGTTGAGGATCTAACCGCCTAGTGCTGAAGTGATGCTAACTCCCGGTCAGTTGGTCACAGAGTACGGCTATTGTACCTACCGCGATCACCAAACAATCAGCATCCAAGAAATGCCTGAGCGAGCGCCGGCAGGCCAACTTCCCCGCAGCGTCGATGTTCTTCTCGACGACGACATGGTTGATCGGGTCAAGCCTGGGGACCGCATCCAGCTCGTGGGCATCTTCAGGTCTCTCGGGAATAGAAATGCTGGATCGGGATCTTCGATCTTTCGGACCCTCATCTTAGCCAACAATATCGTCCTCTTATCCTCAAAAGCCGGCGGAGGAATCGCTCAAGCCACGATCACGGATCAGGACGTGAGAAACATCAACAAAATGGCCCGAAAGCACAATGTATTCGACTTGCTGTCACAAAGTCTGGCGCCCAGTATCTATGGTCACGACTACATCAAGAAAGCAATCCTGCTCATGCTCTTGGGCGGAATGGAGAAGAACTTGCCAAATGGCACCCACTTGAGGGGCGACATCAACATCCTCATGGTGGGCGACCCTTCCACGGCCAAATCTCAGCTTCTTCGCTTCGTGCTCAACACCGCACCATTGGCAATTGCGACCACCGGCCGAGGCTCCTCCGGAGTTGGTCTTACCGCTGCTGTCACCTCCGACAAGGAGACCGGAGAAAGAAGGCTCGAAGCCGGTGCCATGGTTCTTGGAGACCGTGGTGTAGTGTGCATCGATGAATTTGACAAAATGAGCGATGTTGATCGTGTGGCCATCCACGAAGTCATGGAACAACAGACCGTCACCATTGCTAAAGCCGGTATCCATACCTCCCTGAACGCCAGATGCAGCGTCATTGCAGCCGCGAACCCCATTTTCGGCCAATATGACAGCAACAAAGATCCCCACAAGAATATTGCCCTTCCCGACTCCCTTTTGTCTCGTTTTGATCTCCTTTTCATCGTTACCGACGACATTGACGACACTAGAGATCGGGAGGTTTCCGAGCATGTCCTTCGCATGCACCAGTACCGCCAACCAGGGACTGAAGAGGGCGCTCCCGTCCGGGAACAGTCCAATCAAATGCTGGGGGTTGGCGTCCAAGAAGACCAGAATGCCAACCAAACGTCGCTCGTCTACGAGAAATTCAACGTGGTGCTTCATTCCGGTTTCATGGCCGGTGAAAGGACAAGAGGAAACAAGAAGGTTCAACCTGTCAGCATGGCCTTTATCAAGAAATATATTCAGTATTCAAAGAGTCGATGCAAGCCTGTACTGACAGAAGAGGCAAGTGAATATATAGTCAACGCCTACGCCAACCTTCGGAACGATGAACTACAGGCAAATAAGCGCAGAACCAGTCCCATGACAGCAAGAACATTGGAGACGCTGATCCGGTTGTCGACCGCCCATGCAAAGGCCCGATTGTCGAGCAGGGTTGAAGAGAGCGATGCCGTTGCTGCGGAAGAGATTCTCAAATTTGCCCTCTTCAGAGAAATTGCGGTCAAAGATAAAGATGGTGGCCGAACCAAGAGACGCAAGACTGGTGCGAATGATGATTCTTCGCAAGCGGATAGCGAATCCGGCAGTGACGACAACGATAGCGACGATGATACTCCGTATCGGGGAACAAGGTCAAGCGGTGCCCGTGGAACAAAGCCACAGACAAGGAGTCAGCGCTCGACCCGCGCCAACACTACAACAAATGGCGCGTTGAATGGAAGAGCCAATGGCAACGCAAATGCTGGAAGCGACGATTCAGCAGAATCAGACGTGCAGCCTAGGTCCTCCCGAAGTCAGCGACAGACAGGTGCAGAATCACAAATGTCCCGCATGAGCATAGCCAGCTCCATACCCAGTTCCCAGCTACCATCCACTCAAGCAGACTCACAATCCCAAGGTCTGGAGACAACACCGTCCGGGAGTCAACAACAGCCATCTCCAGCAGATTCAGGTCCAAGCATCTCGCAGCCACGTCTTGCATCATTCCGTGCGGCCCTGGGCCCCCTGATTCAGACGTCATTGTTCCAGAATGACATGGCTACTGTTGCGGATGTCACTGCTGCCGTCAATCACCGCGTGTCTGAGAGCCATGGGACAGAATTCTCACAGGATGAGATTACTGCTGCACTCAGAACAATGAATGAGGCGAATCAAATAATGTTCTTGGAGGACAGCGGAGAGGTTTACATCCTGTAGAGAAAGAATGATTGGATTTTTGTACCGCAAGGGATGGTCACATGTGCGAATGCCAGGCGCTGAGTGATATAGTATTGATGTCCGATTACAATGATTAGTGAAATGATTTTCTCCCACATGATTTCTTACATCCCTAGGAAAGAAAGGAAAAGGTAGAGATGATTGACGCCAGAGATAATCTGATCGATGAGCAAGAGGGCAACGGTGATCTCAATGGGTTCACATCGCCCTGATCGCCGAAGGCGGTCAATATGCTCTCATAGAGATAGTAGGTGGAGATGAAGGCTGTATAACGAGGGCAGTCAACTGAGGCAGTAACGAGAACAACAACCGACCACCACGGTGGCCAAAAGCAGATCGTTGAATAGTGGCCCAAAGAGGCATCGATGAGGCAGGTGGCCGACCTATACCAGATTGACACGGTAGAGACGGAGAATGCAATCTCCAAGTAACAGGCCACGAGATGCGATCATTGGGAGTCTGGATGATAAACGAGGGCGTTGTCTGTTGATTTGGCTGTGGAATGCGTTGTACATACCCTACCCCAGTACTTGCTGGTTGGTAGGCATGTTCCTTCTATGTACTCGATACATACCAGAGCCCGATCAGGCGCTCATGACAGCAAAAACAATGATCCGGTGCGCGCTAGTATGTTTCCGGCCATGTCCCTCGACCTTCATTCAACCTCCACACACGACACTCCCAAAACCCCCTTCACCTGTCGTTCGTTGCACGCTCAAATGACCTCTCTCATTCCTCAATGGTGTTTGCTTCCGCCCCTTCTAGCTCTGCCTCTAGCTCCTTGACCCAGATTTGGGACTGTCTAGCAAACATATTCCACGCCTGCCAGCTCACTCGGTCGTTATAGTCCGCCGTGGTTTCCCCCTCTTCCTGCGCGTTCTGGCTTCGCCAGAGAAGTCGCAGCATCTGAATGGGGTTCCTCGTGGACATGGGCGCCCCGGTATCGGTAGCGAAGGCTTGACTGAGCTGTGTCGCCCAGTCTTGCCGACGCTGCCTCCACCGTAACTGCCGCTCCTGTCTTGAGCCGGCCAGGTTACCGAGGATCCCCTGCTGCAACTCTCGGCTTCTGCCTTGCGCTATTCTAACAATTTCCTGCAACTGGGGTGTTGTCAGGTCTGCTTCTGTCAGAACCTGTTGGGTGTCCTCCACCGATGTTGAAGTCGGCGACCCAGGCCCACCCCCTCCCACTGGAGCGCCCTCCTCCCCTTCTTCCTCCCCTTCTTCCTCCCCTTCCTCTTCCCCCCTCCTCTGCCGCCTTTGCACCACCCGGTGCACACCGGTCTCCTCATATAACATCTTGTCAATTTCGCGCCCCATTGCCGCCTGTATATAGTTCCAGGGCCGTGCAATGCTCCGGGTGTTCCTCATGTCTGGAGGCATGAGGCGCCAGATGCGGTCGGCGCCCCACCCTTCAGACAAGAACACCCGGAGCATTGTGCCCCAGGCATGTCGGGGGTAAAGTTGGGCTACTTGATATAGAGTCAGCCCTGCCGGAAGCGGAGTGTCTTGATGAGGGTAATGTCCTCCTCGATGGCGGTCACTTCGGCCGCGTTCAATGATAAGAGGCACTCTGGTAACAGGGTCACGTCCGGTTCCCCTCATGACCAACATGTTCCTTCCGGAGCCCAACCCCAAGCCTAACCTGATTGGAACAGTTGGAAAGACATGGTTATGTGGAACCCACTGATGCTGATCGGAACGAGGGACTGCTGGTCGGCTTCGTGGCATGCGAGACGGGGTTGTGATGGCCTGCTGTCCTGTCTGTGCAGGGTTATTGGCTAGCGGTAGTTGGTTCATTGTGTCGGTTGAAGATTGGACAGGCTTCTCTGGACGGTTTGCTGCACAGGGGCTCTTCCTTGACAGTCGTCGAACAGGGTTTCTTGAGGCTTTGTCGTGCAAACTCTTGACGGCTTGCTGTGCAGGCTTTTCTTTGACGGCGTGTCAAACAAGCTTTGTTGTGGTGCAGAGGATCTTTCTTTGAGGCTAGTCGTGCAAGCTGGCTCTTGAGGGTTTGTGGTGCGGGCTTTTTCTAGACGATCTACTGTGCGGAAAGAGTTCGGTGCGGAAATGGATCTCTTCTCGACTCGATCTTGGACAAAGATGACGGAACGATCTCTCGGTTTAGTAAGTACAGGCTTTGAGAGGATAGAGGACAGGTGGCCTTGGTGGTGGTGTTGAGTGATGAAGATGAAGATTGAAAGGTTTGGTCCAGGATTAAGACACGTTTTATATTGTCTTGTTTTTGATTTTTGCTGTCCGGCTGACCAGAAGCGTGAATACAGTGTCACTCTTGAACACGCTAAGCGGGATTGAGAACGGTTTGTTCCGATGGGTGAGGCAGAATGATCATTGATTTCACTGTCTAAGGGCTTGACAGTACTTGGTTCGATGGGCAGGATTATACGACAGTCCAGAGAGAAGCTCTCGAGTCGCAAAGTCGGCTTAAATGGTGTGGACATACAAACAGGCCTCCCTCACACACAATGACACCAAGCATACCAACCAAACAAGAAGAGGCTGCAAGTCCCGAGTCATGCGGCTTATATACAAGTTCCACGAGGTATGCTCGTCTTTGAGATGCCCAAGCAATTAATCAGCTGCCCTGAACCTCAAGATCACAACGAAACAATCAGAGCAGAGATCGGCTGTATCCGCCCTCGACCGATATTGCCTGCTCTATCCGCAGGACAAATACAGCAAACAACCTGATCAGACACCTTTCTCATGGCCAGCATTTGAAGTTGCAATCGCCACACCGAATGAAGTGTCTGGGAAACAAAGAGTTTGACCTTCATGACACACTATGGACACTGGACAATCGGAGAATGACAAGGCTCTGTTTGTCAGGGGGTGATACTCCAAACTTGGCATTTAGTCTGTGCCATGGTACGATGGGGCGAAGCCGATGTAAGTTCCCTTGAACGTTGAGATCTACAGCTTGATTTTATGAACAGATACTGATTTACTGTCCCGACAGAAACAAAGCTTTCGGGAAGGGAATGTTCTATTTGTCAAGTCAACCAACAAGCAATAAATATGGATGTGCATATACTTCAAAACAGTTTCGATATCGTCCTGCACATCGGCTGCCCACTTCAAGACTTCTTGCATTAACGAATATGAATATCATAATCCACAACTATGGCCCTTGATTATTGACCATACTACTTGCGGGAGTCGATACAAGCGAAGATATTAGTCCACGGCCACAACCTGGAGGATCCCAGAAGCTGCTTGGTATCCACCTGGCTTGTCTGTGCTTTACGTACGTCCAAGTTCTGCCTTTTGACTTGGAAACTGACCAGTCTGAGTTTCTTTTCCAATAACCTAATCTGTTTCGCCTTATTCCCCACCGAGGTCTGTGGAGAATTTGCACCCACACGCCCACACTGTAGCGCAGTTCAAAGAATATCGCGCCCCATCCACATACGAAAACAAGGCTGGGCAAGGCCCAGAGAGAACCAATTCGAAAGAGACGAGCATCCACAATAGGTTCGCTTAAAGTATTTGGTATTTGATGGAAGTTGTCAAGGACAAGAGGAGGACAAACGTCGCTCAAGACACTGTTAGGCCCGATCAGGCTGGACATCCAGACAAGCATGCATTGCACCGCTTCCGCCTATGTCTCCAAGTTTTCGTATCTTACAAGCCAACAATCTGTCCTGCTATCCAGATTTCACCCACGTTATCACCCTGATATTCAAATCGACACTTAAAGAATGGATACAACCCGGCATTCACGACATTACACAGCCACTTTCCAAGACAACCCACTCCGCAACACAACGCCCTTCAGCCGATCTCATACATTTGGGCAGACTTCGCTCACTGTGGTCGCAGACAAGGAATCATGGAAACTCATCCTGGATTTCCGACGCGTTTGCGATGGCTTCCCTCAACCAGTCCTCATCGTTGTCGACGAGCTCCGGCAACTCCCATGATGTCGCTGGCTCGTTTTCATTCGCGTTGGGAACAACGTCATCCTGAGCAAACGCCTCCGACAATATCTGCGCCCACTCGGATTCGGTTTCGTCAACCTCGACTGAATAGTCGGCGGCCGTCGAATCAATCCCGGGATTCAAATCACCTGCGAGAGGATTCCATGGCAGACTGTCCATGTCAAACTCCTCGAGCAGCTCGTCCATTGGTGGGTTGAGCGTGAGAAAGACGTCTTCTCCATCAATATCTGGGAGCGGATACTGATCGAGGTCCCAATCCGGCCACACAAAGCCTGTTGCAGTATCCTGATGGGGCTCCTCGAGGCCAACGTCCAAGTCCACGGTTACTCCCGGGTCGGTAGGTCCGAATTCGGTGATGGCATTCGCAAATCTCACTCGCTTGGTGGGTGGCGCTGGGATTGCGGGACTCGATCTCCGTCGTTTCAAGTTGCTTCGAGACGGTGCGACTGGGACAGCGGCTTGTGGTGTGCTCTCATCGTCCATGTAGCTCTGCAGGAAGAAACTGACTTCTTCCCCCTGTGGGTTTCTAGAGCCAAGGTCTGGTTCCACGGCCTCAGGGAACTCTCCGTCAACGTCTGCGGTCCACGACAGTACTTGATCCACCAGGCCGCCCGTCGGTCCTCCAGCCGGCAAGGCTGTCAAAAAGTCGTTCAATCGAGCTAACCTGGCTTCCTGGCCGGTGAGAACATAAGAAACTGCCGCTTGTCGGGCCGAAAGCAGTTGCTGGGATGGGTCGTCGGACGGAAAGGAATCCAGCATGTTCTTGGCAGCCGCTACAACCAGCTCGAACATTGCACTCTCGAATGCCGGACAACTCTGAATATGCTGGAAGCTGAAGAACGTCTCGGTGGCAGTGTTGCATGGCCAGTTTGTCATTTGCAGGATGAGTCTGTTGCGGCTAGCATCGTGGCTTGCGCGGTACTTGGCGTCGGCGGCAATGATCTGTTCGGCGCGCGCACGTTGATAGCCCCAGTGAGTCGCCATGGTTTGCTTGTACTCGTGGAATTCCTCGGGCGAGCCCCAAAGTTGGTACTCCTTGCCGTTGTGCACGAAGGTTCTCGTCAAGGGTGATGGTTGAGGGGATCTGCGCTCTTTCCCTTGACGGTGAGGGTATCTTCGAACCACCGGAGCCATGGGATTGTGGAACTTGCCCTGCAGTTTGGAGGCGCCGTACTTCTCCGTGCCGTCCACCATGCACGACCGCATCTTGGGAGCGGTGCACAATGCCGTGACTTCATCTGCGGACAGCGCGGACAGCCGGGAGTCGAGTCTCTTCATCAAGAAGTTGGCTCGGTTCGCGAAGGACTTGCAGGTCGTGATGCCGAAGGACTTGAACTCGTTGATGGCCTTGCCGGACAGGCAAGAGTACATGTCGGTGGCGGACCAGTGCCATTGGATGAAGGCATCCAGGTACGAACCTCGAAGGTGATTGGGGTATCTGATGCAGATTTCCTCGAGCGACGCCTCGGGCGGGATCGGTTCGTCGAAGGAGGGGAACGACGGCAACTCGCAATACACTCGGGGCTCTGCGTCGGTGCGCTTCTCGTGGACTCCGGGTCTCGACCGCGACGCTCCTGCTTCTGAGATCAGATATGTATTTATATAGGGGACGGCAAAGTAGGGGGACTCACCAAGCCTCATCGAGACGGCCGATCGCTTTTCCATGACTTCAGCGTTGACCGTTGTCGTGGCTATCAGGAGGTCTTGTCGGCAAGGGGGGGGGGGGGGGGACAGGGTATTTGGTGTGTTGTTGTTGGAGAGGAAGATACCTATTCCCTGACCGGCGATGATGGTAGATGCTGCTCTGACAACTAACTGCTGTGTTTGTGTGTATGACACTTTGGCAAAGGCTGAGCAAGTGAAGGACTTTTGTGGTGAGTGCCAGAAGTGCAGAAGGAGAGGGCCGCATCGCACCTATTTAAGAGGATGAGATGGTTCTCAGCATGCAGCACAGCGCAAGGCTGTTGCTTCTGCTTCGGGGTGCCTTGCCATGAGCCCACAAGGCCGACAAATGCCTGGACATGGGTGTCTCGCATGCTACAAAGCACTCCTCACTGCCCCCCCCAAAACAAAGCATCAAGGGCATTTTGAGACGCAGTCTCGAGCATTTTCACGGTTTTTGGAAGACACTGCGCCATTATGCAGCTATTCACCAGCCCGACAGGGGTTCATCGAAGACAGTTGAGTGCCCCAGAGTGAGCACAGCCTTGCCGACGACACAATTGCCCATTGTGCTCCTCACCTACCCTGTTGGTACGAACAAAGGGAAGCCCCTTGGCCCTTGGTAAAGTCTCAGGGACTACCTCAGCCTTGGTCTCTCAAGGTCTCAAGTGTGTGTCGGGGGCTTTGTTCCTTCGACCCTTTGAAGCCATTTTGACAAAGGAGCGGCAGACAAAGGCCGAACGAGAACACAATGCCAATGCATTGAATGCCTGCCTTGTTGGCGGCTCGAACAATGACTCAGCGACAGCAGCTCGTGGGCCATGGCACCGTTTGTGACGAGTGAGTTGAACCAGCGTGGGAATACAGGTGTGTTGAGTCTTGTCCTCGAACCTCGAAGCGTCATCGCTGGTGCGTTTGGTACATTGACCCCCTCAGGGGATTGTTTGCTCGCGATGACGGCGTCCGAAGGTACGGGGTACCTGGATTCTCTTCGCCGATCAGGAACAGAACCAGAAGATGGGACTGAACTCGATCAATTTCCTTTTGTGGGTTACACCCTTGGTCCCGGGTGATCCCAGTATAGGCATCTACCGCTGTTGCCACGGAACAAGATCAGGGGTCGCCAGCCTTGCCAAGGCTTCAGCCTCGCAACCCCAACCCCAAGCCCATCTATTCCATTGTAACAAGTCCCGCTGTGTGTAAGGAGAGGCGGTAAATTCGGCTCAAGGCTTCAGATTACCGTCCGTAGAAAGGGAAATGGGATGAATGGTAGTATGCACTCCCACCGGATCAACTACATGAACGATGCGTCCTCTGTTCAAGGGAATGAGTCTGTGGAAGAACACCAGTTGTGCGTTTCAATTTTAGGATATCTCGATGTCAACTTGCTAGCCTGATGATAATAAGTAAACAAAAGCTAGCGCCTATTCCTTTCACTCGGTAATTGTACTGATATCTGCAAGGCTGTGGAAGTAGCAATCCGGGTCGGTGCAAGCAAGGCGTTGCTGATGATGGAGTCCCGCAAGGACCATACCACCTGCGCAATGCTCAGCCCTCGGACCCGGTCTTGATCACTCCCACCACGCTTACAGCGACGTTTTTCACAACCTCCTACTCACATGACAGATCTCGCATCTCATCATTATCATCCCTCTACCGCCTTCGCCCCAGTCACACCGTCGGCCAGTCATTCGCCCTTCAACTTATCCTGTTTGACCGAGAATGCTTCCTCAAGCAACGCCTGCTCCTCCTTGACGTGAGTGGCTTTCAGACCCGTCGCCACGGACGCACTAGGGTCTCGACCTGCGTACATGACGTGCCGTCTGTTGTGATGTTCTGTCTGATTCAACAGCGTTTCAATACGTGGTTGGACAAAGCTCCATGCTCCAGCATTGAGAGGTTCCTCCTGACACCAGACGATCGTCTTGGCGTTCTTATAGGTGTCAAGGTTCTCTTTCAACAAGGCCCATGGGAAGGGGTTCAGCTGCTCGATACGGGTGATGGCAGCGTTCTTGATACCCTTGTCGGCGCGGTGCTTGTGCAACGCTGCATACACTTGACCAGTGCATAGGATGACCCGGTCGATCTCGTCTGGCTCAGCAATTCCCTTGCCGTGCTCAGGATCTGGGATGATCCATTGGAAGTAGGATTCACCCGTGAAGTCCTCCAGATCAGAGCGCGCGATAGGATGGCGGAGAAGAGATTTGGAGAAGAATATGATCAATGCTAACGAAAGAGAGTATGTGTTAGTGCAACGCCACATCTCTTGATGGTAGCTGTTTTCACTCACGTTTTCTGAATTGCCTGTTCATTTGTCGTCGGAGAATGTGGAAATAGTTCGAAGGTGTCGTCATGTATGCGACCTGCATGTTGCAATCCTGGTGCTGTCGATCGAGCTTGTCTGGAGATGGGAATACTCGGGGCTCCTCGTTGCAAAGTTGCAGATACCGTTCCATACGGCCACTGCTGTGCTGTAGGACAAGAGCGTTAGTCTTGTTGTTCCTGCTCAGAAAGGGTTGGCAGCAAACTTACCTCGGGTCCCTGCCCATCATAACCATGAGGAAGAGAGCAAACGAGACCAGACCTTTGCAGCCACTTAACCTCTCCTGACGCGATGAATTGATCGATGATACATTGAGCATTGTTGGCAAAGTCACCAAATTGCGCTTCCCACATGACAAGCGCGTTAGGTGAGGAGAGCGAGTAGCCATATTCGAAACCTAGAACACCGTATTCACTCAAAGAAGAGTTGGAGATGGTGAAGGCTCCTTGCTCTTTGGAGAGATTGCTGAGAGGGGTCCACGTCGCTTCAGTCTCTTGGTCGTGCAAAACAGCATGACGTTGGGAGAAGGTGCCTCGCTCGACATCCTGGCCGGAGACACGAACATGGTGACCTTCCAGACAAAGGGTGCCGAAAGCAAGGGCCTCGGCCGTCGCCCAGTCAATACCGTGACCTTCCTCAACTGCCTTCCTGCGACCTGCAAGAATACGTTTGAGGTTACGATGGACGGTGAATCCCTCGGGGGCCTCAGCAATCTTTGATCCTATCTCCTTCAACATCTCGGAAGGAACTCCGGTGGGCGGATGGGGGAGGACTTCAGTGGCAAGCTCTTTGGGCGATTTGAAGCCGTTCCAGGCGGAGGTCAGCCATTCCTTGCCTGTAGGTTGATAGTCTTTGCTTCGGTCGAAGCTGTCATTGAGCATGCCCCACACCCATTTCTTGTGCTCGTCAATGTCTTCTTTGGTAAACGTGCCTTCTTGGATCAGCTTGTCAACATATTTGTCGATTTGAGGTTTGATGGACTCTATTCGCTTGTACATGAGCGGTTGAGTGAAGGCTGGCTGATCCGTCTCGTTATGGCCTTGTTTCCGGTAGCACACAATGTCGATGACGCAATCTTTTTTGAAATCAGCTCTCCAGTCGGCAGCCAGTTGGCAAACGAAGTTGACGGCTTCCACATCGTCCCCGTTGACGTGGAAAACGGGAGCGTCAATTGCCTTGGCAATATCCGAGCAATAAGGGGTCGATCGCGCGAATCTAGGATCGGTGGTGAACCCAATCTGGTTGTTAACGATGATGTGGATGGTACCACCGGTGGAATAAGCAGGAAGAGCATGGAAACCCAGAGTTTCGTAGACGACACCTTGAGCCGCAAAGGCAGCGTCACCGTGAAGTAAGACGCCCATGGCCGTTTGGTGTTTCTTCTCATCGTTGTTGTAGTGCTGGATGGCCCGAGTCTTTCCCAGCACAACGGGATCCTCGGCTTCCAAATGAGAGGGGTTGGCGACAAGAGACAGCTGGACACGTTTTCCAGACGGTGTCGGCCGTTCGAAGTTCATTCCGAGATGGTATTTGACGTCGCCAGAGCCCTCGTCGCTTGCCTCGGTGGTGCCCGAAAATTCACTAAAGATGGACTCATTGGGCTTGCGGACGACGTTGCTTAGAACGTTCAGTCTTCCTCTGTGAGGCATCCCAATGACAATGTCCTTGATACCATAGTCCACGCTCCTGTCAATCATGGCTTTCATGCCCGGAACGAGAGTCTCGCAACCTTCCAATCCGAAACGCTTATCGTTGGGGTATTTTGTGGCCAGGAAAGCCTCAAAGCTGGAGCTCCAAATCAGCCTGTCGAGGATGCGGCGCTTGTCATCCACAGAATACTTGTACGGGGTGGGCACTTCGATTCTGTTTCTGATCCAGTCACATTGCTCTCGATCCGGAATATGAATGTATTCAACGCCATATGAGCCGCAATAGATCTTCTCGCACGCAGCGATAATGTCGCGTAGCTTCATCTTCGGTCGCGACTCTGTGGCGAATCTGGGAAGAATGCCTGGTCCGAGAACAAATTCTTGGTCTAGGTCGGCCTCCGTGAAGCCATAGTGGTCCAACTCCAGCTCTTTTGGTCTGCGGTATCCAAATGCTTCGGCTTCGCCACGAATACCAAGAGGATCGGTCTTGGCTTTGTGATGTCCGGTAGATTGGTATGCTCTGACAAGCAATTGAACCTTCAAGTGATTTGTGACGTCTTCGCCTGCAGTGCCCGTGACTGCGCTTGGAGCGAGGCTGGCTGCCCCTTCGGCTTGGGAAATGAGGCCCGGAGGAGGCTGGAAGGCTTTGGACACCGGCATAGTCCCTTCTTCCATGTTGTGAAAGTAGGCTTGCCACGAAACGTGGACGGACGAGGGATCTTGCTTCCATGCCATGTACATTTCGTCAATGTAATTGGCAGTGTTGCCTTGGAGGAAGGAGTCGTTAGGATCCTGCCGGAACTTTCAGAAAAGCGTTCTCTTTGCACACCAGCAGCTGAGGAGATACATACCACTCCCTTGTTGGACTCTTCAGCTGTCATGGCGTAGCTCCTGCGCTGCATTGAGCTTTGAGCCGTGACAGCTAGCGGTTTCCTCCCAGCAACGAGGGCATTCTGACGACTTCCAGAGACTACCCGGAAGCTAGACGAAGTGCAGAAAGTCCTTGAAGCTTGCGCAGCCCGCAAAGGGAGCTTGCCCGCAGCATAGCGATACATGATGTCGGAGTTGATGGTGAGCTAATGATACAGAGAATGATCCATAGGAGAAGAAAACGGGTCCAAAATGAGTGAACCGCACCACTGACGAGAGAGTGGAAGGCAATTGAGGCTAGGGATAGACACGGAGGTGCCGGGATTAAGGTGCAAGAAACTGAAGTGTGAGGAAGTCCAAGTTCAACAGGTCAAGGCTGTTACGCAAATCCCGCAACCCTGTTTGGGAAGAGGGTGTCGCCCCGTCAGGGCCTGTATATGGGGAAACATAGCCGAGACCAAGACAAGCAATCATGCGAATGATTTGATTGGTGCGTCGAGTCTTGGCAGGAACGCCCAACCAATCCTCTTCTTCTTTTCAGGTAGTCAACACATACCATTTACAGCCTGTCAACCTGCGTGAACGTGTGATTTCTGCATTGTATGCGTGAGTATATATATATTTTCAAAGTTCTATGGGGTATCATATCGTCATCTCCAATGTACTTTTGCAAGGCCATAATCTATATCCAATGAGTAGACCCTTCTCTTCCGGATCAATCCTTTCACAGCGCATATCCTCTCAGATCCGAGCTCCGGCTAGATACTCCCGGTCAATAACCTCAGTTCCGCTCCCTTCATCGGTTCTTCTCCTCTCCAGAACCCACCCGCCGTCCAGGTCACGCGCATAGCTCACGCTCTCTGCGCCGCTGCTGGTTCGGCTGTGGTGACCCTTCCGTCGTTCACCCCCAGCGGAAGCCGGAGATGCGGGCAATTCCTCTTGCGATGTAACCACCACAGGCTCACTCATCTTCTTCCGCGGCGTGTTTTGGGTCAGGGTAGGTCTCTCAGAATCTTCATCCTCTTCCTCCGATTCGGGGATCCCAGCTGGTGATGATCGACCATGAATCGAGGATGACATCCGGCTCACATTGAGATCGGAGAGAGGGAACGGGTGGTTGGAAATGTGTGCGAGTGGTGAACTAGCCGGGTTCCCTGCTGCTGAGCTGCTGATGCTCGACGAACTACCTCCAAAGGTCCTGCCGCGGAGCTTCATCAGTCCACTGAAGCTCATGTCGTCATCGTACCCAGGGGAGTCAAGTTGCTGAAGTAGCTCGGCAATACCTGGGCTGGGCATCGAATGGGCTGAGGCAGGCACTCCGCCTGGTATCGCTAGTGACACCACCGAGTTGCGAGTACTCCATTCACTGCGTTCAGTAATAGGTGTCAAGCTCGGTTCTTGAAAATTGGCCTTCCCACTGTGGCTTCGTTTTACCCCGTTGGATCCCCGGTCTGCAAAATAGCCGCCATTAACAAGCTCTGAATTGCCTTTACCGTAGGATCGAGCATAAAATCCAAATTCCTGACCATAAAACCCTTCGTCGTCATTCTCGAGGACCTCAGCGTTGGCCTCCGCAATCATGGGATCGTCGTCCATGTCATCGTCGAACGGAAACCCGTCGTCCTCGGCAATGGCGGAGCTAAAATTGTAGCTGATACGGCTATCTTCAGAGACAACACCATGTTGACTGCTCTCAAACGGCGACTGTGAAGTGTCATCTGAATTCTGACTGAAGCTGACCTTTCGATCGAATCTGCCATTTGCAGCAGCTTGGTTGGCCGCAAACGCTAACGCGTCGTGATACGCAGCAAGATTCGTTTCAGTGAGTCCAGTTATGGAACCACCCTGCATGAAGGCCCCTTGGCTCTTTGGAAAAGCACTCACGAATTCTCCAGAGGGTTGTTTGACGCTGTTCTGGCGGTCATTGCTGTCCAGTGAAAGTTTGGAAACCGCGTCCTCCCACGGGTTGGCGACCTTCACTTCTCCGTCCAGACCTGCTGCTTGTTTGGCTGCCGCGAATTTTCGAGCATTTTCGGCGGGAATGTCACGAAGTTTGCCTGTGTCGTCGTCAAATAGTTGTTCGTCAAAGGTTGTTCCTGAAGGATCCAACTCCACGTGATCAAATTCGCCGTCGTCAAAATACAGGTCTTCATCATCGAAAACTCCTCCGTGAGGACGAGAGGTCTGCTGCGTGCGCCTGCCATGTATTTCTGCAGTCGTAATGCCAAGCCCTCCGAGCATTGAAACTTTTTCAACGTCAATGACGCTATCTTTCCGTGGAAATTCCAGGCCACCATCTTGAGAAGGCTCTCTTGAGTCGGCAATGCCAATAGCAAAGCCTTCATGGTCCCGCGGAGTAGGTTGCGACGCATTGTTAGTGCTGGTGGGACTGAATGTCAGGGATTGAGGAGTAAAGTGGAATCCTTGCAGCGAGTGTCGTTGTAGAGTCGTGGTCTTGACATCTGATGCGACGGATTCCTCGATTTCGGAAGGACCGTAACGTGCCACAAGCGCGTGTCCTATCGGAATGTCGTTGCCGAAACCATCATCTTCCCCAAAGTCCGCGTTGACCCCGGGAATCATCTCCTCCAAACCGTCGTCCGCATCGAAGTCATAGTCAGCATAATCATCCTCCTCATATACGCCCTGGGCGGTGGTCCTTTTGGTTGCTTCCTGTTGTTTATGTTTCTCCTCGAGCAACTTTTCCTGCGCTGAAGAGCCTCCTCCGCCAATTTGAAAGCTAAACCGGGAAGAAGTGCTGGTCATGTGCTTTGGAAGTGCTGCAGGCGGCGGAATATCAAACTTGGGGGATGGCGTGCTCTTCGGCGGAGGTGTTGGAGGGGGAGGGGAGGGCTGTCCTATTGGTGGTAATGGTAGATTCTCTTTTCCTGGTGGCGGAGGCGGTGGTTTGTTTTCTTCCTCAAGTAACCCGGGTTTGGCATCCAGCCCTGCTTGCGGTACAGCGGCCGGCAACCGCCTTGCGAAAGCTGGCACGCTACTCTCGTCTTGGCCGTCATTGGCCAGATTGAATGAATGAATGTTGTGCAAATAACCCGTCCGATCGGGCTGCAACGATGGCCGGTCGTCCTGAAAGTGTTCCTTAAACATCGGACTGTGTGGAATACTTGGTGTTCCATTCGGAGCCAATCGGGAACTGGGTGAATCGTTACTTCGGAGAGGGTCAGGCCCGTATCCCGAGCGCAAGGCGGGAGATTCTACATTGCCAATGTCGTTGTGGGAGTAGAGCCTTCGCGATCGTGGAACAGAGAAGTCGTGTACGACCTTTCCACGAATTCTTGGATCGAAATTATCCGGCAAGGCTGGGACGGACAGTGTGAGATTGACGTCCTCGAGTTTCTGATTTTGTGACGACCTGCGGCGCGCCAATAAACTCATTGGATTCAGAAGATTCAGCCTGCTCTTTTTACCCGTATGTCCTTTCGCTGGAACCGGTTCATCGTGCGCAGACTTGTCGGAGGTCTGCGTCGAAAAGCTGTAGTTCCGCAGGCTTGGAGAAGATGCATTGTCTCCGGGCTTGATGGGGGGCTCAGGCACCTTTTTCTCTCTACTATCAAGACGGATGGAAAGGGGCACGGGAGACGGCCTCGACGCGTAGTCTGATCCTATGAGCGGGGATCTTGCATGTGGGATGGGAACAGCATTGTTACGGTCGATCGCGTCACTTGTCGCAGGACGGACAGCTTCGTCTGATGGTCCAAATTTGTGGCGGCCGGTTTCATCAGAGGATCTCTGGTGCTGGTGATGTTTGGGCTCGACCACGGGAGATTTGGTAAAGGGAGGGATGGGTGGTAAAGGCGCAGAGTGGTCGTAGAGGGGAGAGGTGAGCGTGAGGTTGAGGCTGAGCGAAGGGCTATCCGACTCATCTGTCGCGGACGGCGTATCGATCGGGCTGAACGCCTCGCTATGTCGGTTTGGGCGGTCAAGAAGTCGTCTCGGATAGGAAGGAGAGGATGGTGAAATCTGATCAGATCTCCGCCTGCGGCGCTGCAGAGGGGCATAGGACGGTTTGTTGTTGGCGTTCATATTGTGATCTCCGAATAGCAACAGGTCGAAACAACCACCAAATGCTCACTGATGACCATTCTCCGACGTCCCCCTGGCCTAGAAAGATAAAGGATTATGGATGCTGCATTTTTTGGAGGGCAGCAGAACAGTCGCTCGGGTTCACAAGTGATGGACTCGACTGGGTCTGCAGCTCCCGCAGGCAGTAGGCGCAGTCTTGCTCGCGGCACAGATTGATCGCGGGGCAGTCTCGAGAAGCTGCCACAGGAGAAACGGTGTCGAAAATTCAGTGTACTTTCTGATGAATTGTTGACGAGGCTGGATATCATTGAGACGAAGAAAGCGTCAACAGGTCAATCCCACGCATGTCGGATGTCGAGACTCGACCTGTCGCGGGTTGAGAGTGGAAGGGTCAGCCAATCGAGCTGCCCGTTTGGCAGTCGTCAGCCTTCTCCACATCACTTTCGAAAGGCGTTTGGGAATCTCGAAACTCGGGACGGGCACTGACTGACACCTGGGCTCGGGCTCGTGGGCGCTGGCCGTTGGCCCTGGGCAAGCGGAACCAACCCCCCGAAGGAACAAGGACGCCCTTCCCGAATGGGGTCAAGCCTACAAAGCTAAGGGTCTAGCGGGCCTATCGAGCCCAGAGCACGCCACTGGGCTTGGAAAGTCCGGGGCACGCCCACTGCAGCGCCTATCGCCGGGCACTAACCACCTAATGGGCAACTTCTGGGCTGAACTGGTCCTCGTCCTGTGGCCCTTCTGCCAGTGCTCACGATTCTTCTGGTGGTTCGGTTCAGTCAGTTCCATCTTCATCACCACCGTTCGTGAAGCCCCATCAGTCCTCATCTATGACACAGGAGGACGACCTCAAATGACAATGTTGTTCCTCCGCCTAGTGGACTTCAACTCCTGAACGCCTTTCGTCTCATGATCCAGCCAGTCCTCGTTTCTTGCCTCCGGGAAATTCCTCACCCGCGCCCGACCGCTTCAAGTGTGTGCCTGGTACCTGAATTGAGAACACTCGCCACCCTCGTCTAGCACCAATCTCACTTTCAATTCTTCAGAGATAAAAACAATTCGAGACCCCTCCCCGATCCTTGCCAAAAGACCCAATTCCTTGTCAGCTCCGAAGCCTGACCAAGCCCGAGACTTGCTTCCAAGAAAAGCTGCTTACGGCTGGCTGTGCCACTGCCGGCTGCTGGTCATCATAGATCGATCTCCTTTTCCCCTCACCGCACCCAATCTTGGTCGGAAGAAACCGTGTACGGGGTAACACTGGTTTTGGCCACATAGTTGGTTTCAAATGATATAATACCTTTCATACTGTCCTCACTCCACCTTCTTTATTTCCATTTCTGCCCAAAAAGACCCGTCCTCAGGAACGTCACCATCATGAATTGCCCCTCACGCACAGACGATACCGAAGCTCATCCGGACTGGAACCAGAATCCACACGCCCTGAGCTCAGACCTGACGACCAGGGCAGACCTCAATGGGATTGTGAATCTCAGAGAAGAGAGAGACACAGAATCGAGTCCAGATAACGATGCGCAAGAAGACATTCGGGTTATGCCCGTCGACAGTCCAGAGTCACCCTCCCATGTCCTCAAGTCGCCCACCGCCGTCAAGGTTGATCCGCTAGAGCAGCAGCGAGCGGTCCTACAACAAACCCACCCACGAAGATTTCAAAGCTTCCGCTCCCCAAGGTCCTTTGTGAACAAGGCTATAGCCACCGCGCAAAAGTATGCGAAATTCGTGGGCCCGGGATTTCTCATCGCCGTCGCCTATATCGATCCAGGAAACTATGCCACGGATGTCCAGGCGGGCGCCGCGACGAGATACGGTCACTTGTTCATCATCCTCATGTCCAATTTGTTTGCCATCTTCTTGCAATCTCTTTGTATCAAACTGGGAAGCGTCACCGGGCTCAATCTGGCTGAAAACTGTCGGAAACATCTGCCCAAGTGGCTAACTATCGTTCTGTATTTGTTTGCAGAATCTGCCATCATCGCTACAGATATTGCAGAGGTAAGTCGACCTCTGCGGCGAAACAGCCCGCTCCATTGGCAATTCTCTGACCTTCATTCATCAGGTCATTGGTTCGGCAATAGCCTTAAATCTTCTCTTGCACATACCCTTAGTTGCAGGATGTGCCATAACCTTGGTTGACGTCCTAATTCTTCTTCTTTTCTATCGCCCCAATGGCTCTATGATGCATCTGCGGCTGTTCGAGTATTTCGTCATGAGCCTTGTCCTGGGCGTCATGGTGTGCTTCTGCATCCAGCTCTCGTTCATCAAAGACACCACTGCCGGAGAAGTATTCAAGGGGTATCTTCCGTCTTCAGCAATTGTTGAAGGGAACGGTGTCTATTTGTCCTGTGGTATCATTGGAGCAACCGTCATGCCTCATTCTATCTTTCTAGGGTCGGGTGTGGTGCAGCCGCGCCTGAAGCAATTCGATACACAGAATGGGCATATCGCGGCGGCCGAGGAATCAGACAGCGAGGAGGAGAAATACGTGCCCTCCATCTATGCCATCCGAGCTTGCCTCAAGTATTCGATCGTGGAGCTAGCTACTTCACTCTTCACCTTTGCCTTGTTCGTCAACTCGGCCATTCTCATTGTCTCTGGGGCGTCTCTTTACCCGGAAACAGCGGCCACGGAAGCAGATCTCTTTGGTATCCACGACCTTCTCAGTAAGAATCTGTCCAAGGCAGCGGGCACTATTTTTGCGCTCGCCCTTTTGCTGTCGGGTACCTCCGCAGGCATAGTCTGTACCATGGCGGGCCAGATGGTATCCGAGGGCATGTTACACTGGACGTTGAAACCCTGGGTACGCAGACTGATCACCAGATCCATCAGCATCGTCCCCAGCATCATTATTGCAGGAGCAGTGGGCAAAGACGGCTTGAACTCGGCCCTGACAGCAAGCCAAGTGTGCCTCAGCGTCATCTTGCCTTTTGTCACTGCTCCTCTCGTGTGGTTTACCTGTCGAAGCCACATCATGACTGTGAGGACGGACAACGACGGGGAAGCAGTAAACATGCGGAATGGTTGGATTGTCACGATCCTTGCTACGACTATCTGGCTTGTGCTAGTGGTGATGAATGTGGCTCTACTGGTGCTTGTTGGTTTGGGAAAGGCATAGAGACAATGCGAAAGAGATGTCGTTTCGGTCAATGGGAAGCTGGAATGATTCAGAGGTAGAATGCAAAGACGGCAGTCCCCGGTCAACTTTCACCGACAATCGAAGAGAGATCGTATTTCAGGAAATCGGTGGTGTCTTGTGCTATACGAAAATCTGGTATATAAATACGTGGAAAGCATGGATGGCTTGATCCTACTTTCATTTAAGATGTGGCGGTCGTAGGAGAGGTCTCAACAGAGGGCTTCATCCTTTTCTTCGCTTCCTCGCTCAACTTATCTGCCTCCTCTCTTGTAGATTCAGGCAACTGACCCAAATTCCCCAACTTATCGAAGAACCATATACGAAACTGCATCAAGGAAAGTTAGCAGAGATACAGAATGCCCCAAGGGGAAAGACCAGAAAATGGGCGAATCCCCTCTTACCCCGTCGAACGGTGTGCCCATGCCATGGCTGGGTTCGCAGATGAAGACAAAATAGATGATCGTCGCCGTGATCAAGGTCTGCTGTAGCAACTTGATGGCCTTGTTCCACCTGGGCCGCGCCCACTTCAATGCGGCCCTCCTCCGGTACGTCTTCTCGAAGTGGAACTGCTGCTTGGGGTCGAGGTTGCGGAAGTCCGGCGGCCACTTCTTGCGCGCGCGGTACGGGTTGTTGGTCACGCGGAAGGGTGCGGGCGTGTACGACGCGGACGGCTTGGGCGCAATGCCCAGCAGCGAGAGGAACCATGTGTACGGCGTCAGTCGGGTGCCTGGGATTTCGACAGGCGGCGGTGCCGGGGAGCGGGATTTCGGGTGTGCATAGAACGGTCGCGGAGACGGGAGAGAAGAGAGGACGGAGGATGAGGAGGAAGATGGGAAGGTATCGTAGGACGTGTCCGGCTTGGACGATGATGCCGCTGGCGGTGATGGTGCCTGGCGTGTGAAGTTCGAGGGTGCGTACGGCGACGAAGAGGAAGAAGCGGCATGGGAGGAAGAATGGCGGCTTGTGCTTGGGAGCAGCGATGAGCGTCGGCAATGGCGCATGAATAACAGAGCGCGAGAGGCTCTCGCAGATACCGCCATGTCTGGAGTGCGATGATGGGAATATAGCAAATGCTGAACTTCAGAAGCTTGCAACAATGGGCATTGAACTTGAGCACGAACGAACGAGGGCTTGGGGGTGGATACTGACGGAAGAATATATTTTCCGATCCGACGTGATCACTCCCTTCACCTACCTCCAAGCGGTCTTTTTCTCATCATTTCCCAGCACGTGCAATTTGCTCAAACACTCAATCCCTGCGAGGCTATTCTTACTGCCCTGGTGGCCCAGTCCTCGTTAGGGCGTGGCCGGCGTGACCGGTGACCGAACCATGACCTCATTCGCACTGTTGCGCTGCAACACGCACATGCCTCGGCATCGACAAGTAAACGATGCATATGCTTCAGACAAAATCGCCAGGAACAGATTCAGCACGGTTACATGTACGGAGTACCTTGTGACTTCGGTGATCATAAATCATTCAACCCTTTCCCACACTCCTTAATCCTTTTTTCCTTTTCTTCTGTTCACATCTCGACCTCTTCACGTCTATTTCCTGAGTGCCTTCTGTGATTGCGCTCTCCACGCCAACATGTCTGCAGGTGAGTAAACCCGCCATCCGCAGGCTCCCAAGGACCATCCCTTGATCACTAACATTTGAAACTCTGTTGTAGCACAAGCCCGCCTCTCCCAGGTCTCCGGTCACCTCGGTGGCAGCAAACAATCCATTCTCTCCAAATCCCCCGACGATGTCGTCGTTACCTGCGCCCTCCGCACGCCCTTCACGAAAGGTGGTAGAGGTCTACTAAAGGACACCGCCGCCGCCGACCTTCTGGCCCTCACCTTCAAGAACCTCATCGAACGCTCAAAGATCGACCCGAGTCTCGTTGAGGACATTGCCACGGGCTGCGTGCTTGCTCCAGGAGGTGGTGCCACCGAATACCGTGCAGCTGCTCTTGTTGCGGGCTTTCCGGAATCCACCGCGGTCAAGGCCCTGAACAGACAATGCTCCTCTGGACTGCAGGCATGCGTGGACATTGCCAACGCCATCCGAGCTGGCATGATCGAGATTGGGATCGGCTCTGGTGTCGAGAGCATGTCTTCCCAATACGGCCCTGGCGCAGTCACCGAGTTTTCTGATCTCCTAGAAAACCACATGCAGGCCGCAAACTGCAAGGTCCCCATGGGTGTCCTCTCAGAGCAGATGGCCAAGGACCGCAAGATCGCCCGCGCGGATCAAGACGCCTTTGCGGCCTCTTCGTACCAAAAGGCCCTGAAAGCTCAGCAAGCAGGGTTGTTCGATGAGGAGATCGCCCCAATCACAGTCAAATACACCGATCCCAAGACCGAGGAGGAGAAGACCGTGACCGTCACAAAAGACGACGGCGTGAGACCAGGAATCACCGCAGAGTCCTTGGGCAAGATCCGCCCGGCGTTTGCAAAGGACGGCTCCATCCACGCTGGCAACGCTTCACAGATCTCCGACGGCGCCGCTGCGGTCCTGCTCATGAAACGCAGCACCGCCGAGCGCCTGGGTCAACCCATCCTGGGCAAATTCGTGTCATCCTCTGTGGTCGGCGTCCCGCCTCTGCTGATGGGCATCGGCCCGTGGAAGGCCATTCCGGTGGCGCTCGAGAAGGCCGGCATTTCCAAGGACGATGTTGACATCTACGAGATCAACGAGGCCTTCGCAAGCCAGTGTGTCTGGTGCATCAAGGAACTGGGCTTGCCCTTTGAGAAGGTCAATCCCAAGGGTGGCGCCATTGCCTTTGGCCATCCCCTGGGCTGCACCGGCGCCAGGCAGGTGAGCACCCTCTTCACGGAACTGAAGAGGACGGGTAAGAAGATTGGCGTGACGAGCATGTGCGTCGGCACCGGCATGTAAGTGTCTTTCGTTTTGTACTGCCTTTATCTCTCATCGAGTTCTCCGCTGACGAGCTTCCTTTCACACGCAGGGGTATGGCTGCCGTCTGGGTCGCCGAGTAGGCACACTATAATACGATAGAATTTGCTCTCCAGCGCTCTCCCTTGGGAAAGGGGAAACAAAAGCATACCTAAGGTATACAACTTACATATATATCCTGGTACCCGCGCGTGCCTTTGGCCTTGGTTCCAACCTCTGTATGAACGCTGCATGGCGCGGATTTGCTTGGCCGGTACTGGACTGGCATGGGGACGGGTCTGGGATTGCGACTGGGACTGGGACTGGAATTGGGACTGGACTTGTGGACGCATTCCATGTAACGTGCCCATGTGGGAATATTGAGCAATCGATCATCCGTTCCATCCGGCACGTCACGTCGGACAGTTCAAACACAGATACAGACAAAATGGTGTAGCACTACGGATCTCATCGACTGCCATGGCAGGTTCGCTCCTAGTTCGATCTGCAAGTGTTACTTGAGCTATCATCTGAGCTATCACCCTAAGCTACTCCTATGAGAAATCTGAGCAATCTGAGCTACATACGTGGATGAGTCCTGGGAACTCACATCACCAAGTGTGTGTCGATGAATCCTGAGCCCAGCCAGCCCTGTTCCTAACCCCCAGCTCTCACCTTTGTGTTTTGTGTCAGAGCTCATTCCGTCGTGTACTCTTCTCAGCTCTGTCTGCTTCGACACTTTGGCCCACCAGTATCAGCCAGTCACTCACCCCATGCTCCAAGTCCGCATCGCTTGTCCTCGCGAACAGCCCAACCAAGTTGTTGTTTCAGCTCCTGTTCAACCGCTGCCTCCAATCCGCGTAATTCAGCTTCGCGGCACCAGTGTCATGCATTTGATCTTCCTCCGTGGGTTTGCCTTGTGGTTGAAATCAACGACACCATACCCGAAGGGCCGGTGACGAGGCTTCAATGAGCAGGCAACCAAGTAATCAATCTCCTCCGTCGCGCCTTTACATCTCACCCTGACATTGTCATAATTGCCATCTCGTGCGGTAGGGACTGCAGGTTTGTGCACTCAAGCCTGGTGCGTGTCCAACTTCCCATCCATCCTCAGACCGGCCATCAACGCTCTCAGGTCGCTGCTCACCTGCGCAATACTCTCGGCGCTGACCTCTCCAAACCTCGAGAGGGAACGGAAAAGTGCTTCAGCTTCTGTCTCATTGCGGTCGTAGTGGCGTTTGACTGATGCATGCACGCCAACGCGGTCGGATGCACCGTCGGATTCGGAGGTGGTCGAGGATGAAGAGGACGCGGAACCGGAGTCTGAGTTGTACCCTTCCTCGTCACTCTCCAGGGCAGTCGATCGTTTGGCTTTGCCCTTGGACTTGGATTTTGTCTTTTGGTTCTTCTTCACCGGCTTCCGCTTCCCCTTCTCCTTTGCAGTGTCATCATCGCTCTCGTCACTATCCTCGCTCCATCCCTCGTCACTCTCACCTTCCCAACCGTCTCCATCGCTATCGCACCCTTCCGCTTCTTCTTCCTCTTCGACCGCTGCAGCCACATCCTTGAATGTAAGTGATTTTGAGGTTGGTACTTCATAAACTTCGGTTATCTCGATCCATGTCTTTACCGTGCGTTTCTCGCCATGATCATCCGCCTCTCGCTTGACAGAGTGCTGGTGACGCACGTTGCCGTATGTAGTAATCTTGCTCACATGCGCCGAGAGGTCGAGGCGTGATAGTTGAGATTTGATTTTGCGTAGCGTTGGCTTGGGATTCAGCAGTGTATAGGCGGCAGTCGTGGTCGAGGCTGAGGATGTGGTTTGCTTGTGCTTTGGCTCTGCCGAGCAGGTCTCGTCCGCCTGATCTGGAGCTGCGCCGGTGTTCTCGGCTTGTGGAAGGCTTGGAAATTGTAGTTCCGATGCGTCCTCTGTCTTGTCTGGTTCCTCGCACTCCTTCGCTGCAGTCGCCATTTCCCCGGATCTAATCTTCAAAGCCAGCTCCCCAGATGCAGACGCTGCGTCACTTGCGGTCAGCATACTATTCGCCCTGCTTCTCATATCTGAAATTCCGAAGGTTCTCCCCTGGTCTTTGGCCCATCTCTCTGCAGTCTCGGCGTCCTCACGACTCGCTAACTCAACAGTATATTCATTCTTCAACAGTCTCGGTTTCCCTCCTCTCGCAACCTTTGCACCCACAAGCCCTTTCTTGATGGCTCGGGTTTCTTTTTCGAAGGCTTCTGGGTCCATGGCATGCTGAAGTCGATACTGTTCGACCAGCTGCGGGTCAGAGATACGGTGGAGTGTTGGGAGAGTGGGCATCGAAAGGGCTGCTGCTACTGAGTGTGTCTTGTGGAAGATGGTGTCGGGCGGTGTTGGTGGTGGGGGTTTTAGGAAGCGACATGGAGGGTTGGTGTCCGTGGTTGCTTCAGTGTCCGCTTGAGACGTGGTTGCTGGTGTGAGGTCGTCGTTGACGGACATGTTCTGCCGGTCCTTGTGACCCGACCATCCATCAGCTTTGAAGCCGGCCACAACTGAGGCTGCGTTATCACCATTCTTGACTTTCTTTGTCTTCATAGGCTTGTCTGTTTCATCCTCATCGCTCTCATCGCTCTCGTCCTCCTCTTTGCCTTTCTCCTTTGTTTTCTTTACATCACTCACGGCCTCGAGCCAAAGGTTGAGCAACTCTCGTGCTTCCCTGCTCGCCTCAATCCTAGTGATTGGGCCCCAGGTGACCTTCTGCACCGGATCGGTACTCATGGTGACTGCTGTACCACCAGGCATAGGGCATTGGACCGACATAACAGGGACAAATTCATGTCGGTTAGGCTGGGTGACACCACTATTGGGTCGGTATCCGTCGTGGGCTCCCTTGTCACCCTTGCGCATATGGACCGGAACTCTCATGCCAGGAAAGACTGCCTTGTGGTATTTGTTGCTGGTGGCGGACTTCAAGGTTTGAGGCTTGCCAGAACTACGACCACTACCGCGAGCCGTAGGCTTATTGACTGGGGTTGAGTTTCCAAACTGTCTGCGTCTGAGAACCTTGGTGGTCGCCTCGCGTCTCTTCATGGCGTCACGGAGGTACGAGGTGACATAAGGAGGCAGACCCGTAGAGCTGGCCAGGATGCGGCGTTTCACAGGTGTTCTTGCTCCGCGGTGACCAGCGCCATTGCCCTTCGGCCAGTCATCTTGCTCACTGTCTGTGCCTTGCCCCCAGTTGCCGGTCGCGCTGAAGCTCGAGTATGTCCCACCCACCATTATGGTTGCACCGCAGCTCAAGCGACTCAACGCTGACAACTGTGGGTATACGGGGGGACTCAAGTTGCAGTGGGAGGCTGTGTTGCCACAGGGGAGTCTCCCAGGCGCAGCAGTCTGGGAAGAGGCTGAGACTGCGGGTTGACGTTATTCGACGCGCTTGACTGATGTGGTGCGAAACCCTCTGTCAGGTCAGCGCCGAAAGAAGGGGTCGTAGAAACGAAGTTTGGCAAAGAGGATGATGGCGCGGGATGAGGAAAGAACGATGACGCAGGAGCTTTGAGGCGCAGAACGCGGCAAAGTTGGGTTTGTGGTGTGGGATTGAAGGTGGATGTGAGAGACAAGTGAAGTTCAAGACAAACAGCTGCCGTGATGCTCGACAAGGACCAACTTCACAACAACATGGCAGTAACGTGACAGCCGCCAAGTGCAACGCGTTGGAATCAACATACCGATCACGAGGGACAATGGACTGAGATTCACATACACCAGTAGTGGAACTCTTGACAGTCAAAGACTTGGATCAGGATGTCACTGTATTCTTAGACCACCATGACCATCGTCAGATCAATAGCCTTGCTTCTTCTTTGGCATGTACGGCTCCTCGAGGTACTTGATGTCCTCGTCACTCAGCTCAATCTTGCACGCCTCGACTGCCTCGTCCATCCTCTCCTTCTTGTTCAAGCCCACGATCGGGCAGACGTCCTTCTTGCTCAGGCACCAGGCAATGGCAATCTGGGCCATGGTCTTGCCCATCTTCTGGGCCACCTTCTCGACCCTGCCCACGATCTCCTCGTCGACCTTGTCTTCCCTCGAGCGAATCTGAGCCTTGAGGTAGTTGTCAGTCTTTTCACGGAGGGTTTCTCGGTTGTTGAAGGGGCGAGTCAAAGCTCCTCGCGCGACGGGCGACCATGGCACAAGCCCGACGCCTGTGTGGTTGCAGTAAGGGATCATTTCGTTCTCCTCTTCCCGGTAGAGCAGGTTGTAGTAGTTCTGCATCGAGATGAACTTGTGCCACCCGTGCTTGTCCGCGACATTCTGCAGTTCCTGGAACTCCCACGCTGCCATGCTAGAGGCGCCAATGTAGCGGACTTTTCCAGACTCGACAACATCATTAAGTGCTCTCATGATCTCTTCGCGGGGGACCGATCGGTCTAGGCGATGAATCTGCAGAACGTCGATGTAGGTACCCAGTCGTGCAACACTCTTATCCACAGCGTCGATGATGTGTTTGCGACTGAGCCCCATTTGGTTCAGCATGTCGCCATCGTTGATCGAGCTGACACTAATCGCGTTGCCAGGAGTGTCTGGAGTCACGCCGAAGTAGCACTTGCTCAGTATCACCAGGCGTTCTCGGGGAATATTGTATTTCCTGATTGCTTTGCCAATGATCTCCTCGGATCGGCCGTGGCTGTACACGTCGGCGGTATCCCATGTTCTGATGCCGACCTTGTAGGCATATTCCAGGAGGGGCAACGAATCTTCCTCATTCAACACCCAACCCTGCCATTCTGGGGTGCCGTAGGACATGGCTCCTCTGTTCCATTAAGTTTAGCACGGCAAGATCAGGGCAACGAGATTGATCAAACCTACAGGATGACCTTGGAGACCTTGAGTCCGCTCCTGCCGAGGTATTGATACTCCATATTTGGCGGTTGAAATGACTGTAGGCTGGTGTTCGAGAGGCCTTGATTGATATGCGCTTGGGGTCAGTGGCGCAGCAGCAAGTCTGTTGCACTGTGCCTCCTCCATTGCTTGGGCTGGGATCTGAGAGCTCTTTTATACGTCGAGCTTCGGGGCGACAGACATATGGTGAGTCGCTGAAGGGGTCATTGTCAACAGCGAGGTGGCTCCCACGTAGGTTGGTGGTTATTGATCAAGATGCCATTATCTCCAGCTGTCTCCAGCTGTCTCCCGCCAGGGCCAAGGCTCAATGTCTCGAACGGGCGAATCAACCCACGGCCTGATCGGAGCTAACGACACAGCGCCGAGAATCGTTCTTTATCACCGAAAAGTCGCTGGCATTTGTCGAACAACCTGTATCACGCTTCCCCTCCATATCACGATTCCGCGGTTGTTTTCCGCTCTCGGCGCGGCCGCAGCGGCCGCGGTAGATGCTGCACGTCAGTCTGTCCACCATTCATTGATTTCTAACAAGAAACAATGCCATAAAGGTCTTCCGAGACCAATAGATGTCGACCGTGGCCCACGGAAGTGTTCCCACCATCTTTGGATGGGACGCAGCCTTGCCAGAAAGCTTAGCCCAATGTGCTATTGGCACGGTAATTCTTGAGCTTGAGGCAGAGACGGCACGGTCAAAGTCCGGACACGAGGGGAGTACGCAGAGTCCCGCCGCTAAGCGGACCTATGATTGCAATACAACGAAGGTCATTATGCTGGAGAAGCTCGTTACAGTAATCCATTCATGTGCCAGACAACAAAGAAGCATCGCCATGTCCGTAAACAAATTGTCATGCCAGTATTCTGTGATAGTCTTTTAATTTTCTTGGGAAGGTATTGCTTTCCGTCTAGGGTAAATGCGAGACAGAATGCCTTCATCTTACACGCCTTCCTACTGGAGTAAGCCAATCGCTATATGCACTTAATTTTTTGAATCATCCAGAGAATGCCTTGCCTGTCGCCACTACCTGCGTGGGTATATGCAGATCATTATTATCATCGTCTCTCAGTGTCGTAAATCATGCCATGTACTCCCTCACCGCGCCAATGCCTCTCCTCTTCTTTGCTCCACCTTCCAACGCCTTGGCCGCAGTGTCATTCGGTTGAGCATCGCCAAACCCACACCCTCCGTCTCTGGTCTGCGCAATAATTGCGCCGGCGCACTTTCCAGTGTTGAATCCACAGCATCCCGAAGCGCAGTCTGCATCACTGAAGCATTGCCCGGTGATGAACTGCGAACCGTTCGCCTTGCCCACGTTTTGAGAGCCTGGGATGGTGCTGTCGATGGGTGGGTTGGAGCCGCTGGTCCCTGAACCGGAGGAAGAAGTGCCGGAAGAGGTGGAGGCAGTATTCGCTGGAGCAGGTGCAGAGGTGGCAGCCGAAGTGGGTTGTTGGCCACGAAGGAGTTGTGCAGCGTTGTCGTTGGGCTGGGCGTCGCCAAATCCGCATCCGCCATCTCGCTCCTGGGCGACAATGGCACCGGCACACAGACCGGTGTTGAAGCCGCAACATCCAGAGGCACAGTCTGCGTCACTCGTACATGGCCCGGTGATGAATTGTGTTCCAGTCCCAACGTTGCCATTATTAGATCCCGAGGATGCGGCGGCGGCGGCGGCGGTGGTGCTCGCAGGGGCAGGGGCAGGGGCTGCAGTTGCAGGAGAGGTTGCGCCCGCCGCTGCAGCTGACTGTGAGCTGAAGAAAGCTTGAGCGGCGATGTCGTTGGGCTGGGGGTCGCCGAAGCCACATCCTCCGTCGCGCGTCTGGGCTATGACAGGGCCGGCGCACAGGCCACTGTTGAATCCGCAGCAGCTGGAGGCGCAGTCGGCATCGCTCGTGCAGGGACCAGTGATGAATTGTGTGCCTTGGCCGAGCACTAGGAGTGCCACTGTATGTCCAGTGTCAGCACATACTTTTAGGGGTTGGGTAGCGATCACATAGACTTACAGTTGAGTAGTAGGAACATCATTGAGGAGGATTTTGAAGGAGTGTTGGTGATCATTTTGAATATAATGCAGCTTAACTGAACCGGCAGTTGTTTGAATTGAACGAAGGTGAAATGTTGTCACGGAAGATGGAGTGAGGGAACACGGCAAAGAGCAGGATGAAGGAGAGACTGGACTTGGTTGATGGATCGAAGCAACGAAAAGCTGCGAGGTGCAGCGTGTATTTGAATGAATCCATCCATAAGGCATCAAGGACGCAACCTACCTTGGGCAACCCCTTTTCCATTAGCAAATGGATTCGAGTCGGCGATGATCCAAATGTCATGAGGCTGGATGGACGCCAAATAATTTCCAACGAAGTGCTGATGGACAATGCAACCTCAATCCAATCGACAACCAAATCAACGACGAAGCCATTGGGGGTCAAACAGCGAGTGACAAGGCTGAGACGGTGGAGAAGGGTTCAGCCTCGTCGAGTGTCGCAGCTTGTTCCAGCCGTCAAGGGGGATGCGGGGATCAGCCTGGCGATTGGCTGCTTGTTGCTCATCTGAGGCACCAATCGTAGCACCCTGAGGCCCTGTTTGAAGTCGAGTTTCACTTTGTCCATGAACAATATAGGGTGACTTGTGGCTGGGGAGATACGGGGTACATATTGCAGCCGGCTCAGGAGGCGAAGTCACCAGCATCGCTCATGGCTGCCCGGACCAGAGCATCCCCTTTTGCGCAGCGCGTCGTAAAACAGTCGACGGCTTCGGGGACCACGATACACGTCAAGCTGTCTTTTCGTCAACAGTGCGGGTGTTTCAACATAGACCACGAGGAGGGACCGTGTTCCCTCGCCAATCGATCAGCCAACCTTGCCGTCAGATGAACCGAGTTGAAGCGACCAGCGTGTTTCCCCTGCCGATATTGCCGTTCTACTGACTCGTAGGAGATTGGACGAGACAACTGTAGGTGGACAGACACCGTCGCTGTCACCCAGCTATGTACCTTCTTACCTGGCGGAGCCGGTGGGACGCCCAACCTCTTTTCCAGGTGGTGCGGACGGTGATAATTGGTGCCTAGAAGCCTATCTCTGGGGCTGGTGGTGCCTAAACCATCGCCGGTTAGGCTGCGACCTTGGCACCTTCTATGCCTTCTACCTCAGCGGGTTGGAATCTCCGTCCTCCAAATTTCATCCTACGCTTGATCACATCACTGCTCGACCTTGCGCCAACACGCAGCTCGCAGCATGCCACCCCGTTGCTCATGATCTTGAGCAAGATAACATCACCATGATGCTGATGGGCCGTACCAGACCGCAGATGGTATATCACAGTCAATGTCGTTGGATCCCATGAAACCCTCCCTGGGCAGGGAATTGCTGGAGAGCTCATGCCGCCGTGTATTGTCCCAATCTGCAGTGATCAGAGAAGTCTTGACGTACGACAAGATGCTCAACAACCAAGGCCCCGGTGAGATCTTGCGATCTTAACTCTTTATCTCATAGAACCCAGCCTATTCGTGGCCTTCTATCAACTCTCAAATGAAGCTTCAACCCCAACCACGGACATGTGCACACCATGCGATAACCTGGGATTCTCGGCGTCTCTTCTCTTCTATTTCGTGTGGCGGACTTGTCCGATCGAAGCAAGACATGTTAGATAAATGAAGACTATGTCCTTGCCAGGCGCAGACGGTAGCCGATGTTGTATACCATCCCCACTATGACGGATATCATCAGGACCAACCCCGACGGCTACCAGGAGGTCAGGACCGGGTTAGGATGGCGAAGGGTGCTCTCTCCAAACAGCACCGAAGCCACATTCAGCCTTCCCGTCATTGACATTGGGGATATAGATCATCCTGATCGAGAACGTCGAAGGTCCGTGGCCCGAGAGATATGCAATGCTGCAGCCAATGTGGGTTTTTTCTATGTCAGCAACCATGGCGTTCCAGAGAGGGTCATCAAATCCATCTTCTCCGAGTCCAGACGCTTCTTCAATGAACTCAGCCTTGAGGAGAAAATGCAATACGACACCGAGAAGCATGAGCACTACTATGGCTACTACCCTATCAATCTTGACCCCAGCCTTCCCGCGGGAGCAAGTACGTCCCACCGCTCCCCCAAGACCGGCATTCCTCATGTTTTATAGAATTAAATGAAGGCATTAACTATGGATACGAACCCTCGATCGACCCTAGAGCTGTTACTTCAGAGAACAACGGCGACAACTGGTGGCCTTCGGAGAAGCGTCTTCCTGGCTACGTGAAGAATGTCAAGGAGTACATGTCTCATGCGCTCGCGTTAAGCCGAGCTCTGCTTCGAATGTTTGCACTCGGCCTCGATCTAGAGGAGGGTTCCTTTGACTATCTTGCTACTAAGCCATACTCAATTCTCAAGATGGCACATTATCCTGGGGTGCTTTCTGGATCAGAAGAACCATCATCAATCCGTCCCCACACGGACTACGAACTCTTGACGATCCTCCTACAGGACGACATTCCCTCCCTCGAAGTCCTGTCCAATACTGGGCGGTGGATCCAAGCGAAACCCATTCCAGGGACATTTGTGGTCAACATCGGAGATTCCATGGCGATGCTCACCAATGGCCTCTTCGTGTCCACTATGCACAGAGTGCTCAACCATTCAAAGCGAGATCGGTATTCGGTTCCATTCTTTCTAGGGGGTCAGTATCTTACATAACTCATCTCTATGGATGGTGCTGACACTTTGCAGCGAACCAGGAGGCCGAGCTGAAGGCTCTCGAGCAATTCGTCACGCCTGATCAGCCGCCAAAGTTTCAGCCCATGACTTCAGGGGAATACGTTCGTCGATCTTTACAAGCAGTGTATTCCAAACCCAACATAGAGATCATCCGGGAGACAATCGAGCTGCAGGGATAAGAATACGCTTACGCTCAAGTCAAAGGTCTCTTTAGGCCCTCTGGAAAATACCCACTGTACGAAATAGTCCCGCATTGCTTTATGTCGACTTCCACGCCCGAAGTCGCAAGCACGGAAGCGAATTGTATTGGTGTATTTTGTGAACGAGTCAACCGTCTGTCTCAATGCCTTTCGATGGTGGAACTTGACTACATCGCCTATATACCTCGTACATTCCCTGTATATCACGAAGTAGCGACACATCCGAGAGCGACACTGCAACACACGTCAGACTCGTTAGCAGGCCGTGGATCTCTCGATGTGGTATGCAAACTCCACTCTCTATCTATTCTAGCCTCGAACATTCCGGCAATCGGAGACCGAGTCTTCTCTGTATATGGAGTACACAAGGCAGCACACAATGTCCACGCTAGATCCGCAACCGCATTTAAAAAGGAACGTCGACTATATACAAGGTACCAGTGGGCCCCATCTGCATGATACGGCGTCCTACCGCTGACCCCCGGACCCACGACCTTTGCACTCGTGGGCAGTAGTGTCCCGGCTTCAACACAGAATCCCACGGTCCTGTCAGGACTCTATTAAGCCCAGATCTTCGGGCTGGTCTGCCCTCTACTCCATGTCAACCTTGTCTGACCTCTGTGGTTATTTTGGAGCTGAGTATCCGAAATGGAATGCGTGTGCTTAGGCAACCCAGCTTGTCAACCCGCTTCTGCCAGGGGCAGGGTGCTAATCATAAGTACGCGTACGCACAGCTCTCACAAGCCGAGCATGTCGCTCTTAAAGTCGCTCGTCTCCGAGTCGCCGCAGCCCCTGCTTGAGCTTGACTGGGTTCGTTGAAACCTCTATCCATTGTTAATTGCGGCAGGCAAGATGGTTGGACAGGCATCCACGGCCATTGCTCCAGGCGGTCCGGTTCCAGTTGCGGACCAACAAGCCCAAGTCAACGGCGCCGCCACAAGTCATGTCAATGGCGACCGTACGCAACTCGCAGGCGCTGCTCAGGCCGCCATGAAGGTCCAGCAGAAGTACGACGAAGAACGGCAGAAGCGACGGCGACCGGACGGCGATGCCCAGTATGTTGATCTCGCCCTGTCGGAGCAGTTCAAGCACTATCGAGAAGACCCTTGGCTCGACGAGCGCTCGGAAACAGTGACCATCGGCCACGGCGAACACGTCAAGTATCTCATCCTGGGAGCGGGATGCGGCGGGCTTTTCTTCGCCATCAAGCTCATCAAGGCAGGCATATCAGCGTCCGAGATCCGCATCGTCGACTCGTCCGGAGGTGTGGGAGGAACGTGGTACTACAACCGCTATCCGGGCCTGATGTGCGATATAGAGTCATACTGCTATCTTCCCTTTCTTGAAGAGATGGATTACATCCCGAAGCACAAGTACGCCTACGGCTACGAGATCAGGAAGTACCTGAACGCCGTCGCAGATAGATATCGACTCTCGGACACGGCCATGTTCCGCACCAAAATAAACACCCTCGTCTGGGACGAACGCAGCTGTCAGTGGAAAGTCGGCATGACCAAAGAGCGCAACTCAGGCTCTCCTGTTGAGATTGACGTGACTGCGGACTTTGTCATTGCTGCGTCTGGCGTCCTTCTACATCCAAAACTTCCCGCCGTGTCTGGAATCGAGAACTTCGAGGGCGCTTCATTTCACACGTCGCGCTGGAACTACTCTGTCACCGGTGGCTCTGAAGATAATCCGGCCCTTGACAAGCTCGCTGGGAAACGAGTGGGCATAATCGGCACAGGTGCCACGGCGGTCCAGGCTATTCCGCATCTTGCCAAACATGCGGGACACCTCGTCGTCTTTCAACGGACTCCTTCCTCTGTTGACATACGTGGCCAACACCCTACCGACAAGGGCACATGGACTTCCACTGTAGCCTCTCATCCTGGCTGGTGGAGAGAGCGGAATCTCAACTTGGCGGCCCACCAGTCTGGCGCAGCTCAACCATCCGACATCGACCTTGTCAACGACCAGTGGAGCACCTGCCTCTCATACCGTGGCCTGCTTGGAGGGCCTGATCCGCCGTCCTCGATGGAGGAGATTCCAGCCTTTGTGGCACATCTGTACGCTTTGGACCTGCCTCGGGCTGAACGGATCCGCCAGCGAGTTGATGAGATTGTCGCGGACAAAAAGACTGCCCAGGCTCTGAAGCACTGGTACAGCACTTGGTGCAAGCGCCCAACATTCCATGACGACTATCTATCGTGCTTCAACCTCCCGAACGTCGACCTTGTTGATACGGATGGAAAGGGTGTTGATCGTCTGACGGCCACCGGCGCCGTTGTAGGCGACAAGGAGTATCCACTGGACATTCTGATCTTCAGCACCGGCTTCCGCGCCCCTGGGATTGGCAGCCCTGGTTTCCGAGCCAGTATGGTGAGTTCACATTATTTTTCGGAGGTCTTGTTTGTTCTTAGCAAAGCCGCTTCCATCAGCCCCATCGTTTCGAGTCCCGAACTAACGGCAATCCGCAGAAAATCACGGGCAGGAACGGTAAGGACATGGACGCAAAATGGGAAGAAGCCGTGGCGACGCTGCATGGGACCATGACACACGATTTCCCCAACTTCTTCATGCCTGGCCCCTTCCAAGCAGCTGCAACGGGGAACCAGAACTTCACACTCGACATCATGAGCAACCACGTTGCTCATATTATCACCCAAGCTCAGGCAAGGCATCCGGGCCAGAAAATCGTGATCGAGCCGACGAAGGATGCGGAAGAGATGTGGTCTGGGGAGGTTGTCAAGAGAAGCATGGCGTTTGCGGCAATGGCCGGCTGTACACCAGGTTATCTCAATGGAGAAGGAATCATGGACACCATGCCGATGGAGGTGAAGATGAAGGCCGCCAGGATGGGTATCTGGGGCGAAGGCATCGGGCATTTCATGGAGACCATTGAGGCTTGGGAAAAGGCTGGTCAGCTGGAGGGTTTGGAGGTGAAGCCTGTCAACTAAGTGCGTGGTTTTTGAGGCCTGGTCGAAGGCTTTTGGAGTGATGGGACGGAATTGGCGATCAGCTATACAGGCGACAAAGAGCGAGATCTGAAAAGAAGGGAAGGGTCAAAATGACTGGTTAGAAAGGCTGGGAGGGACCGCTTTCATTCGGTCGTGATAGACCGGGCTTCACCAACGTGTTGTAGAGCGGCGCTAAAGATGTCGGTCACAGCCCAGGCTGGCTGCATCGGTAGATTCGACTCGCCTGAGGGATATCGCTCCGTCCGCGACACACATAGTCAGCTATACTCGGTACAATGATTGGAGAGCAAGACATGAGATGTTGTGTTCACAGTTCGGATGATGGATGATCCCCCCGCCCGGGAAAAAGCGCCATTCCGACATCGCCAAGCCAACTCGGTAGTCGGGCTCTGGACGTGACATCCACACCGACAGCCGTGCCAACTCCATCTCTTTTTCTCGTCTCGCATGACATCCGTGCAAGATATTTGATTCTGTCCTGTTATCATGGCGACCGAGGGACATACGGCCTGGGAATATGCTGGGAAAATCGTCTATCAGCTACTAAGGCAGTCAAGATTGTATAGAAGTGGCCTCCAGCACTTTGGATACCTCGGGGTGTGACCTATTTCACCACCAAAGTCAAAGCAAAGACATTCGTGGCTCGTCCCAAAGCCGTCACGCTCGACGGAGAAGCCGTTGGAGTTCGTCTATGAGAGAGCCCCCAAGGATTTTGCTACCGACCGTGTCGTCACTTGGTCCGTGGGCAAAGGAATGCAAGGTGACGCGGGGATTCTGAATCAACAACGACCCTTTCCTACATTGATCCATGGCTGTGGCATAGCAGAGCACGTTCTGGTCCTCGTGCCGCGGCCCTTCGAGGAGAGAACCGAACAGGTGAGAGCTGGGCTATAACACTGGGTAAGTTAAGTCGCCATGAACAACTATATGGTCTGGAGTCGAGGAAGGGAAGGAGACTCGACATCCGAGTCACTCGTTCTCAGGACAATGTCTTCCCAATATGTCACTCTCAAGATGGAAGGAACCCCTGTCCGGGACGGACGGACGCAGGCTTTCTCCCTCAAGAGATCGACCTAGGTCAACCGCTGGATACATGGCCCCGCCGTCCCGACAATCATTCTGGATATCTCCTGCAGGCAGACTTGAGTCAACCAGAGCATCATGAGAAAAACATGCAACCTTCGGCTTATGGACATCTTTCTTGTCCTGCACAGCGGCACAGACCAACTTCATCCAGAATCGAGCAGTTTGTCCCGGCAAGTTTAGCAAGCCTTCGAGCCAACAAATTTCCTCCTGGAAGGACTGCATGATCCACGAACCGTGTCTTTCCCCACGCTTGCCAGGCGCCCTGAAAGGTATAAGCTGGGCCAGCTGCAGCGCCCAATGCAAGACAACAGGCGCTGCGACTTAATCATCATCGTGGATAGCAAAGAGATTGACAACCCCACCATCATGGCTGCGCTTTCATCCACCTCAAAGCGCAAACTCTCGGAGTGAGGTCGACTGCAAGACTCGTGGGCCACGACGACCACCTGTTTCGCATCCAGAGAAGCCGGGGCTCCTCGCAAGAGGAGTCGTGGAGCCGCAGCAAGTATCTCACGAAGCTCCACCAGGTTATCAGCTGGATGGAATTTTTTCAAGTCCTTTATTGAAGGAATTGCATCAATGTTTCGCCCTCTAGGTGTTTACCTTGAAATTTTTAGTCGCCAAGCCGCCGGTACGGAGCGCAGGGCAGCAAAGGGCCAGCTTTGATTCCAGGGTGTCGGAAATCTCGGGGAATGGGACAACAGCACCTCAAGCCAAAAAATTCCGCTTATCGATCGATTACGGCATTGAGGAAGTGACCGGATCAGGAACAAAACCCCAATAACGGTCGTGGAGAGTTGTCGAGATCTGAGTGCACATGACAGTTCTCCCCAGGAGCCTTCCAAATGCGATTGAGGGGGTGAGATCTGCGATCCCCAATCATAAAAGATGTTGCAGTGAACACCTCACAGGCGCAGGCAAGCAGCCGGTAACCGCCAGTAAGCTTGGGTCACCGAAGGTCGAGCGGCTTGGGCTGATAAACTAACCAGAAATGGGGTTGCACGGCGGCCAAGGACGATGCATTATATGGCCACGGACATCCATTATCTTTTCTTTGACATTTTTGTTTCCACCCACGACACCCCCGAAAATAATGTCGCCGATGATTCCATGAACGGACACAGGATCCAAGAGACGAACTTGCCCACCGGCATCGAGGCCTTGCGACAGTCCGGCATCGCCCATATTGGTGCGATAACCACAGAGCCACCGTATTCTGGGGCGCCAGCCACACACCTGTTACAGCCCCTCTCCCCTCCGAGGTACAACAATCTCGATGCGCATTTTTATTCCAGCCTGTCGCCGAGCGACACCGGGCATGATCCGCAGCAGACGCCGGGACGACTAGATTACTACATGCAAAGTCCTGACCACGTCGCGGACATGGCGGCCAAGGAGGAGAGGCGCAAGCGCAACACCGCGGCCAGTGCACGGTTTCGAATGAAGAAGAAACAGAGGGAACAGGCCTTGGAGCGGAAGATGAGCCAAGTGCAGGACAAAAACGCGAAATTGGAGGAGAAAGTTAATCAGTTGGAAATGGAGAACAAGTGGCTGAAGGACCTGATCACGGAGAAGAACAAGAGACCTGCGAGCGAGTACGGAGAACACGACGACGACGATCTTGAGGCATTGGCACATGGGCGCATTGTGAACGGGACGAGCGGAACACGTCACGCAGGGTAGAATCTGAGGACGAGAGCGCTTTTCCTTGGGGCGTGCAATCTTACGACGACAAACGCGATGGATGTTTGAGGGGGGACAGGTGGGAATCTGTGCTTGGTTCAAAGTACACAGAGGGCCCAAGTAGTGCTGCCCACGGGTCGCACTGGACACTGGAAATAGGTTGATACAAGGCGCGAGAAGCATATTGATTTCGCATGAACGTCTGTTCTTAGTCTCGATTACGAACCTTGTCCCAGTGCACATCCGCCAGTCGAAGAGTGACATTTCTGTTGTGTTTGGCAACCAAGGATTCCATTCTCAATGCATTGTGGGCTGGTTTGAAGTCGCCATTAGAGGCGCAGCGAGGATTGGAGTTGCAGTCTGATCACGCCATTCTGTGGAACAAGCACGTCTCAGCAGCCTCTCCCAGCTGCAAGTCACCCAGCGCGAGGCCCTAGATAGCCTGTTGTAGGAAGCCTAGACGCCCGAAATGAGCATCTTGCCTTGTCGCGGTGGAAGCTCGGGGGGCGATCTTGCCAGCTTCACCGCCTGGAGCGGGCTGCGACAACGGGCCAGCCTCTTCCATGTGTAACTGCCTGGACCCCAAGGCGCAGGTAGGTGGAATATGGCTTCTCGTAAAATCGGGGTGACTTTGAAGCAGATATAAACATATCGCCCGCAGTAGAGGGAGTCGCGATGGCCTGGTCGAGGTCGTCGTGGCTGGTGCTCCTGGCAGCTGCTGTCGGCAGCCTGGCCAACGACTGGGAGCGCAGCCGTGGAGCGGGATGGCAGCAACCTCTCACAACAGACCAGCCGTCCAGCTCCAGGCCAAACATCGTCTTCATCTTGACGGATGACCAGGACCTGCGCATGGACTCGCTGTCCTACATGCCACATGTGAAAGAGCACCTCATTGACCAAGGCACGTTCTTCCAGCGTCACTATTGCACCATCGCCCTGTGCTGCCCGTCGCGTGTGAGCCTGTGGACTGGCAGAGCAGCCCACAACACCAATGTCACCGATGTCAATCCTCCCTACGGTGTGTTCCCCCTTTCTCGATATCACTGTCGTCGCACAGTTTCTGACTGCGAGATACCTTAGGCGGCTACCCGAAGTTCGTCAGCCAGGGTTTCAACGAGGCATGGCTTCCCATCTGGCTCCAAGATGCCGGCTACAACACGTACTACACGGGAAAACTGTTCAACTCCCATAGCGTGAGGACCTACAACTCTCCATTTGTCAATGGCTTTACAGGTTCCGACTTCCTCCTGGATCCTCACACCTATGAATACCTGAACGCCAGTTTCCAGCGAAATCGCGAGCCGCCCGTGAGCCACGAGGGAGAATATTCCACCGATGTCCTCGCCAGGAAGGCATACGGGTTCCTAGAAGATGCCATATCGGAGCAGAAACCGTTCTTCTTGACGATTGCTCCCAACGCTCCTCACAGTAATGTCAAGTTCGAGGAAAGCTGGTTCAACGGCAGTGCTTCGGCGCACACGATCGTGACCACGCCTCCCATCCCGGCAGAGAGGCACAGACACTTATTCCCAGATGCCGTGATTCCGCGCACTCCAAGCTTCAATCCAGACGAGGTGAGTTGACCGCTGCTTTCCCGGCGCCCTAACTAACCACTAGAATGCAGCCTCACGGCGTTTCCTGGATCAGTAGTCTGCCCAAACAGAACCAGACGAACGTCGACTTCAACGACGAGTTCTATCGCAACCGGCTGCGTGCCCTCCAAGCCGTCGATGAGATTGTCGATGGTGTCATCGCTCGTCTGAAAGAGCATGGGATTCTCGACAACACTTACGTCTTCTATTCGACTGACAACGGCTACCACATCGGTCAACACCGCCTGCAGCCGGGCAAGGAATGCGGCTATGAAGAAGACATCAATATACCATTGATAGTACGTGGTCCAGGGATACCAAAGGGAAAGTCGACCAGTCTCGTAACCTCCCACACGGATCTGGCGCCCACTTTCTTGTCTCTTGCGGGTGGAGAGATTCGATCCGACTTCGACGGCAGCGCTATCCCACTGACGCCCGACCGACTTAATGAGGATGTTGTCTACACCCGTGGAGAGCATGTGAACATCGAGTACTGGGGCTTTGCACTTGCAGAGGGCAAGTACGGGAATGGGATGTACTGGAACAACACATACAAGGGACTCAGGGTGATCGGCACCGGCTATAACCTCTACTACAGCGTGTGGTGTAGTGGCGAACACGAGCTCTACGACCTGAGGGTATGCCTATCTCTCTCTCGCTGGCCATATTTCCATGTGGAATTATTGCAGGGCTGACCACCTCCCAGAACGATCCCTATGAGACGCAGAACCTGTTTAAATCGAATCATTCCTCAAATTTCGAATTTCCAGCCACAGAGCCGGAGACCCAGTCAACGATCACTACCTTGCAGCACCTTATCTCTCGCCTCGATTCACTGGTTATGGTTCTGAAGACATGCAAAGCACGAACTTGTACTCACCCATGGGAAACTCTCCATCCCCATGGCGAGGTGGCCAACCTGCAAGATGCCCTGGACGCACGCTATGACGACTTCTATGAGCTTCAACAGGAAAGGGTTCGGTTTGAAAAGTGCGAAAAGGGCTATATACTGGAAAGTGAAGGGCCGCGGCACGTCAAGGCATTCTCCCTTGGTGACGATGGACCCAGGGGAGGAGTGCAGTGGAGTGAACTTGTATAGAATCACTATATCAGATACGGCGCATCTCAGCGCTCTAAACTGTTAAATTCGTTATCTGCAAAGTCCAAACACTCAGCGACATTTGCCCGCTTCTGGTGCAAGATACCATGTTGTGCCTGCAGCGGAAACGTTCCACTTGAAAGAAGCGTGTGGCGCGCTGATGACCCTGGTCGATGTGGCTAGCAATGCTTGATGCTCGGTGCGTGCTCGCTTCGTGTTTTTGCGTGATCATGATGCGGATCCATGCTACGGCTGGCATCCCCCGTCAGGCCCATCCAGCCTTTCGTTGGGCCACACATTGTGCCGTTGTTGACCGACCTTTGGGGGAAGCACCCGACCTGGGATTCTGACTGGATGTCGACATCACTCGCACGTTGCCGGAGAAAATATGTTTTGTTCTGTTGACTCTCGCCCTCGCGAGACCACCGCAATCCACCGCCATGGGGGATAGGGATAGAGATAGGGTTGTTGAGGCAGACGAGACGACTGCGCTGCTGCGGACCGATTCCGAGTCCTCAGACTTTGAGCAGCAGTCATACAGGACTTCTCTGCGCCGACACTCGTCCGCCAACCTCCCTCCGTACCACGAAGAGCCTGCGCCTGCAGCTGCCAAAGGGGATGCTGAACCCTCGTCGACGCTGACCATCTGGACAATTGTCCCCGTCTCGCTTCTCGGTATGTCAGGAGAGAAGCCCGTCCATGCGTGAGACTTGAGACTGTCGAGCAATGCTAATCTGAGGGCACAACAAGGTGTTTTTGTCGCCAACCTCGACGGCAGCCTGATCATCGCATCGAGCCAGCAGATCGCTTCAGAGTTCAACGCGCTGTCCAGTGCGTCGTGGCTCGTCACCAGCTTCGTGCTTGCCCTCTGTGCCAGTCAGCCCCTGGTAAGACGCCTTGACAACCACTAAAACTGTAGTCGAAGTCGCTGCTGACCCGTTGCCACGAACTATCCTACAGTACGGGAAGCTGAGCGACATCTTTGGCCGACGAAGTAACCTGAGCGTGGCCTACATTTTCTTCGCGGCAGGATGCTTTCTTTGGTGAGTACCGACGACAGTTCGACGGGTGGCCAGGAACAATGCTTACACAAACCGCAGCGGCATCGGTCGCGAGTACTGGCATGTGGTTGCTGGTCGAGCCATCTCCGGCATTGGAGGCGCCGGCATGACAGCGCTGGTATCCATCATCATTGCTGGTGAGGCTGCATGCATGTCTCATCCGCCACGACAACTCGACTGACTCCCCTCACAGATGTGGTGCCTGTGAGAGAAGTCGCAAGCTGGAGGAGCTACGTCAACGTCGCCGCTACGACAGGGCGAGCCGTTGGTGGACCATTGGGCGGCTGGCTCTGCGACACCATCGGTTGGCGATGGTGCTTCTATGGCCAAGTGCCTCCCACGATCCTGGGTCTCCTTCTCATACTCTGGAAACTGCCAACCCGGACGCGAAAGACGGCCAAACCTGGCGAGGAAGCCTCATTCAGGCAAAAGCTGGCACGGGTAGACGTGATAGGTGCCGTCACCCTGATCGTCACCATCATCAGCTTCCTCCTCGCCCTGGAGTTTCTGAACGAGGATCTACCTTTGGCGCACGCCGTAGCCCCCACGGTCCTTTTCCTCGCATTCATGGTCCTGTTCTACATCGTCGAGAGCCGCTGGGCCAAAGAGCCGATCCTGCCGATCGAGCTTCTCACCAGCCGGGCGACGCTGACTGCCTACCTCCTGGCGGGACTCCAGATGACCGCGCAATTCAGCCTCTTCTACTCGGTGCCCATCTACTTCCAGATCGTCTCCGGCTCGAGCGTGAGCGACGCGGGGCTCCGCCTCGTCCCGGCCGTGGTGGGCAACGCCACTGCGGGACTGCTGGCCGGCTACACCATCTCCAAGACGGGCCGGTACAAGCTCTTCACCCTGCTGGGCAACACCGGAGGATGTCTGGGGTACCTGATGGTCCTGCTCCGCTGGCGGCGCGGCGCCATCCACCCGGCCGAGACGCTGTACACCTTCCTGGGCGGCTTCGCCTCGGGCACCAACCAGTCGACCACCTTCATCCACCTGGCCGCGAGCCTGGAGCCGAGCAAGATGGCCATCGCCGGCACGACCCTGTACCTGTGCCACAACCTGTTCCTCCTCATCGGCATCCAGTTTTCCACCGCGCTCCTGCACGCCCGCCTTCGGAGCAGTCTGGAATCCGGCCTGGAGGGCGTCAAACACAAGTCCAAGGTGCGTATCCCGTTACGTGTTTGTGTACTGGTTTTGTTGCTTCTCAGCCGTCCCAGAGTGAAAACCCCAAGTCGTTTTCCCTCCTTATTTTCTCTTTTTCTCCCAAGTTTTGCTGTTTGAAAAAGAGAATGAGAAGATCAGAAACACCCTCAAGGAGCGAAAAAGAAGGCGTCACTGAGTCTGAAACTTACTCACAAACCCCGTATCGAACACGAACAGATCATCGAGTCCGCCGTTTCCAGCGTCAGATCCATCCGAGATCTCCCGCCACGGATCAGAGATGTCGTCGTCCGAGCCTACCTCGACGGTTTGAGCTGTACATTTGGTAGGCCAATTTCGATTTATTTCCTCGCGTTGTTTTTTTTTCCTCCTCCTCACCCCCGAGAAAATCGTCGTTCGCGCTTTTTCACTTGGGAGAAAGAAAAAAACATTGAGACTGACTTGATACATTTGGATGAAACTAGCGATGTCCCTGGCTTTTGCCTTCTTGGGCTTGTTGGTCGCGATTAGTTTGAGGGAGAAGAGATTATAGGGCGGCGAAAGAACGGCCACCGCCTTCAGCAAACAGGAGAGGGCAAAGGGCAGAGAGAGGCGTTGATACAAAGTTAAGCACAATGCGTCATGTGTGGGTGTGTATTGGCTGTTTCGTAATATGAGTGGTATGGATATGACACGGGGTCATAGGAGAGACCACCACAAGGACAACAACACGAGATAATAACACGAGCGAGCCATACATGCCGGAAAGACAAAAGGGGGGACACAGTCCGGAAAAGTCATGGAGATGTGAGTATCGAAAGACACTACAGCATGAGGATCGCGCGGATAAGACTCTCGAGATCATGCGTTCACTCCGCTAATAGCCAATGCCCTATCTCTAAAAGGCGAGGGGTCGAAACACAATACACCGTTTGGGATAGAGAGTGGAAAACGGACTGCCGGGATCTGATGAAGCTATGAAAAATGGATACCTGGCTCTTAGAGGCTAGATCACGGGGTTGGTGATATCCCACGTCTGCTTCCCTCTTCTTTTCGCCCTCTGCTTTGATTGAAGCGACGAATGTAGAACTCTGAACCTAAGCGGCACCGCTCAACCAGGAGGCGTTTATCGTCTATGCAGGATCCCGCCATTGTATTCTACGGCCAGGACAGGACGCTGAAGGGTAGAACATGATAGGGCAGTGTAGAGCATGGTAAGGCAGCAGCTCCAAGGGCGTACTCCAAGAACAGGAAATGAGGTGAGACGTGGTAGACCGGCTCAGTGGGCGAATCTGAAATCCAACCTCTTGTTCCCCTTGTCCTTGGTGGTCTGGAGGTAGTGAACCCTCTCCTCGCGGGACATGGAGTACCAGAGCTTATCGCGCTGGGCGTTCTTGCGGACGTAGTAGATCTTGGAGCCGATGAAGACGACAATGTTCCACGCCACGACGCCCAGCAGGGCCTTGTTGCCCGTGTAGTAGTAGGGGGCGTCGTTCTGGCGGTAGATCTGCGAGGAGAAGATGTTGGACGCCTGCACGGCCATGTTGTACAGCGAGGAGCCGACGGTGCGGGTGCGCACGGAGCCGGCGTTGCGCGACGTGAGCGCCACGAGGATCGCGTGCACGTACGGGTAGCCCACCAGCAGGGTCGACAGGGTCCACTTGGCCCAGTTGGAGCCGTGGAAGTGCGGCGGCAGCGTGACCAGCGCGACCAGCAGCGGGAGGCACCAGACCTGGCAGATCACGCCCAGCAATAGCCGCTGGTTGATCCGCTCCGACACCCAGGTCCAGAACAGCAGCTGCACGATGAAGAGCGTGTACGCCGGGATGGTGAGCAGGTTGGTCTGGAACGTGTCGAACCCCAGGGCCTTGCACGTCAGGGTGATGTACGACTGGGGCGGGGTGCTCGGGATCGTCCAGGAGAGCCCGACGAGATAGATCGGCCACATGTCGTAGTCGGTCAGGGCCGACCAGAAGAGGTCGAAGCTGAGGCCTTGGCGGTTGTGCATGGTCGCCTTCCCGGGGTCGTCGCGCAGGATGCGTGTGACCATGATGGTCTCTTCTCGCTCCGTGAACCAGCCCTTCTTGGGTCGGAGAAGGCCCTTTGTCCAGATCTTTCGGCTGCCGTTGCGGGCCGCGGCGTTGCGCGCGGTCTGAGTCGGCGATGCCGGCAGGTACAACCAGGTCAGAATGCCAATCAAGCCGGTCAGGGCGCCCTCGATCGCGAACAGATACCTCCACCCGGCCATGCCTCCGTGGCCGCGGAGATGCAGGATGCCGTAGGCAAGAAAAGCCCCCACGATCTGGGTGGATTGGTAAGAGGTCCAGAACCAGCTCAGACGCCGGGGCAGTTCGGCGTTCGTGAAGAAGTAGCTCAGGTACAGGATGGTGTCGGGAATGAAGCCTCCTTCGATGAGGCCGAGGAGGAAACGACAGATGTAGAAGCTTGTTTTCCCAGACAGCGCAGCCTGCGACGCCGCCACGGCGCTCCAGGCCACCATCTGGATGGGGATCCAGGTATCGGGGCCAAGTTTCTTGCTGACAAGCTGAGAGGGGAGCTCGGCAAACAAGAAGGAGCAGTAAAAGATGGTCATGCCGTTGTTATAGTTGTTGGTGTTCATGCCGAGATCCTCTGCACGCTCGTCAGTCTCCTGCAGATGCTCATAGGGACGATGGTCATACTTAGCATATTGTCAGATAGCGCCTGGGTGATGTTGCCTCGATCGAGTTGAAGGGCAAAAAACATGATGCATGCTGGAAGGGCAATTCGCCAGTCGAGCTAATAGACGTGTTAGCTGAGACCAAGAAGGGGTGTTCAGAGTAATGTGGAATACATACTTTCCTGACCAAAGCCTTCTCCTCTGCTTGAGTCCACTCAGCCGAGGGATCGAAACGATGTGTGCCTTCAAATCCTTCAATCGGTTTGTAAATTTCCGTGGCCTCGGGGGCTTCGTAGACGTTGTTCACGTTCTTGACGAGAGATGGGTCCGTCGGCTCTAGAGACGACGTCTCTGAGTCCAGTTCGATGTCAGCGTCGACGGAGACATGGCTGATATCCTTGCCACCGAGCTGCCACCATCTCCGGGGTTTTGGCTGTCTTGTTGCTTCCTTGTTCCTTTCAACCGTTGATGGGGTCACCGCGGACTCAAACGATTTGTCCATGGTTACTGCAAGCTTTGGACAAGAAGAACTAAGTGGTAAGGCGACACTTTCCAAGACAGAAAACCAGGGCGCAGAAGGGGGTTATATAGGATACGAACCACTTTCTCCCGCCACCTCTCGGTTGGGAATACCCTTCAGCGAGATGGATTTTCGGCGAGGTACGGGCTTCACAGACGAGTTCTGGACGATGCCAGCCCCGGAGTTTCTACCTTTTTTTTTTCAGATGCCATTGCCACACCAAGCTGGTGGATGGTGTAGTCAAATCGTGGGATGATTGCGTGATTGAGAAGATGTATTGCTGAGACTTGGACTCTTCCACTTTGAAGGTGGTCTGCGAGTGGCACCTAGCCAATATGCTCCAGAATCCACCAACCCCTCGACGGCGCTGCTGCGCCGGCCATGTGCCGCTCCATCTGACTAGAACTGGCGTCCCACGGTTGCCGATCCATGTAGTCGTGGGGAAAGAAAGCTGCAATTGACTGCTGCGCTGCAGGAATGCTGCGGCAGGGCCTTATCCGAGCACGCAGCTCAAAAGATCGATGCTCGAAATATCTCTCCAACAAATGGGCATCTTGCAGGTCCGAGACTAAAGGTCCCGGTCCGACGAGTACCAATGCTGGCAGCCCAGAGGCTACAAAGCAAGGAATTCGACATCTTTAGATCGACGGCCACATGCTTGGTTCGCTAAGTTGGTGGAAAGGGATACAACGTGGTGGAGATAGGGTTTGCACAGACAGACATGATTGGTGGAGAGCGAGTGCAAGCTTGAGGTCGAAGTGCAACCGACGTCTTGGACTGACGAAGCACGCCATCACGAGCATTCTGACACCTTTTTCACTCCACACCGGGCCGGTCGAGTCTCAATCCAGGCCTCGGGGGCGTCATACCCTCTGCAAAGGAAGACAACTTTGGACTTATCTCATTGGTTCTCTGTTCAAGGCAAATGGCCCTTATCATTCCCGCCAAACTGTCTCCCACAGTCTCGACTCGTGGGCGGAGAGGCGTGCGCGTACGAGGTACTGATTCACTGCACCGTGCATGCCGGAACATGGCTCAGCTGTCAGCTCCTGTAGTGTGCTGGGATCACGAAAAGTCTGTGGATCAAGTTATGAGTATGGGAAGCATGTGGAATGAAGTTGAGGCATGAAGAGGAGACTTGAGATGGGAGGTCGTAGACGCCAAGCCTCACGTGATACAGGGGAACATCTTAATGTCCAGCTCCGTCCTGAACTATTGGCACCTGTCACAGCCACCACGAGAGAAGAAAATGCTTCTGACAGCTCTTCCATACTCCACGCGGACAAGACTATGGCCTTGCTAGCACTCATTAATTCCCATGCACTGCTTCGAGTGAGCCAATGTGCGCGGTTAAAAAGTCTCCCAAGGATAGAACAGCACGCGAAGCTGCCGATTCGCGCCATTCCTACCTCAAATGGTGCAAGCCCTTCGGTGAGCACCGGGGCAACCTGGCTAAGCACTTCCCAAGGATGAGCCCAGAGACCCCGCAGATTGCGGAATCAAGGCGACTAAGCAGACAGGACAGACATTGCGTCGAGAAATGCACATGTGGCATCATCCACTGTCAACTACAGCGTGCCTGCATTCGTTAAGGTTCAATACCGATATCGATAGACTATAAAACTGTGCTGTGCCTAGGGGTCGAGGACAGAGAATTTTCTGCAAGAATCGTCAAGCCAAAGGCAACACCTTCAAGTTGATCTATTTCAAAATGGCGCCTTCCGCTATCGACGTTGACGCCCCTCAAGAAGACTACATCAAACAGAAGACCTTGTTCGGAAGGGAGCCTCTCAAATCATCTGGTTCTCTCAACCAGTTCAAATCCATTGACCTCACTCCCGTCATTGGTACGGAGTTTCCTGAGGCAAATCTTGTTGAGTGGTTGAATTCACCCAAGTCGGACGAGCTTCTGCGCGATCTCGCAATCAAAAGTAAGCCCATCCGGGCCTATCTTCGGGTGAAGGCTTACATACCATGTTAGTATCCGAGCGTGGAGTCGTCTTCTTCAGGAAACAAGACAATCTCACAAACGACATACAGAAGCAGCTCATTCAGCGACTGGGCGAGCTGGCCGGAAAGCCGCAGACCTCGAAATTGCATATTCACCCTATCTTGAACTCCGAGAGAGAATTGGGAGGCAGTGATCCGGAGATCAGCACTATCAGTTCTGTTCAGCACGACAAGCTTTATAAGAAGACGCCATACGACCAGAGCAAGAAGATCCAGGGCAGTGCCCAGTGGCATAGCGACATTGCATTTGAGCCAGTTCCCGCGGATTACACCTCGCTTCGACTAACTCAACTGCCTCGAACGGGAGGAGGTCAGTCACATCTTCACACTGGACCAAAGCGAGAATTACTAACAAGACATCAGATACTCTATGGGCTTCGGGATATGAGATTTATGATCGAATCAGTGAGCCATACCAAAAATTTCTGGAAACTTTGACTGCCACATTCGCTCAACCGGCATTTAACGAAGTCGCCGACAAAGGAGGCTTTCAGCTCTATACCAAAGAAAGGGGAGCCCCGGAAAATGTCGGAGGCGAACTGAAGGCCATCCATCCTGTGGTTCGAACTAATCCGGTGACCGGGTGGAAGAGCATTTTCCCCGTAGGCGGCCACGTCCGCCACATCAATGGACTGACCGAGCAGGAGAGTAAGAATCTCCTTGAGTGGTTTCTGGAGCTTGTGTACAAGAACCACGACCTTCAGGTGCGGTTCAAATGGGAGAATCCAAACGACATTGGTGAGTGAACATGATCATGGTTGGAAACGCATGTCTGACAATGAGCCAGCTATCTGGGACAACCGCAGCGTCTTCCATTCTGCAACCTATGACTATCGCGGTGAAGGAGATCGCTTTGGAAACAGGGCAGTTGGTCTGGGCGAGAGACCCTACTTTGATCCTAACAGTACATCAAGGAGGGCAGCGCTGGGGAAACTAGACAACAATTAGATGCAGCGAGTTGCGCATTAAGATTAAAAAGGACACTGAGACATGCCCATATCCATTGATCAACCTCGCCCAAACTCTATGGGCCAAATACATTGATACTATGCTTCTTTCCCTTGGGGGACCAGCCTTGACGATCTTCCCTCCTGTCTCGATATCCCGCAACATGCCTCCACCTCTACTCCCCACAACGCTTTCCGGTGTCTTTGGTGTTCTGCGTCTTCGCTACTCAGCAAACAAAGTGACGCAGTCCCCCAAGTCTCATTTTGCAGGAAACAATATTGCTTGAGTGTACGGGGTGCCATGCAAACATTCATCCATAGCCACCACGTCTCCTAAGGTGACACTTAAGGTGCCTAAAGGTGCCTATGTACCTCGTAGGTACCGAGTGTTCTCCATTTGTATACGGATTAGAGGCCACTAGTCCTGATTAGGCGTTAGCGGCTTCCAGTTTCTATATAGTCCCGGCATTGTCTCGACGCTGCCGATGCACTTTGACTCTTCTTGACTCCAGAAACCTTGCTGCGAGCAATATCAATCTGATACACGAGTCTCAAATCTTTGTCCCAATTACTAAAAATGGATACATCGTCATTGTCTGGTCGAACTTCGTTGAAAGGACCATTTCCAGCGGCCAGCGGCCACATTCAATGCAAACGTCGGCTGCCCAGCAACAAAGAAAGAATGTGAGGCTGTCTCTCATGTTCTAGAGACTCCCGCTGGACTAGGCAGATCGCTCGCGTCTGTCTGCTTCATGCTCGATCTACCTCTCTTATATAGAGGACATCATGCCGCATTTCAGCCACACGGGCGAGAGTGGGCCTTTCAATCCATGTGTGTGCGAATATCTGCCAACGTCTTCGCATAAACAAGCATACCAACGTCCTGAAGAAAGAGAGGATCAACGTCGCAGCAAAAACCGAATCACTCCAGCTCCTTGGGTCAGAAAGTCTAAACGCAAACTCACAGCCCGCGCATTGAGAAGATTGGATCGTAGGAACGAAGAAGCTGCTTCAAGTTCTAGCGTTTCCGATCAAGATTTGGACAGCATCTCTACGCCATATTTTCGAGCTGAGCTTGAGGATCAACGAACTACTGATTCGGCGGTCGATTTCCTCCATCATTGTGGGACGGCTGTCTCGCAGGACATCAAGAAATTTGCCAGGGGTGGTGGTCCAGATCTATCTGACCTACGACACGTGATGAACTGCATATCACACTATGTTTCAATGCTGACCGCTGTCTAGTTTTCACCTTCTGTCGCGAATCTAAACTGTGACATGCCTAAAATTCGCCGCACTCCGTACTGCCGGGTCCGCAAGCTCCGCTCGGAAAACACGCCTACCCCCAATTCCATACCAACTGAAAGCGCTGCCACCTCCGGGCCTTACGATAGGAAATTTAGGTAGAGCCTCATTGACGGTGGTATTTTCCCTCAAAGGTATCGATGTCACAATTTAAAGGTTCCGGCCCCGCCAGCCAATTGGGGAACCATCAGAAGCCGCCTATCTCAACGCCGACCTTCACTTTCCTCGACCGACTTCAGGGATGAACACTTCGAAAAATTCCAACTAGAAGATGCAGAAGCAACGAAAGAGAAGCTAGTGGAGGCTCTTGTGGTAAAGTACATCCGAGGTGAAGAAGACTCTAGGTGCCTCACCGGAGGAGTTACTTTCCGGAATCTCAACCCTTTGACTAAGAACTTAGTTGTACTCGCAAACCCAGACTTCTACTACGGCGCTCGCCCCGAACAGCTGCACCCACGGGTTCGTCACGAGCTCGGAGGAGACATTGTCCCTACAACTCAGGATGACCTTCCTCTAGCGCCCAATTTCTTCCTTGAGATCAAGGGGCCTGAAGGTGTACCAGCCGTGGCAAAACTCCAAGCTTGCTATGACGGTGCACTGGGGGCGAGAGGTATGCACAGCCTCCTTTCATACGGGCAAGAGGGTATTGCGGATTGTGACAATGCCTATACCTTGACTTCGACCTACTACGATGGGGTTCTCCGGATGTTTACTACCTACCGCACGCAAACCTCTACTCGAGAGGGCCGACCTGAATATTACATGCATGAAATCGGTGCCTGGGTCATGACCTCCAGTGTCGAAATTTTCCGACAAGGCGCCGCAGCCTACCGGAATGGCACGGATTGGGCAAAGGAAGAAAGAGACAAGGCAATCGAGCGGGCAAACGAAAGAGCAGCCAGACTTGAACCCGACATACAAGCTGTCGACGTGGGGTTCGAGGATACCACTGGTTTCCAAGATGAGACCGCCTCGTACCAGGACTCTGCAGTGCAGGGTTTGGGCCGGAGTTTTCAGTCCATGTCGACTGAAGATTCCCGGGCTTCCAGTTCTGCTGAAGAACATTCCTCGGATCGGATCTTTTGCGACCACGAAGTCTGTGCTAAACGTGAGAACATGGACCCGGTACAATCACCCCGACCCCAGAAAAAGCAAAAAATGAACTCTCCATCCTGAACATACCGCCTAACAGCATCCATCAGGGGTTGAAGGATTTGACCTTCAGAGGTTCTCTCGCGCATATGTGGTAAACGGTTCCAGAATGCGCCCGCCGCCAGCCCACTTCGCAGGCAATACTGTGGAATATTCTATCGAGCGAGTTTTACTAGCAAAAGCGTATCAGTCTACTCGATAACGTTCATCCGCCGGGTCGTCCGAACAGAGGAGCAGCCACTGTAGACGTTTGCCCCCGTGGAACACAGGATTGCACCACAAGGATCGTGGGGGCAAAATGCCAACCGACTGACTTCGGAAGACTGTGGTTCGAAGTCAACTGGGCTTCTCGGAAACTGGGTATCGCGTGCGGAGCGCGTTGAGAGCAGAGACACAGGAGGACGGTGCACGACGCCTTTTCTGTGGCGCACCTACCTTGGCACCGAGGTGCCCATCTTGAAAGACAAATGGCTTCGATGGCAGCCTTGTGAGTTCTCTGGCAGGCAGATTGCCGGGGCGTTCCTCTCCATTTGGGAGCTGCACGACCGCAGGTCACCATATCTGCCTCCTCAGGATCCACGAGGTCGGTATCACTCGAGTCAACTTTCAGGCGGGTACCGTACCGAGGTGAACGAGGACTCGATCGTTCAGAGCAATTCCTTTGTCAAGCCATAAGCGATCCTGCTCCTTGCCCTGGTCATGGAGCGTCAGAGTTGTTACCAACTCACATCGATGGGAGCGACCAGTGCTAACCAGACGGTCTACCTACGTATACAGCCCACGATTGTAAGTGATCAAGCAGCTGAATTGAATAGAGCCCTATCGAGTAATCAGATTGGCTCCTCCTTGGGCGATGATCTTTTCTTTCTCAGCCTCGTCCATGCTTGCTTCCCCCGCATTGCCAATCCAATGCCCAGGCCAGTCCGGTCGCGCGCCCTTCATGTCATTTGCGCGGCGGACTATACGCGACAATGACGAAATCAGACCTCCCCGGAAACCTTGGGGGATAGTGAAAGTGGTTACAAGAGAGTACCGATGTATATGATATGACAAAAGACATGAAGCGAGACGGTGAGAGCGCAGAATCAGTACTATAATGCCCAGGGAACCTCTACGGATGGGGGTATAGTGCACCGTCGTCCCAACATATTACCTTCCCAGACATCGGGGCTTAATCCCTTAGTTTGTCTTCAATACATAATTCATTCAACCTCCCTTCGAAACAAACCGCGCGGAAACAAAGCGGAAGAATGGATGTGAAAGTCAAGATCGAGTGCCACTGCAAACTCACCTCCTTCTCCCTTTCGATCCCGTCGCTGCTGCTGCCCCTGAAATCGGCGCTGTGCCACTGCTCCTCGTGCCGGCACGCGACGGGCCAGCTGTTTGCGACCTGGGCCGTGATCCCCGCGGACCTGCCACCCGGCGTTCTGGGCGGTGGCGGCGGGGATCTGGTCAAGTACGAGTCATCGCCGACGTGCCAGCGCTGGTTTTGCAGGCGGTGCGGCGCGAGCGTCATCAACGTCGACGGCGGCCAGGGCCAGGAAGAGTGGGAGGTGGGCACGGGGGTGCTCTACTTCCTCGACGACGACGGCAGCCCGAAGGGATTGGAGGGGAAATTGAACCGCGTGCAGCTCTGGGTACAGGACGTCAAGGGGGACGGCGGCGCGGTGGGGTGGATCAACCAGGGAAAACTTCAAGGGATGGATCGGCACTGGACGGGGCGGCAGAGTGAGATGGTCGGCGACGACGATGTCAGGGACCTCATGATGCAACGCGCAGCCAGCACCAGAAACGAGGGCGAGCGGCTCGCTGCGCAGTGTCGCTGCAAAACCGTCAGGTTCGAAATCTCACAGCCTCACGGCGACCACAATGCCGGAACGGGCAGGTTCGAAGCGAGCCTCGACGCATGCACGTCCTGTCGGACCGTGACCGGGTTGGAAATCACCTGCTGGGCCACGGTGCCAAAGGGTCTCGTCGTCGCGGAACCCAATCTCGAGGCACTGCTGGTTGACACGGCGAGGTTGGGCCACTACAAGACGTCGGCGGATGTGAGCCGATATTTCTGTGCACAGTGTGGCGCCACGGTTTTCTACTACAAGCACGGCCTTGAGACCATCGACGTCGCCCTGGGACTTCTGGAGCCCGGAACCGAGGGGGCTGTTCGCGTGGAGTCGTGGCTCGCATGGCAGAAGTATCCCAAGTGTTTGGCGTATGTAGAAGATGCAGTCGACACGGTATTCGTCAGCAATTTGGGGGAAGGCATGAAGCATTGGGAGAGGTGAGGGGTGATATAGCAAGAAGAGTCGGTTGCCATGTTCTCGAGTTTTGCACGCCGAAACGTCACATTGCTACTGGCTTGTAAGATTCATTGGATTACATGCTCGTGCTGTACATTATCTCGATCCTGTGGTCTGTTTAACTGGCAAATCTCTTTTCGGCAGCCTTCCAGTTGATGACATCCCAGATCGCGCTGAAGTACTCGGCCTTCCGGTTCTGGTACTGGAGATAGTACTGTTTCTTTGTCAACAAATGCACAATTCCACAGCAGGGCAGGGTTGCTCTCTTACGGCATGCTCCCAGGCGTCAACACCCAGCAATGGCTTGTATCGGCCGACGACAGGATCCTGGTTCGCGTATGTCTGGATCGAGATGTTGCCGGTCTGCGTGTCCTTGACCAGCCAAGCCCAACCGGAACCTTGGATCCCCGCTAGAGCGGCATTGAACTTCTTCTTCAACTCTTCCAAGTTTCCATAAGTGCTATCAATCGCCTTTGACAGCTCTCCCGAAGGTGGTTCGCCGCCGCCCGAGTTCTTAGGTGCGAGGTTCTCCCAGAACAAGGAGTGATTGAGGTGGCCACCTCCGTGAAAGTTGATCAGTGGCTGAAGAGCAATCTTGGCAGCAATGTCGTCGCTGGCTTCGGCGGCAGCATACTTATCGGCGGCATCGTTGTAGGAGTTCACGTAGGTCTGGTGGTGTTTGCTGTGGTGCAGCTCCATGATCTTGCCGGATATGGCGGGTTCCAGGGCACCATAGTCGTCTGGTGGAGGTGTCAGCCCCAGCTTTTCGAGGTCAAGGTGGTTAACCTCCGAAGTATTTCACTTACAGGAAAGCTCAGGGAGAGTGGCCTTCGTCCGAATAAATGTTTTGTCGGCGGTGGTCAGGCATCGGGCGGGATTGGTAGCTGCAATAGCTCGGAGGGTGGAGGGACGGGCGACGGATCGGAATAGCGAAGCCATGTTTGAGATGATTGCTGTGAAAAGAGACCCAATTGACCGGAACAAAGGAAGCTGAGACTTGCAAGAAGAGAGTTGGAACTGGATGGTGAGGTGCTCGCTCCGTAGCTGATGTTTATTGGAATTGGAGATGGCGAGATGGAGCTGCACAAATTACATCACTGTGCCTATTCCGGAAATCTTCGTACGAATTTCGGGCTTGACGCTGGAGTCGCCCAGAACAACTTTTTATCCGCAGGCAGATCGCAGATCGACCATCTCTTGCATGTGCCACGGAATCTTCCACTGCATGCGATATCCTGCGCTTGGAGAGTCTCTTTGCCAGGCACATCAAATCTGGCAGACAAGTCCACAACGACTGCCATCTTTGTGCGGGCTCGCGCTGAAGCCTGACGCTCAGGCAAAATGAGCGATTCTTCAGAAGACGATCAGCCCTTCAATCTTCGCGACTACGACGACGACGAATCTGACGACGAGCGACCACATAAGAGACGGAAGACGACAAAGATTTTGCGCAGCCGTGGGCTTGGGTTCGTCAAATCTACCGGCCAAGAAGAGGGGCAGGACGGTGCAAGAGACGGGGAAGCTGAAGATGAGGAACCATACATTGATGACGAAAGACCCTCTATGGGCATGGGTATGGGCCTGGGAATGGGCGCTGGTATGAGTGGATTTCGGAGCTCCTTCAACATAGGCGAATACAACGACGAGGAAGCAGGGGCAGAAAGAGCCACTCCGCCGCCGGACATGTCTCCCCAAAGGCAATCAGACAAGACTCGCCGTATGGGCCCTTCAGTGTTTGGTGCCGGCGGACGGATGAACAAAAATTCCTTTGCGGCGCGAATGATGGCAAAACAAGGCTATGTTGAAGGCCAAGGTCTAGGAAAATCAGGGCAGGGGATAACAGCACCTATCCAGGCCAAAGTGCTGCAAAGTCGGGCTGGCCTGGGTCAAGGAACCGGGACACCCGAACCTCCTCACAGGAAACAAGACGCAGGAAAGGAAAAGACGTCTTCCAAAGCGTCGACACCTGGCACAAGCACACCGCGGATCAAGGCACCTCCCAAGGCCAAATATGCCGTCGCGGCAATCGAGTCGAGGGGCCTCCACGTCCCTGAAGCCATGAAGCAAATCATTGTCGATGCAACTGGAGCCGAAACCAAGACCGTGACCTCCTTATCAGGCTTCTCAACCCCTACCAGAGAAGCCTCGCCATCACCGGCGCTCGAAGCCGCAAAAGCCACTTCCCGTATAAGGCTCCAACTGCAGGCGTTTGCCGACGCCTGGGACTCAACAAAAGACCAAGAAAGTCATCTGGAGCAGGAAGAAATTCAGCTCGGCGCTGCATTGGTATTACATGAAGAAGAGATCCAACGCTACAACGACATTATCTCCGCATTTGAACGGGTCACTGTGGACGACTCGAATGAGTCTCGAGACTGGAACTCATCCATATCCCGCCTCCAGGAGATTCAAGTCCGCTCGTCGCACTATATTTCCGAGCTTTCGCTCCCCGAACTCACTGCTTCCTGCCTGGAAACACCTTTCCGGCGCGAAATAGTTGAGTGGGATCCTCTTTCTGACCCAACTCACCTCATTGACTCGTTGAAGTCGATCGACCAGCTTCTCGAGGTCGAAAAGTCAAGGTCCTCCCGCCACCGCAAACGCACGACCTACTTTGAGTCGTTGCTGCTGCTGCATTGGTATCCACGCATACGCACGGCATTGTCCAAAGAATGGGACATCTACGATCCAGACCCGGCCTATAATCTGATCGAGGCTTGGACGCCACTCCTCCCTCCTTTCCTAATCTACAAGATCCTGCATGAAACCGTGATTCCGCGGTTAATCAAGGCTGTCAAACGATTCCCCAAGACACTCGACTCTGGCACATTCGGCGGGGAAAGAAGCAAGAAGTCTAGTCGGGCTCCAGATATGCACACCTGGCTCTTCGACTGGTGGACGCTCATCTCGTCCGAGACGCTCGACCTCGAACGGTTCCCCGAGCTCAAATCCCTCGTCAAGGCCAAAGTCGACGCCGACTCGTGGGCCCACTGGAAACCGCTGCTCGGGTCGAGGAAACCCAAACTGCTCCCGTCAGCCACCCCTGCCAAGCAACGTACCACCACCGCCGCTTCAGCTACCGCGGCTGGTCTCAGCGAAGCCATGGAGGAGATGACGTTCAGATCGCTCGTCGAGGAATGGTGCTCGGAGCACAACCTCCTTCTGCAGACCTCGCACAAGTCCGACGCCTTTGGGCGGCTGCTGTACAGGCTGCAAGATGCCGAGAGACGGAATCGCGGGATCCTGGTATATTTGCAGGACGACGTCGTGTTTGGGGCCGAAGACGGAGAGCCGTACGCGTTGGACGAGCGGTTGATCGCCAAGGCCCGCGGAAAGTAACAAAACAAAGCCGTGGACTTGGAAAGGACGAACCATCCATCAACCCCGAGGGAGAAGGTCAGATGCCAGGGAGTTTGCGTCCATGGACGGGCTCTCGAGGGAGGGCTGTCTCCGTACGCGTATCTGACGAGAACACACACAGCTGTGCACATCAATCATAGCCCCAGGAATTTGGAGAGCGAAGACAAAAAGATCGCTTTATCTCTGTTGTTGGAATGCAAACCGCAAAGCGCGCTTCCCAGATTTGAACCCCCCCCCTTGGTCTAGTAAGTAGTAGTAGCTAGGTATGTGGATAGATACTCCGTACATTTCGAAGAATTCCCGCGCCAGCCCAGGCCACGACAACGACAACGACAACGACAACGGTGATCCAACTCAACTCAAACTCAACTCGCTTCTTTCCCAAGCAGAGCTCGCGCCAGGCTGTGTGATCCGAGATAGAAATAGCGGAGAAAGGGAGGTAGGTAGGTGTGTGTGTGTGTGTCCAGACGTGTGAATTTATGGCAGGCTGCATGCATATCCAAACTTTGCAAGGAAGATTGTTGACCCGCTTTTCCTTCTCTTTTCCCTCAACGATGTAAAAAAAGAATACCTTGGATCTGTTTGTTCCCCGTCATCATCAAGTATCGTCCGTCAGAGGGGAAAAACAACGTGTTGACACCCCTATATATCCCACAGCTTGCTTGTGATCTCTCTCTCTCTCTCTCTCTCTCTCTCACTCTCTCGCGGAAATGAAAAAAAGTCTTGTTCTAGCTCCTTCGTGCCTCCACCCCGTAACCGCCTTTCTTCAATGTCATGTCTGGGTTTCGGATCCAAAACTCCCGTCATTTTTCGTGGCCCCCTTTTTACATGCAAGCGGCGCCGTCAATGCCGATGATCTTGCCGTTCACCCACTCGCCGTCCTGCGAGGCCAGGAAGCAAGTGACGCGGGCAACGTCGATGGGCTGGCCGACGCGGTTCATGGGCGACCACGTGGCGGCGTACTCGTCGACCTGGTCGTCGGACAGGTTCATGCCGTTGGGGATGTACTCTCTGCAGACGGCGTGGTACATGTCGGTCTTGATGCCGCCGGGGGCGACGGCGTTGACGGTGATCTTCTTGTCGCCGCAGTCGATGGCCATGCAGCGGACAAAGGTCTCAATGGCGCCCTTGGAGCCCGAGTAGACGGTGTGCTTGGGCACGCCCTTGGCCTGGCCGGTGATGGAGCCCATCAGGATGATGCGGCCGCCGACCTCGAGGTTCTTGTATGCCTCCCGGGCCACGAAGAACTGGCCTCGGGTGTTGATGTTGAAGACACGGTCGAATTCTTCCTCGGTGACGTCCTTCAAGTGGCCGAAGGAGACGACGCCCGAGTTGGAAACCACAATGTCCAGCTTGCCAAAGTGCTTCTTGGCCTCGGCGAACATGCTGATGATCTGGGAGACGTCCGACACGTTGGCTTGGACGGCGATCGAGTCTCGGCCGAGGGCCTTGATCTCGGCCACCAGCTCGTCGGCGGCCTTGGAGGAGTTGGCATAGTTGACCACAACGTCGGCGCCACGGCGAGCGAGTTCGAGAGCGGTCTCACGGCCCATACCTCGCCCTGTATTGTGTCCGTTCTGTTAGCCTTCTCTCTTTTTCTCTCCTATCTTTTCCCAGGGTGGGAGACGGAAATTTGGTGGGGGAAGAGGCGGTGAAGGGCCAGGTCCAGGAATCTTGTCTCAGGGAAGGGCTGCTCGCACTCTTCCAACTGGACTTGGACCTCCTCTTTCTCTGGGACGTACCTGATCCTGTCACAAGGGCAACTTTGCCAGTGAGGAGGTAGCTGGGGACGGGCTGGTCGACAGCGGGTGCAGAGCCATTGGCAAGTCTGGTCGAGTTTCGTTTAGACATGGTGAGAGCGGTGTGGAGGGTTTGTGTGTGAAGAAGTGATGAGGAAGCAGCAGAATAGTATCCAAAAGATAGCAAGAGATGCAGACAGACGAGAGCAGAGGGTATGTACAGCACTCGAGGAAGAAGGGAGCGAAGACGAGGAAAATGAGTTTTATTGCACAAAAAGGTCACGGTGTTAGGATAAGGGGTGGTGATTGTTTGTGCCCCCCCCCTCCCCTCTTCCGTCTTCCCTCCACCAAAAAGTTCGATTGGGAATATTATTTTTAACAGCCCATCAGCCGCAGCTAATGCTGTGAGTGGGGGACGGCGATCGGCCTAGTTGGCTTAGCGGCCACTAATGGGCGACGCTCAGGGCCTGCGTTTGCTGCCAGGGGCCCGACGCTGAGGGGCACCTGTCACTGGTCCACGGGGATCGTCAGGTGCGAACTAGTGGATGGAGGGGCATCTTAACGACTCAACCACCACCCCGACCACCATTGCGGTTCACCTAACGCGTACTTGTAGGGTCCTGAGCACTAAAGCATAGCCACAGGGGAGGGCGGACAGGGGGGCCACACCCCGAAAAGGTGCGCCAGGTGCCCACCTGCAGCTGTCTAGGGACGAGTCGGTGGCCCTTTCTGGTCCCGAGTCTTGGGCTGGGCGTTGAACTTGTGAGATCTCTCACCGCCCCCGGGTTCCGGGTTCCTGAACATGGCTGATGGGGGCCATCTTTTCTCTGTTTCCCCCCCCTCACACCTGGTCTCCTTCCTGCACAAACATGCTTCTGCTCGCTCGTCTGCTGCAGTCTGCTTGTCGCTCCCTTGCCAAGGAGGAACGAGTCGCTGACCTGATGAATGCCCTGATCCCGCAGTGAGGAAGAGGATGCCCGACAGGTATACCCTTTTCTGGTTGCAAGGCGCGCCCCTCGGTCCCCTCCCACGCTTCGGGCCCGGACTGGGTCTGGCTCTCGGCTTCTGACGAGTCGGCAGCTTTGCACGATTCAGGGGCCACCGAGGGGCCATTTGGGATTTGAGATACGCAGAGAGGTCTTCGCGTATTGTTTTCTTGTACGAACGCTATTCACTCGATAGCCTGTAACCCATTCGCTTCGTACACTTGAGATTGTCACAAAAAGAGCTATCTCGGAGATTTCTCTTCCCTCGTTCTGGAGTCTGGTGGCAGTTCTAGGCCCTCCTCACCGTCAGACAAGAGAGTCGGTAAGGCTGCCGCTAAAGAATCGGTTTCCTTCGTGGGTACGTGTTGTTGGGCGGACCGGCATGAGACTGATACTGATGCGTAAACACTGCCTGCACCTGTATCGAATATCTGTACTCGGTACCCAATTCAGTAAGCCCAAAACAACCATGAAAATGGTTTTCTTCGTTGTGTTCCCTGCCTCCCTTCCCGTCCCGGCCTGCATGAGAAACCTACCTACGTATGGGCAGCCAACGGGACTGTCCTCCGCGGGCTTCATCCGCGTACACATACCGTTGTGTTTATTTGCGCAGTGCTGGACTTGCTTGGTCCGGATGTGCGTGTGCGTAAAACGCCCTGGACATTTCCACGCAAAGTCCGTTGATGCTACTATCTAAGTTGGCTGGGTGCTTGGAGCCTCGTGGCGGACGCCAGTGGCAGAAAAAGGGGCTCCGAAAGCGGGGTGTTGGACTCCGGCGCTAAAAGGGAGGCAAAAGAGTTGAGAGAGAGAGGGAGAAATGATGGGGGCAGCGGGAACCGGAAGGGGAATTGCGCCTGGCATTGCCACTGCGGATCTCCACGTGCTGTCCACGTGACAAGGGGCTTTTGACTTCATCGTCGCTTGCGTCCTTCATTGTCATCATTGTTCTAGGCGACAACAAGGGGCTCGTCCTGGCTATGAAATGTACGGATAATCGGGCTCAATTGCTCGGTGTCGACCATGACTTAATCCTGCCACAGACTCGAGAGTTCTTCCTCGGTACCGCTTCAGGGTCAAACCTGTTGCTAGACTTAGCAGAAGAGCATGTTGGAGTGACGATGCTTGCCGCAGATCGGTGGTGTGTGTGGTAACGCTCGAATCGAACATCGTTTACCCTTGAAGAACCTCATATCGCAGATGTGACAGTGTTAGATTCCTGCCCAAAGTTGTTGAATGGAACCCACTTTGTCAGTCTGGCGTGGTCGGTCTGCCAAACAGGACCGTCGCACATCGAAGACTTCCACTTCACTGTGCCGGTATGTTTTCAGAGATGCCTTGGACAGTCAGGAGCGGGTAAACTTGCAACATTGCCGAAGGATAGGATGGCATTCGACCTGCCATCAGTTCCTGCGTGCAGTCGTCACCTGAGCGCAAAGATTCTGGAGTCTTCAACCGCAACCCTGATCATCTTTTTCACTTCGGATTTCCAATTGCTCTCACGCCACTTCTCCCACCGGCCAAACCCTTCGTCAGCTTCCAGATTTAACGTCTCATAGCCTTCCTTGATGACCTTTTGAATCGCTGCCGGTGACTGATGCGTCTTCTTGCCGTGTTGTACTTTCAATAATTCATGATAATGAGATGAGACGCTAATCAGTGCCTCGACCGACCGTTTCAATGTATCGGATGGGGAACCTCCGTCGCAGTAGGCTTGTTTGAACCTGTGCAGAACATCGTTCGCCTCAATGAGCTTGTAGAAAAAGTCGTCAAAACTGGCGGGATCTGGTAAGAATCCGTCGCCCTTTGACAAGCAGAATGCAGCTAAACTCGCAAGCGTGGCACACAAATCTTCCCGAATATCTCTGACATGTTTGAGGTCGCTGGCATATTGCGTCAGGAATCGCATGAGTGACAAGAGCGAGCCCCAAATGTATGCCCAATGATGCTGAAGACGCGTCTTGGTCTGCTCGAGGTGGGTAATGATACGTAAGATGATACCCAAGGCAAGGCTATACAGCCGCACGTCCAGTCTCTTTCTCAGATTGTGGCTAAGAATATCCGTACATACATCCAGAATGGCAGTTGCCGGGATTCTTGCAGATGTGACCAATGGAAGGTGAGGCGGCCTTTGGCGACATAATCGGAATAAGGCCTTGGAATCTGCCGAGCAGATTCTCTTAGCCAGTACGGCGTCTTCCACGATTATCCTGATAGACAGCAGGCTCAAGACGGCATATGTCGACTGTCGTGGTCCACGGTAGGCGTGATGTGAGATATATGAGGCCATCGACAAGAATGCGGAAAATGGTGTCTCTTTGTCTTTGTCGGCTGCTAGATTCAAAAGATTCGCAGCAAACAGTTTGTTTGCTTGGGTGAAGGAGTAAAGCGAAAGGATACAAGCTGCATCTTCTCCAGGCAGAGAAAGGAGCAAAGCCTTGGCTTCCTCCTCTGAGGGAGGCGCTGGTTTCCTTGCGTCAGTTGATAACGCCCGAAGCCCGACCATGACAAGCGTCGAGTTCAAACTCCATGGTGCAGGATAGTCATCTTGGACAAACACGTACTGCTCACGTATCGTTAAACATGCTGTGGCGAAATTGCGAACCAGAAGTCGAATTGTTTCCTCGTTGACGAAGTCCTCCAGCCGGTTCTGGTACACATTCTGGGCTTCAAATTTGTTGTAACTGGATAGGATGCCGATGACGATGAATGCCTTGAGGGCGGTAGTGGGACATTCGGGTATATCGTGGACATACTGGATTCCACATGAGTATGATTTTCAATCACTGCCGAAAGTGCCTACCTTCATCAACGCCGAGAACAGATCACGGTGCATGAAATAGGTAATGAGACTTGTGTGGAATCCGCCAGCAACCAATGCGAGGACGGTATCCAGTGCTTTGCTCCGCAAAGAATCCTTCTCCGCCTGGCGGATGGTTGTTTCAAGGTTATGGACAAGGTCAGACATCAACCTATCTATCGTGTCCAGCCCGGAAAGTACTTCGATGACGTCGGTATTGAGATTGGTGTACTTCTTGGTGAATACAGCGCACAGGAAAGCTGTCAAATTCTTGAAGAGATCGGATTCAGTACGTCTATCGGAGGAGAGAGCAGTACAGGAGCAACGTACGTCTAGGGCATTCTCATTCCGGGGGGAATCTCCCGAGCCTGCTTCAGCTATGGCACGCCTGAAAAATACCCTCATCTGAGCCTAAGAGTCCGTTAGATGCGAGAAACCAGCGGCCGTAAGCGTGAGAGCTGACTATACTTGCATATGGACCAGATCAAAAGCTGTCATGGGCTCGAGAATGTCATAGAGTCGCTGTTTGTCGGGCTTGAGCAGGAAGAATTCCCGCCAGAACCCTTCAGAAGGCACTGAATCATCGGCATCCTCGTTTGCAAGAACGTTGAAGAGGTGGAGATAGAGCTGGATGATTTTGGGTTCAAAGGAGTCTGGCCTTGTTTGTTGAGTCAGGGGTGTTTCCATGTCGATGGCAGGCGTTCAGAGTTGGGATCGTCGGCGAGGCAACCTGAGTTCATAGTCCTGAATCGGGACGAGAGCAGTCTCTGTGAAGGCAAAAGAATCAATAACCGGAGGCTGTGGGCGAAGTGCGCTCGCTGAACGAAGTATGCAAAACTGGACAACGACGCTGACGAGGTTCAGTCATACAAGTGTGGCCGGTGGTCGGAGCGCCACTGGGAGCTGCTAGCGTCAGAAGGGCAGACTTATTCTTCTCCGAAGTAAGGCTTCACAGAAAGCACTTGTTTTGAGCCCAGATCGTCATTTCTACCTTACGTCTGCACTGAGCACTGAACAGACAAAAGCATATCAGATGAGCGAAAGGAAACGAATTATCGGTGTCACGTGGTGATTGAAATCAGTCAATGCCGATTGGCTGGCCAACGGAGCGAATTCGGCTGACAAACTCGGAGGTAGAAGAATGACGAACTGCCTCTTCAATCTGCGCCTCCATGTTCAACTCGAATTCTATCTGCCCAATGTTTCTATATACCCTCACACATGCTCTTTCCTCCAGCGCTATAGCTGCAACTCCAGCACTGAGAGACTAGACAGTTACTGGCATCCTTCTACAATGTCGGCGACACATTTTGTCCCTACAACCTCTTCATCCATTATCTTCTTCCGAGCCCTGGCAATTGCCTCGACAGCCCGATCCTGCCCTCACCATGCTTTGAGGACCTTCTCTTCTAGCATAGCCACTCGGCAATCGTCAAAGCGAGAATTATACACCACACCATCTTATCAGCCTCATACACTGCCCGCAGATTTTCCTCTACCTCCCAGAAACACCAACATTCCTGACACCTCGATCGCCGGACCTCAAACGCAACTCAGTGGCACGAGACAAGACCAACGAAGCGCTGCACAGCAGAACAAACTTGACGAGGCCGCAAGTATAAGTGTGCCAGAAAGAGTGGCGCAGAAACCGAAGCCAGTAGAGACAGCGCAACCCGAGCAGCCCAAAGCTGCGAAACCCCGGCGAAGCAAACTACGGCCTCGGAAAGCTGCCATGACGATAACACCCACCGCGCTGGTTCATCTACGCGAACTTCTGGATCAACCCGAACCCAAGATGATCAGGGTGGGCGTCAAGAATCGCGGCTGCTCGGGTCTTGCATATCATTTGGAATATGTAGACAAGCCTGCCGCGTTTGACGAAGTCGTCGAGCAAGAGGGCGTTAAGGTCTTGATTGACAGCAAAGCGCTCTTTAGCATCATCGGGAGTGAAATGGATTGGCAGGAAGATAAGCTGAGTGCTCGGTTTATTTTCAAGAATCCTAACATCACTGAGCAATGCGGCTGTGGCGAGTCCTTCAGCGTGTCGTAATAGACGAATGCATCAGATACTTCAGGCTCAACAGAGCATATTTACGAAGAGCCAATACAATGATCGAAAATCCGTACAGAGAGTATCTATCGTGCGCAGGCTGGCGTTGACAACCATTGGTTCCGCCCTAGTATACGCCCTTTTCATAATCGATTACTCGGACATCTTCGAACCTGGGTCCGTTCTTCTTGACGAATTCTTGGTGGACTGGATCATTGGCAACATAATAGTCTCGATCCTCCTTTGACGCGAACTCGACGACGAAGCCATGGGTGAATCCTCCCTTTGACTTGGTCAGTGCCCGCCTTTCGCCCCGTGGATGAGTTGTGGGATCACACGAACCTGCGCCCCTTCTGGACTGTTATCTACTCCGCCAGATGAGGAAACAATATATGGCTTGTTGGATGTTGGATGGATACACGTGTGCCTCAAGGACAGCATATCGTCGCAAAACTGGCTCTGTCAGACCTGGACTGCTATGTGTCCATCATCGGGAGAGACCTCTTTTCTTTCAGCGTCGCTAAGTGCAGGCTTGAGTTTGAAGAGGACGATATGTACAATTGCCATTGTACGATGATTCAGTCGAGTTTCGCTGATATGGATCGAAAGATTCTTTCTTATCAAGTCCCTGACTCTTGTCCTTCCTGAATTACACTACATCCATCTAGATCTGTTGTCAAGGCGAGAGTATTCCGTCCTACCATCCATCGAGTTGGTAGCCTGTGGACCCTTCGTGCGGGGTATGTGTGCATTGTTTTTTCGAGGTCGTCTGCCCCTCTCAGCTGGTCTATCCTCGTTGATTGCAGACGATTACTCGTCGGCCACGCGTTTACTTTCTTGGAAGAACCAGCATTTAGCACGATTTCGAGCATCGACATTTCCAAACTTGATCCCATTCCTAACGAGAACGAGCACCTGAAGACACCTACACTGCCACCAAGTTCAAGGATCCCGCTTGTCCGTCCGCTTCCCCGAGTGTCGAAATCTGCGAGAACCATATAAACTTAACCTGCGCACATCAACGGACTCTCAATCTGGCCGTCCACTAGATTCCACAATTCCCCTTCACTCCCCATCCTCAAAACCTCCTCTCAACATGGCCAGCCACTCTCACGACGGCGGCCCTTCTCACTCTCACTCCCACGATCACACAAACGGGACACCCCATGGCCACACCCATGAGATCCTCGACGGGCCTGGGTCCTACCTGCACCGTGAAATGCCCCTCGTCGAGGGCCGCGACTTCGGCGACCGCGCATTCACAATCGGCATCGGTGGTCCCGTCGGGTCGGGGAAGACGGCACTCATGCTCGAGCTCTGCCTGGCCCTCCGGAAGGACTACAACATAGCCGCCGTGACCAACGACATCTTCACGAGAGAAGACGCCGAGTTCCTGACGAAACACGGCGCCCTGACACCCGAGAGAATTGTGGCGATCGAAACAGGAGGGTGTCCGCACGCGGCGGTGCGGGAGGACATATCCGCCAACCTGCTCGCCCTGGAGGGCCTGCACGCCAAATTCCAGACCGACCTGCTCCTGATCGAGAGCGGCGGCGACAACCTCGCGGCAAACTACTCGCGTGAGCTGGCGGACTTCATCATCTACGTGATTGACGTTGCCGGCGGGGACAAAGTGCCCCGCAAGGGCGGTCCGGGGATCACAGGCTCGGACCTGCTCGTGATCAACAAGTGCGATCTGGCCGACGCGGTGGGCGCGGACGTGGATCTGATGGAGCGCGAGGCGAACAAGATCCGTGAAGGCGGGCCGGTCGTGAGGGCCGTGATCAAGACCGGCGTCGGCGTCAGGGAGACGGTCGATTTGATCCTGTCGGCGTGGAAGAGCACCGCGGGCTATCAGCTGAGCAAGGAGCGGTGGGCGAAGGGTGCGCCCAGGGGCAGTGGCGAGCAACCCGTTGTCAATAGATATACCAGTGTGTTCGCCGGGTCAAGATAGCGTGTTCTGGACTAGAGACTTGTAACAAGGAAAGGAAATGTCCGGCTCGGTGGTTACTCGTGGCAGTTGGAGTTTTGCGAAGGGAGGAACTAAAGGTCGAAATTGTAGTTTGACACCACCACTGTACCAGGCGGGACGTTGGTGAAAAACAGATCCTTTGTAAGGGGTCGCCCATCTTGATCACAATGTATTGGGGGTATCAAAAAACCACCATCCAGCAAGGCCGACCTAGGCCCCTTTCCTCGCGAACCTCGATAAGGCGGGACCCAACTCGAGTCTGTCCTGCTTGAGCCTCTCCTTCTCCCTCTCCGCCCTCTCCTTCTTCATCTCCTCCAACCTCAGCCTCTTCTCGTCAATGATATTCTTCCCTCCCTTCTTCCGCAGATGCCTCCTTAGTGCACTATTCTTGCCTCTACCCCGATTCTTCTCTCGCGCCTTCAACTTCGCCAGGGGATCTTCCGTGGGCGCGTCGAGGTCTTTTTCGCGCCTACGCTGCTCCGCACCGCGTGTATCCAACGTCCCAATGAAATCTGGATTGAGAGCAATAGTCTCCGGTTGGAGTTTTGTAAGGAGAGATTTGACTTCGGTTTCTTGTCTTTGCTTGCGCGTTTCGTAGGGGTTGACCTCAAGGGCGTCGTAGTTGGGTTCGCCGGCGCCGGGGACAATGATGCTGCTGAACCCGTCCGAGTGCGAGATCCCGAGGATATCGTCGAATGGACAGAACTGGACACGTTCGATACGGCGGCCATCGTTGCCCCAGTTGAGGTACGGCGACTGGACCTTTTGAGGTCCGGACGATGGGGAGGCGGTGAGAAGGTCTTTCCAGATCGTCACCGCTGTACCACTTGCTACAGCTGCAAGGCCGCGGTCTGATATGTCTATCGAAGAAGCTGGCTGTCGCGTCGTGTAGGAGTGAACTTCTTTCCAAGCCCGGATGTCCCAGAGTTTCAGACGCAGATCTTGTCCGCCACACAGCATGTAATTGCCCGAGCGGTCCATCGCGATCGACCGCACAGGGCCGGCGTTTGATTGGATTTTGACCACCGGCGTCGTGGAGTTGGGCGACCAGAGCGAAACCGTACCGTTCTGGTGACCGACGTGGAGTATAGCATTGTAGGGATTTTGAGCAAGCGCAGTCGGCGCTCCTTTTCGGGTTGGGTGCTCAGCCACTATCTGACCAGTCGAAGTATCCGTGTATCGAAGAAACCCACTGTTCTCGATGCCAGCGAGGAGAAAGTGGTACGGCAAAAATTCAAGATGCGTGGTCTCGACATATTTTCGGAGACAATGGATCTCAACTCCAGCATGATCGTAGATGTAAGTGTGTTTTTTCTGCGCCACGGCAAAATATTGATCGTTGTGTAGCCACTTCGCGTCTCTTACTGTCTCATTCAGGTGTAACTCGCATCCTGGCTTGCCTGCGCGCCATTCGCAAGTAGCAATATGACCTTTTCTTCCTGCGAGGAGCAAGCTGCGCCCGTTCCTCGTGTAATCGGAGACGTATGGCCCTAAGTCCAGCCTGAAATCGATCGACTTGCTCGCTTGCTGAATACCGACAGCGTCCAGTATATCATCTTGTCGAACCTTGTACGTTTTCTCAAGTTCGGTCTCCGGTTGTAGAAACCCTTCCTCGTTCTCGTACAGAATCTCTGCATCTTTGGCATTCAATACTGCGGTACGATATTTGCTCTCGATTCTTTTGAGATTCGCACGTAATTTCTTGTCCTTGACTTCGTTTACTCGGACAGGGCGGCCCCGACCATATTTTCTGCGTGCGTCGGCAACCCGCTTCTGGTTTTCCTTGTCTTCGGTGGTCAAGGGCCCCGTGCTCGTAGGTTTTCGTTTGGTGGGAGGTGGAAGGTTGTGGATAGTGAGTTGGCCATCGCCATTCTCAACGAGGCTCTCCATTGTCCAGATGCTGTATCCTGGGCGGAGGGTTCACAGTCCTACACTCATGGAGTTCGATCGAAAACGATGGCTCAGAAATTTCAGCCCTCAACATCCGAAGTTATACCGAGATCCACACCGCGAGGTTGTGAGGTCATTTGGTGACCACGTCCATGATGCAGAGCGCGAGTGGAAGCTCCCGACGTGTGGCTGCTGTCTCATCATGAGCGCTCAGACTCCGTATCTCACTCGTCCATTTTGTCTTATGGTTACGTACTCTGCGCGTACCGAAATGAGAATCAGCCTACCCTGGCCTACCCCGCCTTCTCGCATCATAGCCTAGGAACAAGCCTGACCAAGGATTTCTCCTCCGGAATTTATGGGATAGCCTGACTTAGGGAAGGCCGGGTCATCGTCTGTGCCCAGTTGATTCGAAACCTTGTCCGAGGCTTTTGTGCAATTGGCCAGAATCGCGAAACTTGCCATCGACGCCCGCAAATATGCGGCCTTTCAAGGGCTTCGAGCCGCGAATCATGCCCTCCTCAGCTAAGCCCCCCTTGATGAGACGGGTGTTAGGCCTCACAAGGCCTCGAAGCTGTCGCCATACTGGTGCCAGGTGGGCAGCCTCACTTGTGGTGCCTTGAAATGAACCACAATCACAACCTCTTATACGAGAGGCTGACGAGTCCGCAGACGTCAGAGGCCGTGGACGAAGCTCTGCTGTCAGAGAAATAAATCTGACGGTCTGCCGCACATTGAAGCTGAAATCCCATCGTTGAACCCCTGCGATCTCCAACAAAAATGCTCTCACGCAGGCTTCTCGTTTCATTTTTCGTCGCGGCTGTCGCGGCCCAGTCAAATGTCACTGTGCGCGACAATGCTCACAATCTCACCTATGTAGGCTTCTCCTTCACAGGAACCGAACAATTCCTGGGCATCAACTTCGGCCAGGACACGTCTGGCGCCAACCGCTTCAAGCCTCCTAAGGCATTTACGTATCCCACAGGTACCACTATCCAAGCCACAGCTGCCGGTGCTGCGTGCCCTCAAAACACGTTCTTGTCTCTTCTAGGCGCCATCAGCGAGAACCCAGGCGTCTTCAATCTCTCTGAGGACTGCCTAAACCTCGAAGTTGTGAGGCCCGCGGGAACAAAGCAGAATGCGAATCTCCCTGTACTGGTCTGGATCTCCGGCCAGGGCGACGAGGAAGGCTCATACAACTACACATTGTACAACCCGACGGCGCTCGTGGCCGGCGCCGCTGCCAAGGGCACACCGGTGATCTATGTCTCAATGAACTACCGTGTCAATGTCTTCGGATTCGCCAACAGCCCTGCACTTAGGACAGAAGGCTCGCTGAATTCCGGTTTGCTCGACCAGCGACTGGCGCTCCAATGGATCCAGTCCAATATCGCCACATTTGGAGGGAATCCAAAGAATGTCACGCTATTTGGCCAAAGTGACGGCGGTGTCAGCGTTGGATTGTGAGTCTCTCCCCTACAAATCCCCACTACCTGTGACAGAGCCGTATTCGGCGTTCTATCTCTCATGAACCTTCGATGCTAACACGCAATAGGCATATGACGGCGTTCGGTGGGAACGGTAAGGATCTACGGCCACCTACAAAGTGAGATGCTAAACACTATCATTAGGCACTGCTCCCTTTCGTCGAGCTATTATGCAGTCTGGGAGCGCAGCGGGCGATCCTGGTGTCACTGGAAATGCAACTGTCACGAACACTGCGGCAGTTGCTCAACTAGCAGGCTGTACAGGGACAAACAGCAGCCTAGTCTTGGCCTGCCTCCGGGCGATTCCCATGGTTCAGCTCCTGAATGCCGTCCTCTTGTTTGAAAACACAACCACAGCCACCCAAGCCAATGGCGCGTCTCAAGATTTATTTTTCCCGACCGTTGATGGAAGCTACATACCTGCGGCTCCCTCGACCCTGGTGCGCACTGGTCGGTTTCACAAAAACATATCCATCATCGCTGGGTGGAATGAAAACGACGGCAGCATCTTCGTGCCTCCAACTCTGAATGGCTCCACTGCCACACAGGCATTTCTGCATTCATCGTACCCGAACCTCAATTCAACTACGCTATCAAGACTGATGTCGTTATACCCCGTCAATGACTTCATGGCGGCAGCCCAAGCCTCCCAGATATCACCGTTTTTCCTACAAGCATCGCAGATTTACCGCGACATCAATTTTGCATGTCCGTCGATGGATGTAGCACACCGCGTTACTCAGTTTGGTGGCACAAGCTACTTGTATGTGCTCAACACGACATCATTGACCAGCGTCCTCCAGATCTTCAATGCCACCTTTGAAGGAGTCATCCACTTTTCCGACGTACCTTTTGTCTTTAACCAACCAAACGTCGGGTTTGGCACTACCGCTGCAGCGAATCTGACTGCAACGAGAATGTCGGGGAGCTGGGCGCATTTTGCTTCGACGGGCAATCCAAGCGGCAACGCTAGTATCACTCTCTCAGGCTGGACTCAAGCATTTACCAAATCCCAAGCTGCAGTGACAAGTCAGAATGTGACTGGGGCGAGTCTCCGAGTCATTGGTGGACCTCGCGCAGGACAAGCACAATTGTCATCGAATGCTCAAGCCGTAGTTGAGCCTCAGCTTTTGCAACGATGTGCATTTATCAACTCGGCGGCGTTCTATCAGCAGCTGCAGACGTAAACCTCTGCGCCAGCCTTCGCTGCTCATGCACATCCTCTGCGATCCTTCTGGTATTACTAATGTTCTCTACCTCATAGCCCTATGCTGATGGAAAACCCAAGTGCTGGTGAGAGGTCTGCAGATTAGTTGCAAAAATATCTGCCAGAGCACAAAGTCCTTCAATAGCAATACTATCTATCTAATACTATTATTATAAGCACTATGAGGAGTATGTCCCGCTGGTGAGGCTGTGAGGCTGAGCGTGACTCTGCCCGAAATGGTCTAGCTGAAGCTTGGCGGAATGACTCCACTCAGTGCGATGTCGGGGTAGACTCTTTCAACGACGACTGAGTACGGGTTGAACCACTGGCCTGCGACAACAATCTCGATGTTACAAGTAGTTTACTATCTGAACGACACATTCTCAAGAAGGCCTTTTCAATCCCTACTAGCACACTCACATTCAATTTACGAAAGGCTCGGACTCGGCAGCTATGTCGTTCGGGAATCTACCATCCGAGGTACAATCTCAGATCATTGGGCTAGTTGCAGACAACTCATCATGGAGAGAAGGATTACGTCTTCGAGGTGTTAGCCGTAGGTTACCTCGAAAATTATCCACCTCCTTTTATCGTGTGCCAAGTGACATAACAATTGGCAGGTCTGTTCGATCGCGAAATCCAGGCACAATACTTTGATTTCGGCAAAATCCACACCAGCATGGACGAAGATAAAGATCAACTGACGCTGAAAATGGGGCCCCAGCACTTATATCGATTACTTAAAGGACAGATATGCGCCCGACGGCCGAGAACGGCCTTGATTACACAACTAAAAGGTGCGGTGAAAATCCTGTTGTCAACCCCCACTTTCTATGTGCCCGACGATTCCGAAGCAAGAAAGGTCGACACGGTCAATGGCACAATACGACTCGAGCCGGGAGATCGCACGTCTTATGCTACAAACATGGTCGCCCTGGGAGTTCTCCATTTCCTGACCGGAGGAAGAGCTCCCTTGTGTGAACAGATAGCTCGCATGACCAGAAGTCCACTTCAGATCGACTCTCTTTCCTGGGCCCTCGTGACTGCGATTTCCATGAAAGACACTTCCACCATCGAAGCTCTTGTACAGAAAGAGCCTCAACTGAGCGTTCGGAAGCATGTCCTTGCCGATCCCCTACGCTTTGCAGTGACCAGCCAGTGGTACACTATGGTCCGATACCTCCTACAGCACGGCGCGGACGTGAATACGCCACATAATCATTCGCATTGTTCCCCAAAATGCGAGCGGATGCTTATTGAGCTCCCGAGTTACTCAGGAGATGTCAGAATGGTCGCGCTACTGCTAGAACCCCAATACAGCCTTAAACTCGACGGAGCAGATTGCGATAGATATTTGTGGTCGACCATACGGAAGCTTGCTGCGAGCCACACTGACGGAACTAGTCCTAGTGCTAGTACCTATATCGACATCGTGCGCTTGTTTTTACAGACAATACACCCAAACAACCAAGCTTCTGTTCAGCACCTCGTCGTGCATCTCGCTGTTGTATATGACGTACCGGAACTGATTCCGGTGGTTGTTGAGATGGGCTTTGATGTGAATGAGACAGAGGCTGGTCGGACGCACCTAGTCTTTGCTGTAAGCCGTGGTCAAAACAAGGTGGTCAATGTTCTCCTCGACCATGGCGCGCGGCACGGCCCTCAGAGTGCCTTTGACGCTGTAAAAGCAGCCTGCATAAATGGAAGGGCAAGTTCCCTTCGCATCTTGCTCAATCGAGTGACTACTATTGACGAATATGGTCATGCATTGGCAGCTGGTCATTTCCTACTCGCTGCCAAGGCAAGCTGGAGCGACCCCGAGACGATGTCGCATTATATTGAGGTATTGGATTGTCTCTCTGAACATGGATTGGATCTCAATTCAGCCAACTGTGGTGTCAAGGCTCTAACATTTGCCCTTGAACACAAGCACAACGTGCTTATGACGAATCTTCTCGAGAAGGGGATTTCGCTCCCCGATGCAGAGTTAGCACTGGCACAGAGAGTCAGGCAACCTTTGCCGGACTTCAATTTAGGAGAACACTACTTTTAGCGGTATCAAGAACATTCTCTCAAGAGGACGGCATCTGCACACGTGAGCTTCCGCGTCAGTGCTTCCCCAGGGTGAGCTGGGTGAGCTGAAGATGACTCGGAGTCAAGTGGGGACGCTCCTGTGAGGCAACGGTGTGTGAAGAGTGCGATTGGGGTGAGCGAAAGGATGAGAGAGGCTCGCCGCAGTGGGCAATTGTCAATAACTTGAAGTTGAAGTATCTGCGCCATAAAACTGGTCGAGTTCGAAATTGGTACAAAGGTGGTGTGCTTTTGGAAGAAACGACTCGTAGCGTGATGGAATTTACGACGAACAGACGCTATGACATTCATTAATTAAGGACTACTATGTATGTATCTTGGTGGTACCTAGAAGTGGTATATGGGATAGGAACGTCCTCGGAATACAACCCACATATTGGTACTGTAGGTCGTCTTCACCGACTTCCAGATTTGGTTGGGGTGTCCCAGCGATTACCCTTTTCGGAAAGTTGGGTGGCACGTTTAAGATGGAAATTGAGTTTCAATATGATGAGAAGTTTGCGAATAGGTGGCACTCTTATAGTAGTGCCTGGACGAGAGTAATCCTAACTAGCTGGGATCTGACAATCAAAGTGCAGCTTGTTTAGTAAGGAAAGGTCTTGTAGTACTAGTAGTCTGCCTCTACCCTACATGAAAGGTTCCCACTTCGTAATGTGAGTGAGATGCTCGATGAAGCGCATTTAGTGTTCTTTCTCATACACGGGAACGATGCAAATACATAGTACTAATCTTCAAAGACCATAACAGAACTACATAATAGCAAATGCTACAACTTAGATTCTAGGCGATTCGCCGTATCCAAGAATGCCCACTCACTCTTTGCCTTTCTGCTCCTGACCTGTTCTGCTTCTTCCCTTGACACGCCTCTGGCTTCGACAGCGGGATTATAGCCAAGCCCGCTCGCTCGAGCGATGTCTTCGTCCGACACCTGAATGTCGGTATTCAGCTTTCCGTCGGCTCGTTTGTATAATGTCACGACAACCGCACCCCCAAGGCCCAGGTTATGCTGCAGTGCCACATCAACGTTCTTGACCAAGCGATTATTTGCCCAGCCACGGAGCTGCCATGTCAGTTCTGCACATTGAGCTAGCCCCGTAGCCCCCAGCGGATGGCCCTTAGAGATCAACCCTCCTGATGGATTGACGACAGGGCCCTTTCCCCCATATGTGATATCCCCATTTCGTACCATAAGATGTGCCTTTCCGACGTCACAGAAACCGAGACCTTCAAGAAGGATGAGCTCGTTTGTCGAGAAACAGTCGTGGACTTCGCAGACTTTGATCCTTTTGACGCTGTCGACTCCAGCTTCTGCCAATGCCGCTTTCACTGCACTCTTTGTCATGTCATATCCAATCAGATCAATTGCCGACCGCGAGTACAATGACGGAGAATCTGTTCGGAGGCTTTGACCGGCCATCAGGACTGCATGAGACCTCAGGTGTGGACGTTGGCTCAAGAACCGCTCAGAGACAATGACAGCTGCACCAGATCCATCGGATGTTGGACTGCATTGGAGCCGGGTAAGGGGATAGTGCACCATGGGGGAGTTTTCAACCTGCTCTAAGGTGTAAATGTCACGGAATTGGGCGTATGGGTTCTTTGCGCTGTGTAGGTGGGAGATTCGCGCGATCTCGGCGAAATCAGATGTGGTGGCTCCATATCTGTTTATACATATCAGCATTCCTACAGGTATTCCAGAGAGGTGATGAGTGAGTTGTTGGATGCCCAGGTTTACAGCAAAGAGATCATCTCACTTCTCCATGTATTCTATTCCGGCATTTCCAAACAGCTGTGCATTCCTTGGACTGGTGTGTTTACCTCGCTCTTGCTCCATCATCTGGGTACTTGGTCCCATCGGGCTGGGTCGGTCGGTCCATACACTTTTGATACTTCCGGGCTTCATGGTTTCGAATCCGATAACTAACACACAGTCTGCGATGCCAGATCGAGTCAATGTCCGCGCGATTTGCAGACCTGTCGAGCCTGTTGCGCAAGCGTTGTTGACATTGTAGATTGGGATACCGGTTATTCCAAACTGGTAGAAGGTTCGTTGACCAGAAGTTGAATCCCCGTAGCAATAGCAAGCAACTCCAGCATTTACTTCGTCATAGTTGACATGTGCGTCGAGGAGTGCCTTTGTCCCAGCCTCAAATCCAAGTTCTGGATAAGTCCGTTGTGCCCGGGGTTTGATGAATCGTGTAAGGCCAACTCCGAGCACGTATGCGTTTGAAACTTGGTGGTCTCCCATTTTGTTGCTTGATGGCTACGAAGGGGCTTAGGGTGTCCGGGACGTTGGTGTCTCGGGGTCATCCCCTTTTCAACAACGTAAATATCTAGGCAAGAAGCAGTTGTTTGTGTCTAGTTTCACCATCTGTCCGGCATACATGACATGATGAAGAATTGTCGGAGTCTGTAGATCCAATTTAGGGTCACACTTCTTACTTTGCGTAATGTTCGTTCAGTGTCACCGTCCATGAAGCGAGGGAAACTAGCGAAAGGTCGGCGCCGATTGGGGCTTCTCGGTTGTACTTTGATCTTGCAAAGCCTCCGAATGATAACAGAATCTCGGTGTCCTTGCCATGAGATTTCAACTGGCAGCGTTTTCATATTGTTATCAATGTCTCCTGATGATGCCGACGGCGCCGGTATTCGGCCTCGGGGTAATCCTTTTCATTTTTCTGGATATCTCGTGTGCCTTGATGTTTTGGGCCACATGTTTCAGCCCGAGCTTGCTCCCGACGTCAAGAACAGACACTGCCACCCTCAAAAATGGAGACTTCAGACCTGGCAGTTCTCCTTGGTCCTGTTAGATTTTGACAATAGCACATTGGACTCATTGCCACAAACCGAAAAATTATTCCTTCACTGACGGGCTCAGAGGTCAAAATGGCTACAACCTATGTCGAGCTGGCCCCGCAGCCTGTGCAACTGGACAATCCTCATCAAACAAACGGTCACATTGAGGAAGCCAAAGAGCCTCTAGTCGCTGTCAACGAAGTTTCAGCCCACAGCAATGCAGATGACACAGGATACAGTATCAGAGAGAGTCCCATGGGGACTCGAAGGCCTCTTAAGGTCATTTTCATGGGAATGGGGGCCAGCGGCATCAACTTTGCTCACCAAACCCAAAAAAGGCTGGAGGACGTGGAGCTGGTCATATACGAAAAGAACGACGACATCGGGGGCACAGTGAGGCTGCACCGGGTTAATAAAGCATCGATCTAAGCTAACAACCGACAGTGGCTCGAGAACCGGTATCCCGGATGCGCCTGTGACATTCCCAGTGTCTGCTATCAGTATTCGTGGCAGCGAAAACCTGACTGGTCGAAATACTATTCTGGATCGAAGGAAATATATGAATACTTCAAGTCGGTTACAGACAGCAATCATCTGTGGAAGTACGTCAAATTCCAGCACAAAATCATCCAGGCGGAATGGCTCGATACTCCCGGGAAATGGAAAGTCACCATCATGAGGAATAACGATCCTCTTGATGTTTTCGATGACTACGCCGATTTCTTCCTTCACGGAGGCGGGGTACTGAATTCGTGGCGCTGGCCTGTTATCAAAGGCCTAGACACATTCAAAGGCCCTAAAGTCCACACAGCTCAATGGGACGAGTCCCTTAATGTGAAAGGAAAACGAGTGCTTATCATTGGCGCAGGCAGTTCGGGGGTTCAAGTCGTGCCCTCCATCATTGATGCTGTCGACAAGCTCTATGTCGTCGCTCGCTCTCCTATTTGGATAACTGCTGGGTTTGCCCCAAAATATGCTGGCCCGCGCGGTGGGAATTTCTCATATTCCGAGGAAACCAAGGAGTTATTCCGATCGGATCAAGAACTATATCTCAGTTACTGCAAGGCTATCGAGTCTGAACTCAACGTTCGGTTCAAGCTGTTACTGACAGGTACTCCTGCAGCTGATGAAGCCTTGAAATTCTCGATTCAGGAAATGGAGAACAAATTGGGTGGTAAACCGGAACTTCGGGAGAAACTCATCCCTAAGACGTTTGGTGTAGGATGTCGTCGGCCTACACCAGGGAACGGCTTTCTCGAGGCGCTAACCCTCGAGAAGACCACAGTACTCACTTCAGAGCTACAAGAGCTCACCCCCGACGGGTTCATCGATGCCTCAGGTAATAAGTATGGAGTTGACATTGTTATCTGCGCTACAGGCTTCGATACTTCATTCCGGCCACAATTTCCAATTTTAGCCAACGGACGCAATCTTCAGGACGAATACTCAAAGGACATTGTCGGTTATCTCGGTTTTTCCAGCCCAGGAGTGCCGAACTATTTTATCTTCATTGGACCCTACGGTCCTCTCGGCCACGGTTCTGCGATCCCAATGATTGAGGCCTACACAGATTATATTATAAAGGTCTTGAAAAAGGTTCAGTTGGAAGATATCAAGAGGATACAGGTCAAGCGTTCAGTCGCTGAAGACTTTACTCGTCACTCGGATCTATATCTCAAGCGAACAGCATGGTCGGGTCCATGCAGCTCTTGGTTTAAGAACGGTGATGTGGGTAGGAAACCGGTTTGCTGGCCTGGCAGTCGGATTCACTATCTCCAAATTCTACAAGAGCCGAGATACGAGGATTTTGAGATCGAATATCTCAGCGGCAACACGTTTAATTTTCTCGGCAATGGGTTTGATATTCGAGAATTCGACGGAAGAGATCTGACTTGGTATTACGGGTTGGTGAACGGCAAGGACAAACAACCCGCATTCTTTCCACCGCCTTTGTATTGAAGCTGGAGGATGTCAGTCTTTGGGCACTAGATACCGGTAGCTTTGTGCCTTGTCAGCAGTACCAGACCGTTGGTGTCTGGATCATTAAACCGGAATTGGGTCATTGCGAAATCCGATACGCACGTTTGAGCTGTTTGTTTGCAATTTTTAGATGCGTTCAAAGCTAAGCGCTTGACTTGCCTCTTCAAAAGACGTCTGGTGGTCATAAGCAGGAGACAAATTCCTCTCACCTGTACTGCAAGAAACCTTTGGAGTTCGTTCGTGTTCTGCACTAAATACTTCGTTTGTATGCGAGATGAGATTTCGCCCGTCAATCGCTCGGCACCGAGACCGCAAGCACGGGATTCATTGAAACTCGAGTGGGTCAGCTAGTGTAGCCTCGCGGTCGGACTGCTGGTTCGATCGCCGAAAAGAAAGATGGAGGCTGGATAATATGGCTCTTTCAGATTAAAAGACAATTCCTCTTTGTAACCTTTTGCTGCCAAAACCTTGACGCTCGACCCCAAGACTCCAGCGTTTTTAACACCTTCCCAGGCGACGCTGAATACCATGTTGACATCTCCTTACACAATCGACATCCCTTGTGTTGATGTCAACACCTTCATATTCGAGTCTGGGACCAGCGCCTCACGCGAGGCGCCTCTCTACTTCAATGCCGATGCACCGTCCCAGTGCTTTAGTCTGTCTCAGGGAGAGACTTACGCTAAGCAGTTCGCCAAAGGCTTGCAGAAGCTCGGTCTCGAATCGAACGACCGGGTATTGCTATACTCAAATAATCGACTATTCTTTCCCGTAGTGATATGGGGGACGATCGCTGCCGAATGCATCTTTACGGCAGTATCCCCATCTGCGTCTGTGTCGGGTGAGTTACGAAACAGCGACTTTTCCTACCAAGGATGTTCACCCGGATGCTGACGGCGATCAGAGGTTGCATTTCAGCTGCGAGATTCGGGAGCGAGAATTCTCATAGCTAGTCCAGATGGACTTGACATGGCCCTTGATGCGGCGCAGCAGGTGGGATTAAAGTCAGATCGAGTCTTCATCTTTTGTGATCTGCACGAAGATCTGTCAGGGCTCCAGAACAAGTACAGTCATATTCAACCTTGGACTCGGATTTGGGCCTCATCGGATGACGTGCAGACATGGTCATGGAAGAAACTTTCGTCAAGAGGGGATCTTGAAGCAAAGACCGCGATAATCAACTACTCCAGCGGGTAAGTCTTACACAAAAGCCTCATTTGACATTGGCTCCAGCTGGGCTGACGGCTGAATCAGGACCACTGGTTTACCCAAAGGAGTCGAAATCTCGCACTACAATCTAGTGGCAAACTCTGCTCAACTTCTATTCAAGCGTTCTCTCGTTGGTACAACGACACGTGCACAAGCTCGCAAGGCGCGGCTTGACATCTCTGGCGAACGGTGGCTTGCGCCTCTGCCTATGTACCATGCATATGTAGGACCCCCGGAGGCTTGGTCTTTGAATTCCACGTGGCGACAGTGGCTGACGACTTTCATATAGGGCCAGACATATTATGCAATCAATGCAGCCCTTCTTGGAGCCAAGGTCTACATCATGACAAAATTCAGTCTTGCGAAGTATATGCAATATTTAGACATTTACCGAATAACCTTCATGACTGGCGTACCAGCCGTAATCGCCATGCTTTGCAAACAAGGAGAGTGTGTCGCAGGGAAGTATAACCTCAAAGCTATTGAACAGGTTACAACAGGCAGTGCACCGCTCGAGCCACTACTCGGGAGAAGGCTTCAAGAACTATATCTTCGTCCCGATGTCCAAGTAAAGCAAGGATGGGGTATGACAGAGACGACTTGTTCAGCAACGGGGTTTTCTCCTGACGACGAGGATGACGGTCGCTCAATAGGGTGGTTGAATCCTAACTGCAGCGCAAAAATTGTCACCTTGGAAGAACAAGATTTTCCACCCTTACCTACTGGTAAAGCCGTGGGGAAACTTTGGGTATCGGGTCCGAATATCATGAAGGGATACTGGGAAAATCCCAAGGCGACATCGGAGACTATCGTTGAAGACGAGGACGGTAAGAGGTGGCTTCGTACTGGTGACATTGCTTACGCCGATGGGCGTGGCTGCTTCTACATTGTAGATCGGTTGAAGGTATGTTTCGCTCGCTGAGAAGCACTGATACGCCTACGTTGAGATTTGACTCGCCATTGACAAAGGCGTGCAGGAGTTGATCAAGGTCAAAGGGTTGCAGGTTTCCCCCGCAGAACTTGAACTCTTTCTACTCAACCATCCCGATGTTTTGGAGGCTGCCGTTGTCGGTGCTAAGATGTGAGTACTGATGTGATCCCGCAGAACCCCACTGATTCGTATTTCAAGTGATGGGCAGGAGCATCCCCGAGCTTTCATCGTTCGCAAAGAAAATAAAGTCACGAAAGAAGAGTTGGAGAACTTGATCAAGGAGAACTTCGCTCCTCACAAGTGGCTCACGGCGGGCGTGTATTTCACTGATGTTATTCCGAGAACCGCCAGTGGGAAAATCATGCGTCGGCATCTTCCCAAGGTTACAGCTGATGGGTTGGCCAAGTTGTGACCACAGAGAGTAGCACTCGAGCTCAATGTCACACGCAAAAGCAATAGGAGTTTCTAGCGCACCCTTTTTTTCATACTTGTCCTTCGCATTGGTATGATAGCTGTCATGTTACTCTTCCGAAAGAATCGTAACCAATCGTCCAGACATGGCACAGATCTCGTGCAATGGCAATATGCAAATCCTATGTGGCCAGCAGATGTCGCAATGACGTTCACAGTGAGCCCTGCAACGGCGTCTCCTGACAAACCCGCTAACTCTACTGGACTACAGCAGTGTTCAATTCTTTGCGTCGGCGCCGAGGGTCCGAGAGTTGCTTACCAAAGACGGCTGTTATCCCGTGTATCCTCTACTCCACTCAAAGCCTCGCGGGATGAAATTGCGGAGAGTTCTTGTATGTGAGGATGTTCTACAAAGACGTAGGATAGTTCGTCGTTCAAATGTAATCAGACAACATCATTTAACTCATTCAACATCCATGCCTTGATTGAGCTCTGCAATGGCTCGCTCTGGGAGGCGCGGGAAGATCGAGAAGCGATCCAAAGCATGCAGTGCCTGCCATCGTCAAAAGATTCGGTGCGAGAAGATCGAGTCTCGAGATTGCTGTTTAAGATGCTTCAACAGAGGTCTGCTTTGCTCCCTGGCGGAGGGTGAAATCCCGAGGTACGTGTGAATCGCAACACCGGCTACCGGTTGTATTAGCTCAGACTATTGTGAAAACAGTATTTTGACCGGGTGTGCCTTCTGCAATAAGGTTCCTACTCACCTGTTCTTCCTGGTCGATCAAGCAGCGAGATACTACTGCTCGACTGGAAGAGACGAATCTTACTATTCTCGTGAGCTCAGAGCTTTTGGTAAAAGAGGTTACATTCTGCTCCGTATCCGATAAGATGATCTTACTCTATACAGATCGATTTTGCCTTGGTATATTACAGGAAGGCGCAGTTGAAGATACGGATACCATCATACAGACTCCAAAGGACCTCTGCGATACTGTGTGGAATGGCAGCCGTCCTTCGCATGAACTCATCGCCAAAGACAGCGGCCGCGGCATGGGCGGAGAGCCAACCTCCTTGCCAAAATATATCAAGCAGTTACCGAGGGAATTTGGCCTTATTTCCGCTGTGCTACCTGCTTATAGGCAATGTCTATGCATCCCGGGCGACCCCCTCAGGAACGAACTACTGCAGAACTACGTCCGTCTCGTGCGTCCTTATTGTCCTGTTATTTGTGCCACCGAGATTATGACCGCCGTCGAGACCAATGGACAAAATGGCGAGCCAATCAACCTCTTACTATTCCAAGCCATCATGTTCGCGGGCTCTACATTTGCTAGCGAAGAGGGCATACTTCTAGATGGATTTCCAAGTCGGAAGAGCGCTCAGCACGAGCTGCTCAAGAGGTTACAGGTAAGTTCGAGATTGCAGGTTGTCTAGTACAATAACTCACAATTTCGGTAGCTGCTATATGAGCTAGATGTGGAGAAAGATCAGACTGTTGTACTGCAGTCCCTCTTGACTGCCACCGCGAGCTGCGGGTTGCCATGCAAAATAGAGCTCATGTGGTCCTGGCTGGGAGACTGTGTGGAAATTGCGCAAGAATTGGGGCTTCATCTCCAAAGCAGGGATATCGACCTGGGGGACAGCCAGAAAAGACTGCACCGAGCTTTATGGTGGCTCAGCTTCTCCAAGGAGCAAGTTCTTGCTTTTGTGCTGCAAAGGCAATCAAGGGTCACTCTCAAGGACGATATTGTCGACGGTGTCGTCGACCCCCAATGTCCAGAACCTCATGGAGATACATGCCGGGGTTCTTCGTTTTGTTCGTCAATATGTGGGACCGTTTTCGCCGAGCTCCTCGCGTCCAAGATCAGACTATCTCTCTGTCTGCACAACATCCTCGCGGACCAAGACGAATTTCTCAGCCAAAAGCCTAGGAGTGGCACAAGCGTAACCTCATACAAGCACGAAATGCGCCGGGTGGTGGAGCGCTATTATGGCGACCTACGGAGCTGGCTTCAAAATTCTCATTATAACGTATATGATGATGCCGAACAAGCACCCTCGTCAACCATCCACCGAGCGGAACTCAGAATATTATTCTACGTCGTCCTAGGGCTACTTGAGCATATTCGTCTAACGGAAGGTATCGTTGAGCCGAGTCAAAATTCAGCACTGACGCAAGATCCTCTTGATGGCTTAAGACATGTCACTCTGAGCGTCTTGAAAATAGCGAACAGCCTCAAGACCGACAAAGGGATGAAGATTTTCTATGGAATCACGGTGATACCTTTGCTCATTGGTGCATTGAGACAGCACCGGTCTGCGATAGTTCTACGGCAAAAATTTGTGGCACACTCACTGGAATCCACCGAGTTCAAACTCCCACCCAGTCCCCAGGTCGGCAATTTGAAAGACTTTGGAAAGTGATGCCTTTGGGGCCTAGGAAGGCATCATGACGGGACCTCGGGAAGACATTGATGGGCCCCGACAAGTGTCGCGACGCCGAGCTTGAGATGAACTTCCCGAGCCACAATTGAGGAACTTCTTTGGGAAGGGGACAAGGGAAGTCACTTTCCCGTGTACAGAAAGGGTCGGCCAATGGGTTTGCATGGAGCCATGCTAGCCTTGGGAGGAGTAAGTTGCCCCAACAAGGCTGTAGCGCATTCGGAGTGTTTTTCGTCTGCTTGTATGCGTCTTTCTGCGGCTTCTTCGTCGACACTACCAGCTACGTCTACTGCACCGAGATCTTTCCTGGCCACATGAGAACGACAGGCATGGCAATATCGATAGTGTCATACTTCCTTCCGGCACTAGGCAAGCGACTTACTCGTCTTGACGCCTGGCTCCAAAACTAATTCTGCACAGTCTATAACCAAGTCGCTGTCACCGCATTTGCCGCCATTGGATGGATATACTATATCGTTTTCATCTTCATACCTGCGTGTGGTCTGCCGATCATCTGGTTTCAATTTCTGGAAACAAACAACCTCTTCCTGGAGGAGATTGCTGCTGTCTTTGGCGAAGAAGTGGCTCTGGGCCTATCGGATCTGTCCATCGAACAGAAAGAAGAACTCGACGAGCAGATTGTGAAGATGGATACCAACGCTCTTGCGAATAAAGAGTGGACTGTTCCCAATAAGCCGAGCGCCACCATTGTACAACACGTTCCTCAGTGAGGATGGTTTCACTGTGGAGAATATGGTGACAGATATACCCTTCGTCGTTCGGATGGTTTCGGGCAGGCCGTTCGGTGTAGGTGGCTGCCCTGGTGAACAAGCCCTGTCGACGAGGGCGGTTGAGTAGCCTTTGGTAGTCGAGAGGAAAATCCAATTCGGTGAATTATCTCCATCTACAGCGAACGTAGAAATAATGCGTGCACCCAATAAGAGGACAAAGGAGAGTCTCGTGTCGTTCGTCAATCGAACTACGCGCGGTCCAGTTGCGAGTACATATGATCGATCCTATCGGCAGTTGTGAAGCGACACACTCACTTGATCGCACATCACCAACATGATGGGAAAAGGGGCCAGATCAAGGGCTCGATTAGAGCAGAGATGATCACAGGTACGGACTGAGGCTGCCTCGTCACCGAATCTCCCCCCAAACCAAGGTGAGACCCAATACTGCGAAAGAAGTTTGTCAGCGCTGCAGAGATGAGTCCATAGGCCGAAAAAAGTACACCGAGCCGAGCGAGTCTGGCTCGGCGAAACGCTTCGTTGGATACCAGAACAAACAAAAGGGTGGCAACGGCCCTCGATCTAATAAGACCGAGCAACAGACGAGCACAGTGGATCACTGGTCAATTCCTTTTTCACCGCCGGCGGGATCAGAACATGGCCAACTTTTGGGTGATGATCTTCTCGCACCCGTTCCAATTTCTGACCTTCCTATATTCATTCACAGTCCAATGTACGTTGGTGTCTTTGCGACGACTATTGCTGCCCCAAATCCCCACGTACCAAACATTCCGCCAGCAGATACAGCGAGCCTATCTCTCATCCACGTCCGTCCACTTCCCCGAATTACCCCATAGGTTGCCTGTCACGGGATGCTCAGAGGCTGAGGCCAGGCGAATCGGGAAAGACTGGATAGGTTATGTGATCCCGGGGACGAGCAATCTCGACGATGCGGCTTCTTCCTCAAGACACGCCGCCCGCGTGGTTCTGTATGCTCATGGAGGTGGCTACCTCGCAGGCGAAGCACGTATGTATCGGAACTACATGACCCGATGGGTCCAAGCGGCGTCGCTTCAGGACATCAAATTGACATTCGTGAGCGTTGAATACCGTGAGTTCTGTTTCAGTTTGGGTGGAGGGGATCGTCACGTTGTTCTGACCTTCAACGTAGCGTTAACGTCCGAAGCTCCGCATCCGGCCCAACGCGAAGCGTTCGTGAGAGCATATCGATCACTTCTCAATCAGGGAATCCCATCTAGTCGTATCTTGTTTATGGGTGACTCGGCAGGAGGTACGTTGATCGCTCGTTGGGGTGACTCTCGCACGCCATTCCTGAACCACTTCGAGGGTTGGATCTGACGCCATGACCCCAGGTGGACTCTGCCTGCTGGGCGCAACGGAAATTTTCCAGTCTGGGTTGCCTCAGCCCGCCGGCATCATCCTTCTATCTCCGTGGATGGACCTTTCTCTGTCTTCGTTCGAAGGTGGAAACGCGCTGGTCGAAACCGACTTCGTCGTCCACCTCAATTCGACGGTGCCGCGCCTGGTAAAATTGTTTCTGGACACGGCCGCGCCAACGTCTCCGGAAGTAAACCCGCTTTGTCGCCAACCGGAGGAACTTGAGTTTCTTCCCCCTACTTTGACCTTCGTCGGGGGAGCAGAATTCGCGCTACAGGAAGCAAAGGATTTAGACGCACTGCTGAACAGGACCAAAGTGCAGCACGAATTGGTGATAGACTGGGGCGAAATGCACATCTATGCGTTGGGATCTGCTTTTATTGATCCGATGGTTCGTGCAAGGACGGACGACAAAATTGTCAAGTGGATCCAAAGCTGCACGGCAAAGGACCATCCTCCCGGGTGATCGGGCGTGACCCCCTGAATAGCCTGAAATCACATCAACCACTCCCCAAAGGCGGAGCTGGAGGGCAAGGATTTGTGACTTGCCCCAGCGACTTTGAAGTACGAGCGCTTCCTGGGGTGGGGGCGAAATCCAGACCTCCCTTTCCATCTGAAATGAATGGGCTGTGACCCTTGTGATGGCACGAAATCCATATACCGGGGCGAACCACTCAGTACCGACGTAGCTTTAGAGCCTCTTCATCCCACAACGTAGACGATTTGTGAATTTCACATCCCATTCATCAGCCAGGATGCCGAAAACATGTCTGATCACAGGTGCAAATCGGGGTAAGACGGAGGCCGACAGGCGTGGTGGATTTGCAGTCGAGCTGATTGAACATTGACCGGGCATTGGAAAAGGACTCATAAACGTCTATTTGACCCGACCAGAACATGTGGCCGTTGCCGCTGTTCGAGATCCTGAAGCGGGCAACCAGCAGGGCACTGTATGGCATGCCCGAGACACGAAACGACCACACTTCTGCTCGTACAAATCGAATGCCTTCCAGAAACAGACGCCAAAGAAGCCGCTGCCGCGTTAAAAGGGATACACGGCATTTTAGCGGTCGATGTCGCGGTTGCCAACGCCGCAATTGCCAAGGTCTTGCCGACCGTCGTCGTTTGCCTGGATTTTTTCAACAGCAGGATTGGGAAAAACGGAGATCACGCTGGACGAGGGCATCCTGGGACTGATCGACGTGGTATGTACCTCGATACCGTATCTTCTGGCACACAATTGATAAGCCTTGGGAATAAACAGATCGATCGACCCACGACGGATGACTCGCTGTACGACTACGGGGGAAATTTATTCCCGTGGTATTATCGACCAGTCTCGGACCTTCTGGCACACTGCACTGCGGTAGAAGACGATTCAATATAAACGGTGATGACGACCAGGTTACTTTCCGAGTCTCACAACTGTCGTCACGTAGAGAAGCTAGGCAAACTATGCACTTTGCTTTTGAATCCAACTCTCATATCCCAGATAGGAGTCGTCTAGCTGTGGCGGACCGGGCTTCTGGAGTGCCACTATTGAGAGGTCACTATCCTTCCATTGCGCCCGACCTGTAGCGCTACACGAGCATGATGCGGAGCTCCTGTCTGTCCCGCTACAATGGAGACATGTGACATGTCAATGACCGAATTCCCGGTTCCCGGAATGCGGCTCCTTGCTCTTTCTCGGCCGAGGGAATGGTGGCTTTCAAACAAGCGCTTTGTTGGTCAGAATGCCATGGGTCTTATCCCTGATGAGGGGGTTATGCCAGTAGCTGATCTTTGAGGCCCTTCAAGGCGTCGTCCCACCCAACCAGTCTGTCCGCGATACCTAGTTGCTCGGCGGTGAAAAAGTCGTCCCCCGCCCATGCGCGGTAGTTCCCGCCGTGTTTCTCGTTCCACTTGAATTGAGCCGCCATGATGTCTCCCCAGACCGGGTACAGCTTGTTGAACTCTTCTTGCGTGCAGACGATATAGACGGCATCTTTACCGGTTGCGTTACTCCAGTAGTCCAGGATCTGCTGCTGCGATAGAATCTCCGTCTGGACGGAGGAGTATTTGCCGCGCGTGAGGGCCGGGTTGGCGAGAATGGCTGTGACGAAGAGGCCAATGTTGACAGACAGGTCCCCGGCGATTGGGACTTTGCTTGAGGACTGTACAGGTCGGAGAAAGATGTATTTGCCAGCAGGTGCCTGTTCGATGGTGTGGTCAGCGGTGGGAAGGCAGGGAGCTATTAAGCCCGCGAAAATGGAGTAAATATACCAAAAACGCCGGCTTCAGGAATGGGTATGCCACAAAGTTCAGCGCATAGAAACCGACGTAGAGAAAAGACGTTTTCTTCGCCAAACCGGGCAGGGATTCCAAGATGTATTCGTCCGTCTTGGCCTTGCCTTCGAAATGGGGGACGAAAATCTCCCCCTCGGTCGTTTTGGTCGAGGACGGCAGGGTCGTCCAGATGTAGTGCTGGAGAGATGTACTGGCTGCACACGCATTGGCAAGATTCTGTCCGTGGCGAAGTTCAATGTGGCTTGCCTCAACCGGACCATGATCTGCCACATACTCCACAAAATTGGTCATGCCGAACACCGCGTAAGCCCCCTGTTACACTTTGCGTGAACATCCGGTTTCCTCATGGCTGACAGCCTATGTGGCCGTGTTGGAGATATGAAGGCAACGGGAGGTTAACATACCTTGATGGCTTCTTTGAGGGAGCCAATATCTTCCATATCGGCACGAACAACCTCGACGCCCTGGCGGGAAGCAAGCTGCTTTGCCTTTTCACCGTTGACATTTCTCGTAACAGCGCGTATAGAATATCCACCCTCACGAAGTAGGGCGTCAATGACACCACCACCCTGCATTCCAGTTGCACCGAAGACGGTGACCAGTTTGCTCGAGCCCATATTTCTTTCGGCTACTTGCCTTTGATCAATCTGATTGCCTGGTCGGAAATCATCAGAGGGGAGAGTCATATACTCATTAAACCAAGGTTGGGAATTTCTTTCCCCTCTCAGGCGCTGATTAATGACCTGCGAGGATGAACTGTAGCTGAAAACCGTCTTGATCGGACGAGAGGCGGTTGTCCCGCGAGTTATCTTTGCTGGACGCTGGCTCAAAGATTATTGTCGCCCGTCACGCCGGCAGATCGGCGCCGAATCAAAGAGTCGGCGTTCAAGAGCACCCACCAATTGTCACACTCTCTGTTGGTTGAGCGCAACTGTCCACCGCTAGTATCCCTCCTTTCACGCAGTACACGAGCATCATGGCTATCACACAACGCCTCATCGTTTAAGAGATGCTGGCAAGACAACTTCTATAAAATGCCCAGTGGCTGTGTATATAGAACCAACTTCTGCATGGTTTCAAGCTTCACCCATAAACTGTTGCATCTCCTCAAACCCTGTGATTCCTGCTTCTAAAAACTCTTGCACCCATGCCTCTGGATTGTGTCCCAGATCGAAAGGATCAAGCACAGGAGTCATCATCCCATCGAACATGTCGAGATCGATGCCATCAACAGTCAATCCATCGGCATCTGCGTTCCCCTCGGGCCGGGCAGAGCTGTCACGTTCTCGAGGGTCTGGCCGCTGTTCTGATTCATGCCGCTCGACCCGTTCAGGGAAAGGATTCATTGAGGCGATGTCGAAGTCCGCGTTCTCCACACTGTCAAGGGACAGACCCGTCCGCCGGATGATGACTTCAAGCATTCGAATCATGAATTCGAGCCAGGTCCACGGCTCAGAATTGCTTCGGAGGCACGTCAAGTTCTTGTGGATGCGGAGTCGAGCGGCAAGCTTATCTTGAGGCGAAGTTGCAGTGTGCAGTGCATTCTCGATATGCATGGCTGTGATTGTACAAATGCACATGTATCTGCAAAGAGGAACACGTTGTAAGTGCAGCACTTTTTGAGGCCAGTTTGTCAAAGGATAGTAACACTCACATGAACGAATGACAATAGCCAACCAGGTTGTGTATGACCAAACGATCAATGGTGGAATCTAATTCAAACATTGCTATTTCTTGCTTTTGCTTTGAAGCAAGCAGGCACTCCTTTTTCCAAGTTCGGTTGAGCTGTCGTATTGTCCGATAGAAGACGCACTCGAGTCGGCAAGCCAACGCCCGCAGCACCAGGATCCAGACATTCTCCACGGACCAACTGCGCACACTTTCAGAATGCAGTTCCAGAGGCAAGCCCTTCTGCCATTCTGCAATTGATTGCTCGAATTCTTGGCACCTTGGTATCGAGGGAGGATGTTCGTTGTTTCGAAACATACGGCAAAAGTCCGCACCTGTTAGATCTGTCAATCAGACGTCCTCTGGCTCAAATTGGGAACCTGCGCACTTATGTGGGATAATTTGGTGTTTTCCACATGGTAGAGTCTCTGAAGGCGCGTCACCGGTGGTAACACGTTGCGGAAAGCCTCGCAATCCCTCTCTTCCTCCCAGTCATCCTCCCCAACGTCGGGCATATCACTATCGTCGTCATTAATCAATCGCACATTACTGTGGCCCGCAATTGTTAAGAGCGTGTCACGGTTGCGAATAACAGACCACATTCGCCTGAAAAGTTTCTGAGTCGAAGTGTCCAAGTCTCGCAGAATGACTTTTCGATGGAGACCCATCTGGAAGGCTATTCGAACAGCATTACCGAACCAAAAGCGGTAATCCTTATTCGTGCGCCTGACTGTATGTAGCGAGCTGAGGAAGAAACAGCTCTGCAGTAGGTACAGAGGTGATCTCTCAGTGTCGAAGTCATAGAGGAGTTGGGCCCGTGTAAGAAAGGTCCGCTGAGCTTCCGCTCGAGTCGAAAAGCCCATCTCAACAATCAGGTCATTTGAGATAAAGGGCATAGCATTTGCCATCACAGCCTGCATGAGGACGATTGAGCACGAACCATTAGTATAGTTACGCATAAACTGTACTCGGTCCATCACAGGGGCGTAGGCGTGTACGCATTCGAAAAAGACTCGCAGAATTTTGTCACTGATTCATTAGTCGAGGGTTCATTGCAGTATCCGGAGCCCACTCACCAGGTGGCGCGACAGGGTAGATCGAACGCCTTTTGACTTCGTAAGTAAGTGAGCTCAGCCTCGCTCAAATGGCAACTCTCCGAGACTTCACCGGGCTTTGCCTCGGAGAGAATAAGTCGCACAAGTCGACGTGGCTTTTTTTGTCCAAAGACTTCACCTAAGATGGTCGTTGAATATATCCCATCGTGATATTCAATGATTTCGCGACCTTTGTCTCGGTCTCCCACCCGTGTGCTGGTGAAACTGTCGGTACGCCATCGAGACAGTTGCCGACATATCTCGAGCTCGGCGTCGACGTCTCTGACCGACTGCGACCGAGTAGTGTCGGGACTGCTTACAGATGCAGGGGTTGCGTTGTCTGGCACTGAGCGGAAGACACTCTGTGCAGTCGTGGAAGTGGCTTCCTTCTTTCACAAACTGTGTCAGCATGGAAGGAAGGCAGGGGTTCCAAGGGGCACTTATCACCTGGGCTGGCCTTTGACCCGTTCCGCTCGCTTCGTGCGAGATCGTGTTTGGACCTTGTCGACTGGGAACGACGTGGGCATTCTCATTCTCATCACGACTCACACCGGCATGGTTGATTCCACTCCTTGTGGAACCTGCCGGGTCTAGCTCGCTCCATTTCCGCTTACTTTGAAGACTTTGGATCGTCAGGATGTCGAAATTCAACAGCAGGAGCACACACAGTACGAACCTCCTGGACTTTTGGGGATATCGGCATCGATCTTCAAGTTTGCTCCTCACACATGTAGAACAAGGGAGGCCGACCTGGTCTGCATTGCACCGGACTTTGCGCTGGTGGCAAACTAAGCAAGCTCTTGGCTTTTTGGGGACAATCTGGCCACTATCGGTCATGATGCTCGCTTGACATAACGCTATACCGCGGCGATAGAGAACGAGGATTTTGCGTTTGGGTAATAATATTGACGAAGTAAGGGGCTGTGAGATTATGATCGCATCGAGGAGAGTACGAATGTGGGAGAAGTCGCCAATAAACCCCAGAGCGAACCTGTACTGCGGGAGCTAGGCAAAAGGTGCCAGCCACGCCCCGCTGATTCTCAGCCTGGGCATCCTACTATGTATGTCCGCTGAACCCCCCCCTCCCCGCATCTTGCCGGTATAGACTTTTTCACACAATCCCCGGACCCCGCCACTGGATCTGCGAATAGTCACTATGATCAGTCTGGTCCTTGCGGTGGAGAACAGGACATGATATGGACGTATTCTCGCCTACATTAAGTTCGATAATTTAGAAGCTGTAACTTATATCTCTTCCTGTAACTCCATACAGCAGCTTATATGATATGGTACAGTAGCGCTCCAGTGTCGATGGGCATACTGATACCAGTGATTCCGGTCGCTCCACTTCCAGAGAGGTAAACAATCCCTTCTGCAACCTCCTCAACATCTGTTGCCCTTTCCATCGGGTTGGATGCTTTTATTTGCTCCTCCGTGATGTTATGGGCTTTGAGAAGGGGAGTGACTGTCATTCCGGGGCATACGCAGTTGATGCGTATACTTTGATTTGCAAACTCTCGAGCGTCGCTCCTGGTAAGACTGACAACGCCATGCTTAGAGCTGCTGTAAGCTCCACCACGTGGCATACTGGACAGGCCAACTAGCGACGCGGTGTTGACAATACTACCCCGATACGCGCGCCTGACTCCCGGGACCTCAAGGGGTTCTTGTTTCAGCATCTGTGTGATCTCCCATTTATGACAATTGTATACCTAGAGATAGAAATCAGTCGAGAGAAGTGTCGGGGCAAATCAGCTTTGCTGGGGCTTCCTTGGGCTTCATCATGCTTTGCCATATAAAGTGCCAACAACGCTTGATAACTTACACCCTTAGTATTGACGTCGTGCACGCGCTTGAAGGTCTCGACCGGCATATCAGTTGTCAGAACTCCGGCTTCTGCTATGCCGGCATTATTGACGGCAAAGTCGACACGACCAAACTCCTTGACACATGCACCAACCATGGCTTCGACGAGGGCGCCCTTGCTTACGTCTAGCAGGTGCGTTATAACCCGGACAGCCGGGAATCCTTTTTGGACCTGTTGTTTTGTCTCTTGCAGCCCTGTGTCCGATATGTCCGCTAGAAAGAGCCTACTGCAGCCTTTTCTGGCGAAGGAGATGGCTGTGGCCTGTCCGATTCCTATCCTGTCTTCTCAGTCTCTGGAAAATTTCAAGAACAAGGTAGACAACATACCCGAGCCTGCTCCTGTTATAAGTGCGACGCCGGCTGCGATTACCGCGTCCATTGCATGTACGGTTGTAATTCTAGCTTATTCAAGTTGACCTCCTTGTCTGACTGCCAAAGAAAGAGTATGTACTTCGGTAGGGTTTTTAGATACTAGAAGCTATGTGTTGAGTGCTCGAATTCATGTAAGACGTATGGAGGTGCTTGCACAGCGCTTGAAGGTCATTCGTTAAGGCGCCGGGTGTGATCTCGGCGAAATACCCCTCGGCAGCTGCGAAGCAAAGCAATACCTTTTTTGCGTCCCATCACCTGCCGACGCCGGATCGGTTGGTTCGATTTTGTCTCACTCGGTCTCTTGTCATAAGGTAGTGTCGAAACTTGAATTCTGCACCTTGATAAAGCCTGCACGCCCTGAACATGGCAAGTCTCACGAAGGAAGACATTGTGGAATCGCCGAAGATTATGGCAAACTATTTCAAAGACGAGGTGGCCTGCATCACGGGAGCTGCTTCTGGTTAAGATCCCCCCCCAAAACCCAACCCAAAAGATGGTCCATTTGTGTCCAATAAATCTAACTATGATCCAGGAATCGGAAGAGCAACCGCACTGGCTTTTGCAAGGGATGGCAGCAGAAAGCTCGTCCTGGCAGACATCTCTTTGCCCGGTCTTGAGGGAACGCGTGACAGTATCAAGGCTAAACATCCAGATGTTGAGGTCGAGATCGTGAAGACCGATGTCACTAGCGAAGAATCAGTAAAAGCATACTATAATGCAGCAATATCAAGGTTTGATCGCATCGACTGTGTCGCCAACGTTGCCGGGTACATTTCGAAACACGGACCCATAACTATGCAAACTGAAGAAGAATACGAGAGAACGTTTAACATCAATTTACTTGGTGTGAGTCTCCTAGCCGTTACCTCCACAGCCGCGCTACTGACGGTAGTGCTACAAAGGTCTTCCTCTGTCAGAAATTCGCCCTACAACAATTCCTTCGGCAAGAGCCGTTGCCCGGCATCGAGCAGAGAGGAGCAATAGTCAATGTGGGCAGTTTATGTTCCACCGCTGCGATTCCAGGCATGTCGGCGTACTCTGCTACCAAAGGCGGTGTTTTCGGGCTTACCAAGAACGATGCGCTGGACTACGGACCTCAAAAGATCCGGATCAACTGCTTAGCGCCTGGGAACACATTAACACCCATGCTGGAAGGTGCATCTACGGAGGCATTCAGGGCACATTTCGCAGCCGGCACGCCATACCAGCGCCTGGCAGATCCTATCGAGATGGCGAATACCATATCCTGGTTGTGTTCGCCGATGGCATCGTACGTCACGGGCATTTTGGTCCCTGTTGATGGTGGTCTGAACCTGAACACGGCGTTATAGAGCGGTACGCGTGGCCATAGTCAGTCAATCGGAACGAGACCACTAAAAAATTCCGTCATAGACACCTCAGTGATGATGAGATCATTGTCGACTCACCTGGTCAAAACACCGAGAATCCATTTGCTTCCATAATATGCCAATTAGTCGGAGACATACACGGCGGCGAGGTGGATTGAGGCATGCTAATTCGAAACGGAGTTTCGCCCGCATTGCGTCCTCTGGTCCTTCGGCAACCTAGGCCGATTTCCCTTCTCGGAGCTGTCTATTTCCTATTTCCGAGCAAATTTTTGAGAGGGTTGCCGGCCGTGGTTTTTGTGGCGTCTTCGGTGTAGCCTCGTCGGTGTAGCCTCGTCGGCGAAGCCTCAGTCCTAGAGCCTTGCCAGGGTCCACCCATCTCAATCGACAAGGCTGGGCCGGAATTAGCGCGGAACCAAGAACCGATTTCTGAGACGTTGATACATCGAGAGAGCTGAAGAGACATTCAAATCCCTGCGGAAACCAGTTTTAGTACCTGAATGAACCAGCAACCGAGGGCCTGCACGACCGCATACGTCTGATTTCTCGGCGAACCTCTAACCGTCTTCCTCCATGGCCCAAGAATTCTGTCTCGGGAGCGAGCATGCTCCAACATCAAAGTGGAACAACTTGCTAATCACAGTCTATGGAGAGATGCTTTCTCGATATGTCAATAGCGCGTGGTACCAATACTACAAAATCATGCTCTATCCAGCGGGAGGGGGGCCTCAATACCAGTGGAGTCGTACAGGTAGATGTTATTTGGGCCCTGCTCGTGCCAACGCCCTCAAAAACTTGCCAAAATCGATTCATGGGACGAGATCGGCTATAAAACCGTGAACTATTTGGTTGACCAAATGGTGCATATGTGCTGCGGTCTGGAATGTTTCTTGTATCAGTTCAGCAGCAGGGTACCAGTGTAGCAGAAAGCGCCAAAGATCGAGAAACACGAGATTGTAGCCTGCTATGCTCAGACATGCTTCGAGCATGGCAGCACTATCAAAGGTCTCAAAGGCAAAACGGGATACCCCGACAAAGGAACTTATAATCCGCAGTCCTCATGTTCCAGCAAGCAAGTGGTATATGACTCGGGGCAGTCGTCCAGAAGGTGCCGTAGGAATTGGCTCGTTCATATCACCCTTCCCGCGAATTTTCGATCTCGACGACTTCAGGGTTCTTTCCGGTTATCGCAAGATCACTTCTTTTGAGCTCCTCATCGAAAAACCTCTTCTGTTCGACAGACATATGCGTGAGGTCAATCTCGACCTTCTCACCGAACAGCTCTGCAATCTCTTCCAGGGTGACGCCTTTCGTCTCGGGAAAGTATTTCCAGATGATAGGGATGCCGCATGCCGGGATAATGATGAATACGAGATAGAATTTCCAGCCAATTGTGCTGAACGCGACCGGTGCCACCTGAGAGAACACTATACCTTGGCGTTAGCAAACCGTGCAAGATATAATAAGGGAATTTTAAGAACGTACGCAGCGCTGGTACAAAATAACCAATGATACACAAACACATGCCGAAGGCGCGCATATAAGTCGGGAAGATCTCTGCACAGTAGACGTAACCGGTAACGTCGCAGCAGAACCCATAAAAAGTGGCATACAGGAAGACAGAGAGGACGCCGAAGCCTTGTCCAACTCGATTTGTGCCATCTGCGAACTCTGCCACCATCGCTGTGAAGAAGGCTACTGAGCAGACTGCACCAGTCTGGACCCCGTTAGCGATCGACCAGAGGCGGGAAGGCAGATCTCACCAATCCGAGGAGCAGAAGTGTCTTGCGGCCGAATCTGTCCACGATTCGCGCATTTGTGTAGTTACCAATAGTGGCCCAGGTGTTCCAGACACCTAGGAGACAGATTGTGACCCATCCACTTAGGCCGATGTTCTCAAATAAGATGACCTGAAATAGGGTGAGAATCCCGTTCGCCACAGGAGGTGGTTCAAACATACCATGTACGTAATAATGGTTAGAACACCAGAACACTGAAGTAAGACCCTAGTCATTGCGTCAGCGAAGATGGGAGCCGAATTTTCCGCTGGGAGACCGCACTGAGTCAAGGTTCCAATGGCAAGGCGCCTGCGAATGGACGGCTGCCTCAAAGCCTTGGCTATAGAAACGCCATTCAGAGCCTCGGCCTCGAGTTGTCTGCGAATTTGCAAATGCTCTTCTCTAGCAAGAAGATTGTCGCTGTCCCCAGGCACCTTGTGTAGCCGCTCCAGGATCCGAAGCGCCTGTTCATGGCAGTCTCGAGATACTAGCCACCGAGGTGATTCAGGAAGCCACATTACCGTAGGAGCCAAGATCAAAGGTGGAAGGCCTGTATAGAGTCAGCTGTAAGCTCGGTTGAATGAATGTTGCATATACCGCTTAGAGATAGAGGTAATCGCCATTGTAAGCCTTGATTCTGAGCGAAGGAGCAGCCAAGGCCTATCCAAATTGCGGAGGCCTTGAACGTAATGTCAGAGAGATTGGCTAATTGGAGGAAGATCGATTGGACTTACAGCACCCACTCCAAGCATGACACCATGCTGTCCAACCATGTGACCACGGCGGGATGCCGGACTAACCTCGCTTTGGTATATCGGTACAACCACCTGAAAGCCACCAGCGCTTGATAGCTTTGAGCCAGATATCAACTTCTTCTAGTCAAAGGAACTTACCATATCCCAGAGAATGAACGACCCAGTAGCAACATCACCACGTGTTGAGCTGCCCCGAGCAGAATGCCGCCCAGAATGCCTGCGATGCAGGTTGCAAACAACGCTCGACGGCGACCAAACCTTTCAGATGCCCATGCCCCGAGAATAGCTCCGAATATGGCACCACCACAATAGCACGCTGGGATTGCTAGGAGATTCGATTTAAGCAGGAGTCCACGAGGTTCGAGAAACTGCACACTTACCGCCAATCACTCCGGAGGTCTGAGTTACGTCGAGGTGGAAATACTCATAGAACGACGGCATCCCCAGTACGGGGCCAGTAACGTTGACGGTGAACCCGAAGGTGACTGACCCAAGAGCCACCACCACAACGATTAAGAAATTGTACGTGCTAATCTGCTGCTGCTTCGCCATTGTGAAGTAGGCACCGACCGGCAATTTGAAGATATGGGTTGATCAATCTTGGGAGATGAGAAGTCCCTTTTGTCCTTCGCGATATACATTTTTGCGTTTGCGGCCATTGGCCCTCCCCCTATTCATGTGACCTGACCGGTAATTGAAATGATGATTGATAGACTTCAATCAAGCAACGGCGAAAGTGTCCTCTCGCTCAACCGGGGTTTTCAAATGTCCGTCATTACGTTGCCAGCAAAGCAGGTAACCTCCAGTATCCACCTCCATTTGGACGAATCGGTGAGTCGGTGCCGAAAAGGGGTATCACCGTCTACCCGGGACGGGTTCTTAGGATGGGGCTGGGTCCTTGACGCTACATTGCCCGGCGAGCTCAACAGTGAAGGACCGGCACCAGATGATGGGAAACGGGTCTGGAACATTTACCCAGAACATTTTTCTCTGCTGACGACCCCCGTTGCAAATGTTAGGTGCCGAGGGTTGAGCCTATTTCAGAAACAAGGAAAGCGAGAGTCAGTCTCAACTATCTGGGATCTGGGGAAAGATTACGTGGTGCTCTGATCGATTTACGTGGATTTTTGTCAGATTCGACCGGTTAGACTTTCTGTTCCATCTCGAGAGACATCGTATATGTAAGACGGTGTACACTGTAGACCCCCTCCTCTCGGAATTCACTGCTTACTTGCCGCGATGGCAGCCTCGAATTCCAACTTCACACTTTCCATCATATCACTCTTCGAGTGCACCGGATTCCATCCATATTCTCGGGCGCAGTCTGCTTTGGTCAAAGCACTAAAACACTGCGGTCAGCCTTCACCCCCACCCTCACCCTCACCAGAAAAGGATTATAAAGAGACTTACGTCGACCCAAGTCCCAGTTCGCAAAACGTCGGGAATGGGAACAGTACTTCAGCCGCCTTTTCAGGGTCGAGGTGAGTTATTTCGTTCGTCTGCAGCAGCCCGAGCTGAGTCCCGGTCTCGGCGATGGTTTGCGCGAGCTCAAGCCAGTTGAACGTGCCATTCTCGGAAAATATAACGCCCATCTCCCCCGTCGCAATGTCTTGGCCAGAGAGGATCCTCGACAGGAGGAGCGAATAAAGTGAGCAGAGATCGTGAATGGAGACACAATTCCAGACACTCGATCCGTCCCCGACAACCACAGCGTGCCCTAATTTGATTGCGGCGCGCACCAATAACGGCGTCTGAACCGTGGACTGGTTGAATTGCCCGGTGCCTCTGCCAAAGATGGTAGGTGACATGATACTGCTGGTTTTCACACCTTCTCGCAGACCGGCATCCAGGACGGCCAAATCGGAGGTACGTTGGCCGAAAGCATCCACGGACTCTCGAAATCTCTGGTAGGCAAGGATATCTTCCTTGTCCGAGTATGTTCTGGTTTCGGTGAAAGCCTTGCTAATCGGCTGATTGGCAATGTTTGAAGTTCCAGATTGGTGGATATAGTAGACCTCTTTCCCCGACAGCTTCTTCCTGTCCCCTTGGCCTGCAATCAGGGCTTCACAATAGGATGGCTGAAACGTGAAAGCAGGGTCAATAATCACGTCGAAGTTTGCTCCGATCTTTTGCAAGTGGTTGGTTGCATCTCTTTCTTCGAAGACAACAGTGTCGACGCCCTTGTCTGCGAGCAGTCTTGCTTTCTCCTCGTTGCGAAGCAGAGCACTTATCTTCACCGGTTTGATCTGCGTGCCGTTGGATCCAAGAAGATAAGTCAAAACTGAGCCGCCACTGGTTGTCTCATATGTCAGACTCTGTACTGCCGGCGACAATGCTCTGAACGTACATGTATCCTGTAACTCCAGTCACCAGGACTGTGGTGGCCGCCATCTGAACTGGGTGTCGGTAGTATAGAAATAATAGATTGTTGCAGTAGACCTACGAGGAGGGCCGGTTGGTTTCAAGACAGTCAAGGCACAGTCTGTCCTATTTATCATCATACAGAATAGCAATCACATGCTGGCATTCAACGACGGCGTGACAAAATTTACGCTGCAAGGATCTGATTACATATCCCCTGGGTTGAATGTAGGTCTTCCTTGGGTAAGAAAAAGGAAGGCCGTGTCGGAACAAGGGCGTGACTGAGTAAACGAAGTGTTTCAGATGGCGTTAGACTGAACAAAACAATGTCATGACGCCGGCGTACCTCCTTGGTCCGCCGGCACCGGACGCTCGAAATCGGCCTTCTGGGCCACTGGAATTAATAATATCGCGGTGGAGCAGTCCTCAATGTATTCCGCATGTTGTCCAAGAATATAGCCTAGCAAAGAGGGACTGGTAGAAGCCCTCGACAAAGTTCAGAAGTGCATCGCACACCGAGGGGCAACAAGCCATGACCTCTGTGAAAGTCATTGTCGTCCCCGGTGCCACCGGAAACCAGGGCGGCTCCGTCGTCGAGACCTTCCTCAAAGAACCTGGATGGCACGTACGTGGAATCACGCGTAACCCTTCGAGTGTCAAAGCCCAGGCCTTGTCTGCCCGACGGGTGGAAATAGTCCAGGCTGACATGGACGAACCGAAGACTCTCGAGCTTGCCTTCAAAAGTGCCACAGCAATATTCGCCGTCAGCGACTTTTGGGGTTTGTATGGCGATCCTGCGAACAAGGATAAGCCAAAACCAGGAACTCCTCTCAATGTTTGGGCCGCGGGGCATGAAGAGCAGCAGCTGAAGAATGTCATTGATACAGCTGCCAAAGTGCCGACATTGGAGCGCTTCATTGTATCCTCCCTGTCGAACGCGACAAAATGTTCCAAGGGGAAATACTCTCACGTCTACCATTTTGATTCAAAGGCCCGGGCCGTCGATTACGGGCGAGGAAAGTACCCGGATTTGTGGAAGAGAACCAGCATCTTCCAAGCTGGGTTTTTCCTCAGCAACTACGTCAGAAATCCCTTCACTCAACCTCAAAGGGTATGAATCCTTCGTGAACACGACGCCACATTGTGTGCTAAAGCTCTGCAGAATCCAGAAGGCGTGGTCCAATTCATCGGTCAACTAGACCCAGATGTCAAGATGCCCATGATCGCCCCAGAGGAGGACACGGGCCCGGTTGTGAAGGCTCTTGTAAAAGAAGCCGCGGGCAAGAACGTCATTGCATACAGGGAATGGATAAGCGTGCGAGAATTGGCCCAGACCTTCACCGAGATGACTGGCTTGAATTCAGAGGTTATTATGCTCTCAAAAACTGAGGCAAATCTACTCTTGCCACCGGAGTTGAAATTGGAGCTCGACGACAATTTTGCGTATTTCAACGAGTTCGGATATGAGGGCAGGGACGATCCCACAGTTATTCACCCATCAGACGTACGTATTGAAGAAAGTTCTCGGTGATACATTCCTATATCTAACTACTCTGCCCGCAGCTGAGCTCGCCCCCAGATTTGGACAGTGTCGCCAACTACCTCAAAAAGCAAGATTGGTCGAAGGTCCTGACTGCATGATCGAAGGAAAGCTGCGGCTGATGCTCAGGAAACCAGGTTGTTTCGAAGACAGACTGCTGAACGTTCCAATCTCTTTTCTTCAAACCCCGAAGTCGGTGGACTTTGCGATAGTTTCCATCTCTGCATAGTCACGCCCCAAACGCTTCAACTTTTCGCCAAAAATGGCGTAACAGTCTGAGCCTAGCTGGATACGCAAGACTTGGTCTTTCTCATGCCCTGCCCACAGGTTCTGAAATAGGCCCCGCCCTTCGACAGCGTCAAGGACCCGGTTCCCAAACCGTTTAGGGTCACCCTGTACCATCGTTGGATCTCTGCCAGCCGCGTCAACAATGTCCATCCACTCGGTAATCTTCTCCTTATAGTCCTCTGTGACTCCGCCGTCTGCCTTGATGTTGTTTGCGGGAAATCTTGTCCTGAAACCCCCAGGCTCCACGATGAGTGTCTTGATCCCGAATGGTGAAAGCAGGGTGGCGTATGATTCGGTCAGCGACTCAGTCGCTGCTTTGGCCGCACTGTACATCATGTGTTCGGCTTTGCTGACGAAACCCCATATGGATGATATGGTGATAAGAGTGCCAGAACGATTACGGCGCAAGATTGGAAGCAGGGCCTTCCATATCCGGACGGCTCCGAATAGATTGGTCTGCAGATATTGGGAGATCTGGCCCTCGCTCATGTCTTCGACTGCTCCAAGAAGGGTATGCCCTGCGTTATTCACAACCACCCAATGAAGGCGCTCGTGTTCAGTGTCGGCGAGTTGAGTGACAATGTCCTGTGCCTCGGGCTGAGAGACATCCAGCTCCAGCCATTGGCCCCCGAGCCGTTTGAATTCGGGATTGTGCATGTCAGCGTTTTGGATGTTGCGACTTGTCCCAATGACCCGATGTCCTGCACGCAGTGCCGAAAGGGCAATTTCGAGGCCTAGACCCGACGAGGCACCCGTAATGAACCATATTTTTGGCAATGCAGAGCCGGACATGCTGATCTTATGATGTGTTCTGTCCGGATTATTGTCATTGACAGGCGCGTGGACATCGGGTTCCCTTTTATATTTTCGATGCACACCGAAGTGCCGTCCATTCAAAGAAGACCGAGCTTCTCTCGCACGGCCTACCCTAGGCGTTACGACGAGGATGCGGTGCTCTTTGCGGCTTGCTTCGCATTGCGGGACCAAAGTGGACACCGGAGCGGACACATCTACCACCTAAATCCGAACACAAGACTATAATTCTCTTCTTTCCACGACGCTGATAAGGCAAGGCCGAGGTGGGGCAATTCAATGGGCAGTCAACTGGGTCCTTCGCCGCCCAGGCTCGATTACTGCCGATCTACACAAAATCTCACTCTCATAAAGCACCTCTTGATTCGCTTCTACTTGTCCCAAATATCTTGATCTCGACTTTGTCACATATATTCCAAAGGTCTAATTATGGAATTCAAAAGAAAAGAAGTCCCTGGGAGAATGCTTGTACAGTATCTCTATCGAACCGGTCTAGCCTAATATACCTGTTCCAAGATTGAAGCCGCCATCGACGACTATGTATGCCCCTGTTACATAGGATGCCTCGGGTGAACACAGCCACACGATCGTGTTTGCAACTTCCGCTGCCTCTGCAATCCTTCTCAAGGGTAATTTCTCCGAAAGGTGATCTCTAAACTCCCGAGTTGTTGCAGCCATTATCGGAGGTGTAATGGTAGTCCCCGGAGCCACACAGTTGAGCCTAATTTTCTGCGGTCCGAAATCGAGGGCGTCAGATTTCGTCAGACCCAGCACGCCTGCTTTAGCGGCAGAGTACATTGACATTCCTGGCAAGGCGACAGTTGAGCAGGTGCTACCGACGTTCACAATGACGCCGCGCTGCTCCGAGCCTTGCAAAGGTTCCTGTTTGGTCATTTGACGGAGAGCGGCTCTTTGAGAAAGAAAGACCTGGAACAGGCTTTGTAAGCCAAGGGGTAGCTATCGAGGGAGGTGTTTCTTTGCGGACTTACTCCTCGAAGACAAGTTGCGTATGTTTTGTCCCATTCACCGTCATCTTGCTCTAGGATCGTTCCATACTTTGCGACGTAACCCGCAACGTTGGCCACGTAGTCGACTCTCCCGAACTTGGAAACCGCCGCACCATAGCAGATTTCCACCGAAGTCTCGTCCGACACGTCGGTGCATACATCTTCAATTGCCACACCTGGATATTTCTCCTTCAGATGCCCAGCGGTCTCTGCCAGTCCAGGGGCCGATATATCGGCCAACACGAGCCTTTTGCAGCCGCGCGACGCAAATGCCTCTGCTGTTGCCCTTCCGATGCCTGGAACATTGAGTTAGACAGATGCAGGCAATGAAATTATGCCCGAACTTACCAGAACCACTTCCTGTTATCAAGGCAACTCCGTGCTCAAAGTAGTTAGCCATTGTGACACACTGTTCGGTCAATACGCTTCCCTGCGCCAACTAGAAAATCCAACAGTATTTGAGGAAGTAGGTAGTCATGGTCAACTCGGCGATGCATTTTGTCCGGAGGTTTCTTCGCAGCAGAGAGAGGGACTCATACTCGTCTCGGTGCCGGTACACCGAAGTGTGGAGCAATATCAACAGTCACCCGGATGCGACCGTCTAGATCAGCCTAAGCATAGGCACCTTGATGGACCACATCGTCTGAGAAACAAAATAATTTCCTACGACGGACGTTGGAATCTGTCAGGAATTTTTTGCGTGACGAGGAATAAGTTGTATGATGTCCGAAAGAGCCGCCATGGATCCGGTCATATCCAGAGGAGTTGCATTGATCACAGGCTCCGGATCAGGTAGGTCTCACTGCTCGGAAGATTTCCCCCCAAAACTACATCATGGTTGCGTGTGTGATTCCCCTGTCGATCAAGCTGACCGATATCTACAGGGATCGGCCAGCAGATTGCTCTTTGCTTTGCAAAGAAAGGTTGCTCCCAAATTTTCCTCGTTGATCTGTCCGAACCAGGGATGCTGGAGACGAAGAGTTTGATCCGGGAATTCAGCAGGAAGGTGAAAGTTGTGATTCACAAAGCCGACGTAAGCTCTAGCGGCGACGTCAAGGCTATGGTAGACAAATGTGTCGAAACGTTTGGACGCAGTGGGTAACACGATGGCCCGCTACCGGTGTCTGCCGTCGGCTAATAAGTGTTTGCAGTTGACTTTGCAGCGAACAATGCCGGGATCACTTCTCCCGTGGGCTTGACTACGGACCTAGATGTTGCCACTTTCGATAAACTGCACAATGTAAACACGAAGGGTGTACGTTTCAGTTCGTCTCCGCGCTCACCAGCCGCGGATCTCCTGAGATGAGTTATGAAGATGGATACCGCCAGGTCAAGTTCTAATGTCGATGTGGATAGGTATACAATTGCCACCGACACGAAATCGGTCAAATGCTCAAGCAAGATTCTCTGACTGTAGAGGGTGTCAAGTACGGATATCGGGGCTGTATCGTCAACACGGCTTCGATGTGCGGCCTTGCCGTTCAGCCTCTCATGTCCGCGTACAACAGCACAAAACACGGTGTTGTCCTCCTCACTCGCTGTGATGCGCGAGACTTTGCCACCTCCGGAATACGGATCAACTGCGTTTGCCCGGGCATAGTGAATACGCCGATTCTGGAGACCGCGGAGTTGTCCCAGCATTGGATCATGGAACAGAGCCCCATGCGGCGGGTTACAGAAGCGTCAGAAATCGCGGAGGCTGTGGTGTTCTTGTGCGGGAGCGGCGCCACTGCTATCACCGGGATCAGCATGCCTGTAGACACAGGCATGCTATTGTATCACATCGTGTGACCGAAAGGGATGGGGCTGAAATGACCACTTTTGAGCTCGAACAAAAGTGCATATCCAAGAAAGCGGAGGTAAGAGGGATAAATCGAGTCTCTGGGCGAGCAGGTGCTATCGAAGGCGAGCGACGAAGAGGGAGAGAGTTTGAGAAGACCGATATTCATCAGAAATGCTGTCGAAATCCTCCATGGCCTTCTTCATCTCTGCATCATAATGTTCATTTATTTCTGCACAAATTCGACCATATATCCGTCTGGGTCTCTGACCCAGCAGATATCCCTATGGATATCCCAAAGTGCCTGATTCTCGTTATTGGTGGCATCATCCGAGGAAAGACCAAGACCGGCCGCGATCGAAGACCGGCCGTCTGCGTCTCCCGGTCTCTTCACAAACTCGACTCCAGCTAACTCAATCTTTGTCACGCTGCACCAAGGTGCGGAACCGTGAAACACAGCTTAAAAAGGCCGAATCCCGAATGTTGGGTCCCGTTGGTAAGCAAGGGAGGCGAATTCTGCTTCCTTTGTTCAGTCCTCTGTGCACGGGGTATGATGTTTTGCACAAATAGGTACATGGGCAATCTCTAATCTTCCCTCTCGATCAAGGTAGCCTGGCTCCGTGCCTGGCAGAGGTGGCCTTGGAAACCCTAGAAGCCATTACTGTTAGCGTGTCGAAAGTCATCGTCGCCAGCTGTTGCATCCCAACAACATCTCTTTAAAATGCGAGTGATTTGCCCGGATCTGATACGCGAATCCCAATGTGATTGAAGTTGGATCCATGGCTATAAGGGGTGCTGGGATTTAACATGCTTGGTTTGATCTCTTTGTCTCAAGGAAGGGTTCCTGTTTGCTGGAATGGGAAGGGAAGGGGGTCGATGTAGACTAAATACTAACCCCGATCGGCTTTTCCCAATGAGGCAATATGCACTCTTCTCATAATATTACCACGGCGCCGAGGTCGTAGTCAAAACGGCAATGACATATCGCCTACACGGCGTCACTAGGCCGCTTCCAACTCCGCGCCCACCCTCCTTAATGTCAGTGGCGAGTATCCCGGGCCGTAACAGTTCTAATGTCATATCAAATGATGGTCACCTCACCGCGTAAGGTCTCTGGACATAATATGCAGTACTAGATAGTACATTCCTTATTCCTTTCATTATCCATTTAACAGTGCCCGGTTTTCCAGCAAGAAGTATTGGTAATAGTAGCGATCGAGCCACGTGATTCCCTGTTCATCAGCAAAGCCCACCTCACTCGGATGCGTGCAAAGGCGGTGATACCACCCGCGTTGTCTCGGTCATCATTTATCCCTGCGTGCGAGTCCCGCCGTCCCTCTTCTCCTTCCACTTGAGACCTGCCCCGTCCAGCAGACTCCAGACTCTACATATCTTGCCCTGTTCCAGGGCGTAAAAAACATGCTCGTAAAACGTGTCTTGCGTCGTTGGTGTCGGCTTGTAGGTCAATTTGAGCCTGGCCGCGACCGAGCCGTCGCATTTGTGTGCACTATCATCCTTCTTGCTAGGAGTGCCAGCGGTGCTGGTACTTTTCGCAGCAGTAGCAGGAGTAGGGGAAGTGGTGGGACTAATCAGACTTTGATTCTTCTCCACGATGAGCATGTCGACCTCAAAGTGCAATCCGGGGAGGTCCCTTTTGCTGTCACTTATGAGGCTTGCATACTCATCGACCGACATTGGGTCGGAGCCGTTGTGGACAACGCCGGGCTTGACGAATTCGGCGAGGTCCCCCGCGCGACATTGGCTGTCGTTGATTTTGGAGATGTAAGCCAGATACTGATGTCTGAGGTCTCCATCGAAGCGTTTCACAATCGGGTTGTTTTCCCACACGTAGCTTTTGTCTCGTCATTAGTGGCTGAACGGGCGGTAGCAATTGAGCAGGACTTCAACGCCCAAAGAATACTTACTCGTCATCTTCGTCGTCGTCGCGGTTTCTGTTGCCCAGCACATATCTCGCCTTTCCATTGGGCTCGGTCTCTTCCTCGATAGCTATCTCGCTGAGATTCGAGATGATGTCGTCTATGGTGGTTGCAATATCCGTGTGGTTGGCATGATGGCCGTGGTGTGAAGAGTCACGGCGTGCGTCATGCGCATTATGGGGCATGATTTCCGGGACTGCGGTATCCCGACTGATTGAGAACTGTAGAGGAAGTTTATTCTCTGGTATTAAAGTCGAGGTTTGAGAAGAGATGTCGCGGATGAGGGGCGATCAAGATATTTCTAAGCCATATTCAATGGTATACGCGCCATTAACATTGGGATCTGCTGTGTCTACGTTATGTCGATCATACCACTTTCACGTGACTGTTATTGCAGAGCTGCTGGACCATCCAATCGGGAATATCTCTGGTGCTCTACCGTTGCGGTGCTTGTGACAATCTACTGTGCAACACTTTGCGGGGAGGCGCTTCACGCACAGCCACCCGTGGGCTCAGATGACGCAGCCCTCGACACCGGATGAAAGTAGGCGTGCTGACATGAAGATGACAAAAGGGGTTGCTGCAGCCTTGAGGCCACCCAACCTTGCCCCTCGAAGGATATTAGATTCTTAGATTCTTAGATCCAGCAGAAAAAGCCCCCGCCTCCTCCATCACGTCACGCAGGAGGTCTCTCGAGCATCACCGAGTATACATACCCAGCTTAGGGGCGAGTCTGAAGACCCCTTGACTTGGCGTTTCAGGTGGTTCGCTAGCTTTGTGAATCAAACGGCGGACCGAGACGCCATTGCTGGTCAATACGAAGCTGGAAAATGTTGTCGCGATCCTATTCGAGAGCCTGAAGAGTCTGCAGAGTCTGGCGAAAGCATCTTGCCTTTCTTCCCAGGGGCCAATTTACATGAATGTGGGAAAGGCTGGAGGCCTGAATGGGCCGAGGGCAAGAACACGAGGCCCTAGTGAGGCCCTGTTGCGCCAAGACCCAAGCCAAGAAAAGAAAGCGGCAAATACCCGCCCTTTTCGGTCTAGTGCGGGACGCGAACAGTCGCCCCACCCGCACCGCGCACGACGAGCAGCTCGCACTCTTGCGCCCTCCACCTCGTCTTCGCTCAACCCACATCGCCGCCTCAACCACCAAACTCGAGGCCTCCCTCGCCCTTCGACCTTGTAATTCAGGGAAAGCTCGACCGCAGAGTTGAGCCCAGTCGGGCTCACATATCAGGTCTGGATCGTGCCTGGATTTAACATCACTTAACCTCAGCTTCGACTTTCGTACGCCCGATCATGCCCACGAAGGTATACAAACACCACCAAACATCCCAAGTATCAGACACCACAGCACCAATACGCGCCCTGTGACTAAGCCTCCCTGCCCCCCGGTCTGAGGCCGAGATTGCAGCCACAGGACTAGCTGGCCAGACCCAAACTCCGTCGAACATGATGACTCCCTGGTCAATCGTTTCACTTGCGGCCGCAAACTTGCCATCGCTTGAGTCCCCTCATGCCATCCTAGATCATTTCGCGCCAATCAAATCCGAAGTCTGGTCTCCCCATGTGATACTGTATACTAATATTCTGGCCTTTTTGCGGCTCCTTTAGACTTTTAGCCCCAACCGGCTAGCATTCATGTCGGGCCCTGATGGTTATTTTAGAAAGTCCCGTTTCTTCAAAAGTCCTGCTGTCGCCATGTCCGAGATCCCTCCACGGCTTCTACCCTGTTTGTGGTGGACTGCTCGCCGCGGCGGCATCCTCTTCTCTGCGCATCGCACGCTTTCTTTGCAGCAGCCAACATGAGTTCACATTACTCTCGCCTGAACCGTCAAGACTCGAGCAGGGAGCGTATGGTAGACGGCATAATCGGATCTGACAACGATGTTCCACTGAGAAGTATGGAAGGGCACACTCCCGAAGCCTGGAGCCAGCCGGGATATAGCGACGATTCACTCAATGACCACCTGAAGGCTGGAGACCCAGAGTATCTACATGTGCGACCCGGAGTGACAGGTATGGCCGGCCGTGTGAAGGTCCCACAAATCCAGCGGTTATTGACACGAATCTCAAGGCAAATCCTACAGAACAAACTCTGGGTTCAGCATACCGTCGGTCGCATCGTCGCCCTGGGAACATAAACTCAACGAGAAACATCTCCGGGATGTGCCGACAGATACCGAGACTGTCAGATATTTTGATCCTCGCCGGCAGACACGCAGAGTGCTCATTGATTGTTTGATGATGTGGTTGTGGACGGCTGGAATATGTGGCGCCCTTGCAGGCACAATGTATGGCTTTTCCACCATCAAGCTCGGGCTCTCCCAGACACAGAAATACGTCTACAACGCCATGATCACCGGCCTGTCAATTGTGCTCGGTCTTGCCTTTGCTGCACAGTTCAAACAGTATGCCGAGATGATGCGATGGAGATTCCTCGCCTCGCAGTATCGAACCATCCAAGACTTTGAGGATGTGCTGGGATGCGACAGTTATCGAAGCACTTTGCGCATAATGTGGTCAGGTCGGCGCCCGGGAACGTGGTACCCGAGCAAAGCTCAAGTGGTTGCGGCCATTTGGTTACTCATCTTCGTCGTGTTCAACACTGTCGCTGCCCTTCTCGGTTTGACATATTCCATCGATGTGTCGGATGAATTTGTATCCGTTGGCACCGGTACGTTGTCAGGCGCTCCCTTCCAACTGAAAGCATTGGCGAACTTGGCCAGTTTCCTATACTGACGTTTCACAGGCCTTGTCAACGTCGCCAACCTCCAATACATTGCAAGCCGCGATCAACCCGACAATGGCAAGGGCTACTCAATGGAGTTCCAGAAAGCCGCCGCGAATCTCTGGGGCCAAGTAGGCCAGAATTTCCCCGTGGTCACGTCCACACTCGACACCTATGACCCTGAGGGGTCTTCTGTCTTCACTAATGCGGCGAGGGACTTGTGGTGGTACCGATTCGTAGACTACGGCCCGGACCTCAAGACAAATGTTGGTTCTTCAAGGACCGTGACGAGTCAAGCGCATTGTGAGGAGTACACAGTCCTTTTCGGCGGATATGCAGGGTACAATACCGACAACGCGACCTTGACCTATTTACTCGAGTGGGAGGATAACCAGGGCAATGATTTCGTTGAGATCGTGACAAACGTGGCAACTGCGTTTACGACTTGGATGGGCAATTCCAGCAGTCAAAATGTCGGCTGTGGCCCCCGATGCAGCCGGATCCTTGCGCTACAGTCGGCCGATAACGACACTGTGCCATATCCTCGCATATGGTCGTGCAACAACACGGTGGGGCAAGTGGAGGGTCTCGATGAGGCTGGCTTTCCTGATCCCGACCTGCTCAAACTACCCGACGACCAAGCCTTCTACCTTGCGGGTTCAATTGGCTGGACTGGTGTGGAGACAGAGAACGATGATCTCCAGTTTTTCCTTTTCGACGGCGACACTCCATTCAATCCGCCTGGCAATGCCACAGCCGAGACCATCGCGGAGCTGGTGATGAGGTTCACAGTGGGTGCGGTGTCGGCCCTGGATGCGGGGGGTGGACCACGGCAAAATCTCACTGGCAAAGCCAGTCCGCGGCCCGCGCAGGTCGTCAACGTGAAATGGGCCGACGCGGGGGCAATCCTGGTCGGGATCCCGGTCGTGCAGCTCCTCCTGCTCGTCGCCGTCGTGTGGTTCTCCGGCAAGGCCATCATCCTCGAGCCCAGCTTCATGACGGCCGCGCACTTGCTGTACCCTGTCATCAAGAAGGTCGGCAAGGACGGCTGCCTGTTCACCGTGGACGAGATGGCCGAGAGGCTGGGTGACAACTACAAGATCTCCTACGGGGTGCGTCCCGACCCCGCGGACCCGGGTCACCATGACACCACTTTCGTTCGCGATCTGGATGTGATCGAGGAGAGGGAAGGCTATGGCTACATTCGTGGCGCCTTCCCGGAGGGGAGATATGATTGAGTCTCTCTCTCATGATGATTTGTATAGCATTATGCCAGGGAATTGAGATGTGAACATAGAGTGTCCAGCGTTTTCTGTGAATGAAAAGCATATGGTCTGAACAGCGATGCAGCGTGACCGTCACAATCTTATGGGGCTTGCTCACCCAAATTAGAAAATAGCCGAACCCGCGATACCTCATTCGATTGCCAAAGGGTTCAACTATATCATTAATGGGGATTAACCCTGTACCATTCAATGCCGCCCCTATCTATCAGTGTGTCTTTTATATTTCCTCTATTGAGCCGATTTGTCTCGGGTTGGTAAATGAGCCTCTAGTCTACCCAAACTCCAAGGTGTACGTCGCAACTAGAACCCTCCAGATTCACAGCCTCGCAGTCAGGGGAGCGGCGTCGTCGTCGGCACCGTCTATCCGGCGGCCGATCTCGTCGAACTCGATCTTCTTGCCCGTGATCAGACTCTCTTGCAACGCGCAGCCGATCTTCACGGCGGCGACAGCCCCTTCGAGTCTGAACGGAGGCTCAGTGTTGTCGAGACAGCAGGCGGTGAACTCGTTTGCTTCGGTGATGAACGCCTCCCGGAAACGACCGTAATAATGAGGTGGGATCTCACGACGGATGCCGGATGGCTCGTAGATGTTGACGAGGTTAGACATCGGTTGCGTGTTGACGGCGAGTTTTCCTTCGGTGCCGGTAATCTCGGTGCCTAGATGCATGTGTCAGAAGACATCTTGGATGAATATAATCCGCTTTAGGGCAAATGGTAAGGTCCTTACTGTCTTCTTGTCCGGCCGCCATCATTCTACTGCAGTACAACTGAGCAATCTTGCCTCCGTAGAACTCGACGATTCCCAACGCATTGTCACGGTCGTTGTACTTTCGCAATTCGGGAGAGACGGCGGTGATGCCGATTGCACTGACAGACTTGACCACCGAGTCTTCGCCGAAAAACCACAAAGCCAGGTCAATATCGTGGATGGAGCAGTCCACAAAAATGCCACCAGAGAACTGCGCGTACTGCACAAAGAACCCGGACGGATCGAGCTTGTCGCAGGTCTGGGAGCGAAAGACAGCCGGGCGTCCGATCAAGCCCGATCGCATCTTCTGATAGGCGTCTCTGTAAGATGCATCGAAACGGCGGGAGAAGCCGCAGATGACTTTTTGGTTGGGGTAACTCGTCTTCGCTGCCCGGTATGCTGTGACGACTGCCTGCGACTATGGGGAGGGAAGAAAAGTCAGCATGCTGGCTAAAAGGCACAGCGACGCGACAATAAAGAAAGACCTTGGCCACGTACGATTTCTGGGTTTGTGCTGAGAGGTTTCTCGCACAGGACGTGGAGACCCTGTTTGATGGCTTTGATGGCCTGCTCCGCGTGAACAATAGTCGCGGAGGCCACGACAACTGCCTGCAACTCCTTCTCCTCTTTCAACATCTGGTCGTAGTCCAGATATGTCCGCACGCCTTCTAGGTTTCGGGTCGCCCATGCCAGCTCTTTAGGATCTGGAGACGAGACCGCAATCAGATCGGCCCGGGGCGTCATGGTGTGGAAATGGAGAGCATGACGGGCACCCATGCGTCCCAATCCCGCAATCGCGACCTTGAGCTTTGGCGAAGACATTTTCGGGAGGGAATATCGTCTATGGAAACTGAAGACCGAAAAAGAAAGGAGAGATTGAGCAGCAAAGTGGAGACGTAAGGAATTCGCAAACCAAAAAGTGACTGGAAACACTCTCTCGCCACTGTGCAATGAGCAGAAGACGACAACCTTCAAGAACGGCGCATCAGCCTATATACCCTGGGGAGAGATTTCTTTGTTGACATGAACAATTTTGGTTGAAAATGTTTCGTGGGCGGTGAGGAGAGGCGTTGGCGATCCACGACTGACTAGGGGGACGCGCTGCCCCGCGGTTTGCTGTTTTCCCTTCTTTCTCACTCCTCACCAACCTCCCCCTACCCCGAACAAGCCGCGACTCACGCCAGACTCTCCGACCATCGGAACAAATTGCCCTATTCTAGACTCCGGAGGCTTTTTGCCGCATTGGACAAGTCGCAAGCATACCGCAGCAGAGGGGGATCAACGGGCCACAAGACGCCCAGCGAAGCCAAGCGAGGCGGGGAAGAGGATCATCAAAAACAGGCAATTCTCCTCCGGCTCTTGCATCCCAATATGCTTCCCAGCTTTCTGTCTCCTTTGAACTCCCTTCGGCGAAGATACAGCTTCGCCAAAGCCGACCCATCGTCGCCCATGACTCCGTCCGGGTCGATTCTCAGGCCATGGAGGCTTCAGGTATTGACCACCAGCAAGAAGAGGGAGATAACCGCCTAAAGGGCAACAATGGGGTAGACCGCGTCACAGGCCGGAGCAAGCGCAAGGCAAGAATCAGTCCTTGCGATAATTGCAGAGGTGTCTCACTCCCTCGCCCCCCTTTGCATACGCATACTATTCCCCCCAAGCATTGTCCACTCTCTAGTTCACACATCCCTAATTCACGTGACGTGCTGACGGTTGTGGACAGAGAAACACATCAAATGTAGGGCGGTGCCTTTTATGCAAAATGTGACATGCTTCGTTGGTCTGTATACTGAGAGAAACCAGGCGATTTGATCTCGGGTGTTTGCAGAAGATGTCAGAGAACTGGCGAGCGGTGCATTCGCAGCAGGACTGGCATCAGGTTTCGACATGGGTCTAGTGCCAGATACGACACCAAGGGTTTCTCGACGGATCAGACTTGGTTGAAACCAAAGAAGGCGCTGGGTATGAACATGGTCTGCTGGAAACGCATGCTACTGACACTGGCACAGAATTAAAGTACATCGACGAGACTGCCGAGTTGACGGCAATCTATGACCAGGATGCAGAGTTTGAGGATGCCGACGAGCTGGACGCTGAGGACGAAACAGAACCCGGGCCAGCTTCGTCCCTAGGTGAGGGAGAAGGAGACAAAAGTGCGGCTGGCCCTGCAGCTAGCGTCACGGAATCATACCACGCAGACGATGGCACAACAGCCTTTACAAACGCGGAGCTGGCAGACACATTGAATGCCGGAGTTAGAGTGTGGCCGTTACAAACGACCAAACAATCTGGCCTCGAAAGCGCCATCGAATCGACTATGGGCCCTTCACCTACTTATATGCGCAGTCACTGGAGTTCACAAGGATCCCTGCCGTTCTCCTCCCCTCTTCAGACCAGGCAAGAAGAGCTCGAGTCCCCAAGTTCACCGTTGTTTACTGGCCTGGTGAAAAGGCCATCAAGGTCGTCTACCCAAGCAATACATACGGTGCTGGAGGTGATCCTTCTTCGGTACTTTGTGGACCAACTTGCTCGGTGGTTTGATCTCTGTGATCCGGAAAAACACTTCGAGTTCATTGTCCCTCAGCGTGCGCGCTGGTGCCCGCCACTACGAAACGCGATGCTTGCCGCCTCAGCCCGCCATCTCACCCGTGTTCGTCATTCGAAGTTAGGGCCAGAGAACGTCTATTACCTAGACGGCCAGCCAGTTGCGGATTTGACCGAAGAGACGGCTTTGCACTACCACAGCGAATGTATAAAAGATCTGCTCAAGCGAAGCCTCGACGCCGAGCAAACTAGAGACGAGAACCTCTTGGCAGCAGCCATAATCCTCCGTTTCTACGAGGAGATCGATTCGCCTCTCCGCGCCGACGAAGAAAGAGACAGTGAACTTTTCCTTCGGGTCATGAACGTCTTCATTGACGCACAGATTCCCTCGTTCCCTCTCGTTCCACACAGTTCACCCGTCATCAACGGACCCAAGGTCGGCCCGATTGCAAGATACAGTGCTGTGCCATCTCCCGGAGCTGTGCATTCGCCTACTGTGCCCGCAGTCACATCTCCGTCACAGAACTTGGGCGGTTCGGTTGATGGCCAATCAAGGTGGCGGGCGGATGGTCTCTGTCAGGCCAGTTTCTGGGTGGCGTTCCGTCAAGAGATATACTCGGCCTTCTTGAAACAGCGGCCTTTCAACCACGATCTCTCCCGGTGTGAAGCATTTCGATCTTTCTCACCGGCCGAGGACGCCGTGTGGGCTGACCGGCTGATCATTTTCTGCGCGGACGTCCTCGAGTTCTGCTACGGGAACAGTAACTCGAGCACGCGACTCGACACCAACCTCTCGACGACGGACAACTGGCTCTCACTTAAGCAGTACGAGGAAATGTGGCCCGAGGTATTGCCCGCCTCATTCGAGCCCATCTACTACCGTGACCCGGACAGGTCGAAGGGCGAGGTGTTCCCCGAGGTGTGCTATCTGGCCGATTGTCACGTCACCGGCGTGCAGCACGTGGAGCTGGCCAAGATCCTGCTGGCCGTCTATGACCCGACGAGACCGAAGCTCGGACCGGGCCACGTGGCCAGCATGAAGGCGTTGAGCCAGGACCTGAGGACGATTGTACTTCGTCTCTGCGGCATCGCCATGAGCAACCGCAAGACGCCGCCGGGGCTGGTGACGGCGCTGTTGGGCATTGTGGTCTGCGGAGACCACTTCGAGGACAGAACGGAACAGGATGCCCTGTTTGGGATCCTGGATGAGCTGGAGTTCACGCACGCTTGGCCCATTGGGAACACGAGGAAACTGCTGAAGGACGCGTGGGGGAGGACCTGAGCCGCAATGGACACCTCCCCTCTTGATGATCGATGCGGTATGTCTGCGGTGGTGCTTCCAAGGTTGACCACCTTCATGTATGCTATGCCACCAAAATTTCCATCCTTCTGAGTTTGGCGAATACCATGACTGGACATCGTTTGCAATCCCACACCTATGACGGCCACGCGTAGCTGGAAACGTAGCGAGCAGCACGTCTGTCGCGTAGACTACGCCGAACACGAGGTTTTGATCCGGGGACTCTCCAGCATTTACCGTTCCTGGGGGCCGCCAACCGCGCAGCTCGTCCGGGAAGGAAAGAAGCTAGAAGGAGCGTTTTCCCTCCCTACTTACTATTTGGAAGTATAATCCCTTCCACAGAAGAAGTGGATGGCAAGGGCTGTTCTAGAACGAACCCGGAAAAGGGAGCGAGGAAGGACTCCACCTTTTTTCAGCCTCGCCGACAAATTTCCCTTTTTGTCAAAAGGAGCAGCACGTCGCCGTTGTTCAAACCTCTTTCCACCTAAACAAACCCACACCACTCGATCCTCTTCTTCGACGAGCAATGGGCATACGCCGCACTGAATATCGATTCCTCCCAGGGTATCGAGGCAGCTATTCGTCCCACAGTGCAGACTATCCAAGACCGCTCGCTGACCTGGACCACCATAAAAAAATTGGGTCAGCACGATGTACGTGTGCGTATATGTGTGCGTGATACATCCAAGGCCCAGCCAGGAAAAGGGTGAGTGAAAGGAAGGACGAGCGAGGCTGAGTCGTTGTGCCCCTCTCCTGTATTCCGGTAACTGCGCTCTTTTTGCAAGGTCGATTGTGATATTCCTTGCCCCTCCCTGCTGATCTATAAGTCCCATTCTGTTTTCCACACCCATAATCAGCGTGGCGCTGAACAGCCTCGGAAGAAAAGAAGAGGAAAAAGAAAACCGAGATGCTAGGCGTCGCCGTCCTCCTGTCCACCCTCGTGTTCGGCGTCTGCTATTTCGTCCTCGTCCCCTTCTTCACCTACTTACGCGACCCCAAGGGCCTGCGAAAGTACCCCAACCTGACGTTCTGGTCCGGGATATCGGACCTGCCCTTCATCTACGAAGCACACAAGGGCTTCCGGTCGCACGCCCTGCTCGAGGCCCACCAGAAATCGCCAGTCGTGCGGATCGGCCCCAACTCGCTCTCGTTCTCCAGCCCCGAGGCGATCCGGGACATCTACGGGCACGGCACGAAATGCACAAAGGACATCTTCTACCAAGAGCTGGCGGGGAGCCATTTCCACCTCGCGGACGTCGTCGACAAGCCTGAGCACGCGCGGAAGAGGAAAGTGCTGTCGAGTGCCTACGCCATCAAAAATCTGGAGGGTTGGGAACACAAGGTCGCGGATATGACCGGGCGGTTGATTAGGGCGTTCGATGCTCGATGTACTGCACCGCTACCTGAGGGACAGCTGCCGACGAAGGAAGATCTTACCATCGACTACCGTATGTGGACGAATCTCTTCACCGTCGCAGCGATCGCCAATATTGGACTTAGCGAAGATCTGGGCTTCCTGGACCGCGGAGACGATCTGGTCACCTCTGAGGCCGCCGATGGAACCCTGAAGAAGGTTCATTTCAGAGAATGCCTGCACGCCACGGCGTGGGCGCAGTCAAATCTAGTCTGGTCCTACGGCTCGTACAAGACACTGGTCAAGCTCAGCAAGATCTTCTCCCGCACGTACCGAGAGAAGTGGCGGTTGAACCAAGACTGGGACGGCATCGTGCGAAACCGGGCCACGACGAGATTCCAGCGATACGTGGCTGGTGAACAGTTGGACGACTTTTTCACAGCTCTCTTACACGACAAGTCGGGCAGGCCGAACAACCTTGAATGGGGTGAAATGGTGGCTGAAGTCAGCATCATGATGAACGCGGGTAGTGATACAACTGCCCTTGCAATGAACAATGTCATGTTCTTGCTCCTGAAGCACCCAGCCTGTCTGGCAAAGCTTAGGGAGGAGTTGGACAACGCCTTGGAAGACGACGAAGAGATCGCACCGTACGACAAGATCAAGCATCTCCCGTATATCCGCGCCTGCCTTGACGAGAGCTTACGGCTCCTCCCGCCCACGACCTTTGGGCTTCCTCGTCGCACGCCACCGGAGGGAGCACCCGTGGCGGGTGACTTTATTGCTGGAGATACCTCAGTGTCCATGTCCTCATATGTGGCGCACCGGGACAAGACTGTTTTCCCAGATCCGGAGCAGTACAAGCCCGAGAGATGGTTGGGGGAGGCGGGTAAGGAGTTGCAGCCATACTTCATTGCCTTTTCCGCTGGGGCAAGGGGATGCATTGGTCGCAATATCAGCTATTTGGAGCAGATGGTGCTGTTGGCCTCTGTAATACACCGGTTTGAGCTCGCTCTGCCGTACCCTGGATGGGAGCCGACGAGGAGGGAAAACTTCAATCTCTCGGCAGGGCCTATGCCACTGAAAGTCTGGAGACGGAAGAAAACGCATCAGTGAGTGTCTACCAATGGCATGACATGTGGGTCGTGAAGGATGGAGTGGTCGTCCTTCCTCGTCAACTTTCTTTGCATGTGTCTGTGTTGAGTAGGCAAAGAGCGAGCCTAGTTCGTAAATTCGATAGATGGGACGCCGCCGCGAGCGTCACTGATGGCCGATGTATACATCTCTTTTGGGACCCTTCATCCCTCTTCGATGATCACCAAATCGCCATACGCCTCGTATTGCTTCATTTCCGTCCCAACAGTCAACCTCCTTCAAAGCATCCCAAGAGGTCATTCTGGCTATGCGACAGTGATCGAGATCATGCCGTATGATCGTGTCGTCGGACCTCGTATTAGGACGCACCATCGATGTTCGCGTCAAGCTTGTTCTCTGTCAGAGGAGTATCGTCAGCTCTTGACTCGTTCTGCTCTCCCCCAAGGCAAACCCGGACATTCTGCGCGGCAAGAGGAGCGGATTGGATGCAGGTCGCCATGGCACAGTGTAGAAGCCCAAGCCCAAGCCCAGGTTGACTCTGTACCTGCTGGGGTGAGCTTTTGCCGTCACGACATGGTACCCCGTGTTTTCCCGCCCACAGGAGACATGATACGAGCCAAAAGATGGAGAGACATGGGGGACGGCCATGACGGCGTGGACTTGGGTCTGGGGTACGGGCGAAGAATTGCCCAATCTGACATTGTGGGGATCCTTTCGCCGACGTTTTGAGATTCCGCGCAGCCCAAAAGGCCATACTGTGAGGACGACCAACGGCATCTTTGCGGCGGGTGGATGGTTTGTGAGGCAAATTCCCGCCGGCCGGCAAATCAACACACAACACACACTCCTCTTCCAAGAAACTCTCCCCCGGACATTCCCCCCTTCCTCCCACCATGGTTGCAGCAAGCCAACTCCGCGAACGGCATGGTCGACGATGCCCACCGGTTCCAGCCTCCTTAGCCTTTCGTAATTGCGGCCAGGCCCATTGGCTCCCACTGTGCGGAAGAACTCTTCACTGGCCCATGGTGAGTGGCTGCAGTGGCTGCCATGGCTGAAAAAAGAGGCAATTCGACATCATGGCCCCCTCCGATCGACCGGCGAGCACCACGGCTTTTCCAGAAACATGTATCTATCACAATACGGGGAGAGGAGGCGGATTTGTCTATATAACCTCAGAAATCCCCCCGTGTTTGAGACGACTTCACCTCATCCCAACGCCCTGAGCATTGAGAGAGGGTCAAGACTCGAACAAACCACCATCGATTCACCGACTCAGAGGATCACCTTTCCATACCTTCTTTCTCTCTTTCATCCCCCAAAAAGAACTTCTGATTTACGATGGCGAGCCGAGAGCATCTCTCAATCGAACAGAAGATCCAGGAGAAGACACATCACCATGAACATATCGAGGAACCGTCCCGACACGCGGTGCGAGGGAGTCTGCGTGCCGACAGCGTGACACGCACCTCGTTTGACCGCCGCCACTCGGCTTCCATGCCGGGCACTGGGAGTCGCCGTGAAAGCATTCGTAAGAGCTTCGACAGGGCCAACATCGCAATGGTACGTCAGATCCCCAACAGGCACTCAGCAATACAAGGCTGCTTCCAAAATGAATCGGAAAGCTAATCGAAACATATCCAGGTCTTCCCAGATTCGACCCACGTCGAGATGTCCGACGATGACATGGGCAAGAACTCGATCGACGACATCTCCCCATCCTGGTTCGTCTGGCTGGTCGCCCTGACCGCCTCGATCGCGGGCTCGCTCTTCGGCTACGACACCGGCATCATCTCCGCCGTGCTGGTCTATCTCAACGACGACCTGGACCATCGCCCAGTCTCGTCCAACGAGAAGGAGCTCATCACCTCCCTCTGCTCGGGAGGTGCTTTCATCGGTGCTATCATCGCCGGTCTGACTGCGGACAAGTTTGGTCGCAAAATGGCAATCTACGTTGGCTGTGCTCTCTTCACCATTGGCGCGATTCTGCAAGCTGCCGCATACTCGATTGCTCAAATGTCCGTCGGAAGACTCGTTGTTGGATTTGGTGTCGGTTCGGCTGCCATGGTGGTAAGTTCTTGCTCTGAAGCTCGTCCACAGCGAGAGGATACTGACGAGATCCCCCAAAGGTCCCCCTTTACATTGCCGAGATCGCTCCCACCAAAGTCCGTGGAAGGCTCATCGGACTGAACAACATGTCCATCACCGGCGGACAGGTAGTATCGTACGGGATTGGAGCCGCCTTCGCTCACGTGTCCCACGGATGGCGATACATGGTCGGCTTGGGGGCTGTCCCTGCCATCCTGCTCGCGTGTCTTTTGCCGTTCTGCCCAGAATCACCCCGTCAACTCGTCTACCGCGGCAGAATCCCCGAAGCGGAGGCGGTCCTGGCAAAGATCTACAAGGGAGCCACCGCCGAACAAGTGCGAGCCAAATGCGCCCTGATTGCAGCCGCCTGCGAGGAAGCCAAAGAACTCAACGAAGACCAATCCCGCTGGGGCAAGATCAAGCAACTGCACACCAACCCTGCCTACTTCCGCTCCTTGGTCTGCGCCTGCGGCTTGATGGTCATCTCGCAAATGTCCGGTTTCAACGTCCTCATGTACTACTCCTCCACGCTGTTTGATATTGTGGGTTTCTCGAACCCCGTCGCCGTTGGTCTCGTTGTCGCCGGCACAAACTTCGTCATGACCTGGGTCAACATGATGCTTGTCGACCCGATCGGCCGTCGGCGACTGCTGATTGCCACCGTCTGGGGCATGAGCGCGGGTCTCGTGGCCGTCGCTATTGCATTCAGCTTCATCCCCATTGACACCAAGACATTGGCCATTGAGACGACAAAGGTGACCACGCCGGCTATCGTGGTGCTCATCTTCATCATCTGGTTCGTCTTCTTCTACGGCGTCAGCGTTGGTAAGTTCTATGTACCCACCCTAGCAAAACTCACAAGGAATCTTTCTGTACTGACCGATCCTCTCCTTTTAGGCAACACTGCTTGGATGTCGACCGACTTCTTCCCCATGGAAGTCCGCGCCATGGGGACCATGTGGCTCACCTGCTCGTGCTGGGGCTCCAACATCATCGTCTCATCGACCTTCCTGTCCATGATGAAGGGCCTCACCCCGACCGGCGCGTTCGGCTTCTACGCCGGCATCTGCGGCGTCGGCTGGCTCCTGATCATCTTCTTCTACCCAGAGGTGTCGGGCCTGACCTTGGAGGAGATTGGCGAGGTGTTCGAGCACGGCTTCGGTGTGCGCTACGCGAGCAAGCTGAGGAAGGAGAGGAAGGCGGAGATCAAGCAGCGGATGAAGGAGCGTGGGCGGACCATCGCCGTGGGACACTAGATCGCTTGCTGCGTAAATGGGAGGAGAGACGGCGGGCAAGGGATATCTGTTGGGACGTTTGCCCACTTTCTCGCGCGGTCTACGGCGCAACTACCTGGTCTGGTTGTGCTGCCAGATACAGCTTCGCTGGGCTTTCATTGGTTGGCCGACTGGCTGGCTGGCTGGCTGGCTGGGTTATCCGGAATAGATGAGGATGTTGGTCCCGTATGCACACACCCATCCCAGCACTTGCACATGTCTGCCCCCGTGGAATGAAGAAATTTTTGGCCCTTTTCCTGCCCCCACGTTATGTTCCCTTTCTTGTCTGTGGTCCTTTCGCCTTTCTACTCCTTCGGGCGGTCTGCTCGTCCATTGGCCTGTAGGGGGAAAGTGCCGAAATATGCCGTGCCAGCGACGTGCCATAGGGACAAAGGGGGTGGTGAGTGAGTGTGTGTTTGAGAGACATGCTTCTTCCGGATGATCTCTCCAGAATCTCTCTCTTCCCCCCCCCTCTCCCTCTCTCCCCTGTCAGGCTTAAAACGGATCTGCGTTCCCCCATGGCACCGCCCCCTCCATCATCCCATGGGTTTGGACCGTTTCCCCATCCCTCAGCCCGGCCCCCTCTGCCTGGAGCCGAGATTGTAGTTGTCGTCGGCGGACAGGGCGGGACCGAAGGTCTTGGCGCAGCGGAAGGACCAGTAGCGGGAGAGGGCGTACCAGACGTAGTTGTCGGCGTTCTGGAGGGACTGGGAGTTGCCGGTGCGCGGGTCGGCGGGCAGCTGGTTGATGCGGAGGGCGTTGAAGGGCCCGTACGCGCCGGGGGCCCAGGGCCCGTCGTAGTCCCAGATGCGGTGGTCGTGGTCCGGGACGCGCGCCGCGTAGTCCGGCACGCTGAGGAACATCCACGGCCAGTGGAACAGCTCGTGCAGCACCGTCGCCCCGATCACCTTCATGTACGCGGTGTCGCGGTCGCCGAGGCCGTCGCAGCCGAACCCGGCCAGCGGGGTGCCCGAGGGGTCGCCGCCCGCGCGCGCCCACGCCGGCGGGTCCTCGGTGTCGCGCAGCGAGAGGCGGTACTGGAACAGGCCGGAGTCGGGGCACAGCGAGATCAGGCCCGAGAAGCGCGCGGCCGGGCTCGTGTCGTAGATGGTGTACGCGTTGTCGCCGCTGTCGACGCACGAGTGCCCGCTGGCCGCCGGGTTGAACGGGTTGTCGCCGTACGCGATGCACAGGGCGATGAAGTCCGGGTTCCACGTCGCGGCCGAGTTGGAGGACGAGAGCAGCGGCCCGATGTCCTGCGGGTTGATCTCCATGAACAGGTCGATGTTCGCGATCGTCCGGAACATCCGCTGCACAAACGTGAAGTCTTGGGGCTGGAAATACCGCAGAAAGGCCTGCGAAACCAAAGATGGAGTTAGCAGATTGGGGGGGGGGGGGGGGGGGGGGG